GGGGGGGGGAGGCCAGAACGCACTATCAGGGAAGATGGATCGCGACAGGTCACGCATGGATTGTGCTGGAAACTTTGATGCTTGGTACTTGATATCGATAGAACGGAACGGAACGGTTTTCCACGACGCCAACGCCAACGCCAACGCCAACGAATGATTAGATAGCTTTGTCCGCGCAGCATTGTTACCAGTAGACTCATGACTTATTTCTGTACCAGGAGTATCGATGCTAGACATCACGAAGCTAACTTATTTCTTGTATTCTACAAACAATATGCGGGGCACGGCATGCATGCATGGTATTTATTGACAGACCCGGCCAGGCCAATTCCCCCAGCCACACCGCCAACCTTCCTTGCTTTTTATGTATCCTGTGGTCATCCCACCTGAATTGCGCCTCTAGACTATACATACATGATCCGCATACACCACATCCCAGCAGTGTACCACGACCAAAAAGAACCACATGGGCTCTAGAAAGGCGAGTCCAAGCTGTCCATCAGCATCCAGCGACCCTTCCACTTCCCCGTCCCCGACTCGGTCCCCGTCTCTGCACCGTCCATCTTGCCGCTGGCCCTATCCAGCGCCTCCTTTGCGCGGATGCCCATCCAAGCACTTTCGTTTTCGCGTAATCCATCCTGCACGTCAACTGCGTCTTCGCCGATGGCGTACAGGACCCTGCCGTGCAACACCTCGCCATCATGATGGAGGCCTTCGGCGATGACGCCCGCGACGATGTTGCTCACGTCATCGCCCTTGTCGCCCGGCACGCGGACGCTCATGCGTCCGCCCCCTTCGGCCTCCACCACGCTGGGCAGCAGCATGTTGGTGGCCACGAGATTGACGCGCACGCCGTCTCTTCTGACATCGACACTCTCGCCCAGGCTGCGTGCCAAGCCAAGGATGGCGTGCTGTGCCGTGGAGTAGAGGGGCAGATAAGGCAAGGGCGTGAATGCAGCCGTGGAGCTGACGAACGTCAGACTGCGGTCCTCGCTCCACTCTGCGCCACTGAAGCCGCCGGAGGTTGGGGTGAGCATGCCTGACGACGAGCTGTGAACTTGTCGTCGACCAGGCGAGTTCCGAAGATATGCCATTGCAACCCTGGCGAAGCGTACACTGGCGGCGATAATGTCGCTCATGTCGATATTGTCGGCATCGCGGGTCTCGCCGCGATCCACTAACTCCATTTCTGCTTTTCCTGTCATGGCTCTCCCTTCTGCCAGTCCCACATCCAGACCCCAAAGTTTCTCGCCCGTGCCCACGCCTCGTGCTTGTCCGCCATCGTCCCCTGGCGCAAATACGGCGTGATCGACGCGCCCATACATCGTTACGGCGAGCTTGAAAAGCGCGTGGATGTCGGTGTAGCAGCCGAGATCGCAGGCGTTGAAATGAATTGTGTCCGGTGGCCCAAGCCCCCGGATGAAGGAGCGGGCTTTATCGGCAAGTGATTGGTGGGCTGAGAAGACCACACGGGCGCCGGCTAGATGCAGGGTGCGGATTAGAGGAGCAGAGACGAGGGATGTGCCGTTGGTGACAATTATGACTTTATTGAGGAGACTTCCTGGGGGGAGAGGTAGAGTTTGTGGGCGGTAAGTGTAAGGCTCGTGAGTATTAGATGGGGCGCGGTGTCCATCAGTCACAGAGGGAGGCTCCTTGTGCTGTGTGCTCGAAGATGTAGGAGGAGTAACGAAAGGATTACCGGCAATGTTGCGGCTGGCGCCAAAGTTCATGCCTAGGAAATCGACACCAAGGCCAGCGGGTTGTCGTTTCGGTGAGGTAGATATCGAGTCAGGTGGTGTGGGAGGTGATGGCGGAGCGATGGGGCTGATACTTGCAGCGACATGTATGGTACTGAAATCTCGTCTCTGCTCTCTAGGCTTGATCTGTGGTACATGACCAACTGCTCTGATAGGACTGAAGCTCAGTGAGGGGACACTGTCCTCGCTATGCGTCGATCCATGTTCGCGTGTTTTGCTGACAACGATATCCTCGGATGGCGTTTGAGACGGCGAGTCATTCGGGAGAGGAACACGGATGCTGTCGCGCTTTGCATCGACGAGTTCGAACCGATGAGGCGTTACCTGGTTGAGGGTCTTTTTCCGCCTCCTAGTGGGCTTCTCACTCACACTTCGCTCGCTCCGCTCTGAGGCGGGCACATCCAAGGCCTGGGTCCTACCTCGGCCATCCGGGCTGTCGACGAAGCGATCACGTGTGGAAGGAGTGAGAGGGTCATCAGTTGACCAGGGGTTCTTCTCGCCAGCTCCGCCGGCTACGACGCTAGCATTTGAAACGGAGCGTTGGTGGCGGGAACCACTTTCACTGAGAGCACCACTAATGGTGGTCGTTGGTGACAGCTTGTTGGCGTCGAGATCGACGGATTTCCCAGGTTTCCGTCTCAGTGTGTCTCGCATGTTTTTTATCATAGCAATGGGCGGTGCACAATGATATCATCAGGATTCTTGCCTTTGCATCATGCAGGGGCGTGCTCAAACAGAAGAGACAACGCAACAGCGGTGCACGTGGGAAGACTGAAGAAATGCAGTCGACGAGGCCAGGGCAGAGCGGCAATGCTAATGAGGGTGGGAGATGATGTGGTAAAACCAAGTTTTTGCTGAGACTGATGAGATGATCTAAGCGAGCCCCTGGTGTAAGGCACGGCAGCACAAGCTTCATCGCTCCTTCCGCCAGCTCGGGATTCTCGGCTGCCGCCTACGCGTCGCCTGATAGGCGCGCTAGGCCTAAACGCCACGAGGCTGAGTGCTGAGACCCATCTCAAGGGGTTGACGAGACGCTCTCATCTTGTCCAATCCCCACGCCGCGACGTTGTTCTCAGCCCGATTATATTGCCTCTTCATGCCAATGGGCAGTCCACCCAGACCTGATTGAAAACCGTTATCGACGTGTCTCCCAGGGTAATGGCTCCGATGTTACATGCACCACTCGCGATCGGCCCATAAGCATTCCCCTTCACCTTGCAATCCGACTCGGGCGTGCACATGAAGATCTGGCACCCCTCCTGAGCGGAAGTCATCGAGACGGCAGCGGTGCCTGGAGGCACACGGCGTGATTCTGTGCATGGCTCTTAGTCTGGAGCGACGTCTTAATGAACCAGGGACAATGCTTTCAGTCGAGCATGAGAGTCCACGTACGATTGCTTCCTGTCCACCTCATATGTCCATTAAGCTCCGTGCACACCTGATCTTTCCAGAACGTGACCTCATTCGACATAGGTGTGCTTTCTGTCTCGTGATTTCGACGGACCGGTCCGGCAGCCACCAGCTGGAAGCCGAGGAGAGTCCCAACGACATCTTGTAGACACACCATGGTGCTCTTGGGGAAGGTGTATAACTTGGCAATGACTTGCTTGGGAATACGTGATTCGGCAGATATCTGGTGCTCTGGACTCGTGGCGATGGTAGCATTTATATTCCGTGAGTCAATCTCGCCCCCAGTCACGTTGGCCCGCAGCTTCTGTGCTATCCACACAAACGGTAAGAACGCTCAAGCATTTGTCACTCGTCATGTGGTTGTCGCTACTGCACGTACCCGTGGTCGTATTCTCTGCAAGCACACGCGATCGCACCCATTCGGTCGGACCGTGCCTCATCTTATTGTTGACACTCCAAAAAGCAAGACAGACGTGGTCAGACTTGAGGTGATTGAGACCATGTGTGAACTGTCCATGATGTATAGCTAGAAAGCAGCTATATACTCACCCACGGATGCTACATGGCTACTGCCGCTCCACATCCACAGCCTTTCGCTCGACCACCTGCGCATCTTTCTCTTCTCCCTGCTTCGGTGGTTGCACCTTTTGCTGCTTGACACTCTTCCATTCCATACCCAAGGCTCCAATAATCAGTGCAGCACTTACTGCTGTACCAACGTAGAATGCATGCCGCAGCGCCACATTATAGATCATCAGGACTTGCTGCAGCGCGTCCTCCGAGACATACCTGCGTAAATCCGTGGCGCCAACGGATGTAACCACGCCGGGGTCAACTCCCGGGATTTGCGCGCTCATCAAACCACTCGCCAGCTGGTTGAGCATGATGTTGTTTGCCACACTGGCGAAGACGCTGCCGCCAAGAGTCTGCCCGAGAAACATCAAGGACGCACCGGTGGGCACATCCTGCTTTGGCAGAACTGTCTGCGCCGCAACGGTCGCCTGCTGCATGCCTAGGCCAAGTCCGAGGCCATACAGAACCTGATAGCCGATCCACTCAGAGTGGCCGGTCGATGTGTTGAAGGTACTGATCAAACCAGCTCCGATGGGCGTCATGACTGCACTGATATACATCCATTGAGTGTAGTACCCAATCTTGCGGGTGAGAATGCCTGCCATTATGGAAGAAACGACGAGTCCCAGAACCATGGGAATGAACATGATGCCTGACTTGACGGCGGAGACTCCTGTAAGTTGCATTAGATACGACAGGTTCGCAGAATGGCGGTCACGTACCTTTGATCGCTTGAAACCAGATTGGAACATAATATGCCATCGTCTGTGTGGATGCGCCGTTACAAAAGGCCCACCAAAAACCAAAGACGATCGATCGATAAGTGAAGAAGCGAGGAGGAACGGTGGCCTTCTCTTTGCGCCACAGTTGAACAGCGACAAACGCAACAAAGACAACAGCGAAAAGACTGAGAAGGAGAATGATTCTCCACGACGACCACGACCATTGCGTGCCGCCACTTTGAAGGGCTAGAAGCAGGCAGACCATCGATGAGACGATGAACAAGGTGCCCAGGGGGTCAAGGCGGAGGAGCTTGTCAGTCAAGGACAGCTTCTTTGGAGCCTCAAAGTCGACCTTGAGGAAGATAAAGATGATGACCATGACAAAGCCTCCGATCGGAAGGTTGATGTAGAAGCACCATCGCCAGGAAAGCTTGTCGGTGAAAACACCACCCAGCAAGGGACCGACAACGGAAGCGATGCCGAAAACCATTCCCATAAAGCCTGTATACATCGGGCGCTTGTGGAGGGGTACCGTGTGCACAACAAGAATGATTGCGCCCGAAGTAACTCCACAGCTGCCCAGACCGGCCACAGCTCTTCCAACGATGAGGGTCGTCGAATTGGGTGCGACGCCACAGATGAGGCTACCGAGTTCGAAGATGGAGATGCAGGTCAAATAGACCCATTTCGGGTTGTAAAAGGTATAGATGCGGCCAACGAGGAGCTGGAAGCCAGCCATAGGCAGAAGGTATCCGGAAACATACCAGCCGATGTCGTCGAGGGAGTTGAAACGATCTGTTATGGCCGGAATAGCGGTAGCGATGATGAGTCTGTCGAGGGCCACGAGGAAGGCGGCCATGAAGACGCAAGCCATTACCATAATGACATTTCGTTGGGAAGGGTACTCGGAGTTGGAGGTAACTTGCTCTTTGACTGCTTCCCCGCGAACAACGTCTTCTTTGCTTGTTGCACGACTCATGTTGACTATCTCACCCGAGGGCTGACTGAATGGAGAGGTTGGGGGTGGTGTAGAGAGACGTGGCTCGCCAGGGTGGGAAGCAGTCGCAAGAGGATGATGACAGTGCAATATGAAGAGCGATGTAATCAGTGTTGAGAGGAGGTACCATTTGGAAGGGGCTTGCAAGGCCTTTATTACTCACAGAACGCGAAGCGAAGAGCATTGCACTCGGAAACCGTCCCCTTTCATTTTCGAGTCATCTGCTGTGACTTACCTGCGACTGCCCATTTCATAGCCTCGTCGCGGCCGTGCGGACTATGGCTAGCGGGTGCCAGGGCTGGCAAGGTGCAAGGAGAGCGGCCGAAGAGCTTGATGGCTGCGAGAGAACTAGCCTCATCGGCGCCGAGGCGAGCAAAGTGGACCCCGTCCCGACGGCCGAGCCCGGGGCCACCAATGGCCGCAAAGGTGCCCGGGTTGCAGTACGAGTAGTACTGGTGGTCGTCGACGAATGTGGCAACCGTGCATCGCGGCAAAGTCTCCTGATTTCTGCTATTCAGATCTTTAGCAGCGTCATGGAGCTAGCCCTGCATGTTCAGATCTGGACAGCTGCACCGTAGGTTCCCTTCTCGAGCTGCATGGAAAGCTCACGGAGAAGGTTTCCGATTGGCCGATATTTGCATGGGGTTGCCTCCTCCTGAGAGGCCCAGCTTGGAACATCGTGTCCGCTCGTTGACGGCATGAAGAGATGTCGTGCCTCTTACGACTTGACTCACGCTTGACAAGCAGGTCGGTATAATATATCAGTGAGTGGAGTCCGGGTGACAAAGCCGCTGCCAACCACGTGGATGACTTGCTTCCACCAGTTGTGACATCAGTTGATATCACGGATTTCATGACGTTGAGCCGCAAAAAATTGTGTCCCCATATCCCAATACATTTCCATCTATTAAACATACTGCCTTGGCTCATCTATACCATAGTCGTTGTCGCTTCGATATTGTATCTACTGACCACTCAATCGCATCGAATCTCGTCATGGAAGCAGCAAAGAACGTTGCCAAGGCCGCAACGAGCAGCGAATCCCAATTCGAGAGTGGTAAGTAGCCCAGTCAACATGGAGTGCTGGACTGATGATATCAGGCCATAAAGTGCCTATTACTCATCAGGACAAGCCGGGCCTGCAGCAAAACCTGCCCGTAAAGCCTGCTTCTACTCAGCTGCCCCGAGAGGATGGTGGGTACCAGACCTATAGGGCCGCGGGGAAGCTGAAGGGGAAGAATGCTCTCATCACTGGCGGCGATTCGGGCATTGGCCGTGCGGTCGCAATCCTCTTCGGCATGGAGGGCGCCAATGTCACTATCGGTTACCTGCCCGATGAAGAAGACGACGCCCAGGAGACCAAGCAACGAGTCGAGCAGACCGGTGCTCAGTGCTACCTCTTCGCCACCGACCTCAGGTCCCAAGAAAATTGCCAGAAGCTTGTTGATTTCACGCTCGAGAAGATGAAGCGCGTCAACATTCTGATCAACAATGCTGCATTCCAACAGGTTATCTACGGCATCGACAAGCTGTCCTACGATCAGTGGCACAAAACTTTCGATACCAACATCCACCCGTACTTCTATCTCGCCAAGATGCTGCTTCCGCAGATGGAGGCCGGAGACACTATTGTCAACAATGGCTCCATCAACGCTTATATCGGCCGCCCTGATCTCCTCGACTACACTACCACCAAGGGCGCCATTACATCCTTTACCCGTGGCCTGGCAAATCAATTCGTCGATAAGGGCATCCGCGTCAACCAGGTCTGCCCCGGACCAGTCTGGACACCCCTTGTTCCTGCGACTATGACGAAAGAAGCACAGGACGGCTTCACCTCTCCGATGGGACGACCTGGCCAACCCAGCGAGATCGCAACCTGCTTCGTTTTCCTGGCCAGCCAGGATAGCAGTCTGATCACCGGACAATCATTGCATCCCAATGGTGGTGTGGTTGTGAATGGTTGACGACAAGGCAGCACTGCTCAAGCATCACAGTGTTTCTTTTTGTTGGCATAGATAGATATGAAGAAATGAGTGATGATGAAGAGATGACCAGATGACGATGCGTAGCAACCCAAGTAGGTAACCTGCTCATGCTGGCTACTATACCTGTTCGGCTTTGGGAGGGTATATAACAGTATCCAAGCACCCAAGGGTTTCTTCTTCTCTCTTTCAGGATTAACAGAGATGGAGTGGTCACCACCGAGAATATGGCAATATCACGTGATCATTATAAACTTGTCAGCCTTAGCGCCGTGTGAAGTATCCACTTCAGCCTTGTTAGCGCCATCATCATCTTGCAGCTCCAGGCACAACTTCTTCGGACACAAGTTATTCCCTCTCCATCCTCCACTTCGGTTGCTTACAGACATTACGAACCATGTCGGGCAACGACGACCGTGGCGAGCAGTCTGACCTTGGTCCCAACACTCCGTATCCCCCTGGCGCGTCGGCGCAGTACCCTCACCCTCAGACCTCGTACGCTTACCCTCCCAACAACGACTATCCTCCTCTACCCGATCATGACCTGGGTCTCTCTGGTCAGGGCTACTCTCAGCCGCTGCAGCACAACCTCGCTGCGCAACTGCAAGATGCCGCTCAGAGTGCGTCGGCCAGAAATGGCGAAGGTATGCGCGTGAACACCAATGGCACTGGTCTCGCGGGCATGGCTCCTCCGCAACCCCAAGGCGCGCCAGCCTTCTCGCCTGGCGGACCACGCTCTAGCGTAGACGAGACTCCCGACAGCGGTACTCCCGGCGATCCCAAGAGTAAGAGAGGGAAGGCTTCACAGGCTTGCGACGAGTGCCGGCGCAAAAAGGTAAGCAGGGAAATCACTCCACTGAGCGCATTGCTGATAGCAGGCTAGACCAAGTGCATCACCACGATTGATGAGCATGGCGTGCCGACAACCTGCACTAGCTGCGCTAAGGCCAATCTCGACTGTCAGTACAGCCGTCAGCCACTGAAGAGAGGACCAAACAAGGGGTATGTGCCGACGCCGTTGAAGAGTTGCCCTGCGTACTGACCACGATGCAGATACATCAAGGACCTTGCAGACCGTGTTCAGCAAGTTGAGAGCTTGTTGCCTGTCTATCGTCAATCGTTCGACGGTGATATGTTTGGTGGTAGCGGCGACGAGCCTATGTCCGGCCGGCGAAACTATTCCCTCCCCGGTGGACGCGCTTCTTTCTCCGGCCCTGACTTTGGTCGAGAGCGACTCGAAAGTCTTGGCGCCTTCAACAATCCCATGGCAACCTCGACACCTCGTGCACGAGATCGCTTCAGCATCGCCGTTCCACCAGATCAAACCGTCACAGTCGACACCACCAACTACTACGACGAGATGGATCCCCGTCCGGCGAAGCGTTTGAAGATGGAATCCGAGAAGCTTCCTTATCTTCCACCTCTTTCAGTTCAGTCTTCCGATTTCTCTAAGTACTACGAGACGATCCACCCTCAGTTCCCTATCCTTCCCGATGCTAGTGAGACTACTCTCCTGGTGGTCATGAACGCTAGTATTGACCTGCAGCACGCTATCATCGCCGCCATCAACGTTTTGCCTACTGCTGCACCATCGCAAGAGAACGGCCCTACCACGACTCAAGCACTGCAGTCCGCTATCCCAGATATGAAAGAGATGATGGAGCGTTTGGGCGACATCTTCGAAGATCAGCTCGTCTCAACTCCCAACGCTCTTGTCTATGTCTGGGTCACATCTCTCCTCGTCATCCACAACGAGTACGCCGTCGACATGTTCTACAACGCTGGCCCGCTTGCGAGCCACGCGCTTGTCCGCAAGTATGAGACCGTTCTCGAGCGGTTGAGAGATCCCAAGCAGGTTGGCTCATTGATTACTGAAGACAAGATGCAAGGTCTCGACACTGACATGCTGCAAGAGATGGCCGCGCGTACCCGCTGCATGGCTCTGCTGCAGAACAAACTCACACTCATGGCGTCGGGTCGTACCAATCCTCTCGATAAGTACGTCTGGGTTACCAACGAGGACATTGGTGCAGCCGCTTCCCTCTCCGAGTCTGCCAAGTTCATGGCCTACATCACCAAGTCCCTGGCATGGGCCATCAATCTTCAACACAACCGCGTGTGGGATCATCCAGTGGGATTGGATCTCAAGGATGCCATGAGTGAGCAGCTTGAACATACCGCTCTTCGCACTCATACCGACGTTACAAGCCCTCTGTTCCAACAGGTCGAAGAGTACCTCAAGACCTACACCGCGCGCACTACAGAACAGCCTAATACCCTTGCTTGCCTGTTCCCCGCTGCCAAACTCGCCGAGAAGCTGGGCAACACCCCTCAGACCTACAGCCCTCTCGACATCCACCTCTTCAGCATCTGCGTCTTCACCTTCCTCGAGTGCCTCGCACTGCCTGCCGGCCCAAGAAACGACTTCGCAGCTCCTGTTGCGCAATCTGGTCTCAACTCTATCCGCCCATTGCTACAGCAGAGGGCTGCGGCTGCAGCTGCTTCGCGCTCTCCGGCCGACAAGGTCTTCTGGGGCACCATTGATGGCAAGGAGGTTGTCAAGAAGAGCTGGATGGAGGCGCTCCTAACTCACATTGACATTTGCGAGGCGCGTAGCTTTGTCAATGAGAACACCGCGAAGTATGGCGAGCGACTCCAGGATGTGACCGGTAACTTTGGTCAGCTTCTCGACTACGGCTATCTCACTGTGCTGGGCTTCTACTCCACCATCGTGGCGAGAGCGGAGATGGAGGGTGAGGTCGCACCCGCGGCTTAGTCGGTGGCGATGTGCAGACCGCCATGATCGGGCGCCCCGAAGCTCAAGAAGGAAAGACGGCAGATAGGGTAACAGCGTCGCACAGACGGCAGTCGCTGTGCTTCTCATGGCTGAAAAGCAAACGGCCACAGACAGGATACGGGTAAGACACCGCGTATCGTGCATATTGTATCATAGCATAGCATATCTTAGCTTCGCCTCACCACAATGGTCGAGGCAGCGGCGAGTAACTCCAAACGTCATGGAGCTGACTCGACCCGATATCGAGGAACGAGTATTTCCAAGGCAGACAGATCAGACCAGACCGGCTTGAAGAATGAACAATACTTCTACACCACTCAGCCGATGAGCAGGCCGTGACTATGAATCCTTCTATTCTTCTACGCTTTTCAGTATGCAGGTCTGAAATTGCTGTGTAGCGTAGTGGTAGCAACGACAGTGCACAGTGCCCATCCCTCGTCTGCATATTATTATACTCTTCGCCTGGCCGAATGGGAGACCCCCACCCCCAATAGATCTCTCTGTCTGCTAACCCTGGCTAGGAAGGACCTTTTGTCTGCGACTTTGATCGAGAATCTCCTTTTATCACAGGTATATACACGGCAAAAGTACACTAAGATGGCACCGCGGCCGAGATCAGATCTAGCGTCTCACGACATTACATTGCCTTGCCTTGCCTTGCCACGCCACACGACGACCCTAGCAGACACTCCCCCACCCTTCCACCCATATCGCCTCCCTTCGCTTCCATGAGAGTCAGTCAGTCAGTCAGTCAGTCAGTCCTCAATCATTCATGCCATCTACTTCCACGCCTCAACAATTCTGCGCCTACACCTGCAGGTTCTCTCCTGTGCCCTTTCCCTTTCCCTTTCCCTTTCCCGCTCCTACTCCCCCATCCGCGTCCACCCCCGAGCGCGCCTCCTCCGACTCCGACTCCGACGCCGACTCCCCGCCGACGTCGTCAACGACGCCCACGACGCCCTCAACGCGCATGACCGCATCGGTGCTGGACCTGCGCAGCGGCGTCATGTCGCCCGGCTCGCGGTCCGTGCTGCGCAGGCGTTCGATGCTGCGGCGCGATACGGGCGATTCTGCTCCTGCTCCGTCTGCGACTCCGGCTCTGTCTTCGCTCTGGATTTGGTCTTCAACATGACCGTCGCGGGACATCCCACGCGTGACGGGGCCAGATTTGTGCGCCTCGAACATCGGGGCCGTGGGCGTCGCTGACCCGCCGCCGCTGCCGCCGGTGATGCTGCCGCCATCATTGCTCATCCTCGCCGTGGCGCTGGGCCTCGGATCGTTGTCTTGCGCTGTGCTGGCTGTCAGGCTGTCGTCGTCATTGCTGGGTCTGGAGGCGGTGTTGTTGTTGTCGCTCGTTGCTACTTTGCTCACGCCGGGAGCGGAGAAGACGGCGCGCGTGGAGGCGTTGGAGGTTGAGATGCCCGAGAAGCCCGTGCGTGTGGACATGCTGTCTACGTCGCGGGACTGCGGGTCGGAGTAGAGGTGGCTGGCGGTTCTGTATTTCGGGAGGAAGGGAGGCGCGTTGGTGGCGGATTGCGGGGATAGGTAATTGCTGGATGGGGAGCTAGGGTGAGGGTTGCTAGCGTCGGGGTTTGCGGTCTGCGGTGGCGTGATGAGGATGTTGTCGTTGTCGTTTGCAGCGGTGGTTTCAAGGTCGTTGTTCTGGTGGTTGCTGGAGTGTACCGTTGGAAGTGCGGGAGGCATGAGCTCCTCCATAAGTGCACCGGCTTGACCGCGGTCGGTAACAGAGACGGTGCGGCGGCGGGAGCGGCTGCGGTCGGTGGTACCGTGGTCGGAGGTGCGCCGGCGTTGTTTGCTGCCACGGGACAAGGAGCGACGCGAGGAACGTCGAGGTCTGGTTGAGGGGGAAACTGGAGGAAAAGGTTCCTGGATCGTAGGTGAGGTGACGTCGGTTGATGCAGGAGGGATTGCTGGGTTCGTCGTCGCAGGCTGGTCTGGTGCCGGTATTTGGGCTTCGGTCTCTCGTCGCACAAACTCATCTTCTCGTCTGATCGTGGCCTCGTCGTGCTTGCTTCCCCACATAGACCACATGAACAGACCGTACGATTTGCGCTGCTGCTTCTCGACCTCCCTTGCTGTTCGCCTTGCCGCCAGCGCACTCGGGGGAGGCCTTTCTCCAGGCCCAAAGGGGACATGATTGTTGGATCGGATTGCGGCGATGCGCTGCTTCTGCAGTTTCCGTTTCGTGCTGGCGTACTTTGATGCCCAGTGGTCTTTTGCTTGCATCCATTTCTTCACCGGGCCGGACTTGATCAGGCCAACTTCGTCTCGGTCCATTGATGTCGCAGGAAGTTCTTCTGGCGGAGGCAGCTCCGCAATATTACCATACCTATCAACTTGCTGGCGGATCATGTGGTTGCGGAATATCGGCAAGGGGTCGCCCGCTCGCCCCACGTATTTGTGCTGTTTGCCTTTGTTTTTCATTCTGGCAATGCTATCTGTTGAATCGGAAGGTGTTTCGTCGTCCGAATCGGATGAAATTATGGAAATCTCATCGTCGTCCACGATCTCAATGGGCCTATCTTGAGCGCGAGCCAGAGCCCATGCCCCAAACTGGGCAATGGATCTATACATGAATTTCGCTGGGCGTGTGAAAGAAAGTGTCGGCGCAACGTGACATAGATCTTCCCATACTTGTAGCTGGACATGAGTGGGCTTATATCTGTTCAAAATGGCATTGTCTGGGTCGTATTTGGTCTTATATATGTCGGACAGAGGGTACTTCCCAGGGTTCGCGGCTTTGTGTCCAAGGTAGATTTGCTCATCTCGAAGCATCTCACCGCCACCAACGAGAATGAGAAGTGGTGGCAGACCCCCTAGCGATGGCTGAAGCACTGGGGACACAAGCGGATGGGACAGTAGCTGGTTGGTCGTATACATCTGAATTTGTTCCTTCACGACCACAAGCTTGTTGTCTAGCTCGATAGATAGGAAGTGATTGGGAGCCGGAACTCTATTGGCCACTTTCGATGTTGGGTCGTTACTATCCGCTGTATCCATGCCCAAGTCTTCGGCGAGCTCCGTAGCTTTGGCGGTGAATGCCTCTTCTCGAGTCTGGCCTTCGTCGTTCTTCCGCATAAATTCCATCTCATCATCAGTTGGTGGAGGCCATGCCACAGATGGACGATGGTGAAATCCATGGGGAGGGATGTAGTCGAGTGGATTGGTTTCCGAAACGCTTGGGAACGAATGGGTCAGATCGACCCAGGGTGATATCAGTACTGCACCGGCTGGTAGCGGTAGACCTTGATCGCGGAGTATGCACAGCATGGACATGACCATGCCGCCACCAGCCGAGTCACCCGCCAGAATGATCTCATTCGGTTCGTGTAGGGTCAAGGTGTATAGATAGACAGCCAAGCAGTCCTGCAAGCCACAAGGAAAAGGAAACTGAGGTGCTAGACGGTATCTGGGAGCAATCACGCGAGCTTTGAGTTTACGCGCGTGGCGCTGGAGTTGGTAGCGATGCTCGTCGACCGATCCGAAAAAGTAGCCACCACCATGAGCGTATAGCATGACACGCCTACACTTCTTGTTGTCGCGTTTTCTCTCATTGTAATGAGCGCTCATCTCGATCCACTCGGCGCGTAGATCACTCCCGTTCCTCCGCCACTGCCACCACTCGCGGCCACCCACAGCTTGAATGCCCTCTGGCCCAAGCTGGCGAATGAGTGTTTCAGCGGCTTTGGAGACATGTTCAGGAGCGATAGTAACATCTTCTGTTTTGACCCATGTGGGGTTTGGTACCCATTGAGCAGTGAATGCTTGCAGCTCGTCAACTGTTTTGTGGGAGGCGTACTGGAGGAAGCATCGGATGAGGTGGAGGCCCTCATCGTATGATATGTGAGCCGTGGGCTTCTTATGTCGCGGCTTGCGATTTGCGTACTGTTCCGAATCAGTTGATAGCGAGCTGTACTGGGGCCCAACATACATGTGCGACACAGGTCTTGACAACCGTCGGGGTAACGGCTGCCCCAACCGAGAAGGTCGTCAAAGTCATTGTTATCACTGTTGTTCGCTCGTCGCGGGAGCCAGCATACCCATGCCGTGACGGTGCTGCTGGTGTTCAGATAAAGCTCATGGGACTGTAGAAGCTGCAGCGTGCCTGCTGCATCGCAACGACAAAGGATCCAAGCCCGTGCGGGAGGTGAGACTCGCAGGGTGGTACTTTGTAGATCCATTCTCGATGGCCCATGTTAATTTCTCCGCAATGGCGAGCGGGCGTCATCGTGCAGCTGCGGGTCTCCCGGATAGTTAAAGCCGACGTGGATCTATTATGCAAGATTTAGACGGACTGCAACTTGTCAATGAGAATGGAACTAAAGCGGTCGCTGATGAGATGACTGATGGCTAGATATATTGTACATTGGACATAGTGTGACAAAGACCGCATTGCTACATTTCAGTCCTTTTCGCAACGAATAGAGGCCACAGAGATATTATATCAAAGCCTGGCCTTTAAACATGGCGTCTTGTACTTCGCGCACAATATCCCTCCTGTCATGCTTCGAGACCAAAACAATGCCTCGACCACGCCTGCCCATCCTTCCCACTCTGCCAAGGCGATGGATGAAGTCTATAGTCGTATGGGGTACATCGTAGAGAATCACATGACGCACCGCTAGGGTGTCGATACCTCGTGATCCTAAGTCTGTTGTTACAAGAACTTTTGTGTCGGCCAGATGTCTCGACGGCTTGATAGGGTCGGCATCGGGGCGCGCTCCTTCAAAGGGCACAAAGTCGCGGAAGTTGAACCGCGTCTTCTCGGCGGATGACTTCTCAGCGCCTTCGACGCGGCTGCTCGAAGTGAAGGCATCTAGAATTTCGCTTTGTCGTTGCTCGGAGTGGTCTCTGGTGAATGGTACAGCATCGATGCCCTTGCTGGCCAGGAACTTGGCCACCTCCTCAGCTTGGTCCCGCTCGTTGACAAATACCATCATGCATTTGACCGTGTGATACTTGGACGTATCATCATGTTTGGACTTGCCAATTTGCCAGATGGCGTCAGCACATGCGAGATTTCGGTTTCCTCGGTACAGGTCTTTGTCTATGTCTACTACGCCAAGCTGCACTCGTCGGGCAATGCTGTGTAGTTTCGGCGTTACCAGGCGGGTGGTATTTGGATACGTACGATCCACAAACTTATCTAGGCTTCGTGGAATCGTGGCAGAACAGAGGATGAGTTGTTTTAGGGATGGCGCCGCTCGGTCGATAATGCCACGCGTTGTCTCCTGGAATGAGCGATCGAAGAGGGAATCGGCTTCATCCACAACCACGTACTGGACACGGCTCAGAATGTTTGGCTCCTTCTCGGCGATGCTGGAAATCAGATGAGGTGTGGACACAACAATGTCAATGCCACTTGGTCGGAAGAGTCGATTTCGGATCACGGTTGGACTGTTGGAGGCCGATATGTGCTCGGCGCGGAATTTGACGGTGTGTGACATGATCTTTGCCACTTTCCCAATCTGTGCGACCAGTTCGGATGAGGGGAGAAGTATGAGGGCTCTCGGTCTGCCGAGGCTGGGATTGACCTTTTCCTCGGTCTCAGCAGGGTCGGCATCGAAGACATTCTCTGCCAACCTCTTTTTCAGAGCCGCGGCATCTTGTGTCTCCTTCAACGCTGTCGACGACTTATCCAGCTCGTCTTGCCGCTTGACATGGTCGATGACCGGGAGTAGATACGCCAACGTCTTCCCGGATCCAGTCTCGGCAGCTAGCAGGAATGTATCAAAGCGATTTGACCCATCGGCTTGTTTCTTCTGCTCCTTCTCAAAAGCACCTTTCTTGCTCAGTAGGGCTGGTATAGCGACCTTTTGCGCAGGGGTTGGCGTGTATTCTGTAAGGCCTGGCAAGGCTTGAGTATAGACGGCATCGGACACGATAGGCATCAACCCCAATTCTTCGAACGTTGTGATGGTCTCCAGTCTAGCTTTGATTTTATCCCTTTGCACATAAGACACAGGTGTCAGTGCTTGCTGCATCTTGAGCGCGTGAAATAAGGGGCGGTCATCCTTGTCCTTCTTTGGTCTGGATGCGGGTCTCGTCGAAGACTGAACTGCCTCTGTTGCTGCTTGTAATGATCGTGGAACTTGTCGCATATTCATTCCTGCGAAAGGCCCTGGCCTATCTCGGTCTCTCGCTTTTCTTTTGTCCGTCCGACCAACGTCTTCGGAGAGGGTCATGCGTGAGGCTGGCTTTCGTCGCCTCATGGCTGAGACGACTGTTCGTCGTTGCTGCCATGGTTTCAACTGGGGTCTCAACGGAGACAGTAGCGCTCTGAGCTGACACTGCGGACAGACCACGGCCGAGAGAGACATTAGCCAGTCTAGTCAATGGGATTGATAGGTCGTGGATGACCATGCCCGAACTTTTTTCGATCCGGCTGGCAAGGCTGCGGAACAGGCACAAGGCTGAGTAACAAGGATCGTCAACTACCTTCGCTTGGCGGCCATCGAAGTTGGCTAGTGGCGGCAGCGGGTCGCTCTTGCCTTGATTTGGGCGCTGTTGCTAGGCAACGCATGTTATTTTTGCGGGGGTGTAGGTGATTGGAAGCGCTTCTCTTAACACGCCCTGTCTTGCGACCTCATCCCGCTGTGCTCTTCTTCTCGAGTCCGCACCTTCATCAACATCAAGGGCCGTCTTGCGACCGCTATATGCACTCCAGCGACAGCTTCCCTGTTGAAGGCTTCTGCACATTCATTCATAACCTGCCATCGGCTTCACCTCTAATAACACACCGCGAACCTGCAACAGCTGTGCTGCTCTGCCAACTCGCATTCCACACCAAGCCGACCCTCACTTGTGGAATGATCTGAGCCCATACCTGACATCTTGAGCGAAGACTTTGTCATTGTTCCGACATCGCCATGGCTTCGCAGTCTGTAAGTGTTTGTGCTTGTTTTGCTTCGTCAACCGGCGCTTTAGCAACACCAAGGCGCTCCACTGTCTCCGTTACCCTCCCATGCTGATGACCCGACCATAGGTTCAACCACTGCGCATTCAGAAAGGTGGCAATGGGTCGCCCAACAAGCTGCCCATGGCCAACTCCCGCCCCCTCTCAGAGCTGAGTCCTATGGCGATTCGGAGAAATTCTCCCAGCTTTCCACAAGGCAAGGTACTGCAATACTCGCTCAACACTCGGAACAAAACTTATGACTTGCAGACTTCTCTCATCAAGAGTCCTTCGTCGCCCGGTAATTCGTCTCCCTTCGGCAACTCCCCACGCGCTTTCTGGCAAGGCCGCGACGTCAACTCTCCAGCGCTCGAGAATCATAACCCCCTCGAAGTCCTACCTTCACCACCCCCTGCGAAGCGATCTTCGATCGAGAACTTGAAGAAAGCTTCTCGTGTTAAGAACAGCAGCATGTTTGCACGCGAGCAGAACAATTACTACGATCCATCTCGTCCAACCATCTTGGATGGTGCGCCGCTGGGCTCCAGTCGCTCATCCCTCATGCAGGACTCTGACATGCAGCGACAGGAGAACGTATCTCCTCAGAAGTCGCCTATGGCTTCGCCAGGTCCAGTCCAGTCGCCGACGACTAAGCCCCTTGACGAGGTATGCTTCCCCAACGGCATTGCGCCTCTGTCGCCAAGTAAGAGCCATACTTCTCCCACAAAGTCTTCGCTATCAAAAAGATCTGGTCAGGCATTCAAGCAGAGCGCGTTTGATCCTGAAACAGGCATCTGGGAGGATGATGACGGTACCGAGAAGAAGCTGCCGGAGGGCCGCTATCTACACCGTCATGCGAAGAGCGTCACCTTCGACCAGGCGCCCCCACAGATCAATGAATACGAAATGACTACCCCAGACCCGTCGTCAATTGCATCAGGATCGCGAGAGGGCAGCTACGAGTCCGATCAGGAAGATGAGGAGCTGAGTTTCGAGCGTGGCTCTTCCATGGATCACGAGGACAGCTTCGACGCTTCGCTTGAGGATACTGAGAAGACTCCGGTCGTGCTTCCTGAAGATTGGCGATTCATGAGTCCAGATCAAGTCAATACCGCGCTATCAAAGGGCGAGGAGGACGTCTTCGACGATGATTACGGCAGCCCGGGTCCTTCTGCCGACCCAGGGGCCCTTGCTTACCGACCTCATCAGACGAGTGTCAACTCTGTCGACTCCAATGGCGACCGTCGACCACTTCCCCCTCTGCCGCCTGGCGCTTCGTCTCCTCCAAAAAGCCCCGGGCGCGACAGCTTGTCCGGAACCCTTGAGCGCATGAGCAACCCCCATCGCAACCTGCCATCTCCTCCAGGTGCTGCCACAGTATCTAAATCAGACATCCGACACATGAGTGGTGGTGGACTCTCCCTCAATGACCGTCTTCGTCTCATGATGAGCGAGAAAGACCAAGATGCACAGCGTGAGCGACGCATGCGGCGCGCTGACTCGAAAGAGTCCAGCCCTGCTAGAAGTGAAAGTCGAGAGCCAGAACCTGAAGTGAATGGAGGAGAGCCCATCCCTGAAGAAGCAGCTAGCAGCAGTGCTCCCACACATATCTCGCGGGAGTCTATTCTCCGCCATATGTGCAGTGAGCAAGACTTGCACGATCGTGGCGCAGGGAACGACTCTCGTACTCCTTCGCAAACGTCGATGTATGATCCAGATATCCCAATTCCGTCAATGGAAGATCCTACGCAAATGCGCCAAGACGATTCAGTCGTGATCAAGCAAGAAGAGGATGAGAGCGATACCGACTTGTACGATATTCAAGAGATGTACGTCCGGGACGCAGATCTAGAGTCGCAAGCCTCAGATGATGATCTACCAAGCCAGTACTCCCAGCCATCCATGGCTTCTCTGCCTGTGACCGCAGATGACGGTCAAGACACACCTAGAGCTCAGAGTCCGGCTCGTGAGGCTCCGAACAACCAATCTTCGAAACAAGGGCTATCACTTCCCGATTTCATGTCAGACTTTGGCCAAGACAAGGGTTTCGACTATGGTCTCGAATCATATATGACTCCACCGCAGGAGAACGGCAGTAGCTTCGATACATCGACCACCTCGCAGCAGAGTGCTCGTGGACTGCCAGACTTGGCTGCGCTGCGGGACTCTATTCAGCGGCCATATACTCCTCAAGAGGAACTGAAAGCACCCCAGCTATCCTGGGATAGTGATGAGCCTGGAACACCCAGCTCCGTAATTCGCCATACAACGAACGATTCACGCGACTCAATCTCTCCTCTGGAGGGCGATCTCGAGAGCGTGCCAGTCGACGAGCCTCTCTCGCCCGCAAGTCAAGGTCCTGCCCTTAGCACGCTGGAGAAAGAGCTTCCGCCGCCTCCCAAGGAATCACCGAGCGCTAGCCCTGAACCAGCCACTGTACAGCAGGCTGCCGAAGAGCCAAGCAATCCCATTGAAGATGCCCCGGAGGCAGCCCCGGGCTCTAAGAGCGCTCGTGTAAGCAGTCTGGTCCAACTTGAGATTCCCAAAGATCAGAGTGAAGAAGGCCTTTCCTGGGGGCTGGAGAAAGAATTCGATCGTGTGGTCGAGGCCCAAAAGGTAGAGTTTGAACGCTCTCTCCAACACCTCTATTACCCATTCAACGGACGCTTCCCCTCTGTCGAGCTTCCTGACACGAAGGACTCATACATGATGAACGTGCCCTTTCTTCCCCGTCCCCGCGGTGCCCGCACCTATAATGAACCGTTTGCTAACAAGGACCTGAAACAGCGCGGCTACTTGATGCGTCAAAATACCAAGGTAGTTGTTGCTACTGAGCGAATTTCCGGGGAGGAGGATCGAACAACTGGTGCTACTGTCGATCGGCCAAGCGCGGAGCCCAATGAGGTCGTAGATTCTCGCCGAAAGACAAGCCAGCCGACCTGGACTGCCGAGCCATGGAATGGAAGATCCCGCCGCAAGAGCATTCGTGTCGGTGGGGACGCCGTTTCTGGCAAGAAAAAGGCGGAGGGCCCTGCTCCTCCTCTTCCTGGTCAGCCCAGCAACGTTGATGGCTTGGGCTCCGTGACTGAGGATGACCTGGCGGAGGAGGAAGCTGAAGACTTCGAAGATGGAGCTGAGCGGGGCCGCCTTTTCGTCAAGGTCATTGGCGTGAAGGATCTACAGCTGCCATTTCCTCAGCGTAAGCATACCCTGATCCACGAGGCGTTTACGACTAATTTTGTAAAAGATGAGCGCACGTCTTTCGCGCTGACCCTTGACAACGGCCTCCACTGCGTGACGACTGCTTGGCTTGATCTCGCTCGCGATGCCCCCATTGGCCAGGAGTTTGAGCTCGTGGTGCTCAATGACCTTGAGTTCCAGCTCACTCTGCAGATGAAGCTTGAAGAACCCAAGATCCAGCGGCCTCAGTCCCCGAGCAAGCCGCCTACTTCTCCTAAAAAGTCTGGAGCCTTTGGTAGACTCTTTGGTTCACCCAAGAAGAAGGAGAAGGAAGCTCCTCAGCCCACCCGCACACGTCCGGTCACCCCACCATCTTTCTACGAAATGGTCCAGGGACTCGTTGCCAAGGACGGCTCATTTGCTCGCGCATACATTAACTTAGCCGAGCATGAGAAGCAAGCATATGGTCGCCCGTACTCTGTCGACATCACTTGCTTCAACGAATGGGCTATGGAACAGGTCAGCGTGGGTAGTCACCGCAGCAAGCGAGGCGCAACTCAACTTCAACGTCGCCCACCCTACGAAATTGGCAAGCTTGAGCTTCTGCTTCTCTATGTGCCCAAACCAAAGGGTGCTAAGGACGAAGACATGCCTAAGAGCATGAATGGTGCAGTTCGGGCCCTTCGTGAAGCTGAGGAACGCATGCAACAGCAAGCCGACATCAAAGACTTTGAAGGTCACCTAAGTCAGCAAGGTGGAGATTGCCCCGTAAGTCGCTTCTACATTCGTCCAAAAGTTTTGCTGATGTCCTCTAGTACTGGCGACGCCGATTCTTCAAGCTCCAGGGAACCAAGCTTACCGCATACCACGAGGCCACACGCCAACCCCGTGCCACTATTAACCTGGCCAAAGCCGCTAAGCTGATTGATGACAAGAGCGCACTCACCCAGAAAGAGACTTCAGCCAAGGGAGGTGGTCGCAGACGTAGTGGGTTTGCCGAAGAAGAAGAGGGCTACATGTTTGTCGAAGAGGGTTTCCGTATCCGCTTTGCTAACGCAGAGGTTATCGACTTTTATGCCGACTCAACCGAAGCGAAGGACGAATGGATGCGAGCTCTGTCGCAAGTCGTCGGCAAGGGCATTGCCACCTCTAACAGCAAGGAAGGCAAACTTTGGACTGACATGGTGTTCAAGCGTGAGAAGACCACAATGCGCCGGCAGACCGATGCTGGTCGGCGAGGCGAAGTCCCTGCACGGAAAAGCAGCGCCCAGCAGCAACAACACCAAAATTCACAACAGCAGCAACAGCAGCTGCCGCCGCCAATGGGCCCAAATACGGCTTCTCAACGTCCCACGAGCCCCGTACGACAACAGACAGCGCCCATGGCTAGTGGCATCCCTTCTCCAGCCAAGAGACCAGTCATCAATGCTCGCCAGAGCACTGGCCACATGCGGACCGAGAGCTATCAGCCCAGCTCGAACAGCGGTGCCCGCAGTCAGGCCAACTCTCCAGTCAAGTCTAGGTTTGGCTTGGGAATGAGCAGCGAAGAGAGGCGACGCAAAGCACGGAGCATGCTCATGTGAGCAGGAAGAGGCCTCACAGTTGCGCGCTCTTTTTACGGTATTGGCTTGTGGACGTCGGTTGGGTCGGCTCTGCGTTGTTGGTGGTGGGGTGAATTTCTGTTCGCGCGTGAGGATTGATTAATGCATGCATGGCACGGGAACGAATCATGAGGTGAACTGAACGACCTAACGTTCATGTTGATATTTCATGACTCAAGCATACGGATGGTGGATGGCGTTCTGTTCTGGCTTCATGGGCCATCGAACAGGGTATTTGTTCGTTGTTGCGATACTTTGTTGTGTTTTCGAGAACAGAGTCTGTGCGAAAGGCGCGGAACTCTGGCTTCTGTCTCAGACTAGACTATCATCAGTCGTGTTTTCCTTGTTTACAATGTTGACGCACATCGCACGTAGGATGGATGGGTCCAATACTGCTAGAAAGTGATGCAACAATCGGTTGTACTTTTTTTATTTCCCTTTTTATGAGAGAGAGAGAGAGAGAGAGAGAGAGAGAGAGAGATGGTGTCGCAACGAGCGTTGACGTGCGTTGCATGACTCTTTTGGACTTTGTCTCCGCTCCGATTTGCTTGACCCTACAAGTAATGTGTGTTGTCGTTATTGTCTCGCTGTTGTTCGTTGTAGTGGCCGTTCCCGCAATGCCTACGCAGGTTTATTCGGTCCCCGAACAACAATCAATGGCTTAAAAGCACGATCAGGGACTCAACGACCACTGCACGCACAGACAGACCAATGGTTGCCCGACTGGGGTATATATCGAGGGGGATAATTGAAGGGAGTGAATTAGGGGCTGGTTGACTGGCTGACTCGCTGCTTAAGGGAAAGGATTTGATGAAGAACGAACCGACTGGAATGCCGGTAAGGGGTTTACTGTCTGTGGTGTGGTGTGGTGTAGGGTTGTCTGCCGTAGATAAGATGGTAAGAATGGTAGGAGTTTGAAATGCCTTTCTTTTGTCTCGCGTGGACTGTCGAATCGAAGGTAGCAGGCAAGCTTGGTTGGTGCCTTTCTGAATGTTGTTGGGTGTGTGTACTTGGCGTGCATAGTAGATATGGCTTGGTGAGGCTTCGTGTCTGAGGGTATTATTGGAAGGAGAGTGTCTTCAACGCAGACCTTTTCGAACAGGTGGGCCTTGAGCTTCGTCTGGTTGTGTGTGCTATGGTAGCAAAGCCGAGGTTTTGTATCGATGTTTGTAGTGGTTTGTCAGTGGGACTATGGGTTGGACTCGCTTGCTTTCGATGGGTCAGGAGGCCTGTTGGTGAGGGGTATGGTCTCTGTTGGCTGGGAAGCCGTCCAAAGCGCGAGGACTGGCTGGACGGCTGTTGTGCTGCTTTGAGTAGCCAGTAGCTAGCATAAACGGAACAAGTCCAAGATCGCCGTCGGAGTATCAGTCAGGAAGGCCCAATTCCATGCATGGATGGGTATGTTCGACGAGTGCTCGTAGATCATACGACACAACCCCCTTCTAAAGAACAGAGGCCACCGCAAAGCCAGGCTGCGTTCTCACCTGGTGGCTAGACAGGACGAGGCTGGGTGAGCCAGGCGGCAGTGAATGTGCCATGGCAACGTACCCATCCGTCATATACCAGAAAATCAGAATTCCCTTCAACAAACACCGCTCACATCAGATCTCACAATCTTGTGAGCGGTCCTTCCCTCTCACAAAGGGCAGCATGGTGCAGTGGTTCAGCACATCTCCTACCTACAATTTGGGCACGAGTCGACACCTTGGAGTCCTCGTTGCGGGTCTTGGTACCCTCGCTGGCGATCAATTGGAAAGGATGAAGGTCCTTGGTTCGAATCCAAGTGCTGCTATCTTCGAATTAATCTTTTGCTTTTTTGGGTTTTGGTGTGCGCGTGTGCCTGGTGCTGAGAAGGGAGGGAGAAAGGAAAGAAGTTGTGCGTGAATGGCAACTAAAAGTACTCTGAGCGTGAAGTGAAAGGGGGGGGAGTGAAGCGGCTGGGCGGGCTTGAACATGGATTCAAATTGTATCTCTGCCGCTTTGTCCCCGAGTCGGGTCAGAGTGATAGTTCCACGGCATGCTTCTGTTGTCAAGCACTTTCCTAACATGGCCACGGAAGAGAATGGTTCGGACTGGGAGTGACGGAGCTGGGAGCGGGTGTGCTTCATTATCGTGCACAACGCCTACTTAGGCTGGCTCAAGATAGCACAAATTACGGCCGCAGCCTATACCGCGCCTTCGGGTGGTACTTTGGCAGATATGATGTTCAGCTATGAGCGATGGACGTTGAGGACGTCGAATCGGAGGACGTCTCCGGAAGATTTTCGGCTAAGATAGACAGGGATTCAACGTCTGTACATGCCTTTCTCGGTTAATCAGCATGCACTGCGGGTGCTCAGTGGCGTCTTGTTTGTGTCATTTTACATGGACTCGGGATCATCAAGCTTAGTCAGGCGAGTGCAGTCTGATCGGGTATATATATACACATCTAGATGACTGCTAATACGCGGCTCCTAAGCCAAGAAGTCTATCATGTTACCCAATGTCGACTCCCCACAACCGCAAACGGGCCTACTCATCCAAAGTCAGGTCAGGATGCACCTCGTGCAAGAAGAGACACATCAAGTGCGATGAAGCAAAACCCATCTGTACGCTGCCTGTCGATCCACCCGCTCTGGGCGCATACTGACGTCTCTCTAGGCAAGAGCTGCCGTAGCCGGAACCTCGAGTGCTGGTATGCTTTCCGAAAGACTTGCGTTTTGAACCCTCGGTTATCAAGCAAGGATGTTAGCTTCGATGCTGAATCGTGCCCGGCCACTCTCTATCAGAACCCCTCGCAGCAGTGGGGCTCGCCATCGGAGCAGCAAGCATTCCAGTTCTTCCTTCTCAAAGCTGCTCCCTGGCTCGCCAACCATGGCCTCGTTGGCGCACGGCCGTTCTGGCTATCGTTCGTGCCGCGAGCTGCCTCCGTCCTCCCCGCCGTACGCAGCCTTCTCATAGCCATTTCCCTCCTGGAGTGTCCCGTTGGCAGCTCCGACACTTGTGCTTTGCGAGCCCGAGCTCAGGCTGTGCTCCTTCACTATAACCGCGCCATACACGTGCTCACATTGCCGGACATACACCCAGCGGACGCCAGAGTGGCACCACTAATAGCAGGGGTGCTGGAAACGCTCTCGTTCAACGGCAAACGCGCCAACATGCACATGGACGCGGTAAAGGCGCACATTGGTGGAATTTCAGGCACGACAGGTGGCGTAACAAAGACATCTGACCACGACCAGAGCATGCAACGCGTCTTCTATGACTTGAAAGGTTTTTCATGCACTCGTGCAAAGTTGCCTACGAGTTCTTTAGATATCGCCGACTCCATCTATCAGGGAATCGCGATGCGAAACGCCGAGTTGCTGCCTCTGACTGGTGTGAATGCCCGTAAGCGCAGCTGGAGCGCAGCTGACGTCTGTGCGGCGTACCGTGAGTACTTTCTTCTGTTTGACCCGACTGATGCTCAGGAAGAAACGGTCGCGGCCGCCATTGCATTCATCATGCAAGGGACGATCAAGATGTTGCCCACTCGATACACTGGACAGTCGTCAGTGCTGTGGTCTGCGCAGCAGCTGTTGTGTGATGTGGCGTTATCACTGCTGCCGAAGGAGATCGAGCCGGATGTGGTGACGGGTATCCCAAAGGAGAAAGTGCTAACATGCGCCTTGGAGTACATTGTTGGGCAGTGTGGTTTGTTACTAGACACTAAGAGCTTGCGACGGGCGGACAAAAGGGTGTTGCATGAGACGTTAGGCGTGACGCTGAATGCTGTGATAAGATTCGCGAACGTGAGGAAGGTCGTGGAAAAGGCGAGAATCCTGCTGATGCATGTGGAGAAAGGGGAACCATTGCTGGAGAGATCATGACGTGCCTTTCAGATCGTTTTCTTAGATTTCGTTAGACAGTGGCCGCACCAGGCGGAGGAAGGTCGTCTGGTGGTTGCAATTCGAGACAGGACAAAGCTTCGGGTTCAGCCGAATGTGGCGGAAGTGTTTTTGATACTCGGCAAGTGGACCCTCAGAGACCGCCTTGCACTCTAAAACTGGCCAGCACCAGCACCAAAAGGTTGATAATCCCCCAAAACAGTGGCGTCCACGTACTCATCTTGAAGTAGCCCGCATTGTAGACAGCTCCTAGCACCAACCCCACCAGACTGCCCGCCAACAATGCCTCCAGGCCGCCCAACACAACATAAAACACTGGCACCAGCCATACCCACCGAGTGGTTTCAGCAATTGGGTTTTCCCCTAACAACTTCCGATTCTTGGGTGTTAAGCGCGCGGCCGCGGGCGAGCGTAGGAAGCGTCGTTTCTGAAACGCCGATGCGTACTGCATGAGAACGGCCCAGAGAGCGGCGAAGAGGTGCGAGATTCCGACGGTGATGAGGGTCCAGTACAGCGTGAAGCGCCACATGTCGCCGGCAAAGTAGAGGTATTGCGGCTCGCCCGGGTTGGCGCGAATCGGCCAGTACAGGGAAGGGAAGGGGGGCGTTTGGTAGGAAAGCGGCGGCTGGCCGTCCCACGAGGACGACATGGTGAGCGGGAGAGGAAGGCGTCTTTTGGGATCGGCTAAGCGCCGTTCAGCGCCTCCTCGCGTGGTGAGGATGGAGCAGGAAATGCGGAGAGGACCTGAGCACAGTGAAGAGGTGACGTTGGCGAGGCTGAATCACAGCCTCGCCAACTGAAGCGCGTCGACGCGACCCAGCGGCCCAGCGGGGTCTCCCATGAGTACCACAGCTATTCAGCAGTTGGAAATGGTCTTAGCATCTGTTGATAGGCCCTGGTTCAATGCATGATGTCTAGCTGTTTTTTCGGGACTGCTCGGTACTAGTTGACCCAGTGGAAGCTGCTTCAATCGAAGTTTTGAACCCCCAAACGTGGATGTGGCGTACACGTATCACCGAAGCACCAGCAAGACATCACACTCAACAACAACAACAACATGGCCCCTCAACATATGTTGAAGTTCCGTTACGACCGCTAATCAACGGAAAGCCGCTTTGTTTTGTCCCCGATGCTACGGAAGCAGTATCCGCTCACTCAACGTGTCTGACGCAATGATGATCGATCTGCAGGTACGCCGACAACGCGAGCATCATAAAGTGACCTTGACCTGATATTTCACCCACTGCCGTCTCAATGCCTCCACGTGTACCATTCCGAGTAGCCATCCCTCTCATCAAACCAAGTCATCTCAGCGCCACTCACAGACCATACATCCAGCCCATCACGGCGATCAATCGACTGACCAATATCAAACACCACCTGTCAACAACCTCCATCATGTCCGAAGCCAACAGCAGCAACAAGGGCTTCAAACTCGAAAACCTCTTTTCGGTGAAAGACCGCGTAGCCCTCATCACTGGGGGCGGCAGCGGTATCGGTCTCATGGCTACACAGGCCTTGGCCACCAACGGCGCCAAGGTCTACATCTGCGGCCGCACCGGCGAGAAACTTGACAAGGTCGTCGAGCTCTATGGCAAGGACATCCCAGGCCAGATCATTCCCCTGCAGGCGGACATCACGCGCAAGGACTCGATTCGCGAGCTGGTCAAGGAAGTGGAGAAACGTGAGAAGTGCCTCTGCATCCTCATCAACAATGCCGGCATCGAGCTGAACACGCAGCAAACTGAAGCGGAGACCACCAAGGAGATGAGCAAGAATCTGTTCGAGGACGAGAACGAGACGTTTGAGCTCTGGGCCGACACCTTCAAGACCAACGCGGCTCAGCTCTTTTTCATGACCACGGCCTTCTTACCGCTCTTGCAGAACGCGAGTGAGATGCACCACGGTTATTCCGGCACGGTCATTAACATCACGAGCATCTCGGGCGTGGTCAAGACGAGCCAGCACCATTTTGCCTACAACACCAGCAAGGCGGCGGCGATCCACCTGAACACGATGCTGAGCAACGAGGTGGCGATGAATGGCTTCAAGGTTCGCATCAACGGCGTGGCGCCAGGCGTGTTCCCGAGTGAGATGACCGCGGGGGAGTCCGGCGGCGATCAGAAGAGCTTCATTCCGAAGGAGAAGTATGAGAGCAAGACGCCGGCCAGACGGCCAGGCAAGGAGACGGACATGGCTAATGCCATCCTGTTTGCGGCGACGAATCAGTATCTGAATGGGCAGAATATCATCGTGGACGGCGGGTATGTGATTCAAGCTGGTGGCGGGCCTTAAGAGACATGTAGCGAAAGGGGCGGCGGCCCTCTTCGCCCATGTCTTCTCAAGAGTCAAGTGTGAGTAAGGCATAAGTGGCTGGCCAGGCCTCTTCGCGATGCTCCGGCTGGCCCCCAGCGCTTTATCTGGCGGTCGCTGATGTTGGAAGAGTGTGCAAATAACAATAGTTCGGTTCGCTGCTGGAGCATGACTCGTCTGGGATAGGAGCCCACTCGTCATGGTAGTAGCTATTCGGAGCAAACACAGGCCTTTGAAAAGTACAGACATTGCTAGTATCGGCAGGCCATGTATCAACGCATCGCTACGTTTTCGTAACGAGAAAAACGTTGGGCCCTCATTTGATGGCCTCATGCCAGGACCTCCTTCCTCGCCTTGGTGTAGATATGTATACGTTGAGTGAAGGCCATACCTAGCAACAGCGCAACAGGATAGATGTTGCAAGACCACCAGTAGGAGGTTCCTTATATGGGATGCTACAGTAGCCCACAGCTTTCGTGGAACGTATCAGGAGCAGGACTGTCTGACTCATTGCTGATCTACGTATATACAAACATCTAAATAAGTGTATGTAGTCCTAACGGAATATATCATGAAGCCTTCACCTGTTCCTCTCCCCACCAAAATGAGCGCCCAGATAGCATTCGCTGCCCGGCGCCCCAGCTAGAGTTTTCAGTAGTAGATGATACAAAGTTCCGCATTCTTCCACGAGGAAAGACCTCTGTGAACAAAGAGCGTCTAGCAGTCTCAAAAACCTAGCTCATAGCCATAGCACCATTGCCCTTTCCATGAGTAGGAAGCTTTCTCATGGGAATCGCCAGGCTGACCAAGCATGCCGTACCACAAAAGGCAATGGAGACGGCAAAGGCGGCCTTCAGACCGGTCATGTATGCCTCAAGAACGCCCGGCAGAATGTCTGGCGGGAACACGTTGTGGAGCTCCGAGGCACCTGTCAGGAAGACGAGGCTTGGATCTACGGAGGGGGCTGTCTTGGGCAGTGTTGCAAGTAGTCTGTTGGAGAATGCCGACTGTCCCGCGGAAGTCGAGAATGCACCGCCGACTGTTTGGAAGACTGTTTCATATTCATGGTTAGTGTCTCTCTGAAACGATTCTCGCGAGGGGGATTTGTAGCGTACACAATAGGTTGGCCGTGACGGCTGCAAGATCCTCAGGCCCTACGTAGGCTTGGGCGACGCTCAGGCCATGCATAATGCCGAAAGCCAAGGTCGCACCGACGAAAAACTGGAAACCGACCCATCTCGCGGTCGAGGTGTTGATTTCGAAGGTGTAGATGAGTCCGATGGCGACGGTGGCGAGCGCGGAGGCTCCGAACATGACTTGCTGAGCGCGTCCGGTCTGCATGACGACAGCTCCGCCAGCGAGTGCGAATACGGCGGCGGCGAGCACAAGAGGCAGGTTGTCGACGCCGGATCTGATGGGGCTCGCTTCCTTGATGCTCTGGAAGTAGATGGGGAGATAGATCAGGAGGATGATATAGCTAGGAGCAGTCAGTAAACTTGTGTCGGTACGAAAAGGCTAAGACGGCATTGACAGCTGCGCCCGAGCTCTCCTTGGGACAGTACCTTAGGAGAGCAACAGAAGCAACATCTTTGCAGAGGAGTACTAACCTTCCCATGAAGAAGAAGCCGAAGGGTGCAGTGGCCGAGAGTGAGCGTGACTTGTAGAGCCTCGGCAGCATCATGGAGTAATCGCCCAACCAGATTTCCCATATCAGTAGGGCAATCGCGAGGAGTCCAAAGCCGCAGAAGAGACCAATGACCTGGCTACTGTTCCACGAGTATCTGACTCCAGCGTACTGAAGGGCGAGGATGTAGCAGGTGAGGCTTCCCATGGCCAAGGAAATGCCAACCGGATCCACATGCAGCAACTTCTTCGTCAGCGAGATTCGTGGTGATGCAGCGGTAGCAGCGGCCGGCAAATTGAAGAAGAAGAAAATTGCCAGAGTGGCAGCTCCTCCAACTGGCAAGTTGATGTAGAAGCACCACCTCCAACTCACGCCATCGGTGAAGGCGCCACCGACAATAGGGCCAAGAACAGCAGCAACACAGTAGGTCATTCCTATCAGGCCCATCATCATAGGTCGCTTTGCCGGTGGGACGGTGAAGGAAATGATGCTGGTGCCACCCACTGACAGGCCGGCGCCACCTAGTCCCGCAATGGCACGTCCAACGATCAAGGTCTCGGAGCTGGGCGCAACACCACAGATCAGACTGCCAACCTCGAAGATGATCATGGAGACTATAAAGGTCCACTTGAGGTTGCTGTATTTGTAGATCTTTCCGGCAGAGGGCTGTGCAGCGCCAAAGGTCATAAAGTAGGCCGCTGCATACCAAGATACGTCGTCGATACCGTGAAACTCGTCTGTGATTTTGGGAATGGCGGTACCAACAATGGTCTATGAACGTCGGGGTTTAGCTCACTTGTTTAGTGTCAGTGTACTGGAAGGCTCACCTGGTCCAATGCGATCAAGAAGACCGAAACTAGAGACGCGGCGGAGAGGAGTACAAGCTTGATGCCGTGGGGATAATCATCATCGCTCATTTCTGGAGTCGAGGAATCCAGAACTGCTTTGTCGACCTCACCACCATCATTCCCACTGAAAGTGTCCGAGGACGAGGACTTGGTCGAGTTGGTCTCGTCTCTAGCCACGTTGAGCTTTTCGTCCAGAGCAGCCATTGTAACCGGGGGCTTTATGCAGACAGGAACAGGAATCAGGAAGGTTGGACTAGCGCTAGGTTAAACACAAACATGCTAGAATGCAAGACTAACCACGAGCCACAACCTCAACGCGGTACCTCTCAGGGTTTATAGCAATTTGAGACGCGCATTACTTGCCCGGGGGCGGAACGGAATGTCTGCGTAAAGTCCACATTTTCGTCCGAGTGGACCAGAGAGCGAATATTGACCCGATGCCGTCGTAAAGAGCATTTCTGCCTTGCTCCTCGAGCCCGAGGACACGGTCCCCGAAGTTTTGGTGATTCACCAAGTTTGGGTCTGGCTCTGGTGCCTCTGCAGAATGTCTCCGGAAGATCGACGCTAGTTATGCACGAAACTTTTTCCTGGCCTTTGATTGGCGAGTCGCGCTCCAGGCGCCTGATTGCCAAGACCCAGACAACCTTCTCTCTTCCCCTTGAGGAGGCTTAGCAATCACCTCAATCACCTCACCATCGTCGAGCTGAGCCGTTCTTGAAAAGTTCCATGCAGAAACATCACCATGCTCCTTTCATCCCACCACAATGACATTTCCTACGTTGATGCCACGGTCTACCCGGCCTGGCGTGCCCATGGTGCCAGAGCCGCAACGCGTGCCAACTCATATCGAATGGGCGGCCTTCTATCCGGAGATTGAGCGACTGTACGTTCATGAACGCCGGAAGCTGCGTTATGTCATGCAATACATGGAACGTGAGCATGGCTTGAAGGCAACGTAAGCTATGCTTCCACCTAGATGACGGCTGCTTGTTTCTCCTCCTCGTCACCTGACACCAACCGCACCGGATAAACATGCTGACTTTAGTGCTGCCCAAACTCATAGAACACAGATGTACAAGAAACGCTTTACCAAATGGGGCTTCCACAAGAATTCGAGACAGTCGGTTGTAGCTACGCCGGCACCGAGACAGAGTCGCGAAAAGGGGATATCGGCTCGCGCCAAGCGAAGTTCTCACACATGCTTATGTTCACTGCCGGCATCTCTTCGTCTTAATTCACACGACCGCTTGATGCTCACCTTTCTGACCAACGTGAAAACATGGAGTGCGGCATTCTTCGAAATGGTGCAAACAGATGTCGCTGCCCAGGCGTACTGTCAGCAGCGAGTACAAACGGACTGGCCTTCGCCCGAGAGAACGAAAGATATCAGCCTGTCCATCAAATTGGTCGCAGACCTCCTGAGTCGAGGCGAAGGTACTATGGCCGGCAGAATGGCCCGAAAGGCATTCCTACTGGTGGAGGAGATATTAGCGCTCGACGGTCCCGCACTTATGTGGAATCTGCTTGAAATCATGCACTACATGGTGGTACTGCATCACGAGCAGCTCTTTCAGATGCTGGTTACTCATCTCCTTGCCCTAGTCAAGAATCGTGTGCCAGAGACGCACCCGCTCCCCACCATGTTATGTGGTTTGCGAGAAATCGTCATAAGTTTCGTCGATGCGGCGTCCTCTCCAGACAGCGCTACGTCAACGACGACGTCTTCTTCTCCAAGCTCATCTTGCTATACCGAGAGTATCGACGTCACAGGTCCTGGGCACTACTCACCACTCAGCCAGACACTATCACCGCTTATACACCGGGCTTGGACCCTCAACGCCGAAATCCTTTTCGAACGTTTCGATCCTGGCTTATTCGAGCTATACTTCTGCATTCAATGGGATACCTGCACCATTGGACCTCCTAAATCCATCATCTCTGCAGCACATCAGTGGTTCAAACAGATCGAGGCGCAACACTTGTACAGTACCGGCGCAGAGGCCTGCGGCGGTCTTTATCGGTTCGACATCCACTCTATCGGGCGCGAGAGCACGCTGGAGCCTCTATCTACTCTTACGATGGCTTCCCCTCTGCCAGAAGAATATGAGATGCTTCGTGACAACAGCATCGCCGCGCTGCGAAAGTACGGACGCGCCATTTTCGACACGGGCGTCCATCCGAATGGTGATACAACAGCATTACTGCGCATCCTAGCCGGACTTGTAAAAGCAGAGTTCCTCGACGAGTGGCCTTCCGTTTCCGAGGGCATTGATGCGGCCGGCCCGATGGCGAGGAGGGTTCAACGCGTCCACGCAAGCAACGTCGCTTGCGCGATCAAGACACTGATAGACATCAACCCAACGTATGCTGAGGACGACCTTGCAGCATTCTCTGACGCCGTCGAAAGTATGCGGTCCGTTGTTACTCTTATGGAGTACGGGTATGGCGAGGTCAATCCCGCTGTCGTAAGGGAGATGTGGTTGCTGCAGGATGCCCTCCTTGCGGCTGATCAGCATTTGGAGGCACGACAAATTGAGCGAAGTGCGCTTTCGCGCCTAGAAAAGTATATTGAGGATATCCCCGTGGATACGGCGTAAACTTTCAGCCGACATTTCGACCGAGAAAGATCACAGCGGGCGTCACTCGTCAGCAAGGTCTCCGCAATATCATAGGCCTCCGGAGGAACCAAATACGCAAGCGCCGTGACCGTCCGCCGGATCATCAGACATATACCGAGATGCTGACATAGACACCTCCACCGACCGCGTGTATTGTACATCTGCTGTCCAAGCTCCCTGTACAAAACTGGGAGCAATCGTTGTACGCACAGTCGCTAGCGTAGCATTAGCTCCATGTCCGCGAGCCTCACAACCTGATTCAAAAACCTTCGATGTACCAACGTTCATTCCGACAAACGGAACCAACTGGCTTGCGATGCTCGTTGCGGGGTTGTTACTAGCCTTGCCAAACTCTTTAGATAATTTGGACCCCGTGGATTGTGAGCCCGAGACCTGAACCAATGAGGATGCGAGAAAAAGTTCCCCGGCATGGCTCTCAAGGCAGTATTACAACCTCGAGACTCCACGGAGTTGCTAGAGGCGGATGTATGATTTCAGCGCCTCGAAGCCTCAAAGGCAAGGCATGGATCTCACCAGAGGTAGCCCAGCTGTGCCGAAGGCCTCCTTACTATCATTTTCTGGTCGAAGCAGATACCACCTCGATTATCAACACAACACCCGAGACTTGCGTCGGGCCCGTCTTTCCTGCAGGGTCTCTACTGAGGTATTGTTGACCTGGCATGTCCCAATCTTCAACACAACATGTCTTCACAGCTAGAGAACAAAGCATCCTTCCAGGCAAGTTTCTTCGGCAACTTCTGGAAGCAGACCTGTTTCAGCGTCCCGCCAATACCGGCAGATATCGACCTGGTCGGAAAGACAGCTTTGGTGACAGGCTCAAACACAGGCCTCGGTCTGGCATGCGCGCGCCACTTCCTCAAGCTCCGCCCACACCTCCTCGTCATGGCAGTCCGGTCCGTCCAAAAGGGGGAGGCCGCAGCCGCAGGCCTTCGCACGGAGTTCCCCAGGGCGATGATCGAGATCTGGGAGCTCGACATGGAGTCAAACCGCTCCATCCAAGCTTTCGCCGCAAGGTGTGAGCGGGAGCTGGACCGCCTGCACGTTGCAGTACTGAACGCCGGAGTGGGGAAGATGAAGTTCGAGCGCGTTGAGGAAGGTGGTCGGCGCGAGAAAACCATCCAGGTCAACTATCTTGGCACGGCCTTGCTCGCCCTTCTGCTTCTTCCCAAGATGAGGTCATCATCCTCTACGGATCCGCTTGGTCCAGGCCGTCTCTCAATCATTACCAGCGATGCGGCCCTCGGCACCAAGATCGACTGCGCGGACCAAACTAACCTCCTCGACTCTCTCGACCGGCCAGAGGGCTTTGACGGCTTCACACAGTACTCTAGATCCAAGCTGCTGATCACCATGTTCTGCGCCAGATTGGCAGAGGCGGTCGACCCAGACGACATCATAGTCAACTGCTGCAACCCCGGCCCGGTCAAAAGCACCGACTTTCTGTCCAACGTCGATTCGTGGGTCATCAAGGCGGTCTTCGGTTTCCTCCACGCCATCATGGGCAGGACGGTGATAGATGGCGCTAGAATCTACGTACATTCCGCTTTAGTGCTGGGTCAGGAGAGCCACGGTTCATTCACCGACTGGACCATCAGAGCGTAAGTGTAGATCTCCGTTGATGGGTCTAGATTCCGCTGGCTTGGGTGAGCCAGATACTGACTTTTACAGGTGGCCTGTGACGATGTACAGCGTCCTTGGGCGTCACATCAGTGGCAAGCTATGGAGTGAGACGGTGGAAGAGCTTCGATTCGCTCGAGTTGATGAGCTGCTTGAGGACATGAAGGAGGAAGGAGCCGTAGCTCTGGGGAAGAAGTGATAGTCAAGTCTTCCAAGAGGTTCAAGACATGCATGGAAGTACTGGAATCGCGACACGTAGCTTTCCAAGATATGGAGCTTTCTACGTACCGGTCAATGGGTTGTGGTCGTAGCAGTCCGCGGCCTGCGCTGCAAGGCCTCAGACCCTTCAGATTCGAAGCTCCGATGCCTCGTCCCACCGATCTAGCACAAAGCAAGAGGGTGGCGGAGACTGCTATTCATATTGTATGATACATACTTATGTCCAGAAGCAGAATACTGCCCGATGTGGCAAGACGACTGTAATGATAACGCGGAGGAGTCGAGGATTTCCATGCAATACGCGGCCGCCTTCCGCGACAAATCTCAACGAGCGGGAGTGAAATCATGCTACTTTCAGAACGATCCATTCGGACAAAATAGCAACCACCACTTGTTTACCCATTCAACTACTCCAAACTCCACCCCCACAAGAATGCGCCATCAAGCATAAACATGCGTCGAAATCTGCCTCCCATCCGGCCCAAACCTCTTGGGCAGCACACTCGCCACGCCCTCCTGATCCCTGGGCTCAAAGTCCAGCGTCGCACACCCCGTGCGCGCGGGCATCACCTCGAAGCCAAAATTCTCCTTGAGCCAGAACGCAAAACATGTCCATGCTCGCGCCACGGCGCCCGCGCTCGTCCACACATTCCCGTCGACGACCGACTTGGTCTCCCGCGTCCACTGGGTCTCGCGGATACTGCTGCTGGACCCAGCGGAACTCCTGGTCGTTGACCGTGGCGTTCTTGCCGTCGAGGATGCCCGCGGGCGCCACGATGGCGGAGCCCGTGCAGGTCTACTATTTCCCGCGCCTTGTGGCCTCTCGTGCTTTTCGTCGTTGACTTTGGAGTTGCTTCGCCGTTGGGCAGAAGTCGATTGGCGTCGGTGCATGATCTAGACTCGACTACGTGTCTATACAGTACTCTTACTGCAGAAAGCTGCTAAGCACCTGGCAGGCACCGAGTCAATGTAAGTGGAGTCTCCGAAAAAGGAGCCTCAGCCTTGCCCCACTTTTTCGCTACTAGTAGGAGAAGCTGGGGAAGCGGGGAGAGGGGGGTTTTGCGCTGTCGACGTTGAACCGAGTGGACCGAGAAGCGCCGAGGGAGTCGCTTGTTTGTCAAGAGAGACAATGCCAGAACCAGTAACGGTATCTGTGAACGTCTGACAACGCAATGCCAACATTCATCTGACCCGACAGCAATCATGGGTGACGACAGCGCCTCTAAAGCCACCTCCCGCCTCCACCAACTCTCCCAACAGGTGAAACCAGTTCTACCACCCTCTTCACCAAGCACCGCCACGACCAAGAAGCAGTCCCGCTTCAACTCCGACCTCCCCGCCGACTGGTCCGACGTGCTCTCGGAGCTCGCCAAGGTGCGCGCCCTGGCCGCCACGCCCCGCACCGCCTCAACCGGCTACCAGCGGCACAAAGCCGCCGGCAAGCTGTGGGTGCGCGAGCGCATCGAACTTCTCCTGGACCCTGGCTCCTTCCGCGAAGTCGGCTCGCTCGCGGGCACCACCGCGTGGGTCACGCCCGCCGACGACGCATCGCGGGCGCGGCGCGATCGCGGCGACGTCACGGAGCAGCACCGCCAGGTCGTCGGCGACTTCACGCCCAGCAACAACGTGCAAGGGTTTGGGCGCGTGGGCGGACGGGCCGTGCTGCTCACGGCGGATGACTTTACGCTGAGGGCGGGGCATGCGGATGGCGCGCTCATGCCCAAGACGGTCTATATGGATAAGCTGAGCGTGCATTTGCGGCTGCCGATGGTGAAGTTGGTGGACGGGGCGAGTGGTGGGGGGAGTATCACGACGTACAAGAGCGAGGGCGGGAGTTATTTGCCGACGTTGGCGCTGCTGTACTATGTGGTCAAGGAGCTGGATCTGGGGATCCCGCAGTGTGCGGCGGTCGTGGGGCCGGCGGTGGGACTCGGCGCGGCGAGGGCGGCGGTCAGCCATTTCAGCGTCATTGCGCGGAGCGTGGGGAGTTTGTTCAATGCGGGGCCCAAGATCGTCGAGGGTGCGACGTTTGAGGAGGATCTGAGCTTTGAGGATTTGGGTGGGCCGGCGGTGCATTGCGGGAATGGGACGATCGACAATGTGGCCGAGGATGAGAAGGGGTGTTACGAACAGATTGCGAGGTTTTTGTCGTATGTGCCGAACCATGGGGGCGTGTTGCCGCCCGTGGTGGAGGCGGAGGATGATGGCTACAGACTGTGTCCTGAGCTGAGGACGGTCATCCCACGGAGGAGGCAACGGTCGTATAGGATACGCGACATCATTGAGCCGTTGGTGGACAAGGGCTCTTTCTTCGAGATCGGACCACACTGGGGGCGAACCGTGGTTGTCGGCCTCGCCAGGCTGGGGGGCTACCCAGTGGGAGTGGTGGCAGATGATGCCATGGTCAACTCCGGTGCGCTGGATTCCGCCGGGTGCCAGAAACTGATGAAGCATCTCAAGTTGTGTGATGTGTTCGGGCTCCCGGTCATCCAGCTGGTCGATATCCCCGGGTTCGCTGTGGGGACAGTCGCCGAAAGGAGCGGCGTGATGAAGTGGGGAACTGAGCTGTTCAAGGTCTATCACACCACGACCATTCCCATATTCTCATGCATCGTGCGAAGATGCTATGGCATTGGAGGAGTCATTCTCGCTGACAGTCGCGATCCCGCCCCGAGAGTGGCATGGCGAGTCAATCCATCCCTCCATGAAGCATCCAAGCTAACACGATATAGGCCAAGTCTCGAATCAGGTTCCATACCGCTCGACGGAGGCATCGAAGTCAACCACGTCGCCGACCTCAGAAGAGCAGGCGACAACTTCAAGAACGTCTACCGGCAGCTCGAAGCCGAGTACATCAACCTCCAGAACCCGATACGCGTGGCCAACAAGTTCGGCGTCGAGGAGATCATCGACCCAGCCGACACGAGAAGCCTGATGTATACGTGGACCAAGCACATGTTAGTAACCCACAGCGTTGACAGCACTCTCAATCATAGCTAATGTGTCCGTCCAGGTACGAATCTAACCTGCCCGAACGCCTCATGCAGCGCGCCCAGGGGGTCATCAAGCCATCATTTCGATGATTTTCACGCAACGCAACCGATTGGACCCAGCTGGAATTCCTGCTACCCCAATACTCCAGCTCCCCATATGCTGTCACAGGAACGGGATGTCGCTTACTGCTCGGACTTGGCAAAGTCAGCCAGCCACTCCAGGGGGACGAGCACAAGCATCCCCCAAGGAATACATATGAATGATATGGAGCTATAGTGGTGTCCATGGAACGTGTGACGTAAATCAGGCAATCATAGATGAATATAGATGAGGGGGAGTAGATCTTTGTCCTCAGGCAGTGAAAGTCTTGGCACGCAACCATTGCAGTGTTCGAGGTTCAATATCGACACCGCTCTTCGCCCACCCTGAACATAAGTACGAGATCAGATTTCCTTTTTAATATGGTGTGAAGAAGGATCAGGAGAGGACACAGGTCCTAGATTGACTGCTAGCTACCATCTGGCTGCTAGAGGTGTAAGAACGCCCCCACCGCAACAGCGACAGTACCCATTACAGACCACCCCAGCATCGTCGCCGCCGCCCCCGTATAGGCGGTCGGAGGAGCGCTGGGCGTCGGGCTAGCACTCCCATTCCCTCCGCCCAATGCTTCACAGCTCGTGAAGTTCTGCCCTCCCAAGAACTTGCCGACCGTCATCGCATCACCCGAGTGCAACATGTGCAAGAGCATTCCCGTCGTCGTCGCGTTCGTGCCGCAGTAATGCGCCGTGAAGTTGAACATGCTGGCCCTGCCGTCGCAGACGCTGCTGACGACCGTGCCGTCGTACAGGATGTAAAAAGAGACGTTGTAGGCCGGCACGGTCAGGTTGGCGGTGTTGTGGACTTCGTTGTAGGGTCCTGGGGAGGGGGGCTTGTCGTAGGTGAGGAGGGTCTCGATGACGTGGGCCCCGGAGAGGTCGTATGTGCGGGCGGTGCCGACGACGTTGTCGGTGCCGTTCAGCGTGACGGTGTCGTCCGGGTTGCCGGACCAGGTCAGGTTTTTGTAGGAGCCGATGATGGACATGACTTGGTCGTAGCTGTAGGGTATCGTGACGAGGGCGACGTCTGTGCCGGCTGTGTAGCCGTCGACACACGTGTCTGGCACGGTGACATCTTGTCCGAAAGCAGAGAAGAGGAGAGGGGATAGAGTCAGAAATGCAGCTGAGAGCAGCATTGTGAGATCTATTTGGCGGGACTGGAAGACACAGAGGGCCGCCCGGTTTCACAAGCGGACGCTCCAGCTTTGTAGGTTGCTGTTCCCCGCCCTGAGGAGGCTGCTCTATGCTCTGCACAACGACACGTCATGTTAGACCGAAAAGCTTGCCAAAGCTTGCTCGAGCTTGAAGAAAGAGCTGCTTGGGGAGTGGCTTCGGTGCTTTCTGTGCCTGAGGCGCCGGATAGACTTCAAGAGCTTGGGCTAGACCGGCCAACGACGCGGGGTACCGAGGAGCTTATCCTCAACTATACTCTTCGCCTAACAGACGAGTTCCAAGCGAGGAAGGGAGATCCTGCACGGCCCTATGGTGTAATGTATATGTGGCTGGTGTATTCGAGTCAGCGAATATAGACGTGGCTTATCGCTTCACCAAGGTCTTCTCTGCTTGGCACTACTCCCCAGCCGTCTTTGTCAGGGTCAGATCGGATCAGATAGGCCTGGAGCTGGAGGAAGGACGGGTTGAGAACCGGAAACTGGTTTACACGGGGGAGTCTACAGAGGGAGCGATTTCAGGAGTCAAAATTGGGCAGGCTGCGTGGTGAAGCTAACGGATTCCACGATCCATCGTCTTGTTGTGGCTGACTCCAGCACGATGTCGTTGCTGTGAATAACAAACTCGTGTCAATTCGGTTATATCCTTCAACAAGCATTCGTTAACAATAGGACTATTGTCCATGTTCTATACCTGAGATGATGTGAGCAAGCTGCACCGTGAGCGTGGAGGTGGACTGACTGACTGATTGGTTGTGGTTCAAAGAATAATCTCCATGTAATAGAAGTGCCTCCAGACGACTTTGAGGATCACCGTATCTCTCGGTCATGCTGTATACTGAAGTAAAAGGCCTCAAGGGACTAAATTTAACCACGAACGACTTGATCGGGCTTCGAAGGTTCGGAACTTTGAGGACTTCAATGCTTCATCGGATAGGGACCGTAAGGCAGCAAGCTGTCTCCTGGTCAAGAGAGGATATGTTTCAAACACAACAGCATTCGGTACAGGACCTGATATTGTATCTCCTTTCGCCCGAAAGAGGCTGCAGAAATCTTGCGACACTGCAGAGACCGTTGGACAGTGTTTTCCCGCACCTCCACCTTCCCCAGGAAATCCCCACTTCCCCGCAAACCGAACGGCTGAGTGCAGACGAGGCCTAACGTTTCAAGCTTGACCCTGAAATGTTCTCACCTACCACAAATTCTGAGGAGGGAGCTTTGACAGTAAAAGGCTTGGGGTCGCCAGTCTGGGACCCTTATCCCTGGAGCCTCCTCTACATCCAGTCGGGTTCTAGTATATCTCGTATTACCTGCATTGCCGGGAGTCAGGCGGGGATGTAGGCATGAAAAGCTGCCGGTAGCGTTCAGCACCGTACGCCAGACCTTGGACCAGTAGCTGCAAGATCAGGAGACGCATACCGGACCCCTCATCTGAACTCGACCGAGGGCAACAGAGTCTCCTCTTTGCACAAGGCCCAGCTACCAAGTAACCATATAGCCACGAGAGAGCAACCCGTCTTGCCACTCAGCTCGCATGAAAAAGCTGTATAGCCATAGAGTGGAGGGATAGTCATCTTCACTATTGATATCATTGTCATACCACTCTCAGTCAAACTCACAGAGACAGCCGTCCATTATGAAAGCCCTTGTATACCGTGGCAAAAACACGATCAAGCTCGAGGACAAGCCCAAGCCAGAGATCCAAGACGCTACTGATGCCATAGTCAAAATCGTCCATACCACCATCTGCGGCTCCGACCTGCACATCCTTCAAGGTCACGTACCAACATGCAAGGAAGGCGTCACCATTGGCCACGAAGGCGTTGGGGTTATTGAAGACGTGGGAAGCGCGGTCAGGGCCTTTAAGTCCGGAGATAGGGTTCTGATCTCATGCATCACCAGCTGTGCCAGCTGCACGATGTGTAAGAACGGCATGTACAGTCATTGTGGTGAGCAATGCCTGCATTGAGAAGGGTGGCCCAAGCTGACGAAATGGGATGCAGAGAAGGGAGGCGGGTGGATCCTTGGGCATACGGTCGATGGCACGCAGGCTGAGTATGTAAGAATCAAGCTCGCCGATGCCAGTCTTCATCATGTTCCAGAAGGGGTGGATGAGAAAGCCTTGGTGATGTTGAGCGATATTGGACCCACGGGCTACGAGGTAAGTGACCCCAGCTACAGCAAGCCACTGGTCTTGCATGGTCCATAGTAGTCACCTGACATAGTCTAGGTCGGCGTACTTGCGGGCAATGTGAAGCCTGGCAAATCGGTAGCGATCGTGGGGACGGGACCAGTGGTATGACTCTCTTCGCTATCCGTCATCGTCGCCTCTCTTCGTATTAACATGTTCTTTGATAGGGGTTGAGTGCACTGCTGACGGCCAAATTGCTGTCACCATCTATTCTGATTGCTGTGGACAAGGACGCCGGTCGTTTGGAAGCTGCCAGGAAGATGGGAGCCGACCACGCTATTGACGCCAGTTCCGATGTGAAGGCGAAAGTCATGGAACTAACGAATGGAAGAGGGTGCGATGTCGTTATAGAAGCTGTCGGCATCCCCGCGTCCTTTGAGCTTTGCCAGGACTTGATTGCTTTCGGCGGTAACATCGCCAACATCGGTGTGCACGGAGCACCGTGTCAGCTACACATTGAGAAGTTGTGGGGATACAATATCGGTCAGTCACCTACCCGTCAGGCTCGGCTCGGGCCCATGTTGCTAACGTAAGTAGCGATAACTATGGGGTTTGTCAACACTACCTCGACAGAAACACTGTTGAAGATGTTCCAAGCCGGCACTCTGAATTTGAAGCAATTGATCACTCATGGTGAGTACTCCAGACCAAAGTCTTGAGTGACTGTTCACTAATCGAGCAGAATTCAATTTGCAAGAGGATGGGGAGAAAGCATACGAGACATTCGGTGCAGCAGCACAGCACAAGGCGCTGAAGATGATCATGAATACTTCGTAGAACATGATCAAGGCATGACTTCAGGAGTGCTTCTGCTTCCGTATATTTGGGGGATGCACTAGTACTATACCTCATTGCTTCAAGGTCTTGCCCGGCCGTTATATTGAAGATATGGCTTGATCTTGTCGCTGTCAAATCCATGGTTCAGCTTCGTGAGATAAGCTACTGACCGGGCAAAGGGTCGATAATGGAAGATGTGTATTAGATGAATGAAGAGTCGGTCACACCTCCTTGAGTCCTCGGGAAGTCGTTCGTGAGTCACGTGAGATCTGGCTTATCGATATGCAGGATGACTCCGCCATTAACCCCGCGCCGGTCAGATGTCACGCGCGATGCACACCACCACTCAAAGTACTACCATGATCCTGCAAGGACTGCCCGCCTTTCAGCTATTCCAATTCCCCCTTCTCACATAGTGGCTGGTCCACACCCATGACACTTCCTTCCCCCTCCTGTTGCTCGTTAAACCACAGTTTCACAATGCTACCTATCATAACCACACCATAGACACAGACGTCATCGTATCTAGGGCCTCATCCCAGCCCTCCGAGTCTCTTGCCTCCGATCCTATCTAACGCGCCTCCAGTGCCCTTGAACCAACGCTTCCCTCGCATATGTGACCTTGACAGCAGCAGGAATGTCTTTCCTACGCAAGAATTCCGACCCGCTACCTTCCATCTTCCCTCAATACCTCCTTCCGAGCATTCCGTTCCGCCGCAAGTCCCGGCAGTCCAGCACCGACAGCAATGATTCCACCACTTCCACCCTATCCATGGTCTCCTCTTCCTCCATGAACCCCTTCCACCGCTCTCCCACCCCGGTCCCAGCCGTCGCCGCCAGCTCTCCTATCACACCTCCCGCTGAATCGGACAAGTTCCTCTCCGGTCACTCGTCGCGCCTGCACTGTGCCAAATGCAGCACCGACCTCTGCCTCTCCTCGCAGATCATCTCAAAAGGCTTTACCGGTCGCCACGGCCGCGCCTATCTGGTACAAGGCACGCCATCGCACATCAATACCCCAGCCGCAAACCTGCCCAACACCTACCAAAACAAGGCCGTGCCACGCAATCTCGTGACGGGCCAGCATATGGTCAGCGACATCAGCTGCGCCATCTGTGGCACCGTGCTGGGCTGGAAGTACGTGCAGGCAAGTGAGGAAAGCCAGAAGTACAAGGTGGGCAAGTACATTCTGGAGACCAAGCGGATCCGCATTGGCGTATCATGGGAGAACGACGACAACGAAGACTTCGAAACAGCATATGACGAGATCTTGCCGCTACCACCCGACCAGCTACGCAACCTGGACGGGCCGAGTCGCGGTGGCGGAGGCGGCGGCGGTTCTGCGCCGTTTGCACGTTCCAACAGTCGCAACTCCTCAACCAGCCCGGCGAGGAGTCCAAGCCCAGGCCCGAAGCGCGGACCAGGCAGTGACCGCCACGCCGACGTTGAATTTGACTCGCAGGACGAGGACGAGTGCGAGGATCTCTTTGCGGGCGTGTGGAGTCCGCAGCTGGCCGTCAAGAGGAGGCAGCGGCGCACCAACCGCATGATGAACAAGCAGGCGGCCATTGCGCGCCTGCGGAGCCGGAACGCCAGCGAAGATACGCTTTCGTCGCGGTGAAGTCCACGAGCGTTATACCGCTCCTGGGTTTTTGTGTGGCTCGCAAGACGAGTTGATGCCTTTTTATGACAGTGTCCGGACGACGGATGACGACCGATCACCAACTGCTCGCCGTGAATGACGAGTGCACGAACGATGGGAACGCAATTGCAGGCAAGGAACGAGGCGCATTTGGATGATTCTACAGGTACGGAACGGACGCATTGGTCTGGCACGGATCCGCCAGCATATTATACCCCCAAGATACCCTTTGGCTACCGGCGCAGATTTGATCATTTCGTATATAGTCGAACGCATTTCCCGCTACATAATGCAATCGCCCTTTCACTCTAGGCTCTTGTGTGCGTATTCAACGAGCTCCCAGGGAGCATCAGTGTCTTCTCTTCCTGTCCAAAACAACTAGCCAAACAAGCGGGAACATCGACGAACGATGCCACGACTTTACCCTGGAACGTCTAATATCCCGCGCTCTTTCCCCGCTGGCCCCCGCTGTCTCAATCCCCAAACTCATTTTCGTCCCCATCATCTAACCGGTCGCCTCCCTCTCATCCGCCCACTGGTCCACCACACCCTCCCCCCTCAACACCCTCTCCAGATTCAACTTCAGGCTCCACCGCACATTCGCCGTATACCCTTCGTCGCGCCACCCTTCGCCCCCCTCCACAATATCGCTCTCCCTCCCCACCGGCCCGGGCGGGCGGTGGTGGTCGAACAGCTGCGGCACGACACCAATGCACACATTCTCGCCGCTACCGCACCACTCACTGAGCATGACGTCGAACGGCTGGTCGAGCCTGCGCAATCCCAGCTCGAGCAGCAGTTTCCGGGCCCCGCGCTGCGAGACCGCGTACGCCAGGCTGCAGACGCCGCTGGTTTGGCGGAACACGGCGCGCGTGTGGTCCGGGTAGTCGGCCAGCGGGGTGCGGCCCGTGGCCTCCCAGGAGCGGTAGTGTTTCTTGGCCGCGGCGGTGGGGTCGTCGCTCTGCAGCACCATGGGTGCGTGGGCGTTGAGGCCTACGCCGCAGTGGCCGAGCCACATGAGGTCCCAGGTGGAGCCGTAGGGGGTGAGGGCCGGGGCGGGTTGGGAGGGGAGGCGGGCGTAGGAGAGTTTGCTGCTGGAGGAGGAGGAGGAGGAGGAGGAGGAGGAGGAGGGGGAGTGCTCTTGGATGGCGACGGCGGAGAGGGCCAGGGCTTGCATTTGAGGGCGGAGACGGACGTCCCAGTCGACGTCGTCTTCGATGATGAGGGCGCTGGGGAGGCGTTGCTCGACGATGTGCGAGATGGCGTCGATGTGGGCGCGCCAGCTGCCGATGCGGCCGGGCGAGATGTCGGGCATGAGTTTCGGAGGCAGGGCTTTGGGATTGACTTGGCTGCCGTTGACGCCGGGGAGGTAGGTGATGGCCAGGTCGGAGAGGGCGGCGGAAAGGACCAGCAGGTCGCGGTGGTCGGTCCGGTCGGGAAGGTTGATGGCCAATATGGAGGTGAAGCCAAGCGTGGCGTTGAGGACTTGGTCTAGCGATGCTTGTCGGGCGCCGGTGACGGCAGGGTGTGACTGTGAAGGTAGCGAGGCGCCATCGTAGTAGCGTTCGAGGTAGCCGGTGAGGCTGGGAATGCTGGTGGAGAACCGAGGACGGTGAAGATAGGACGTGAATGTTAGGAAGAACAAAGTGAAGGTCGCGACGCCAACGATCATTAAGCGTGGTGTTGGGTATGATGTTGGCAGCATCGTGGGTGCCGCTCTTGTGGCTTTGGGCTAGCTACTAGGCAGCCAACGCTGGGGGCGATAATTGGCTTGTCGAGGCAAACTTTCCAGGCGGGCTGGGTCAGTGGCTTTGGGGCCGCCTTGCTCGCTAATTAAGCCAGGCTGTTTCTGGCGATTTGGTTGCCTTGTCGGGATTTATTGGGATAGCTCGAGTTGTCGAGCTATCAAGCTGTCTCCAGAAAGTGGTCTTCCCGAGCTCAAGGCCGATGTTGCTGTGTCCCAATTTATCGCGTTCGAAACACACGATCGCGGCGAAGGCACCCCTAATTGTTGCCTGGGGACTCTCTGAGCTCGGAATGCGCTTGACGTAAAAGTCGTGCTCGTCTCTCTGCGTTTACGTTTAGCCTGAGGCTATTGCCTGCAAGTCGAACTGGGAATGAGATGGTCAAGAGAAGAAGACATTTTGACTCAATCGCGATGATCGTCTCTCGGCGCCCTGATGCGCGAGATAGACGCTTGGCCGCACAGGTGTCGTCAAGTACCGTGGACAGCTGCATCGCCAGCGGCACGAACGAGGCTGTAACATGATCAACCCCATCGCCATGCAAGGAAAGGCAGCCAGTGGTTCTCCGAGACAGGGATGGCGACACGCGTCCCGACTCCCGCTTCAAATCGGCGCTTGAACCGTGTCGCCTGAGGATGGAGCTGAAAGGCTTGGTGAGCTTGAGTCTCAGCAGGGAGATCTGTGTTCGAGATCCAGGAGAACCTTGCCGACGGCAACTCCTTTGTTGCAGGCGATGTAGTGAAGCCGTCTGTCGAAGATAGCACGTGTTGCACAGATTGTAATCACGAGGGCGAGCTGACAGATTGTGGTGCCTTCTGATGCTGCAGCCACCCGAGGTCTGCTTCGCTCTGCCTTGACAACTCGACGGCCATAGGCCTCCAATGATATTGTGAACACCTTACATCCAAACAACTGGTAGCAGATGATAAGGGCAGTAATCTATGGCCGTCGTATGTCGGCTTTTATCTACCAAGGGGGCAGTGTCTGAACGCCATCGCTATCATGCACACATAACTCCACCACATCATCTACCTTGAAGGACATACATGTGTTCGTTCTACAGCCCCACTGTATCACTAAGCATGCGCCGGCAGCGGCTGGTACACCGAACTCAGGTAATCAACAGCCTGCTGCGACAGGCGGTCATAAACAGGCATAGCCGCCATCTGCACCGGTTTAGCCAACCCATGATGATGCACCTCGCCCAGGGAGCTAATACTGCTCCGTGTCGCCTTCGTCGACTGATTCCACTGACCCCCGAGCCTAGGCTTTTCCGGATCAACGTGCTCGAGCCCGGCAAACTCCTCTGCTTTCGCCGTCACGGGTACCATGCCGGAGAGGTTCTTCCATTCGCCACCCATGCCCGCTCCCTCGAACGCCATGCGCTGTACCTGCAGCTTGTCGTCCATGCCCCAGCGCACGCGCCGATAGTCGCCCCAGTGGAACTTGCGCTGGACGGAGCTGACGAGCGTCTCGAGCACGAGGTAGGTCAAAATGATCAGTGTGCCGACGGCGAAGATGATCGATATGCCCAGGACAGAGAAAGAGGTCGTGCCGTCCGTCACCCGCACCATCTGGCTGCCGCACATGGCGCGAGAGATGATTTCATCTGGTTGAGGCTTCTGTACAAACGTGCCCTCGGGCGTAAAGCCGGGGCCTGTGGCATACTGGACCATCGCGCGTTGCAGCTTGGCCAGGCCGACATCAAACCAGCTGTTGATCTCGACCTGCCACTGATCTGGGCGGATCTGGAGCTGATTGCGGTCCGAGACGTAGTCCTGAGCGCGCAGTGCGGAGGCTCCCCGGCCACCGATGCCATGGTGGATGCTGAAGCCGCGGGAATTGAGTCCAATGCGACTGGCGACCAATTGTTGGACGTCGTTGAAGCTGAGTTTGTCGTCGTAGATGGAAGCCCAGGCGGTCGCGTAGTCTGCCAGGGGTGTGCACTTGTCGGGGCCGGAGCGTGAGGAGGGATGGCAGTATTGGTATTGGTCTGTGCAGCCCATGACCGAAACGAATTCATCGGCAATATAGTACCTCACATCGCTACCAAGCAAGGTGCCGGCGTTGGCTTCGAAATTCGAGGAGTAAAAAGGGTCGGAGTTTGCTTCGTAGTATTTGATAGCATTGGCGGCGAGGAAGATGAGAGTGACATCGGCATCGGAGCGAGCTAGCTCGGGAATAGGGGCCCAGCCGACAGAACCGGGAGATGCGGTGATGGACTCGAGCTCGTACCCCCAGCCGCCGACGAACGCGTGGGTATTATACCAGTACGTCGTGTTGTCGAGGCCAACCGCAGCAATGCCACCATAGTGGTACTGGCGAACATTGTCGCCTTCTAGGCCCAAGCCATCTGTCCCTTCGCTCGTTTGGTTGGACACGAAACCATCTTGCACGATGGGAGCACAGGTGGTAACTTTGCGAAAGCCAATGCGACCAGAGGAAGGCATGTTGATGCCCAGATCTTCGTGGGACTCGATGATACCGGTGTCGAGCTGGTAAACGAGGCCGTCTTTGCACATAGAGTGATCAAAGGGACATGATGCGTTCTTCGGCGCCGTCCATTTCAAGGCAGGCTTGACGTAGCTCGAGCACTGGAGCTTGTTGAGTTTATCATTGCCTTCGTAACAGGTTCGAGCATAGGATGAAGCAAGGACGGTATCATTCAGGTCTTTCGATGTCATGGCCTTGGTTCGCACTTCGAGAGAAGAGGAGTTGTCGTAGGCGAAGTAGCCACAGTCATTGCTTGTGATCAATCGATGAGATCCAGAGCTCTGGGCGACTAGAGAGGAGAGAATAGACGAGGCAGTCAGCGCAAGACTGAAGAGAATGGCGAAGAAGCCAAGGGTACGCTGCGGGCGAAGGAACGGCGGCCGGACTTGCGCCAGAAAAAGGCAGATTCAAAGAAAGCCCGCGTAGCCTCCGTTGGTGACGAGGTGTTCCTCAAGATCAGTTGATGCTGATGGTGCATGCCATCCTTTGGCTTGGGCGAAGCAGAGATCTGATGGATGGTGAAGCAAATGCTCCGCCAGAGGCATGCCCCAACGATAGTAATGAAGAAGGCCAGGAATGCAGTAAAGATGGGAGCAGTACCTCTAGACAGGGTAATGGTGCTGCCCAGAAGCGCACCCTTGGACCAATCGACCCAAGGGCCGGTATAGATCTCGATCTTGGGAGTCGACATTCTCAGGATCAGGAGGAGGACGAGTACAAGGAGTTAGGGAACCATCACCACGGATTTGAGTAGTGTCGACTGCATCGTCGTGATACGAACGAGGTTCATATACGTACAGCAACTGTCTCTCTGAGATGACAAACCCCAAATTTGCTATATCACAAAGTCACTTGTCTTGTAGGTAGTGTAGCGACCATACCGAAACCGAATCATGATAACACGAGGTCTCATGCCACGAGGAGACCGCGACGGCGCAAAAGGACCAATCGCAGCATGCAGAGGAGTTCAAGGACGAGCCCTGAAAAGCACATGGCCGAAGACGCTGGCAGGCTGGCAGGCTGGCAGATGGGACTTTTGGTCTCCGAGGATGCAGAAGAGAGACAGATCCAAGTATAGAGCTGCTAACGAGCCGAGGCGCGTGTTCAGCAAGCCATGCCAAGAGGCGTAACCCAGATGTGGCATGCTAAAGCGGGAGAGTGCCGTTCAAGAGGTGTGGCTTGCGTGGAAGCGCCGAGGACAGGAGTAACGCTGTGGCGTTTCAATGGGACGATGGTTGTAGCTGTCACCGTCACTCTCTGAGAACTCCAAGGTTCTGTCAAGCTTGATGCTCTTCAGCTCGAAGTCTTGCCCTCCCAATCGTGTGCGGGTGTCGAGCATGGATCGGTGGCGAGGGCCGGGCCTACACACGATCTGAAGGAGACGAAAGAAGTGTGGTGTGAAAAACGGAGGCTTATTCGCTGCTACTGAATGTAGCTGGTTACCAATCGCCGCCGTGGCCACAGCACGGGCCTGTAGCGTATCCCTGCTATCGACTGCGAGTATGTCGCTACATACTTGCGTTCCTGGTGTTTTGGCATCGCCTCGATAAAAGAAGGACTCCCTATAACACACACCCGATCCAGATGCAATGCCATTGGGGACACGCTAAAACGCTCATCAGAAATGCTGACATAGAAAATCCAAAGTGATCGTGAGTCTGTCCACGCGGGACAGTACTGCCACCTATCCCAGAACCCCCGCTTAGGTTGCTCGGAAGCCCAAGCTGCTGTTTCGTCCTCCCACAGGCAAAGGCAACATGCTCACCCGTTTCCCTCGTCCGCTGCCCATTACACTACCAGGTCTAGTAACAGTCTTCCTTGACAAGGGGCTGCTAGATGGTTCCGAGATGACTTGATCCAGTTCTTCGTCCAAGACCTCGCTCCTATTCTCCTGGTCAAGTTCAAGATCCGGAAGTACGGGCTCGTCCATACTGCCTCGAGAGTCCAAACGCGCGTTAATGGAGGACATGCGAGAAGCAATCGACTGTCCACGACTCCTATTAAGCGCAGAGGGAGGCCTCGGCGTTGGTATTGCACTTATGCTGGACTTCTGACTACTGTGCATGGCCAGCGATGATGGCGATCGAATGGTTCCTGGATGAGGCGCAGAAACATTTCGGTTGCGGTGATACGGCGGAGGGTCTAAAATGCCGCCCGCGCGGTTTCCACCAACTGGGGACGCCACCCGCTCGGCGAAGGACTTGTATTGATTCTCTCGATGCGCTGTAACAGGTGCCGGTGAAGACGAAGACTCGCGTCCCAACGGGCTACGAAGCGGAAGTGCGGTTGTGGAAGAGATAGACCGGGGCGTGTACGCTTTGCGGTACGGGGTAGGGCTAGTTGTGTTTCGGTATGTAGGAGCCAGTGTGGAATCGGCCGTCTTGACTGTCGAGCTCCAGCGAGGCTTATTCACAAGCGGCGACGGGGACGGTCTCTTGACCTCGTTCTTCGGTGGGATGTACAATCCTTGACGATAGACAGATGGAGGTCCTGGCGCAGGAGAGGCTCCTCTCCGTGGCAGTTGCGAAACTGACTGGGTAGACGAGGGCGTGGTTGGCCGGCGATGATGAGGGAGGAGCGAGGACCTTCGGTTCGCTGAAGCCAAAGGCGGCGGGCGGCTTGAGGAAGATGCTCTGGGTTTGGAGTAGCCATTCAATCCATACTTGGGCGTTTGTTTGCCCGAGGTGTGGTTTGAAAAGTCGATTGATGATGCCGGCGAGCTCCCTGGGGTGCCCGCCATAGTTGCACTAGACAGCGATCGATCCGCCGAGACAATGCTTGAGATAGACTCCCGAAGTCTCGAATTCTGTCGTGACGTGACAGGCTCAAGAAAGTTTTCGAGCTCTTCCATTGTGTCCGTGAGTTCTCTCATTCTTGACGAGAGGTCTTTGTGTAAGCGAAGGATCTCTCCGTTAACAGTCAGACGATCTTTCAAACCCTTTTGAATGATGCCCAAGACTCTTAAGATGGCGGGACCGTAGTGCATCTTTTTGGCTTCGAAGCTTTCGACTCGCTTCGCCAGCGTTGCAGGGTTTGATCTCTGATAGCCCTCGTTTATTGCTTCTTGAACTTTCAAAACGCTGCGCTCCACGGACTCACACATCTTCTGCGCTTGCCGGGCTGCATTTCGGAAGACAATTACCCACCGGTCCTCACTCAGCTCACGCCGCAGAGTATCGGCTTCCTTGGATAGCTCACCCCAGTTACGCTCCAAACGGTCTTTCTTCTCGTCGAGCTCACTACAGGCGCTGGGGAAGACCTTCTCGGCCCGGGTCTGGAATGAAGATAAGCGCATGGGCAGGAAGTCCAGCGAAGCGCGTAATGGTTGCATGCGAGCAAATAGTGCAAGGAGCATTGAATCATCCTGTGCGTTTTCGATAATTGGAGATCCCAGAGGCGAGCCCTCAAGGGCTGGCACGATACCGAAACCTGCGCTGGACGGTGCTTTGTTCGCCTTTGGCTCGTCGACCAAGTTCTCCAGCTCGTTCAGGTCGACATTTTGAAGTTGTGGCTCCGGTTGTGATTCGGACATGTGAGCTGTGTGACGCTTTTCTTCCATATCGAAGACCAGCTGACTCAAGGCATCCATCTCGGCGCCAACTTCGGCCAGAATGGTAGACCATAACTCTTCCCACTCCATCGCCAGTTCGACCTGCTTCTTGACTTTCTTCACATGTTTCCTGACTCTGTCCCAGCCGTCCAGGACGATTTCCATCTGTTCAACAACAGATTGCAGATCTTCGGGCTTGACATCGGCGATATCCTGGCGGGTTTGCAGTTCTTCGATCGAAACAACGTAGACGTTGACCAGGTTCTCAAATTTGTTTATTGTTTTTTCCACGTCGTCTAGACCGTCCCTTCCGGCGGCGGCGGCCCACTCAACATCTTCGTCGGCATCAAGAGCCTCGAGGACTTTCAAAGCTTTTTTTGTCCACAGTTGGATCTGATCGGCTGCGCCGTTGAGGGTCTTGACAGCTTTCCTAGAGGAGGGCAGCGATTTGATGCTAGCACCCAGCGTCTCGGCGGAAGGAAGGTTCATTGATGCGAGGCTTGCGATTTGGGTGCTGAAGGAAGCACGGGAGAAAGAGTAGACCGAGTTGCTCCGAGAGAGCGCCTCGGGAATGACGAAGGAGCCCGCATCGCTGCTGGGGCCTGATGAAGCCGACGCTGAGTCTCGATGTAATGTGAATTCGCGGGTGGGCGTCGGGACCAGAAGTTGGTGTAGATCGAGTTCGCTCTGGAATTCCGCCATTGCCTCGCCAGTAGCGAAGCTCAGACCCAGGGCGGCGGATTGAGGAGACTAACGCGATGTGAAACCATTCGTGGTCGATCTGCTCAAATAATGATATAGCTATGAATTACCATGAGCGCGGGTTGGTGTGTCGAGGTTCAGTGGGGATGGAGTGGTGTTTGTGCCAGGCGGCCGAAGTTCTGTTTCGGAGGCAGACCCCGTGACTTCAAGCGCCGAAGCGAACACTCGGTATCAAGCCTGTGAAAGTCGCAAACTCGCAGGGAGATTGGACGGCCGTTGTGCCTAACTAGATTGCCTACTGATCAACAACCGGGTCTGCTTAGCAGGGCGCTGGTTTAACGGGCGAAGGAGAGCGCGTTTTAAGTTGACTAGGCTCCCAGCAGCGACGGATTAGGCATGGGCATTGGTGGGATAACTTGTCCACCTCATCATTGTGCAGCTTCCAAACACTGGGTAGCAGGGATGTCGCGTTCGCGTCGACTACCGCTGCGTTTCACCGTACTGAACAGCAAGAAAAACATTTTATTTCTCCTGCGCAATGCTGGATCGCCGGGCTAGGACCCATGGATTGCTACAATGCATTCAATTAATATAGTCATATTCCCATTCGAGACACTGATCAAAAATGTGGTAATGATGAAGGATACTGCCTCAATCATTGCTATTGCAGCTCTACTGTACACGCGTTCCTGCAGCATGCAGGGTTTGCTTTACCTCAGAGTCCCTTGTGTTCGGCCTGTCCTACACTATGGCCATACTGCATCTCCCAATATGGTTCTTTCCGCCTAAGAAGTGGAGAAGATAAAGCGCTCGAGAATTTTTGCTGGTTTGACAGGACAACTGCAGGACCAGACCAAAAGACCAACTGGAAAGTAGTCGATGTTGCTCAAATAACCTCTTCACGCTCCCAGCCCTTGGAACGCAAATGCTCGATACCCTTGCCTGGATGCGGCTTGCTCTGATCTTTGTATTCGCTGACGAATGGGTTGGGATCTTTGGTCTGGTCCAAGTTGCCCAAGGTATGGTGGATCTCGCGGTGCTTTGCTTCATCGGCTCGGACGTAGTAGAGCAGATCTTTCATCGACTGATGACCCTTGGGCATCTCCCAGTACTTGATGGCAATCTCAGGCGCCTCGAGATCTTCCCAACCAGGTAGCAGCCCCTTCTCCATATCTTCAATAGCGAGAGTGTAAGTCTTAGTAGCTTCCTCCTCAAGGTAGCCAACGAAGCGATGACAAGTCCTCGGAGATACTAGATAGGCCAAGAAGAATCCGTTGCTGAAGACACCTTGTGCTCCGAGAATCATCATCTTCATGAACCACCCCGGCTTGGCCATCTGGAGGAAGGTGAGGAGATGCATCCGCTCGTTGTAGGCGTCTTCAAGGAGTGTTTCAATCCAGCCATTGTCGCGCTTCATCTTTCGCAGACTGTGAAAGTGTCGCAACATACCGGCCATCATCCCAGGCACGCCAGCCACTGTCTCAAGGAAGATAAATCGTATGAGCCATTTGCGTTCTGTCATCACATACGGCTTGTTTGGGTCGTGGCGGTATCCGGTCGCAAGATCTGTGGCCCATCGTAGAAGGCGAACCGTATTGTATGCAGCCCAGTCCGAAACCGTTCGTGGCTCGCGGTGTGCAATCTCAACGCTCTTGAGCTGTTCCTCGGTGACGGCTGGATGAGGCCACGAGGCAGGGGTCGTCTTGATGTGCGGGAGATTCTTGGGCGGGGGGAAGAAGTCAAGCTGTGACTTGCGTGAAGTTGAGAACTGGCGTGACGAATGGATAGTCACAGGCTTGAGGAGGGCATGGCTGGATCGCAGGCCAACATTGGCGGTTGCTGTTGGTGCTATACCTCTGCAAGCTGTCTTTGTGAGGTTGGCTGTCAATGAGGCAGAGAAGATCGTGCGTGATGTGTTCATGGCAATATCGTGTGAGTAACGAGTCACTTGATGTTCGAAGCTGTAGGAGTGGCGTGGTGAGCAGGTCAGACTACGGCACGCAGCGAGGCATCAATAAATACGTGTGTCACCACGGGGCAGGTCAAAGCTGCGCGGAGACATTGTGACTACCATGTGAGTGAATACGATTTGGTCGGAGTGGCAGGAGTTCAATCTTCGCGAAGTCATGCGCAAGTCAGCTAAATTTGGCAAGGGAGCATTGGAGACGGTTGCAACTGCGGCTGACAAAGGTAAAGTAACACACTGTAACCCGCAGAACTGACTGGGTTACTACTCCTGTACTCCCGGTTTACAGGTCGTTCTAGACGCGAGATCCTGGCCTTTTCGGTGTCGGTTGGAAGCTTATGAGATGGTGCACGACTTGGATCGCACAGGAGCGGAACAGCTACCTCGTAAACAGCAGTGACACGGGATGAAGTTCTCAAGAATGATTCCATCGGCATTACGATACTGTATTGTGACCAATCCGCGGCGGAGGAAACCGGAAGTTGTGCTGACAGCAATGAACGACCACCCGGGTGAAATCGCGCAGGCGCAAGGCTGTGTGAGGCAAACCAGAAACAGCTCAAGAGCCATCATAGACACGCTGGCACTTAAACTTGCTCAATGACCTGTCCAATTGGGGGTGCCGAAACACATCGTCGACTTCATTGATGACTCCACGGACGTTAAAAAAAATAAACAGGGGCGTAGTACTCTGATGTGCTTGGAAACGAGGAATATGCATGCTGACTGTACGTGCTGCTGCGAATGCATCGTATTGAACCTACTTCATGCATCGAAGCCCTGTTCTCCATCTTTAGTCGAAGTCTCTTTCCAGTCAAGCTTGACGACTTGTGCCGCGGAGGGCCCCTGGTTCAGATCCTGCTTGAGCTTTTCCAAGGAGGATTCATCACCTTGAGCTTCGCCTTGTACCTACACACGAGTCAGTCGGAAGTATGGCCCAGGGGCTCGCTCAGCACTCGCCTTGCCATCACTGGTATTCTTAACCCATCCCTAGGAGTGTACGTCAGCGAAGATTTTCACTGTCCCTCTGTCAATCGCTTGCAGTCGTCTGGTCTGCGGGCCGTGCTTCAGATCCTTCACTCCCTCAGATGTCGAAAGGCCATCGGTGATGAGGACTGGTGTATTGACGTAGTTACAGACAATTGCTTACCGTAATGCCATATTTATTGGCTTGTGTTTGTGTGAAGTCTCTGGGGGTGTCACATTAGTATACGCTTAGCATTAGTGTGCCTCGCGGTCCCAGTCATACCTGAAGAATACACCCTGGACTTTTCCATGGGCGGTGAAAGAGATGCGTTTAGACATGACTGCAGCAATCTTGTGGATCCTCTGGACTTGTCGTTGCAATCGTTAGAGCAGAACGCTTCGTTGCGGCAGACCACACGTCAACCCTACCCATGTATGACGCCACAAACGCGGAGACGGGAGCGGAATTGAAGCTCGTAAACGCGACTAAAAGGTCGTGCCTTGGCGCTAGTCTTGAACTGTACAAATCAATACTCCGTACGCCTCTGCCAAAAGAGCCGCATCACGTCGTCACAAGGTCAAGATTCCTGCATTCCTCACATCGGACTTGCTCATGTCAGTCGAAATACGAGGGGAAATGTTGCACATGTGAGTCTCTGTGCCTTGCTTTATTGCCCAGCAACCTGGAAGCTGCGACGAAGAATGTTCTGAACCCTGCGGGCTGCGGCGTGCCAGAACTCGGTTGTTCGGGTGCGGGCGATCGTGCCCCCTTTTCATTTCCTTCGAGAACGACCTTCCAATCTCACATCACCACAGTAATTGTTCAGCACTTCCAACCACCCTCTTTTTCACTTGATGAGCAACTTGTTCTCTTGCCTTGTAATTCTTGAATCCTGTTGAAGATATCCTTTCCGCGCGTTGACGGCCTGTTAGTCCCATACCCCACCCTCCATGGCTGCGGAGCTCCAGCTGGCCAATGCGACCTCTCACACGTCCACTTCTTCCTCGCCGAATCTCCTGCCAACGCCTATATCCTCATGCTTCTCAGAAAGTCGATCAGTGTCCGGTATCTCCTCGATATCTAGTCAGTCCAACGCGTCGGACCCCCGAAGATCCGTGTCGGGGTCGACATCGAGACGACGTGGCTATGTCCGCCCTCAAGGAGCCAATTTCGCCCATTCGGCACAGCAAAGAGAAAGTGTCATGAGCCTCGGCAGCATTGCACATCTTCAATACTATTTTGCTCGTACAGGCTTGCTCGATGGCAAAGGTGGTCAGATGGCGAAGAAGAAGAAGAATGGCGAGTACGACATACCCAAGATCTCTGACAGACCCGAGTCCGAGTCCCCCCTCGATGAGGAAGTCCAGATGATGTGGGAAGCAATGCAAGAAGATGGTGAAGACATCATGCTACCACCAACTGTGTCCACCTACAGTCACCGACAGCAAATCATCACCCCTTTACCAGATCAAAAATCTTTGAAGCGAGAGTTGGTCGAGGCCCTTGAGAACTCGCTTCAAGCGATAGAGGCATGTGAGAGGACGGCGGAGTCGGATGAAGCCCCAACACAAGGCTTTCACGAAGTTCAAGGTCTCCATGTCCTCGATACCACTACTCTAGCCATCAAGGCAGCCCGAGATTACTATACACAGCATCCAAATCCTGAGCGACTTAGTGCCGTGCGGCCTGTGCAGCAGCTGCGAAAAGAGCTTTACTCGGTACTCGAAGTGCTGAAGAAGTGTGCGGCAAGAAATTTCGTGGGAGGCTTCAAGGAAGATGAGCGGCTGGCAGTATTGATTTGGGTCAGCGATGTTGGCATGATGATCGACCAAGAGGCCAAGCTTGAAGAGAAGGAGAAGAAAGAGCGGAAAGACTGGGGCTGGATGGAAGATGCAAAATGGGCTGGGAACGAAACTGGTCGCGACCTGAATTTCCTGCACTTCCTCTTCAAGAAAGCAAAGGTCGACCTACCGTCCGATGCGGTCCCTCCCGGGCCCGAGTTCTTCAGAAGCCTAGCTGATGGACGTGACCTAAATCGTATGCACAATGTTGCGGTGAAGGAGTCGAAACGGCAGTTCAATCTTATCGACTCCTGGCATGAGGACACTGCGAAGCCTTACCGTCGAGCCGACAATCTGCGATTCTGGGTCAAAGCAGCAGAGTTGAGATGGGAGGTCAAGCTCAAGTTCGATGTCATGGGCGTAGCCAATCAGAAAGAAGACGACGCTGTGTGGGATTCCTTCGAAGCTGCTATTCGCTCCTGGGCCCAACATGTTCGCGCTGAGCTCACCAAAGATTGGAACGGTGAAGAGGAACGGAGGTTACATGCCAGAGCTAAGAGCCTGGCTTTAGCCTCCCCCATGGGCAGCCCCGCAAAAAGGCACGCGGCGAAGATGGGCAGAGATCTGATGGCAACAGGCAGTCCTGGGCCCAGCCCATCCTCGAGCACCGCGAGCTTGAATGCGGCCGTCAATCCGGAAAGCGAGGAGATCCCGCCTGTACCTCCCATTCCAACCGACAAGGTTTAAGGAATGAGCAGCGACGGGCAGGATTCCAATTAATGTGGCATGATTTTCAGCGGATACCCATTTCATGGACAGTATTATTTTAGTAGCACAGCTATACTTGCTTAGAGCAGCGAGGGTACGCCTCTGGCACAGCATTTACTTACTAGTATATTGGTGTTGTATAGATATAGGTACCATGTCGATAGCGTCATCAGAGACATTCGAGGATGTCCTAAGTGAGGATCAAAGTACAACATCTCTTAGGTCCGTACGTATTCGTATGCCAGTGCAAAACCCGACGCCTTTTCCCGCGGACCTCGGCACCCACCGTCAGGCGGCCAGAAGGCAACCTTCTCCGCCTGCATCTTCAACTTCAATAATTTCGTGATCGAATGCCGACATTGCGATGAGCACGTTGCGAGGCGCGTGACAGCTTGTTATGTGATCGACATTATCAGTACTTCAGTCCTGGTGAACGGCATTTCTTCACAGCCTCGGTTATAGCCTGTACTGCCATAGGTAGCATAGTATACGCGAGCGGTTAGCATTGCAGCAGCTAGATTCATCTTCACGCTTTCAGTACAAAAAGTATGCTCTGGAGTGGTCTTAGTTCGAATCAGTGTCTCCTTTTGAGCTGTACACCAATCGTTCATTGGGGTCCGATTGCCTCACGAGCATTTCGCTACGCATGAAATATATTCGCAACAGACCCACTACCATACTAGTGGTGTCTCTCAACCGCCACCTTCTTCGATATCCCAGACCATTGACCACCATGCCAACCACCCCATTCGAACCCCCGATCGACAACACGACCTCCTCAACACCGTCCGACCCAACCTTCCGCACCTACAACCCAGCCGCAGCCCAAACCTACCTAACCCACCGCCCAACCTACCCCGCCCGCCTCCTCACGTACATCCTCACCCACCACACCGCAACATCCAGCCCCTTAACCCCCAACCCTCTCACTACCCTCGTCGACATCGGCTGCGGCCCCGGCACCGCCACGCACCAGCTCGCCCCCACCTTCCAGCGCGCCTACGGCCTAGACCCAGGCGCGAGCATGATCGCCGTTGCGCGCGCAGCACCCCCACAGCAGGCCGACACGCACACGGCGCCGCCGCCACGCGCCAAATCCGGCGCTGCGGTCGTCTTCGCGGTCAGCTCGGCCGAGGAGCTGGACGAGACGTTGACGCAGCCGCAGCCGCCCCTGGATGTGCGCGCGGGCAGCGTGGATCTGATCACGGCGGCGACGGCGGCGCACTGGTTCGACATGCGGCGCTTCTATTCGGCGGCGGCGCGGATGCTGCGGCCGGGTGGTACGCTGGCGATGTGGTGCACGGGGGGCTGGTACTGCGATGTGCGGCGGACGCCGAATGGGGAGCGGTGTAGGGAGGTGATGCATCGGTTTGAGAGGGAGACGATGCGGCCGTGGGCGCAGGAGGGCAATCGGGTGTGTAGTGGGTTGTATGAGGAGTTGGGCTTGCCGTGGGAGGTGGGTGTGGGCGAGGAGTGGGAGAGGAACGGGTATGTGTGGAGGACGTGGAATCGGGAGGGCGAGATCGAGCAGGGAGGTGACGGGGACGGATGGCTGATGCCTAGGGACGTGAGCTGGGAGGAGGCGAGGGCGATGCTGGGGACTGCGAGTGTGGTGAGTCGTTGGAGGGAGCAGCATGGGGAGTCGGCGGAGGATGGGAGGATTAAGGATTGCGTGGACGCGTTTCTCGATGAGCTGCGGGATGTGATGCGGGCGGGTGGCGGAGAGGTCCCACAGGTCATCAAAGGAGGGCTGTCGGTTGGGCTGGTGTTGCTCAAGAAGAAGGCAAGATAATGCATTGCACTCCGTGCCAATTCGACAGAGTAATGCGGCACTAGCAGATTTGCTTCCTTGTATCGGGTCCTTCTCAAAACTACGACGTTAATTATGTGATGGCAAGTGAGCAGTCGTTTGTACACCATTCTCATTTCTTTTTGAGCAATCTATGGCTCCTGTACTATTCGTCTATACTAGATCGCATCATGTTGCCCATTGCGTAAGGAGCACGACACGACTGCGAGTATTGACGTTGTAAGCTCGCTACACTGCAGGAACAAGGCTCTCACCTTTGCATTGCACCAGGCGTCCGCTATTCCTTCAAGCCATTGTACCAGAGCTGTTCAATTCATCCTCACGGGACATTCTACCGGTCCCACGGTGTGATACCATGTCAGGCGCCCATACCTCAGGCTCATCGAGGACCGAACCTGGATGTTGGGTGGCGCAAGGTAGTGATAGCCACTTGCAGATGGCATGCCTGATGTGTTTTCAGTAAGGCATGCTCAAAGGCTATCAGAGGGAACGTACGTCTTTCTGTCAATCTTGACGTCCATGATGCGTGCTCCATGCATCTGTTCTTTGGTACCTTCGAAATTGATCGTATAATTTCTGCCCGAAAACGGCTTCTCGAGGTTTTCAGCACGTCCAAACATGTGCTGCATCATGATCTCGTTGTCACTCTGGCGCAAGGAGCATCCACATGAGAAGTGCTCATCCGGATCCCACGCCATGGTCAGGCGTTGCATTTTGGGAGACTTCTCGATCAGCCTTAAGAGTACGTCGCGGTTCAGGTCCGAGTTAATCAGACCGATGACTGTTAAGTTCGACAGGGAGTACTCTAGGACGCCGTGCGACAAAACTGGCTCTTGCTCAGACACCTCTTCAACAAACAACTGGCGTATAGAAGGGATGTTGGTAAGGAAGTAAACGTGCGCCATGTTGGGTATTCGCTGGACATGTACTGTGCGGAGCTTCGAGAGTGGAGTGCCTTCCTGCCCTTGGTGGTCGTGCGTATAACAGATGAGATCTATCGCCGAGCCGAGGCAGGTGACATCGGATAATTTGAGCGATTGAAGGTTTGGAAGCAGACTCAGAAGCAAAACGAAGCAACGGCCAGATGAGCACTGAGGCTCATTTTCGACCTCGTCACCCCATATCGTGCTCGAGATGCTGTTAAACCAGGCGTCGTGATCTTCATTTGGGAGAAACTTGCATCCTTCGAGGACCTTTTTCCCTCCAAGCCAGAAGCCCAGTAAATCCCAGTTATCGCCATCTTCATCGCAGAACACCATATTGTACGGGTTCACGTTTCCGTACTCAAGATGGCGAACGTAATGAGCTCTTTCTGGGTCGTTGGTAAGTTCGTACAAGGCTCTTAAGGGGCCTGGAGACATGAATTCGAGGGCCAAATCATAGCATAGCAGAAGGACTCACTGCAACAACGTCAGTTCAGCTTCAAGCACATGGGACACGGGCGTGCAGGAAATACGGGCCGTCAACAAGCTCTGAAGGTCTCCAGCTGTTCGCGTAAAGGTGCTCTCAAAGCTCAGCACTCACCAGTCGATAACCCACCCATCAGCTTCGTTGTCGAGATGTTGGTCGTCAATCACAAGGCAGGCGTAGTGCCGCATGTAGTATTGGTGCTTATGAAGTCGCAACGAGAGCAGGGCGTGTATGCGTCTGTTGCAACGACCGAAGGCTACAATCTCATCAGGGCCGAGGACTGCGAAAATCTCGCTAAGGATATCATCGTGCAGAGCATTAAACTGTGGTGATGGCATTGTTTAGTCGAAGGATAGAATACCTATGTTAGAAGATGCGAACTTAAGATGGGTAGAACAGGCCGGTGGAAAACGACTTGTGTGACTAGTGAAGGGTAAAGTGAAGTGCAGTGTTGATGTACCTGCGTAAAGGCTGTCAACTCGTTACTTCAGATTGAATGCTCATACGCGTGCCTTCCGCTTGAGCATGCCATTCCCACTTCTTAAGTGGTCTCGGCGAGGCAGCTGCAAATGGTGCCCTTGATATCACAGATCGATGCCTGAAGCTGTTCGTGTCTCTGCGGTGAGATCTTGCAACTACAAAACTCCAGTATTCGAGCTTCGAACTACAAGACCTGGCCTTGGTCCCGTAGCTGGTGTTCTTTTGATAACCCACCTGACTGACATTCAGTCTGCATTCGTGAACTTTCTGAATGAAATTAGCTGAGTCTAACCATATCGACGAGGGTCTTTTCGGCTTACAAATGTTGTTCGTAAAACTTTAGCATCGGCCGCGGACAATGCGCATAGACTTGGTTCATCGAGACTTTGGTCTTCTTGCCATTTTGCCAGTTGATGAATACGACGAGCTGGCCGGTGTTGACATCTTTTTCGATGTGCGTGATGGCGTGCACGTGCTTTTCCCAGTCGGATTCGCGGGGCAGCCAGGTGCCTGTGGCGTCGGAACCGTCACTTGTCCGTTGGCGCTTGTTGGGGCCAGGGCTGTCAGAAGCGGTCCGCTTAAGGTCACCAGTAACCTTTGACTTCTTCAGGCTCTTGTCCGGCACACTGGGATCGTGGCCAATCTTCTCATGGTATTTGCTGAGGATCTCTCTAGCATCCCTGCCGATGACTGAGTAGGTAGCACCTTGACGACAGTTCACTCGAGCTTACGGCAGCAGGTTCTCTTGTGGCTCAAATGTGTTGTCTGATTCTGGGTAGCCCACCCATTTGATCTCGTATTTGACATTCTTTGCCAGCGTGAGCAGATATCCAAAGCGTATAAGCAGTTGTTTTACTGACCTTGCCCTTGCCTTTGTGTGATACTATACTCTCGACTTGATACCTGTTTATGGTTAGGTACCATCTTCCAGAATAATGTGCATACACACGCTTCCTCGTCGTCATCGTCGTCGTCTGAACTGTCTGAGTTGTCGTCCAAAGCAGTGCCATTCACTGGTTTGCCCTCGATGTCACTAGGCTTGGGAAGTACCTCATCATGAGCCAAGTCGCTAGCATCCGAGAGGTCGCTGTTCTCATCTGCTGCGCCGTGTAAGCAAGCAATGCGCGTACGGCCAACGCGGAGCGCATCGAACTCACATGTTACCTTGGGCATGGTCGCGTTGTGCGTCGCGCAATTGTGGGCGTGGTCGCGCAGACACGTCGGCGATTGGTGGGCATCAAGATAGTGACGATTCACCGCTGCCGCAGCGAGGCGCACAACGGGATTGCTGGTGAGGTCAGTTGAACGGAGGTGGCTGGATCAGCGGGACGGGGCAGTTGATGCTAGCGCGAACGCGGAGCAGAGTCTTGGCGACTGCGGATGCGATTCTCAGAATTTATTTCAGGCTGCTGTCAAGCACAAGGAAGTCGACATCAACGAGAGAGCATATCAGTCACTCGCGGCGGACGATCTGTGGCATCAAGGCTCTTTAGTTCCCTGTATCTACGCTCAACCGCTTCCGCTCAGTCTTCCCAATCTCGAACGCTCCCACCGCGGGGCACACTACCACCCACCATGGCGATGCAACTCGACATGTCCAATGCGCAGGTGATGAAGGATGAGTCCGGCCGCCCCTTCATTGTGGTACGAGACCAAGGGAAGAAGACACGCACGCACGGCAATGATGCTATCAAGCAACACATCACGGCAGCCCGCACAGTGGCTAGTATTGTGCGGACTTCATTAGGTCCCAAAGGCCTTGACAAGATTCTTATCAGCCCAGATGGCGACATCACCGTCACAAACGACGGTGCTACGATCCTTGGTCAGATGGAAATCACAAATCATGCGGCCAGGCTGCTCGTCGAACTCTCCAAATCGCAAGATGATGAGATTGGTGATGGTACTACTGGGGTGGTCGTTCTGGCTGCTGCTCTACTGGATCAAGCGGCCGATCTCATGGACAAGGGCATTCACCCGATCCGCATCGCCGACGGCTACGATCAGGCATGTGAGGTTGCAGTCGCTCAGCTTGAGAAAGTCAGCGACCGCCTACCATTCTCAAAGGACGATCAAGAGAATTTGATGAAGGTGGCCAAGACGAGTTTGGGCAGCAAAATCGTGACAAAGGCGCATGACCAGTTTGCGAAGATCGCTGTGGATGCAGTCATGTCCGTCGCCGACCTGGAACGCAAGGATGTCGACTTCGAGCTCATCAAGGTGGACGGAAAGGCCGGAGGTTCACTCGAGGACAGCTTATTAGTCAAGGGTGTGATTGTCGACAAGGATTTCTCTCATCCGCAAATGCCGGATGAAGTCAAGGACGCCCGACTTGCCATCCTCACCTGCCCGTTTGAGCCTCCTAAACCCAAGACAAAACACAAGCTTGACATTTCATCAGTGGAGGAATTCAAGAAGTTGCAGCAGTATGAACGGAACAAGTTCACCGAAATGATTGAGCAGATCAAGGACACCGGCGCCAATGTCGTCATTTGCCAATGGGGTTTCGACGACGAGGCAAACCACCTCCTACTTCAGAACAAGTTGCCTGCCGTTCGGTGGGTAGGAGGGCCTGAGATTGAGCTCATCGCTATTGCTACCAACGGCCGCATCGTTCCTCGATTTGAGGATCTGAGCGCGGAGAAGCTGGGAAAGGCCGGTATCGTTCGCGAAATGAGCTTCGGTACGACAAGAGAAAAGATGCTGGTGATTGAGGAGTGTGCCAACACCCGTGCAGTTACAGTATTTGTGCGCGGAAGCAACAAAATGATCATTGACGAGGCCAAGCGGTCACTGCACGATGCGCTGTGCGTGGTCCGCAATCTGGTACGCGACAACCGCATCGTATATGGCGGTGGCGCATCCGAGATCGCGTGCTCGGTCGCTGTGGAGGATGCGGCGGTCAAGAGTCCTGGCCTGGAACAGTATGCCATGCGAGCATTTGCCGACGCGCTGGACGCAGTCCCTATGGCTTTGGCTGAAAATTCCGGCCTCAGTCCGATCGAAACCCTAGCAGAGCTCAAATCATGTCAAGTACGCGAAAAAAATGGCCGTCTGGGAGTGGACTGTATGCAGACAGGCTCCAACGATATGAGGCAGCACTTTGTCATTGAGCCGTTGATCTCGAAGCGGTCGCAGCTATTGCTGGCGACGCAGCTGTGTCGGATGCTGCTGAAGATTAACAATGTCATCATAGCGGGCGACGATCAGAGTGAATTTTGAGGGCATGAAACGTGATTGACGAGCATATCATTAACAAGAGTCACATTGATACCCGAGGCAAGTCCGGTGGAAGCGAGATAGAACCAGTGTTGGCACTGCTCACGCGGCTGGGCTGGTATGGAGTACAGTAGATATGAAAATCAAGACCCTTTCGTGACCATCTAGGGTTTCGCAATGAGGCTATATCCCCTCGCTGTTGGGCTTTCCAGAAGCAGGTCATCGTGGAGGTCTGTGTCGTATTTAATAGATGACTGGGCGCGCAGACCCGATGTTGCTCTCGACCCGCCCTGGCGTTGATGCTGAAACTTGAAGCCCCTGAGCGGAAGGGGCCCACTGCGAGGTTACTCCAAGTTCGAAACAAGCCAGACCGAGTTCGGGCTAGCGCATCGGAATCAGTCAGGGCCCGAATCTGCGCTCGTCGGTCTCCTTCGCAATCTGCGCCCCATCCTCTGCCGTTCCTGTTCCTGGCGTTCCTTACGCAACCTCGTCTGCGGCTTCACGCTTCTGTCCCTCTCTTCTCCTGCCTTTTGCATCTGCCTTTTCAGTTCAGGACCAGCTCTTGATAGCAAGCTGCTGTCTGCTCAGTCACTCCTTTGTTGCATACCATCTGGTTGACCTATTGTGCAAAGGTCCAGCCCCCATCGATCCACATTCCTTTGTTTTCCCAGCCTCTCCGGCTCTCCGGTCATCCTGCACCCGTCGGCCGTTTCAACCAGACTCGCTTCCAGAATCCTCCTCACCGACTTGACTGAAACCATCACAATGAGCCACAGTGCTTGAGAGAGATCCGGAGGTATTCATCAATCAGCGCAACGTCCGCATGAATTGATCACCACTCACTACTACACATCGTCAGGCAATCGAGCTGGTCTCTTGTGTCTTGACTGACGGCTGAGCCGTCCACTACACACACTCGCTAGCATAGTCGCTGCTACGAAGCAGCCACCCCTACAGCATGTTTGGTTGTGGGAAGAGAGAGAAATTCGGTGAGGTCCACGATGAGCAGAAATGGGACTATGTTGTATGTACACACGGCCGCATCATCACTCGCAACTAACGGTAGCAGAATCTCGACGACTTCAAGTCCAAGTCATGTTGGACCGGTTTTGGTTACGCTTACCTGTTGATCATGCTACTTGTATCCATCTCGATTTACGTTGTCGACTCCTTCGTTGCCGTCAACCTCCTCGCCTTCAACCGATGGGCAGGTCAAATCGAGCCCGCCATTCCCTTCACAATTTCCCGCTGGATTTTCGCTGGATGCATCATACTCTCCTTCGTCCTCTTGATCGAGAGATGGATCCGAGCAATCAGAGTCATGAAGCAAGGAGGCGTGGCCAAAAGCTACCTCGACCCACTCGCTGTACGCCTGCAGTCTATCCGATGGACCCAGGCCGGTCGCGGCTACCGCAGATTTCTAGTCTTCGCCGAATTGACGAAAAGTCGAAAGGGTGCCGACTACGTTGCCCTGTTCTCATACTTCTCCTTCGAAGCTGCCATCCGCATCATATTTGCAGAGGGTCCCCGCGTTGTCATCAACGGTATTACTTTGTACTCCGTCACAAAGCTGAATTTCATTCCCACCGGCGACCATGCAGCAGAGGACGGAACGTCGCCAGTTGCACAATTCTTCATCAACATCGGCGCTATGGCTGAGAAGGACAAACTACAAGCTACTGTCTTGTTTGGCATGTTGTGGACCTGTGTCATCTGGATTCTGGCCGCGATCTCGCTTGCCGTGTCAGTTGTTCTCTACCTGCTGTTCCTCTGGCATCACATTCCCAGTGAGGCTGGCGGACTCAAGAACTACTGCCGCATCAAGATTAATAAACGAATGGAAAGAGTGGTCAAGGTCAAGGTCGACAAAGCCTTGAAGAAAGAGAATGAGATTCGAGCTCGAGAAGAAGCCAAAGCTGCAAGAGCCGGCGTGAAGAAACAGCCTACTCTCCCAGATATCAGCAAAGGCGGTGATGGAGATTCCATGATGCCGCTCTCTCGCACGACCACCTTGACCACCCTTCCGGAATACGAGTCAAGGCCACCTACGGCACAAGGGGGCAACGCTCCCCCTCTCCCTCCGTTTCCCCCCAACAACAGACCGGGCCCTCAGCGAGTCATGACACATCAGTCAGATACTTCGGTAGCAAGCTTCAGCTCCAATGCTCCTCTGATGAGCTCCGCAAGTGATATGGGCTACACAGACGGATCGCCTGTGCCCACGCCGGGACCCTTTGGTCGTCCTCCGTTGTCGAATAGAGGTATGACCAATACACCTCGCCCATTCAACAATGGTCCCCCGCGACCAGGCACCGCTCAGGGTAGCGCCTACCCGCTCGAGCCTCTGGTTAGACCAGGCACCGGCATGAGCAACGGTCCGCGCCGCACCTCGAACGAGTCGGTGGGTCCGTATGGTACCGACAGACCTATGGGCGAACGACTGCCATCATGGGACAGAAATGGCGATCTGCCAGGGCGCCGGACACCAGCAGCTAATCCTTATATTCCTCCTATTATGGAAGCGCAAAACGGTAGGAATTCACCCGCAATGGGTGGGCCTCCCCGTCGCTTCTCACCTCCTACACAGCCTCCATCTCGCGGACCGATGGATAGATCATTTACCCCAACGGGCGGCCCACCACCTATGGGCCCTCCCGAACGATCATACACGCCCTTCAATGGCGGCCCACCCCGTGGTGCTCCTGAAAGGTCCTACACTCCTGTTGGTGGCCCTCCACTAGCACGTGTCCAGACCGCTGAGGAGTTTGGCGCCTACCGCGCCTTTACGCCTGAACCAGCTCCTATGGGGCGGAACGAAGGCCTGCCCTATAATGCCTATGGAGCTAACAGATACGGGCCAGGACCGGCTGGTGGGCGCCCACCTCAGCCTGGACCTGGTTATCCATCAGACAGACATCCCCCACGACGGCAGAGCAGCGAAGTGCGGGATATCATAGACTCGTACTGAGAGCCCGACATCAAGGAATGTATGAATAATGATTAGTGTAAAGAAAGCGCCAAGCAGAATACAGACTCCAAATTTCACCGGATATCTTTCTTCCTGATCTCGCATGCTCTGCTGCCTGTGTTAACTTCAACTTGACTCATGCCGAAAACATTCCGCAGCCAGATCGACTAGCGCGTGTATGCCATCGCTAACTACATCGGGTTGTGCCTTGTAAGTATAAAGGTCGCAACTCTCGCAATAATTGGTGCCGTGTATCAATCCTAATCAAGAATCCCAAGAGGCAAAACTTTGATGTCCGTAGATAAACGTCCATCCAGCTTCATTTTGTCTCAAAGATAGGAGGGCAATTACAATGAGAGTGAGGTGTCCGTCGGGAAATCTTTCTATTCACTTTTGAGCAACCCACCCCGCCCGCAGTCTACATGTGTAACCTACGAAGCAACAGCGGCGGCGCTCCTGAAAAGTCTCAACGCCCCTTCTTCCCCAGCGTCAGCGTACCCATCCGCGTCCTCCCCATTGACACCTTCATCGTCGTCCATCTCCGCCGTGCCTTCTTGCCCACCACCCAGCTGCATCTGCCCAAACAAACTCCCGAAGAACTCTCGCCTCCCTTCGTCCGTCCACGTGCTCCGATCCTCGGCTGCCATGAAGTTCTGCAGCTTCTCGTGCACCGTGTAGCGCAGCTTGCGGCCCTTGCTGGCCTTGGTGTCGACGGACTTGCGGATTTTCGGGTTTTTAGACGTCGGGAGGACGGAGGAGGGGAGGGATGTGGACGAGACGGCGGCGGCGTTGGTGCGGGATGCGATCAGCGCGGTGAGGAGGGACTGGTAGAAGGGGCTGTCGTCGTAGGTGTGGGGCGCTGGGGTGGAGCTGGAGGCGAGCTTGGGGAGGGAGGTGGCGAGGTAGGTTTGGAGGACGGAGGAGATGGTGGTTTCGGAGGAGGCGGAGGCGGAGGTGAGGGCGGAGCGTGAGGCTGAGGGGGCGACTGCTGGGCGGGTGCGCGTGTACCAGTGGTTGAGGGTTGAGTGTCGCGCTGGTAGGCTGGCGGACTCGAGCTCTTGGGAGTGGGTGGAGAGTGAGGAGAGTGGTGTCGATGAGGAGGGCTCTAGCGCTGAGATCTTGCGCTTTTTGGGGTTGGGCTGCGTGGATTCTCTGTGCGATAGGATGTCGCAGCGGATGGCATCAATTGTGGTCCATAATGACAATGCGGCAGCCTCAGCGCTGACCGCGGCCGAGCCAAGATCGCCGTCCTCATCTTCGGGGATGGCCATGTCATTCGAGAGAGTGAGGGCTTTTTGAAGCTTGATGCGGGAGTCCAGAAGGCGGTCGAAAGCCGTCTGCTGCTGCTGCACTGCGGCGCCTTTGCGAGCGCGATCGGCAGCTGACACCGAAAGTGATGATACAACAGCAGACTCGGAGGTTTCTGCCTTGTTGATTGCTCGGAGCTTCTCTCTGCCTTGCAACGAATTGGCGGGCCGATCATCGTCAGAACGTTCGGATTCAGATACATCTGATTCTTCCGACCCATCGACGTCCATTTCTTCGTCTGTAGACTGCTCGTCTGATCGGTCGTCACCTTCTGAATCTGAGTCGAGGTCCATGTCTCTTATACCATTCACAGGTGTTTTTGCCGATGTTCCAGGGCGACGTCGTGGTGGATTGACTGCGCCGTCAAGCTCGTCCCCAGTTTCGTCCTCTGATTCCTCTCCTTCCGCGGGCTCTGAAATGCTGTCATCTGTATCGTTCCTCTCCAAGTTCGCTAGGCCTGAGCGTTCTTTCGTGTTACTTGTCGCAAACGGGTCCTCATCGTCGTCTTCTTCGTCGGGTGCGAATGGATTATCATTGTCGTCCTCTAGATCGGCACGGCTCACAGCAACGCCACTATATTTCTTGTCGAGTTTCATTTGATCCGCTTTGCGTAATTTGCTTCTCCCAACCGACTCATAGTGCTCTCGGCCTCCGACTTGAGGCACATCACTGTCACTGCTCTCATCCTCGTCGTCCTGCTGGTGGAATGGGTCGTCTTCTGGATCGATATCTAGCAATGTCAGTCATTCAACCAGATCGTGGGCTGTGGTCGAAAATACCTTGCGCTCGGCGCTTCTCGATATCCTTAGCGCGCTTCTTCAAGGCCGACATGGCGAGAGACTGCGGTTCAGGTGGCTGTGAAATGGGCGCATCAATTGCTTGAAGTCGCCGCAAGAAATTATTTGAGATTCGCCGCAAATTACCATTTTCGATCTCACCATCACGTGAGCTCGCTGGTTGTTGTCATTTTTGGTTTCCAAGAACTTTGACAGGATATGCGGGGACTGATAATCAACTTCAAGCTCTTCCAACGTCCTCCAATACTGGATGCACTGATCACACGCGTGCTACTGGCTTCGCCGCATTGAGAAAGTCTAGCTCTGTGCGAATGTATGATGGTGCGTATCAACAACAGTTATTCTGACACCCTGCACACGACCAGCTGTCTGCGTGCTTCGGCGCCAGAGAGGTCTTCGTTCCCTTGACTATTGCCACAACTGCCTGAGAACAGCCCAAGGGTAACCTTGCTTAGCGGCAGAGCATGATAACTGTCCTCCCACGGGTTCCATCGCTATTTGTGAGATCCCTCAAATGGCCTTGCCCACTTCCTTTTGGTCGCATCGACTTGAATAATGCGTCGTCCCTTTGGTAGGTGGCTCAGCGTCAATAATGTGTGTGGAATCATGCTTTCTGAATGCTACACCATTATCAGAGCCTGTGGCATTTGGGACATCGGTGAGAACTTTAATGGAGCACTCACGGACACTGGTGTTCAGACTTCTACCGTGGAGATTTAGATGCATTCGCATCGTTGGCATTGTTGGGATCAACTTTATGACTGCTAGAGCTTGCTGTCCCATTCGGCCGCCGTTTTCGTTTGCCATGAACACTCTAGATCTTGGTATGGACAGGACTTTCTGGGCTTTGGATAAATGAAGCTGCATGAGCCAGATACATTGGGAAGAATATGATGGAGGACTACAGTGGAGGCTAAGGCGATGGCCCAGTAGCCCGTTCCCATTGCTAGCCCAATGGGAACGGGAAGCGGCTCCACACAACTCAATCTGGTGCGATGGGGGGCACCGGTCGGCTCATCTTCGCACTGGAAGAGGTCTGCCAGATCAATTGAAGATGCCTGAGTAAGCTATACACATGCTGGTGATGAACATTGTGTTAAGTTGATGATTATAGGTACAATCACTGGTTCAAGCTCGCTCTACGGCTCGTGGAGCCAGAGGGCTCCTTTTCGTTCTTCTCGCTCTTCCCGGGCTACACTTCGGAGGCAGAGTCCTTGGGCCCCCCTGCTGGCGGTTACGCCCCCCAGCCGCCGAAGCCGGACCTGGTACCTGAACCTGAACCCATGGAGGGGGTGTGTGGTGACGATGTCTGGGAAGGTGTAAGCGTTGACGTTGACGTTGCTGCGCAAGTGGCTTCGTCTTCTGCTTGCTCCGACCCAGCATCCTCTCCCACTCCACTCACTTCACAGGGGAAGGTGAAGGCCTGGGGAGGAAAGCGGAAGCGGCTGGAGAAGATCGGCGAAGACGAAGACAAAGAGAATCGCGCCTTGAAGCGCTAGCATTGCTCGGCTTTAAAGCCATTTGAAACACCAAAAAACTTTGAAAAATTGAAAAAGACGGGATGAAAAAGGGGGGGCTTGGAATCTCATGACGACCTCGTCGTCGATCCGATGCGAATAAATGCCTTGCAATGGTGCGATACTGTCACTGCCTTCCAGCGTGGCTCGACCAACAACTGAACCAATGCAGATCTACGAACCGCCCGGCATACCCTTTATTCGTCGACACTCGAGAGCAACAGATCAGTATCGAGTGATGACTCGTCTGTCAGAAAGAGCCTTCTGTGAACTTACGCAGCAGTCTTGTATTCGCCCCCTATACCCAGAATGGTGCCTACTCCAATGCCGGGCACTGCCATTGGCTTCGAGGCCATCGCAAAGGAGAATGTCACACTCTCTGGCACACATCTTCCCTCTTCGTCATTTGCCTTACAATTTACGTGGATTGGCTGGCCAAGATTTTCCAAATCACAACACGTACCAGCCCACTCCACCTACGAGACTACGAGATCCATGAGACGACGATATTTACGAGACGATGATATCGCCAACGCAGAATCCTTGAGGGAAATGAGACGACAAGGTCAAACAGACGACATGTACTGCGAATCTACCGAAAAATCATCATTTTTTGAATTACTTTGACGCAAAAAAGCAAGCTCTTGGACAACCCGAGCTGTATGACCAGGGGTAATTAGTACGGACCGAACCCCGCATGTATCTTGAAGGAAGAATTAGCGAACAGCAGAGCAGGTTTGAAAATGCATCATGAAGAGAATTGTTGCTATGATCATTCATTAGACACGTCGTCGAAAGGCTCACCAGCACACCCCTGACCCTGAGAGACACAATGCGATGAGCTAGTCTCAGAGCACCTTCCTTTCTTTGACAAGTTCACTATGACTGCCACCATATTCGTGGTGGTGCATCAGGAGCGCATCTATGCCGTTTGTGCACAGACTGATGATTGTGTGGTGTTAATCAGCTTCGCGACTCTTGTTAGCCCATCATGGCCTATGCCTCCTCCTCGGGTTCATTGGGAATTTTGTGGAGGATAAGCCCGTGCACGTTCTGTGGAAGAGCAGATCTGCCTCCTTCACCCTTGAAAAGGACCAGTCCTCGCAGCTGCTCGTTGAGCTGGTCATTGGGCGTCCAGGTGCAAGGGATTCCCAAGTCCCAGCAGTTTGTGCAGAGGTCGCTACGATTGTCGGACTGCACACAACGGTGTGTTCTGTTACCGGTTGCTTTGGAGATGCATTGACAGAGGTCACACATCGTTCTCGGTGAACCCGGACCCGAGCCCAGTTTCTGAGGACGATACCCCTGCCAACCTGTGACTGTCGATAGATGCTGCGCGCCGGCGGCCTTGAGTTCGCTCTCGATCACGGCCTCACGCTTTCGCTTTGGCAGATCGCGCGGCAGTCCCGGACCGAAGATTTCCTTGAAGGAGAAAGTCTGGGTGAAACTGTCGAAATGCAGCTGGTGAACACGAGCAATTCCGTAGTCGGAAATCCAATTCTCTTGCTCCGACCAATCCTGTGGCAGCCGCTCTTGCATCAGATATCGGTAGAGACCCATTGCTTGGGAGTGACGCGTAAGAGAGCCACGTTGTCTTGGGTTCTTGAGCTCCTTGAAAGTTGAAGATTGCATGCAGAATTCGCACCAGTTGCCGCGCTCGTCTTGATATTCAAAGTACACACCGACTGCTGCAGCTTGCTTGTGGTCATTCCATATCTCGAGATCTTGCAGACGTGCCCAGGAAGATACGTGAGGCTGTCCATCCAGCCGAATCTCAATTCGTGGATAGACAAGAGTGCCTTCCTTGATGTTGATATTCGCTTTCCTCAAAGCTTCCTTGGAGGACAGGAACTGGAACAAGAGCCGGTCGTTGGTCGCTTTTGAACCAAGCTCTAACAGTTCGTAATAGCCATTGGTCTTGCCCTTCTTTTCTCTGACTCGAACTCTCCGAGGATGCGAATAGAAAGCTGTCAACTTGTCGGGAATGTCAATACGAGTCCAGATACTGCGCTCGTTGGATGCCTCTTCGCTGAGGGGTGTGCTGACATTCAAACCATGCGACGCATCAAAACCGTCACGAAAGACGGCTCCTGGCCAACCGGTCAAGACCTGCACGCTGTCACTAAGGAGCTTGTGACGGTAAGCCGCGAGGAAGAAAGCTCTGTACTTAACAGCCTTGATTTTGTCCAGCTCCACATCACGGCTGCGAGAATCTTCTTCAGGAGTCGTCTCGAATATGGTATTGGTGATAACCCAAGGTGCCCAGGTTTGAAGAAGGTTGTTGAACAGTTGCTCTGCAATCGTTTGGTCAACGGCGGAGCTCAAAATGCAGAGTACAAAATGTTCCTTGACATTCGCCTTCCTCGCCATGCGGTAGTGGGTCTTCTCTAGATCATAGGTGGACTGTGGATCGCCGTGCTTAACATGATCATCGATTCTCTTTGCAATAACCGTACCTTTTCCGACTCGCAAGACTGGTTTCAGAGCAGGGTCGTCGATGAAGGATGAGTATCGATTGACGTAGATTCCCCCTTGTTGGCAGTCTTTTGCATCCTGGAAGCTGCTCAAATCTGACTGTACGAAGTCTGGTTTGTTGAGGATTCCGTAGGATCCAGCTTTCTCGCAGCCTTCGATGATGCGGCTAATGAGCTTGTTGCGTTGGGCGGTGTTCGATATGGTCTTCTTAACATCATCACCCATATCCACTTCTGGTTGTTGCTCATTCCAGGCGACAAGTTGAGCTTCGATGGCTTTGCCAAGCTGTGAGGATTGACCGGGTACCATGTTGCGAAGCCTCGCAGTATCAATGTGGTCTTCCATCGTCACAATTTCATTGTAGCGCAATTCTCCGTAGTAGATAGCTTCGTTGACCTGAATGCAATGCGGAGGCACCCAGTGCTCCTGGTCACGCGCTGGAATAGAGACTTGCAGCCATTCGACGCCGCTCTGCACGGACTTTTTCAAGACCTTGCCTTCGTCACCAATGCGGAGATCGACATGCTGGCCTCTTGAATTATCGAGGTACGCCTGCAAAGCTTTGTAAGGCTTGCCAATCTTTCCAGGGCGGACTGGACCGAATGCACTTCGAGGAAGTGGCCCACGAAGTTCGTCTCTTACGGGTGGGTTGCGGAGGCGATCAGTAAAATCGGTAGCAGAAGATACCTGGAGAGATGCAAGTCGACTGGCCAGGTTTTGGGACACTGGCTGAGCGGACTGGGTTCGCCGATGTTGCGAACTTTGGGAGGTAGTTCGCGAGGAGGGGGTGCGGCCGCTCAAGCCGGTACTTCCAATAATCTGTGGATTATCGGCGACCGAACTTGAACGTTGATGCTGTGGGCAACGACCGGAGCCGGACTGCCGGCGACTGCCAGGTGTAGACGCGTGGGTGGAGGACATCTTGCGAAACCTAGCTGGAGTAGTTAAGATATTCTGGGATTCAGGAGATGTAGGAGCGTGAGCATTATTCTGAAGGCAGTAGTCCTAAATAAATAGCCTTGTTATAGAAGATTGTTCGTTTTTCATGCGCCATCAAGCTTTCACCAGCTTGCCTTTGTACCACGTTGGTGGCAACTCCAACCATCACGAGAATGAAGTGACAAGCAGGTGAAAGGCAGATGACCAACAAGCGACAGACCGCTGAAAGTCTTGGTGATGGACCGCCGTAGACGCTGTGAGCATATTTTGCTTGATCAGAGACTTCCAGCGAGCACGGAAGACTTACGTTGTCGAACCATATGATGATCTTGAAGTCGTTGGAGTAGATAGATGATCAATCCCTAGTCTTTCGCTGTGCCGTTGTTGGCTGTGAACAGCTCGAACGATGTCACACTCTGCGTTCAGATGGCTGCCTCGTCCATGGCGTCCGTAAAACCAGTGCAGCGAGCTTTTCGCCCTTATAAAGCAGCATCAAAATAAAGATACTTTGCTTCGTGATAGAACTTGAGCCAGTAGGTTGTTGCATAATATAGCTCCACTGTCCCGGTCGATCGTAATCATCTGTACTCACAATACGCAATTCCCGCCATCACGTCTACGTTCGCTTCCACATATCGCGTGCAATGCCAGTGGCCGACAAAGGTTGCCGGACAGGGCTCAAAGATATCACAAGCCGCCTACTAGGAGCAAGGCTTGCTCCAGACCAAAGGCCATACCACTGACAGCATGTAAAAATCCCAGCCCTGCCTGCGTTCGAGTGCAAGGCCTGGCTATGGAAGGTATCGAGAAGTGGAGTCTCTGCATGGGCGTTATTCCGTGCAGTCTGTCAACCCCTGGTGCACCAGCTCAACTCCCACACCGCACTTTTCCCTTGCAGCTTATGTGGATGCTGTGTGGACATCTATTCCCGCCACCGCTAGGCGAGAATGTTGGACCATTGGTTTGGCGTCTCCCCACCGTGAAACACGCGGTTGCTCCCGCGAAGTGTGCTCGAGTCCAGCATACCGACACTCGTGCAAATATCGGGGTGCTGGTAGGGAGATACTTGACCGAAACGCAGTTGTGGGAGATATTTGCGCTTCCCCAGAACTTGAGCTGAGTGCTCATGGCTCGTTCGGATCCATAGACTATCATACTTATCCTGTCTCCTACGTAAGGAAGAGCAGCGCTAGCTTGACGAATTCCAGGCGGCTCACACTATCTTTCGAAAAGTTCAGGAATGAATTACTGAGGGGCGGATGTGGTGATAGACAACTCCACGACTCATTCATCGAGGGAGAAAAGTATGTCCTCATGTGGAAAGTCGTAAACCTTGGTCTAAGTGAAAGAACCAAGAGACGGAGTGCGACCAGTGTTGCCGTCTATATAAGATATTTGGGGGCGGCTCAGACCAATGGTACGATCTGGACTGGCTGACAAACTTTCGCATCAGCGGAGCCGCGGGCTAATTCACCTAAGTAAATAGTGAGGAATCTATGTTTTTGGTATCGTATATATGTAGACCTATAGCCGGATCAAAAATGTGCGCGTTGGACCTGTCTCACCCTGCAAGCGCAACCATTAGGACTACCCAGATGTGCAGCAAGTACCAGAGTCTATTCAATATGCCCCCCATTGTAGCGATCGGTCAGCGGGCTCGTTGCCCTGCCAAGACCGCGATATGGGAGAACACAGCCCCACCACCCACACCGTAAGATTCGCCCCTTGGTGTCTCAAATTACTTCCCCTCCAAACTGTACTCGAGATGTTCCAAAAAATAAAGTCGCGAGCGAACACTTTATAGTGGGCTGAACTGGGGATTGAACCCAGGCTTGAACATGTTAGTGGAAATCAAGACAGGCAGACAGCTTGTGCTTACACCTCTTACAACTTTGTGGAATGTACCCAAAGCAAGAATTCTACCACTGAACTATCCAGCCTCGAAGGGTGTGCGCCCATTTTGCGGAAATTTTCTGACTGTTAGAAATATGAATGCTTTTGACTAATCCGGCGACCTTGTAGCCACAGATTAGCCCGCGGTAAGTTTCCGCGGTTCAACGTAGGGCCACCAACGCTAAGACTACGCCTGGAACTTGGTGTCTAGCACCCAAGATTCTTTCGCAGGCCTGGGAACTTTGCAATTTATTTCGTATGCGGCTGACCATCACGAGGAGAAGATCAAGGGTAACTAATCTAGTGGCACAATTGGCCCCATGTGCCGTGAGCATCTATACCTCTTGCATTACTTGCTTGGACATCTAATAAATCAATCAACCTTGATTAAGCATCGTGTTAGCTATCGAGATCCAATGAATACAAAGTTTCGTCCTAAGCGCGTTCACCCCTTGCATCTGTAGCCTTCCCACTGTCATGCGAATATACCTCTCTCGGGACGCTCGACCCTTCTTGAGCGTCCTCTTCGTCACCTTTTGTCGGTAGGCGATCAACGGTGCCGAAGACGACCTCCATCTCTTCGAGTGACTTGCCAGCAGTTTCTCTGAGCACGAAGAAGCTGTAGAAGATAATGGCATAATTGAAGATCGCAAACATCAAGAACGTCCTCCATCCAATATTGTCAATTGCGTATGGAGTGACCTGGGACATCATAAAGTTGAACAACCACTGCGAAGCCGCACCACTCGCGACGCCGATTTCGCGAATCCGCGAGGGAAAGATCTCGCCAATGTACAGCCACTGGATGTCATCAGCGTGTGTCTACGAGGACTGTGGTGGATAACGTACCGGAAGTGGGCCCCAGCTCATGTTGAACGAGATGGCCTCAAGGTATACCATTGCAATACCAGCTGCACCTGCTGATGATATGCTGTCTGACTCGGCCTCGGGTGGGAACTTCAGTACAATGATTGCTATAATCAGCATGAAGCTTCCCATCGCGAAGGCTCCGCCCATGAAAGGCTTCTTACGGCCGACAACGTCCACGAGGAAGAGTAAGAAGACGAGACAGCCTGCTACTTTTACAACGCCAAAGAAGCCAGTAATGAACAAAGTCTTGTTGCCGGCACCAATGGTCGCAAAGATCTGTGGTGCATAGTCTGCATCTGGTCAGTCTTTGACTCTATCGGACAGTGCAGGGAACCGTACACGCTAAGCTCGTGTTGCCCGTAAGTTGTTGACATAGCTGAATGGAAATGGCAATGAACATCCTTAGTCTGTTCGACGGCAGAAGCAGTTCTTTGTAGGTCAGGCCTTCGGTCTGTTGGATCTCGAGCTGCACGCCGGCCAGGATCTCCTGGAACTCGGCGCGGACTTCTGCTGTGTCTTCCCCACCACGCACCCAGATGAGGGAGTCAAATGCTTCCTCATTTCGACCCCTCTTTGCCAGCCAGCGAACTGACTCCTTGACAAACAGCATCCCAAGGCCCATCAGAGCACCTGGCACCAACTGCAGGCCAACTGGGATCTGCCATTGTGTCGACGATGTGTCGGAGACACCCTCAGCGGCGGCGTAGTCTACCCAGTAGCTTACGCAAACGCCTAGGGCAAAGAAGAGCTGGAAGCATGAGCCTAGCATGCCTCTAATCTCCTTGGGAGCCATCTCAGCTGAAAATATGGGGACAAGAACGGTTGCCGCGCCAGTTCCGACACCGCTAATGACACGGCCTGCGTAGAAGAGACCCAAGGAATGGCTGACGACCACTTGCATGACAGCCCCAACACAGAAGACGGCAGATGCCGCCATGAAGCCAATACGACGGCCGAAGCGTGCAGTGACGGGCCATATCGCAAAGCAGCCAAAGAATGCCCCGGCTTGTAGTATTGACACACAGAGCGAGTTGACGCGCGACCGCTCGGCTTTGGTGTAGCGAAAGTCCCGTTGGAAGGAGGGCATGGTTAGAACACCACCAACGATGCCGGTATCGAAGGCGAACAAGAACGAGCCGATGGCGCAAAGCGCGACGACGTAGACGGCACGAAACGTGCCGAGTCGCTTCCCCATTGTCGTGGCGTGTCGTAGCTCTTCTTCGTGATCCTCGTCGGATTCGAGACTGTGTGAAGGCTCACCAAGGAGATGATACGCAGCTGACGTGGGAGACATGGCTGATCATATACTGAGGGACTGCCCCCCGAGTTACGCTTGCAAGCCCTGACACCCCGCGTCCAATGTTCAAGCCGGCAGATCACGCCATGCACCTGATAGGTCTCTCAGGGGAAGGAGGCGTGTTGATCATCCAGAAACAGGCAAGCCGACGTTCCCGTATCCAAGGCGTGGTCGCAACAAGCTATGCGGGCAGGAGCTGTGGTTGCATCAAAGGTCAGACCCGAAAGTGATAGTCCTTGCCAACACTTACCCGGGGTGCGGTGGTGGCCGAAAACGACCTCCAAAAGGACCAGGGGAGGATGTCTGATTGGCGATTCGGCTCCTGCTTCCAGGCATGGCATCTCCAACTTTCTGTGAGCCAAGGGAGTATTGTTCCGCCGCGAAAGCACTTCCAAGTTGGGTGACATTCGCTACAGTTCAGTCCGGATTGCTGATGGTGAGCCGGTGACGAATGTGTAGTGACAAGAGACCCGCGTTCTGAGATCTAGCTTGGCATTGGGCCCCTCTTACCCATTATGCACGCATGAGATTTGACAGGCGGGATCTCCTGGGTGCTTTTGCAACATTCACCATCTAAGCACAGTAGAGTATGCATGCGAAACACGGTGCTACATCTTCCGGCCTGAATGACTGCCACGATGCCAGGGGCACAAAACGGCACATCGAAGCCAAGTGTGCCCGTCGGACCTCCAATCCTACAATGATACGATAGGATCCCCGCACCGTCAGCGAGCGGGATGGTGGGGTTGTGCACATTGTACCACACCCGCCTAGATTGATGGGCAATATGGATTGGCGGAAACCCAGATCGGACTCGTTACCACCATTCATACCCTAACTCGCCTCTTCCTGTTCCAGTGCACCCCAAGTCAACTGTCCGTTGCGCGACCAAGGTAGAATCTCAGTCATGGCGACCGGCAAACGCCCCAACTTCCTTATCATCGTGGCGGACGACCTTGGCTTTTCCGATCCTGGCTGTTTTGGATCCGAGATTCGAACACCCAGCATCGACAAACTGGCAAAGGATGGTGTTAGGTCGACGGGTTTCCATGCTGCTGCTGCTTGCTCGCCCACACGAGCGATGATATTGACAGGAACGGACCACCACATTGCAGGACTAGGGAATCTTATCGAGTGGACCGATTTCTCTGGTCAGAACTTTCCGAAAGGCAGCAAGTATAGTACAGGTTAGCCCCCCCCGAACACCAGAGGGTGACACTGAAATGACCCTTTTCAGCTCCTCAGCGAGGCATGCCTGGCTACGAAGGATATCTGAACCAGAGAGTCGCTGCTCTCCCAGAGGTGCTTCAAGATGGTGGCTATCATACCATGATGGCTGGCAAGTGGCATCTGGGCCTCACAAAGGAACGAAGTCCACAAGCCCGAGGCTTCGACCGGAGTCTAGCACTACTACCAGCCTGCTCAAATCACTACGATTGGCGCCCCGAGGCTGACTTTCCCAAATTCTTGGAGAAGAGCGTAATTGCCTTACACATGGAGGATGACCACTACGTTAAAGAGCTGCCAGATGATTGGTACTCCAGCAATGGCTATGGCGATCGAATGCTACAGTATCTCAAGGAGTGGAAGGAGACCGAAGACTTATCCGAGAAGCCGTTCTTTGCTTATTATCCCTTCTCAGCACCTCACTGGCCCTTGCAGGCCCCCAAAGAATACATCGACCACTATCGCGACGCTTACAAGGAGGGTCCAGAGGCACTTCGTCAAGCACGGCTGGAGCGGCTCATTGAGCTTGGAATGATTCCCCAGGATGTCAAGCCGCATCCGGTGGTGGCGGACGAAGTTCAAGGGTGGGACGAAATGGATGATTTCCACCAGAAGATGTCGGCCACATCCATGGAGGCTTATGCCGGTATGGTCGAGTGTATGGACTACAACATCGGACGTGTCACTGAATACCTTGAAAGCATTGGGGAACTTGATAACACCTTCATCATGTTCTTCTCGGACAACGGAGCGGAGGGCGCTGCTTATGAAGCATATCCAATGGTGTCAGGGCAGTTGATGGATCATCTTGCGAAATACTACAACAACAGTCTCGACAACATTGGCAACAAGGACAGCTTTGTGTGGTACGGTCCTCGATGGGCTCAGGCGGCAACGGCGCCCAGTCGGCTCTACAAGGCTTACACCACCGAGGGTGGAGTGAGAGTGCCATGCGTTATCCGGTACCCGCCTCTGCACAAGGGGAAAGAAGGCTCAATTCACGAGACCTTTGCGACAGTCATGGACATTGCTCCGACGCTTCTAGAGCTAGGAGGCATCAAGCACCCCGCTCCGGAATGGAAGGGCAGAGCGGTCGTGCCTATGCGTGGAAAAGACTTGGGACCTTGGCTGTCCGGTAAGCAAGAGACGGTCCATCAAGCTGACGAGGCCTTTGGCTGGGAGTTGTGTGGTCGGGCAGCCATCCGTAAGAACAACTGGAAAGCCGACTTCATCCCGTTTCCCAAAGGCACTTCGGCATGGCAGCTGTACGATCTGTCAAAGGATCCGGGCGAGACCGAGGATCTGGCACAACAACATCCAGAAATACTGGAGGAATTGCTCCAGCACTGGGAAAAGTACTGCGAGGAGACTGGGGTTGTACCACTGCAACCGGAGCTGGGAGCACGCTTCCACGAGGCAGTGGAAGCCCAGATGAAGGAAGGTGCTTGGATCGAGCTGGAGTACTGGAAGCCGGGTGCGATGGACAATGGCAAGTCCAATTTGGAAAGCTACATTCGCAACATCGACAAGGTAGCCGACCCGCGCCAGAAAGAAGCCGTTGAGGCTTAGACAATAGTCATTTGGTAGACAAGGTGGTGAAACCATACCATCCGTTTACCCATTATCTATCAATTGGTTCGCTGGTGAACACCGCATGGGGAAATCCTCCCATGTGCGGCATGTGCACGGCGGTCGTGGCGGTCAGTGCTTACGGGCGCTCATAGGCCGATGAGGTGCGGAACTTGGGCCGGGGTTGCGCGAGACATGTTGATCACAACGCTGATCCTGCACGACAGCTGGCGCGTCCAGCCAATTCAGGCTGGAAAACCCCCCCCCGGCCAGATCTTTGGGGGCTCCCTCGGCTCCGTTGAGCCTCGAAACGAGCAGGCGGTGCTGATCACGGCGTTCGAGACCCCTGCCGGTACCCATCGCCAGCAGATGTCGGTTTTTGTGTGCGAGGTACCCCACGTCGGGACATCCCACCCCCAGCACCAACCGCAAGCTCAAAGGGTCTTTGTCTGACCTCAAGCTGCCAACTCTCCTTTTGAGACAGCCGTGTCATCTTCTTCATCAGCTCAGCAGGAGCCGCAGCTCAAAAGTGAAGACAACATGTGCCGTCTGACCGGAACCGGTACCTCGAGCTGAACCCTCGGCACGTCCATATCGCGAAAGTGGGGAGCAAGCCTCAAATCTTCCGATCCTGGCCGCCGTGACCCAAAATTCATACCCCGAGCCAGCACCGAAAGAACTAGTGGCTGAGACGACTGTGACTCTTGCCTCTCACCTTCCTTTCGTCCCCGACGACGCTGTTCGCTACCTTGCTGTCACTGCACGGCTGACTGACTACTCGACTGTCTGCGGCTGCACCAGGAGTCTCCAAACGCAAATTTCTTCGCATTCCGATCCCGACAATACCTTGCCCATGACGCGAACCACGATATACACCTTGGCCTGCAGTCCCCTAGTCCTCGAGAAAACATGTATAGGAATACCGCTTCGCTCACGAGCAATAACGTAGCCTCCGGGCCACAGATGCCGCCGGAGAAGCATAATAGTGACTCGGAACCCGACTATTCGGAGATATTGGTTCGGAAGCGCCAACAGATCGATGCTGAGGTCGCAGAATTCAAGGCGGCCAAAGAGAAGGAGTTTCAAGATTTTGAGAGGAACCTTCGGAAGCAGAGACAAAGGCGAAAAAGGCAGTCCAGGCCTTCCAAGACTGGCGAGAGCGACCCCAGACCAGGAGCGTTGAGTTTGCTGGCGCTGCCAAATAAGCACGGCGTCCACACCAATGGCAGTGCTGACCTTTCTCGACAAACTGATCTTGCTGCGGGATCTCGTCCAACTGCGCCACTGAGCAAGCCGACCACTGGCGTTGAGAAACTGAGCATAAAAGGCGAAACCCTCAAACGGTCATCCCTTACGCTCGCTTCGCCACCCTCACCAACTTCGCCTTCAGCACCGTTGAAAGCAGTTTCTCAGCGCCCACCTACACCAGGTGAATCAGCAACTAGAGAAAGGCTTGGGTTCCTAGCCCCTTCCGAGAAGCCGCCTCTGACTCCGCCAACACCTACGAACGAAACGCTTGACCCCTTTGCTGGGGTGTTCACACCAGCGTACCTACCTCTTCTTGAGTCTCGGTCCTCGACAAGCACTGTCAGCGGCAGCGACACTCCATCACGGCATGGCTCGATATCGCTCCCAGGCTCAGCATCGAACTCGATATCGCCACTGCGTCGCTCCGGGAGAGCCCTGACCGAGCCTGTCATCCCAAGCACATCCTTGCCATCGGCGCTCAGAACCGCTTCCGGCACCGCGATGCGGAAACGCAAGCATGTCACATTCCAGCTAGCCGACTCGGCGATCGTAGAGCCCAGCAGCAGCTACGAGGAGATGCCGAGCCCAAGTCCCAAGGACGAGGGAGGAGTGGAGGATGGTATTGACGGACTGCTTCGAGCCGACAGGCATTCGGACGAAGACGAGCCTGCGCCAACCCAAGGGCTCGCCAAGGCCGTGCCTTCCCCTACGCTGAGAGGAAGACTTGAACAGCGAGGGGGAGTGGTACCAGGCGATCTCACGGGTACCGTGGACGGAGGCGCCGGCGTCGGCTTCTTCGAACTGGACGAGGAGTTGAGCTCGCCCGCTCTCGATGCGGCAGAGCCGTTCGTGGAGGACTCGGAGGACGAAGCGAGCAGTCCTATCGAAACCCGCAAGGATGACACATTGAGTGCGACCGAGGAGAAGGCGCTGCTTACCTATGAGTACGGCGGAAGCGTCCCGATTGACATCGTCAGGCCGAGTAGCTCGTGGGTGGGCAGCTTCGGACACTGATCTTGCGTTGTGGATCCAGTACGGACATACAGACATGCAGACTCACAATTGGGGGAAGGTAATTCATGGGTGGGAAAGGGGGGGGTGCATTGGGAGGCTAAAACGTGCATTATTTTTGGGGGGGAGGCAAGCATTTGAAGCATGTATATGATGAGTTTTTTGCTAGAGCGATTCCTCAGCCAGCTTGAGCCAGACATCACTAGGATGCGTGAAGGTCCATATCGAGAGGGAAATTCGACAACACAGATGATGAAAAAAGGAACATCGCATGTTACGTACTGCTTAGGTCTGTGACAAATGCTGCCTATCGATGACTGGATGCCTGGTCTTCAGCCTCGCAGGTCCGATACGAGGCTGAAATTCTGCCAGCACTGCCAGATTGTCATGGAGTTTCATCCTGTAGGTCACACGACAACCTTCAACCGCCTGGCTATGATGGTAGGCGCCACGGCAAGGCGACTGAGCCAGCCTGGCCCACGCCGGCTTGGGATCCGGGTGTTGAGGCGGAACCATCACTCTACCCCCAGCACTCCTAATGCTTTGTCGGCCGGTGTCTTGAAGTTGATTGTTCTTACATTAGACTTCTGTTCACCAGACTGCGATCAGCTGATACTTGAACACCGAGAGTCGTGCCGGCGGAGAGCGGGAGTCGAGCGGAGTCCGCGGCGCCCGAGGGCTCGTGGGGAGGTTTCCCGCTACGTGCCAAGCACAGTCGCGCTAGCTCTCTAAGGCGCTTTGTCCCGCTCCGACACGGTGTTGCTGGAGTCTTCGTATAGAAATGCGAGATGTCTCTCAGACTCAGACTGATCGATCAGGGCTTTTATACGTGGTTTCAGGCGTTATGGTTATGGACTGCCATTGCGCAGTTTTATAAAAGGGGGAATCTTTCTAGCCTCATCGTAGGAAATCCTGCGACTTCTCTCGTTTACCCAGCAGCAGCACGCATCTTTTGATCAGCTCTTGTTCCGCCATGTCGTCTACTCCTCTACCCGCACTGCGATTCTGTGCTCTTCGCCTGGGCAAAAACCCCGGCGCCGGACTCTTGAGGCCCTCCCGCCACCGCGCACGCTACTATTCCCGACTTCACCGCACCGAGCCCGCAACGAAGATCGCCGACTCCCTCAAGCAAGACGGCTTCGTGGTGATCCAAAGCCTCTTCTCAGCCGACCAGGTCCGCCACCTCAACGCGGACATGGACTCGGTCCTCTCGCGCAGCACACCGGGCAAGATCGCCGCCAAGGTCTCCGGCAGCTCCATTCCGGAAGACGAAGCCGTGCAGCGCGCCATCTTCGGCGCCAACACCCGGCGCGTCGACAAACTGCTCGCCCACTCCGAGACCTGGCGCACCCTCGTCGACGACGACGCCCTGCACGGTATCTGCGCGCAGGCACTGGGCGCGACGGGCGACTACTGGCTCAGCACGGCGCAGATGATCGAGATCGGACCGGGGAGCGCCGAGGGCCCCCTGCACCCGGACGCCGGGCTGTGGTGGATGCTACTGGGGCTGGATGACGAGGCGGCGCCGGAGCTGGTGCTCAATTTCCTCGTGGCGACGACGCGGACCACGGTGGCGAATGGCGCGACGGGCGTCGTCGAGGGGAGCCACAAGTTGCCGATCTCAAAGGTGCTCGCGGATATGGAGGCGGAGATCTGGAAGACACCCAGTGAGCGGGTGGAGCAGGTGGAGCTGGAGGCGGGGGATTGTCTTCTTGTTGGCGGCAGGATCTTTCACAGGGGCGGCGCGAATACGACGGCGGACGAGTACCGAAGGGTGCTGTCGTGTATGGTGACTTCGTGTGCGCTGACGCCGGAGGAGGCGCCGCCTTTCTATGTCGGGGAAGACGTCGCGCGGGGGTTTAGCCGGAGGGCTAGGAAGTTTCTTGGCTATGAGGATATGAGGCCTGCGATGGGGGCGGGTTTTTGGCGGCGGTAGAAGGCTGGTACACGAAGATTGTATTTTAGTCGAAAGAGAATTGCATGGTCTTGGAAGGGCCCGAAAAGAGTGCCGAGGGGGACAGGGGAGTGGGACCCGTGGTCGTGCATGAGAAGGGGGGGAAAGGCCAAAATATCGTCTTACTTGTTCCAAGATACCCTCCTGTCAATCATATATTGTAAACCCATTCCTACAACACAGCTGGTGTGTCTGAGGTACGGATGTGACAGTCCTTCTATAGCGGCTTGTCCCACCCCTCAGGCATGAGCAGCTCGGACAGGGACCAACATCTACAGAAGTGGCTTTTTAGTGGCTGACTTCCTCTTGTATAACCCATGTGTCTCAGCGACGAACCTCTCCATGGGACCCATGTCTTTATGGTTGTTGCCAGGCTTGGCGACGAGGCCCTGTGGCATGTTGGACAGATATAGGTCAATACGTTTGCCTGCTCCAGGGTCTGCGGAGAGGTCGATGTCCTCTGCGTGTGAGCTGGACTTGGAGCAGGTGGTGTCGATCGTGGCTGTCGGCCCCGACCCAGCTCGGTGGAGGTAGGAATAGGGCTGCGAGTTCATGAGGTCGACGATGGGCCAGTGAGATGTCTTGGGGTGCTTGTTGGTTGTAGCTACGACATCATGAGAGGTGGTTCGATGAGTATGCCTGGACAAAGTATTAGCAGCGCAGTGTGATAGTGGGCATTGGAGAGTGTAGGCACATACTCATCGGTAGTGACGGGCTTGGCATTCCGCTCGGCAGAGGCAACCACTTTGTAAGTGGCAGGGCCGCGATCAGAGACATTGATGTTAGTGGCCATAGTGATGGGGGATGGTAAGATTAACGAGTCTTGCTAAGGACAGATAAGCAGGCAAGGCAGGGTCACGGTCCGATGCGTATACTGGGAGGGAAGACGGCCAACCTCGAGGAGAGCTGTGCGTCTTATAATTCTGGTGGTCCTGCTTCCAGAGAAGCGCAATGGCTCCATAAACTGCATTTTGAGGGGCATCACAGCTCTGCTACGCTTCGGAACAAGCATAGCATTGATGGGTCCAGTGTAGCAAGGTCGTTAAATGGTGAGGGAGTAGTTGCTAAGATCCGTACGGTGCAGGAAACCAGCGCCAGGTCATCCCAATTGGTGGCAACATCTGCAAAATGCGGGTCTTTGCAGCCGTAGATGATGGTAGCCAGTTCGTCGCAGATGGAATCGGGCTTCAGCTTTATGATCACAAGGAAGCTGAGAAATCGCACTTTGCAAATGGTACTGCTGCAGGTGCGGAGACGTCTAAAAATCAGGCTGCAAAATGCAAAAATGTCTGGCCTTGGTAAGCGATATTGGCTGTGCTTGTAGATGTGGGTTTATCACAAAGAAGGGAACGCATTTTAAGCGTACAAGCAGGCCAAAGATCTGCAGTTTACAGATGTGGAGGTGCAAAATGCAATTTGTCTACGCAAAATGCATGACCCAGAGCACAAGTTGGCGGTGTAAAGCGGTGACACTCGCGTACACGTAGAGGCTTATGTGGAGGGCGTTTCTTCCTGGGAAAAACTGCAGTTTGCAGATGTGCAATTTGTCTGTTGTTGTTGGCAGCAACCTATTGGCCCAGGGAAGCAGGGACGGGCAACCACCCTGGCCCTACCTCGTCTCGGCAGCTTCGCGACTCACTGACCCTTGTCCTCCAGCCTGATGCCTACAAGTACACCCTGGTCCGCTTTGCCTTCACCATGTCTCATTCTCAGGACATCGAGCGCGTTTCGAGCAGCTACATCGTTCCTTCATTGGAGAATTTCATGCATGCTGCATCATGGCCAAGGACTGGGCTCCCCTACAGGAAGATGTTCGCGATCTGTACCATCTCAAGAACAAGCCGCTCAAGGAGGTGATGCGCCTCATCAGAGGCCGGCACAACTTCATCGCATCGTGAGCCACACTCGCACTTATCAAGACGTGCACTAAGCAACAAGGGACAGCGAGCGTGCTTATCGTACACAACTGCAGAAATGGGGCTATATGAAGTATAACACTCAAACAACCCCATACCAGCGCTCCAAGCCAGCTCCGCGCCGCGACCAATTCTCTCAGCCTCGGAGGGTCGAGGTACCATCTGGCGTCGCCGCTCAAGGGTAAGGTTATCTGTTACATCTCCTCGTGATTTCTGTGACATGCCATGACATGTCAGATCGGCTTACCTTTCACTTGCAGTCCCAACGCTTTACACAGAAACGTTTACGCAGAAGACCTTGTCAATGAAAGAAGCATGGCTCCGATGAATGCCAGCTACGACGTTTTTGATGAGAGAGTCAGCTCAGGCATAGCGTTCCCATTCGCCTCGAGCCATTATGACCCCGAGGGCAAGACGCCACTGCACCATGCAGTCATCAAAAAGGACCTTGAACAGGTCCGCAATCTGCTCAATGCTGGCGCTGCAGTCGACATCAAGGACTTTACCGGCAGTGGCTCATTGCACTACGGTGTCCTTACAGCAGACCTGCAGTTCGTCCAGCTGTTGTTAAGATATGGCGCGGAGGCTAATGCCAAAGGTCCCTTTGGCCGCACACCGCTTCATCAGGCCGTTTCCATGTCCAATCTTGCTATCACCGAGACTCTACTCCGTAGTGGCAGTATGGTTTCGGAGCTGGACGATAATGGTGATTCGCCTCTGCACATAGCTTCGAGACTCCCTTACAAGGAATGTAGAGGTGTACCTCCACTCATTACAAGGCTCCTGCAGTCCGGAGCTGACGTTAACTTAGTCAACAAGAACGGTCTGACCGTCTTCCACACCCTCCTGGATCAGCCTTTCACCGCCCCCTTCTATTATTGGGATTCGGACCCACGTTGCTGTGTGAGAGCTACTATCTTGACATTCTTCGACCACAATGCGAATGTGAAGACGCCTTTTCCAGATGCCAGAACGCCGATGCAAGTCTTCCTAAACCGATCTGGATATGGCTGGGCTTACAAAAGGCAGTGTAGTCAGCATGCCGCAGCAAACTTCAGCGAGGCGCGGATCATGTCGGAACTCCTTGACAGATGCGATCCGTCGGAGCTTTCTATGGCTGGCGGCGAGTCGCTTGCTCACTACTATATCTGTACCATCTGGGACCGCTGGAGGGTAGATTGCTCATGGGCGAGCAAGCTATGTCAGCTTGCGGAGCCACATCAACTTCCCAGCAACGGCAATTCGCTCCTCCACGAGCTGATGTGCAAGCCCAAACCCGCGACGGACAGTCTTGTGGCTGACCTCCTGCGAAGAGGCTGGGATCCAAATCAATGCAACAAGCACGGACAGACTCCTCTCCATCTGCTTCTCCAAGTGCCAGAAAATAGAGTGAACCGGCCAGTGATTGAAAAATTACTTGTCATGATGTCCAATGGCGGGGCCAATCTGTGGATCCGCGACAATAAAGACACCTCGGTACTTTCTAAAGCTGCTACGCGCTTCATGGAGAAGGATCCCAGTCTCATCAGGGCCCTTCTCCGACTCGAGATCGATCGCGAAGGTGTCAACCCCGATGCATGGACAGGATGGGAGTCTGCCAGAAGGGTCGCGACATTCGCCGAAGTGCGACAGCACCTTAACGTTGAAGCGACCATCTCGCCGCCAGATCTTGACCATCGAGTGCGCAAGGAAGCATATGCCGCGTTGGCCGAGAAACATCTCGAACTCGCTAAAGAAGAGTTCCCGGACGGCGTGCCAGACTACCGGCGGCAACGTCGAGCTTACATGGTTGATATTCTGAAGAGTTGCCGGGCCTGCAACGTCACCATTGATATGCGTTTTTTCGATGAATTGCTGGAGCTTTGTTGATCGACAGTGCCGACTCATTGAGCCAGCATTGGTCTCGCCCGCCAACTTTACCCCTCGGGGCAGATGCCAGCCTTTTCTACAGTCCTGGATAGCGAATGGAGTTCAAGACACTGCGGCGTCTGCTGCGGATTCACAGGGAGGAAATACGCGCGGGACGAATATCACTAGATCCATATATTCGCCCAGTTCTATCCAAGCGCTGCCAACGGGACCATATCGTTCAGTCTTGGTTTTCTCGAGCCAGAGACAAGTTAACAAGTGAGGCCTCGCGCCCCTAGTAATGCCATGCCACGCCAAACCCAGCGCCTCACTATACAGGGTCCCTGGGACGGGCATCACCATCCACGAGCATGATTCTGCGTATGTCACTATCGCAACAACCTCCCAGCACGGTCCCATTCTGGCTCAGTGGGTTTTATGTGCTGGTAGTGCAAGTGGGTCATGCTATATGCTACTAGCGTCAGCACCAAGCAGCTTAGTGGTGGCCCACAGCAATACGCCTTGTCTCCACCAGGTCTTAATCTAACGTCTCTAGCTGTGTATCTTGCCAGCGCCCGCATCTGTCGGCTGAGACTGTGAGGTTAGTCACCGGAATGGATCGCAGTCGAAGAGCAGGTTTGTACGGGAGCGGCCACGAAGAGTGAGTCCCTTCTCTAGGTCATACTAGGTAGTGACAGCAGACAGGCTGAGCGTACATCTGGCAGAGACACGTCGAGCCTAACTACAGCTCAGCACGGGCGCTTTACTGTCTGCTCGAAGAAGGGTCTGTCAAAAATCGAGTCCTAGCAGCATCAAAGACCTTGAGGCAGTGTTATTGCCAAGATGCCTGGCCCATATGAGAGGGTATAGTCTCTGCCAGTGACTAGTCAGCACGGAGTCTGCGATTCAATGGGTGCAACGCGCGCTTTAAAATCGGAGCCGGTGCGTCGTCAAATATCCACATCATGAGGCTTTCGTCAGGGATGTCCGTTGAGTACTGCTTCGCAGATGGCGTCGCTTGCATAGTCAACTGCTGAAGCACTGAAGTATATAACGATCGCAGACGGCCCGTCCCGATAATCACTTCACTCCCAGCATTCTGTTGGTTTCAGATTTTTGAAAATAGACTCATTTTCTTCAGAACGAAGTGAATATTTACGGTTCTTTTCTGCGTGCTTCGTTGTCAAGAATTGCACGACCAGGTTCCGAAGATGGGTCTGCTCGCTTAGGTGCAGGGTCGTCTGCTTGTCTTACAGAACTGCTGAGTAGGGGCAATGATATAGTTGGATTCTGGTGCAAAGTCAAGTAGACGCCAGTCCACTTTATTGGTTGGATCCGTCTACTCTGCATCCCCTCATTTACCCAGGCGTCATACCTGTTTCCAAAACCACCCACATAGCTATAGAACCAAGCAAAGTGAACAAGAATGCCGACTCCACACCATTCCCGTGCACCAATCGTTCTGTCGTAAATCCTTGTGTCAAGAGAGCCAGGCGCTCTGGCTCTAACGTAGGGTAACGGCTCGAAAGTGTTTCGATCGATTGACGGCGGCGAATACCCTCATGACGAATTCGAATTATCTGCGCACGACCATGGAGAAGACCCGCCACTTTCAGCGTACGCGTTTTTGATATCGACCACGGATCCATATGTGCCGCCAATCATCAGAAAGAATCCGGAGACAATGACGAAGGTTGTCCAAGCCACCATGGCATACCACTTCCCGGTTCTTGCCTCGCGCCAGTTATCGTATAGCCACATGCCCCCCATCGGTTGAAAGCACATGAGAGTGCCGAGGAGTGCACCGATAAGCGAGACTAGACCACCAAAGACAGGGATCGCACTTGCGATGATGTACGAGATGACGGTCACACCGAATGTGCATCCTAGCCATGTAGCCCAATGTCGGAAAGTCGGGTCCGTCAGATGATACGTACCTCGCAACATGCGGACAAATATGTATTTTGCTGCAATCTGGGAGTCGTCAGCCATATTCGGTGTGAATGCGGAGTTCAATACTTACGTGTACGAAGAGAAGAGTGCTGACACACAGGCCCGGCAAAGCAAGGCCATAGCAAACCTTCTTCAAAAGAACTCCTGCCGACCCTAGCGCAGGTGATGCGACAAAGCTTCCACAGTAGTAATACACCACAACACCAATAACGATATAGGTGACGGCAACCACGGACTGACAAAGTAGAAGTGAGCGGGTGTAGAGCTCCGGTACACGCATCTCTGATGCAATCTGGAAGAAAGCAGGCGTACCAGCCCATGCGAAGACGATGGAGGAGCAAGCTGAAATCGCTGACTCGAAGGTTGGATGGCCAACGCCTTTCCAGTCGGAGTGGAAAGGACCTGGAGGAGCCGCGGCAGGTTTATCTTGAACGCCCACAGCAATTGTCAGGGTTAAGACTATTGGCATGGGTGTTAGATCGTGTGCGACGAGGAGTTGCAGAGCGTGACTTACTTGCAGTCAAGATAGAGGTCGCGCCAACCCACGCCAACCACGAGACTTCATGGAGTGTTTGAATACTTCCTAGGGCACAACCAATAATGGCTGCTACCAGGACAAAAATCGCCGTACAAGCTCCGTGGCTCGACATGGCATTGAAAGAGATTGATATTCCTAGCATACCCGCTCCAGCAACGAAGATCCAAACTGTCGGAGGTCAGTGGTCAAGAACACCAGTAGTGACACGGGACAGAGTAACACTTACATAGGACGAAAACAACATAGAAGAACTCTCTCCCGGGCCTACCAAACAGCTTGAACCCCACATCATCGATACCGTAAACGGATGGATGGTTCTTCTTGAAGACACCAATCTCGTAGTTGGACCATGTCGTGATTACCCCGATCAGAATTAGTACGACGAGGCCCGGCCCCATACCTAGTGTGTCTAGAACAGCGGGAATAGAGAGAACGCCCAAGCCGATTTGCGTCTTGATCATCAACACGGCAGTTCCAAGCCATCCGACCTGTCCAAGTCAGTTTATCTCGACACCGGCCGAGGGCTTTTTCGGAGACTATTCACGTTTCGGTAGTTGGGGCCGTCTTCCTTGATCTCGCCGAAGATATCGTCAACGACCGAAATACGACGACCTTGGGCAGACATGCGCCTCTCACCGGGAGGGAACATCTGGTAAATCGATCCCCGCTTGGCATTTGGGGCAGGATGGTCCTCCTCGACGTACTGGACACCTTTCTGGGATGATGAGGTCTCCATGTTTGGAGATCAGAGGATAACGGCGCGTACTACTCACAAAGGGTTGCATCTACCAAGTGAAGAGAGCTCAACAGCAGCTGAGCAGCAGCGAGCGAATCGGCCATATAAACACCTACCAGCCTGGTGGCCGCGTCGGCAGTAATTTCCAGCATCGAGCAACGAGCTCGTCGTCTAAACCATGTCGTGGTCTGGTCGGCAGTAATTACCAGCAAGAAGCTCGCAGAACTAAATGTTACTAAACCATGTCGTAATAGTAACCAAGTAGAGTTGGGCGACAAGCTACCCCTCTGGGGTCTGGGGAAGTTTCCACCGTATGCGGGAGGAAGATCCCATTGGTTACCAACCAAGAGCATTTGTCGAGCTCTTTGAGATGTTTCAGCCTTCTAGAGTGGCAACCTTACAGAGCATAGCTTCAGAAAATGGCAATCTTGGTCGCCCCTCTTACAGTCATTTGCTTTGACCTGAGCAACCAAGTCCTCTTTGCAGCAGGGCGAGGCTGGACCAGAATTTACAGAAAGCTGTTGATAAGCGTCAGCGGTTGTTGCGCTCAGATTGCAGCATGAGTTTCCAAATAGGTGGTCAACGAAAGACGGCAAGAGTGTCGATGCAAGAGGGCATCTATGTGCCACCACGCTGTTGAGGAGACTTGGTACGTGACATGACCGTCGAAGGTGAATTGGTTGAGGAGCGGCCAAACGAGACCAATAGCGAGAATAGCAATAGCGTTTGTGCCTAAAAGAATTGGTCAAGCAGCGCCAGAACAAGTAGTAGGGGAAAGGGGGGGGGGCGAGGGAAGGATGTGACGACATCCACAGCTGTTGCATGCGGGTGACCTCTTCCGAGCCGCATATACTCTGAGCGTCGTCCAAAGCGCCCGTAGTCCAAACTTTTTATTACGCACGTGGCGGAAATAGTGTCAAGAAGCTAAAGGGAGTGTATCCTTGAACAGCCCGGAAGAAACATAGTCTGTGACCCGGCAAGCAGGGCCGGCCCGACGGGTATGCTGACCGCACATGGAATGGGTGCCTGAAGGAGGACCTGCTGGAGCCCCGTCATGGAAAAGTTCGTGGGGTTTTCGCTGGCGGTGGTATTCCAGCCCACAGCTCCTTGAATATTCTACGTTCACGCCGCATCGGCCAAGTTGTTCGATCAGCGGATGGGCCAAGGAGTCCTCGATGGACCTGGCACCCATCGATTAGTTAGATAGATCGGATCTCCAGAGATTCCTTCCTCAAGGCGTTATCACTGGGAGGATTGATCAGCATATAGGAGGTATGCTACGGCCAATATAAAGCTGCATCGAATCAGAAGACGGGCCAAGATACCCGTGTTGCCCAGCCTTGTATACAATTCCTTGGTCCCATTAGTACACCTATATGCCAAGTAAATCACTGCGAGGCAGCGTCCGTATTGCAAAGCCAGCTTTAGCGTGGCCTCGTCAGACATGACCAAGTTGTAGCTGTTCTGCTCGGGTGTAGCAGACTGACAGCAGAAACGCCGCTCAGCGCGTGGTTTCACCACTCACGTATAATCAAAAATGACATGCTCCTTGGTCATGAAACAGCACGACTTGCTCATGTCGACGAACCGCCGTTCGTCGTTGATCAGCGCCTCACTGGCTTTGCGTGCCTCATCGCCGCCCTGACTGGCGGCCGGGTCGGCGATCCATACTTCGGTGATCCCATCCAGTGGCGCCGCAAACCCACGCTCCGTCATCATGCCGGCATTAATCTCCGTTGCCATTGCATGGCTTTGAACGTACTTGGCCATGTTCGAAACGTCCGCGAAAGAACGCACGAGCGGCCCATGGGGGTCCAGCCAGGTCTCGTGGCACGCCGCCTGCGTGAGGTCGTTGCGCTTCGTCAGCAAATAAGTAACTTTCATTGACTGCTCGCCCAGCGGCTTCTTATCAGTGTAGTCAAAGATCATGTGCTCCTGCGTCAGGAAGACCTGCGATTTCGTGATATCAATGAATATCTCCTCGTCAGCTGCAAGCTCGCCGTGTGCGACTCTCCCTTCAGCTGAGGCATAGGCTGCCTCGAAATCTTCCAAGCTGTCCCACCACACCTCAGTGATACCCGCAACCGGCGGCAGCATCCCACGAGTGCTACGCAGCACCTCATTGTGCGGCGTGTCGATCAAATGGCTCTGCACATATTTTTTTGCGCGAAGTTTCTTCGCATGGCTGCGCACCAGCGGGCCATGCTTGTTCAGCCAGTACTCGTAGAACGCCGCCTCCGGGACATCGGAACGGCGATGGATCACATAGACGAGCTTGATCATGATGTAGGTTGTTAGTAGCGAAATGGTCAGTCTAGCGCGCTTGACGAGGTTGATCAATTTATAGAGCTATGCGGTACGTCTTGTTAATCTCAAACAGACTCACCCGGGAGCCTGCCGAGGGCCTCGGGCTGCTTCATCCATCGTCGTTTGGTCTGACGCCTGTGTCTGCACGCCTAACAGCTTATGTCGTTAGCTTTTCCCCATCGCGACCGCTCTCAAATGCCATTCCTGGAGCGGGGTAAGTGGAGTCAAGTTGTTGGACTAGCTGAAGGACGGCCTCAAGATTCCTGACAGAGACTGTCAAAGAGCCCGAAAGAATGAGATCGGGTCGAAGCGGGTCACTCAAATTGTATATGTAAAGGGAGGAGATATGTTGTGGGTTGTGAAAGTGGCCATGATGCGTAGTCAGCACAGACGCAGCAAGGCTGTACCCCAGCCTCGGGAACCTGATTCGTGACACTATCTTCGTGAACATCTATTGTCCATCTTATAATACCTTCCCACGTTTCCGTGCTCGCCATATGATGCGCATGAGCAGATGCTTCAGCACCTGCAGCCGCACCCTGAGCCATGAAAATCCTCTAGTACGTGCCATTATTGCCCGCATCGCCCAACCCGCAATTCAGACGCCAGCTCCTTGTCTACCGAGCCAAAACTGATGCCGTCGCGTAACAGAACCTCCCGCGGCGCGGCCCTCCCAAGGACGGCACGCCACCTACAGTCCCCCGCGCTCAACGTGGTCTCCCGCAGAAACGGCCGATCCCCCATGTGAAGAAGGTCGTTGCAGTGTCTTCGGCCAAAGGCGGCGTGGGCAAATCCACCCTTGCCGTGAACCTCGCACTGGCCCTCTCTCGACACAGGCTTCGCACTGGCATCCTCGATACGGACATTTTTGGGCCTTCTATTCCGACGCTCTTAGGCCTTGAGAAGGCCGGCCTCCCAGATGTTACCCAAGACGGCAAACTTGTACCCCTCCGCAGCTTTGGCGTCGGAAGCATGAGCATGGGCTATCTACTAGGGAAGGGCAAGCAGGCGAGCGGAGATAAAGAGGGGAGCGGCGCTGGGTCTGATGAGGGCCCCGTCGCATGGCGCGGGCTGATGGTTATGAAGGCGCTGCAGCAGTTGCTGCATGAAGTGCAGTGGGGCGGGTCGGCGCAGAGTCCGGAACTGGATGTGCTGGTGCTGGACATGCCTCCTGGCACTGGAGACGTGCAGCTCACGATCGGGCAGCAGGTGACGGTGGATGGGGCCGTCGTGGTGAGCACGCCGCAGGATGTTGCGTTGAGAGATGCTGTGAGGGGCGTCAGGATGTTTGAGACTATGGGAATCCGAGTGCTCGGGATGGTGAGGAATATGAGCGTATTTGTGTGCCCGAAATGTGGTGAAGAGACGAAGGTCTTTGCGCACCGGGGTGGCGGGGGATTGCAGGAGAGGATGGAGCAAATGGGGGTGGAAGTACTGGGTGAGATCCCATTGGATCCGCAGATATGCTATGATGCTGATGCGGGTACACCAACCATTGTGGCGGAAGAAGCAAGTGGGCAGAAGGTGAACAGTCGGTTCTACGAGGCGATCGCACAGAAGGTGGCAGCGCAAGTGGGCTTGCCTTGGACTTGAAGAAACTCAGCCAGCCAGACAGGAAATCTTCTGTTGACGAGGGAGATTTGTGCTGCAGCTCAGGACCGCGTCGTTCGCATGCTCACGCTCCAGCATTGTTCCCTTGGCTCGAAAATGCCATAAGCGGCCAGCTGCAGACGGAACCGCAGCGCGGCAAGCAGATGCCGTGTATCGGAAGCATCAGCAGGCAATGAGAAGAGAAATGGACCGAAATCGGTGCTCGTCGAGATTTCTCTGAGGCACATTGTTGGCGTCACATCTGACGTTGTGTCACGACAACTCCTGCTACGGCAACCCAACAACCCCGGATACATCGAGATCTTAAACGAACGTGCATGCGAAAAGGCCTGCTCGTGCCACATCAATGATGTGATCAGGAGGTGATGGATATCGACACCAACGGTCATCCAGGGATGCTGAAACATTTCTCGGTAGTGAATTTGTTTCACTGCTGAGTCACCTGGTGCGCCAGCATCGGAAACCAACCTAATCCCCGCGACGGAGCGTCAGCTGAGCTTACGCTACATGCAAAAGCGATATCGAAGTCACCGCGCGAGGCCTCCTCTTGAAAGTACTTTCATGGTCGTTGCATCTGGTGCCATTGACCACGCCAGAATTTCTTACGCGCCCCTCCGTCGATCAACCGTATGATACACCAAGTTCGCAAACAGATGGCCACAATCAATACACCGAAGAAAACACCCAACGCGAAGACCGAGAACACCAAGTGTCCACCCACAGCACGCAGCAGTCCGCCCACAGCGCCGCAGCCACTTCACCGCTTCCCACAGTCGTCAACTCAGAACAGCCCCGCACGCCGCGGCCTGGACGCCCTCAGACCAGCGGAGCGCGCCATGCATGCTTTTGTGCTCCGCACCAAGGGCCAGCAAGCAGCGGACGAGTGGTGGGCCAAACGCGTGGAAAGCAAGCGGCGGGTCAGGGACATCGTCCGGCGCCGCGGTGTCGTTGAGGCTGCAGAGTCTATTACAAAAAGACAGGAGGAGCCCAAAGGGTGACTGATAGCGCTGTCGTCTACGACGGAACAGGTCAATAACATGGCATAAACCCCGGCACCGGCGAGGGGCGTTTCCTTAGAGGCCGTGCGGTTTCATGATTCAAGTCTATCGTCCCAATGCTTTTTCTTACATCACTCGGCGGCAATTCTCGCCGCATTCGAACAGACCAGTGATGCTCTCTCCCTGACTTCGCTTGTCTTTCTTCGGGAATATTATACATCGGAGCCCACTCTGGGCCGTTCGCCTCCCATCTATGCTGCCGGAAGAGCCGGGCGCCCTAGAAGGGGGGCAACCAGAATGGATAGCCCCCGTTCTTGATGCGGAAGACGCTCATCAGGAAGCTGTACATTCCAAGGACAACGCTTGCCCAGATGATGCAGGCAATTTGCTGCATCCGCGGGTCCGTCATGCGCGGCACCTTTAGGCCCAGGGCGATCGTTGCGAAGGCTAGGATGGCGTCTGTTCGTTAGTGTTAGCAAGTAGTTCCAACAAGCGTTCAGAAGGATTCGGAGAGGAAAAAGAAACATACACATGGCCGCCACGATCTGTGTCTCCATTCCGTACTGGTTCTGAAAGCCGCCCGCAAAATACACAATCTTTCCTTTGCTCCCCGTCACATATGGCACCTTCCGGATGTGGTTGAACATGTGTCCGCTCGTGAAGAGCAGGATCGTGATCAGGCTGACCGCAGCCCACAGGTTGCGCGACCGAATAACGGGCAGGACGTACGGGTACGCCACTGTGCCGAATGTGAACATCCCAATCAAGATCGTGATGCTGACGACGATGCGTGTGTAGTTGACTGGCCGTTTGAGAGCCGGATATGGTGTCTCCGGGTCCGATGGCAGCTGGCGGAGCAGCCAGGCGTGTGTGCTCTCGGCGGACTGAGAGCCCAGGAAGTCCATCCGCAGGGGTTGCCCGGATGATGCAGCGTGGGGCCCAGTGGTGGGCGGAAAGAGGAACAGCACGGGTGCGGTCTGCAGCTGCAGCTTCATGAAGACATTGCGGCCGTTGTCGAAGTCAAGGGTTGTGAAGAGGACGCGCGAGGAGCCCTTCTTGTCGGCCTTCTGCCAGGATGAGGCGAGGATCTTCCATTCTGGATCAAATTCGCGACAGAGCGCGCAGGCATATTTGGCGGGTCGGGCTGTCAGGAGGACTGCGGTATAATGATCGCGGGGCACCGCAGTGAGGGTTTCGTAAGAGTGTTCATCGATTTCCACAGGGAACGGCTTTGAAACGAAGGTGTCGAAAGGTGAAGCGAAGGGAGAGGACTTTTTGGCTGCGAGGGCTGTGAGAGGCACCAGCGCAAGAGTGATGAGGTTCAGCAGCCGCATAGTGGGCGATGCGATATGGTACGGCGTAGAGAAGCACTGCTGGTAAGAGGGGGTTCATCGGGATGCGTGTTCACTTTGGAGCATTTGATGCCAAGATTCAGCCTCATGAGTGGGGCTACATCCAGCCTTGCATCTTTCCGTATTGGGAAGATAAACAGAGGTCGCTCGTCGAAAGCCGCGTCCTGATGCAGCCCACTTTCGCAGCTGTTTGCACCATAACTTCAAACATATTTATTTGCATATTTGCTTCTTCAACATGGCTACTGACGTAGAGTATATGCATCCCGAGGAGATTGCGCAGACGTTGAAGACCTCCCAGCTCGAGCACACTTATCAACGCTGTTTACGCGAAGCCGAGCGGATCTACGAAGAGGAACGAGTGCGCGCGCTTCGTGTTCAATTGATGCTGCTTGAAGACGAGAACGACGAGTTGCAAGACCAAGTCGAACAAGGTCATAACGAGACGGAGAAACTTGAAGACAGTAACGACGAAATGCGCTCTCGGTTAAACGAGGTTGAGGCCGATCTGCAACGAGTGCAGAACGAGCTCAAAGCGCGCACACGCGACATCGAACACTACAAAGCCGAGATTGAAGCACACAACGCTGCGAACTCCGAGGCTACCAAGGTCTTGTCTGAGAAGTTGGCACTTTCCCGCGAGCTGGCCACCCTTAAGCCTGAGTTAGAACACCTCAAGTCAACCACCACATCCCAGCAGAATCTCCTTGCGGAGAAGCTTTCACTTCAGCGGGAGCTCAGTTCAGTCCAGGTCGAGCTTGAAAATGAGAAGCGGACTGTGGCACGGCTCCAGACACAACGAGAGGCCTCTAACCACGACGACTCCGCCCTTCACACTGAGATTGATGACTTGAAGAAAGAGCTGGCCAAGGTGCAGAAGGATCTGCAGAAGGCAGGCCGTGAGAACATCAAGAAACAAACCGATTGGGAGTCTCAAAAGGACAGCTTGGAATCTAAGCTTGACGCTTTCCGCACCAAACTTCGCACGACCAAGGAACAGCTTAAAGAGGCTCTAGATGAGCTAGAGAAAGCTCAAGCCGCCAAGATGGCTCAGTCTGCCGAACTGACTAAGGCACGTCTGGCCGGCAAGATGGCTCCTCCACCTGTTGCTGCCGGGCCCTCTGTCAACCCACGCAAGCGTAACATCGCTCGCTTCGATCCCGACATGACCATTGGCACACCTGGTCAAGGTGGTCCCGCCTCTAAAAAGCAACGCACCTCTGTCAATATCGGCGACAAGTCCACGTTCTCCATGACACCCTTCCTCAACCGCACGGCAATGAGTATTCTTCCGGAAACACCCTCCGAAGAGACAGCCGCTGCAGCAGTCGAGGACAACAAAGACAGCAGCCCTGACGAGGAGATACGCAAGCACATTGACTCTATAATTGAGGAAGCTGAAGTTGAAGCCGAGCAGAAGAAAGCTGCTAAAGCCGCAAAGGAGGTGGCCAAGCCTGCTCCCAAGAAAGCCGTTTCGGCGGTAGCCAAGGGCAAAGCTGCTGCGCCCAAACCTTCTCAGCCATTGAAAGAAAGCACGAACTCCAGAGGCAACAAAGCTGTTCAAAAACCCGCTCTCGAGAAGGTCATTGAGGAAGAGCCATCGGAAGGGCCCACTAGCGCTGTTACTGTACCGCCCATGCAATCCGAGAAGCCAGCTGGTACCAATCACTCTGACCAAGAGAATGTCGATGACGAGCAGCCAGCTAAGAAGAAGCGCGAACCAAAGAAGAGGCCTAACATCTTTGACGATGACGACGAGGCACCTACGGAGAAGCCGAAGAAGGTTAAGACCCTCAAGGTGCTCAACAAAGGTGGCGGCGCCGGCAGCCTTGGTGGATTGGGTAATGTGAGTCTTCTGGCAGGTGGTCCCTCTCTTAAGAGCAAGAAGACATTCGCCGAGTTCAGCCCTCTGAAGAAGGATAGGAAGATTGCCACAAAGGCTGGCGGGGCATGATTCATGAGTCAAGTGTAACTTGGAGGACTTGTATCAACGACGGCAATGTGTACATGAAGATCACTTGTGGAAACGGGTTGGGTTTGTGTGCATTCGATGCACAACGATTGGCGTTGCGAGAAGACCCGTCAGCGAGGAGGACGGGCTGGTTTTGGTTTCGAGATGCACGATTTTGGCACTACAGCACCATTCATCGAATCTGATTATTGAAAGCAAGCTGATAGTATTGCTATTCCTTTCCCAGTCCTAGATGCATTTGATCCTGCACGCCGGGTTGGATTGAGTCTGCCCGATCTCCTTCAGCAGTATAGAGAAGTCAGCCACGCCGTACTCCTGGGAATTTGTCTACTACGGTGGCCTGCAGACCCCACTGTGCAACAACTCTATCTGGACCGCTAGTATAGGCGCACGCAACTGTAACCATCGCTGCTATACGTCTCGACCATCAGAGATGTTAGCGCTCTGGCAAGGGCTTTGGAAAGACAAGATCCACGTCAGGCTTGTTATAGTTGCCTATTTGATGCCGACACAAGAATGCAAACCATGCTCCACCAGTAAGCCCGATCAGGCGCGGTCCGGCGATAGTAAGTCTGGGCGGGGAGACTGCAGGTTGAGGTTGAAAAACAGCCGCCAGAGAGATCAGTAGAGGTGCGATGTGAGTATCAGAGAGCAAATCTCCTCCAAGTGGCGCTTGAGGGCCAATATCAATCACCCCAGAGCCGTTCTATTGCTCAGCGTGAGATGGCAAAGAGGTTGCGGGTAAGGTAGCCCTACCCATCTTGAACTTCAAGAAACAGGATCTGAAATGCTGATCATGAGCTGCGAGAGACTCAGGGATGTCATAGTCAAGTCTGCCCTTACGATGAGATGGGTCTTGGCCTGACTGCGTTATCATCAAACTTCAGGTTTGAAGTCTGCTCGAGGAGTGTACACCTCTTGAGTACAAGTTTCCTGCAGCTTGATTGTTTGCCTTGATTGTGTTTGGTTTACCCGCACAAACCAACTTCGTGATGCCTTCAGACTGAATTTATATGTTCTCAAGGGGGTGGTCATCGAACCTCCCATATCATTACCGATCTGCTCTTCAAGGCCTGATATCTTCGATGAGATATGAAGGAAGTGTTCGCTCGAGACACCGAGACAATTGACGAGATGCAGCCGATCTACGAGCCTCTGGATACCACAAACAAACGCCTTTCTCCCGAAATGCAAAAACCCAGTAGCAGTGTCAAGGACGATGTTCCCATCAATAACGATCTCGGAGTCGACAGGCACGGATCACCTATCATGTCGCAACCGCAGGACGGAAGACAAGATGAGCTGCAACTCGACGTACAGCGAAAGGAGTCGAAGAAGTACCCAGCACGTTCTCGCAAACGAGGACGGCAGCGCAAAGCCTCGAAGAAGAACGTCGACCAAGTAGTGGGGAGAGACAAGGCGGCAGAGCCTGACGACAAAGCATCTGCTTCAGAGGAAGATCGCAAGACAGCCGATATCTAGTTCGAGGAACCGCAAGTCGAGTTCTCGAAGTGCTTCCACCTCTACCTAGATGTTCTTCAAGGCAAACCAAGTGGCGATATATCCGAGGAAGTTGGTCTTCTCACCAGAAAATGTCATCACATTGATAGCGTGCGCACGGCCACAGCCTGCTCCACGGGGTATCTAGGCCAACTCATCAAATGCCGGCACCATGTTTGCAACCACGTCCGACAAACGTGGTGATTCCATCAAGTCGGCGTAGCAAAATTTCATGCGCCAGAGTCTGCAGCGTCCTCCACCTTCGCCTTCTTGCCCTCGCCAGCTTCTTCAACGGCGTCCACGAAACCCACCTTCCGCTTCCCATGACCGTTCATGTCTGCACTGGACGTAGCAGCTGGCGTCGATGTCGCCGAGCCAAAGCCGCTGTCGCCTCCACTAGCCAGCGCACTCTTTGGCTTCTTTTTCTTCACCAAACCACCGATATCTCTTGCACCCTCCGATGCCTTCGCCAGCTGCTGTTTCTGCTCGCCTTCAGTCTTGCCCAAGATACTGCCCAGCACACCGCTGATTTGCTCCCGCATCTGCTCCTCCTTAACATTGACGGGAGGCTTGCGCAGATCTGCTAAGCGGACTTCCATCTCGGCGATCATGTCGTTGACCTCCTCCGCGTCCGCTAACAGCTTATCCTTCTCGGCACCCTTGTCCATCTGCTCCGCTTTCTGAGTCTCTTTGGTCACGCGGACCTTGCACGATTCGATGGCTTTCTCCTGTTGTGCGATGGCTTCGTTCCGGATGTCCCAGTCAATCTCGATATCGCCAACCGGGTTGCCATCTGCATCTCGTTGTTGGCTTTGGCTGCTGAACTCAAGAGCCAGGCTGAGCTTATAGTGGCACTCAGCGAGAAGACTACTTTCGCGTGGCTCGAGCTCTTCTCTGAGCGCTAGGCACTTTTGCAGATCCTCGACAGCAGCTGCATACTTCTCTCCCTCAAGTAAGACTTCTGATTGCAAATCATGGATATCGGCGATTCTGCCTTTGGCTTCTCTGACTGGTGGTGTGGAGTCAATGGATGCCACATATTTGCCTTTCTCACTGTCTTCGAGAGCTGACTGTTCTAATGATTCCAGTTTGCGTAGATAAAGGACTCGGGCAATATCAAGCATCTCGTAGGCATCGGCGAAGTCATCTTGCTCGTCTTCATCGTCTTCTTCGGCCGGCTCCTCTTCCTCTTCGTCAGAGTCCCAGCCCTCTGCGTCGCCTGAGATCTGGAAAAGAGGCTTGTCTGTTGACGAAGACTCTGGTTTGACGTCTTCTTCAGGTATCACATCTGCCGCCTTTGCGACCGCATCGCCTATCAAAGAGGAAGACTCCGCCTTGTTTGCTTCAGTGTTCAGTTTGCGCTTCTTGGACTTCGTCTCTTTCTTCGACGTCAATTGTGCCGAGGCTGCGGTGCCACCGAGGACATTACTGGTCTGCTGCGCGAGGAAGAATAAACACTTCCCGTAGGAGTAGAGCAGGTCCGCGTTCTCGTTGGCCATTTCCCCGTTGACTTCGGCTTGAAGTTCAGTTGCTTGTGAGTACAACTCCGCGGCCTCTTTGTAGTGCTTGACAGCATATTCAGCCATTGCTTTTGCAGTGAGATCGGCTAGTCGGTCTTCGGTAGACATCTCTGCGGTGGTAACGTCGCCGTTGAGCGGCGCTTGCTGAGCCTCTGCAGGCGCGCCTTGCGTGCTGGCCATGGTGAAGTCGCAATGAGATATCGCAGCGATAGACCTCAGTAAGTTGAAACGAGTCTGAGGTTTGGGCGCAGATTGGTATCGATGAGAGGTCGTTCACATGAATGTTTGCGCCAAATCGAAGCTGAAGTATCGTGAATGCGCCTGCGCGTCACTAAACCCTAACCCTCAAACGCGCTTCACGCGTCGCGGTTAAAGTGGCTCTTGCGACTTGTCTGCCACGAGATTCATAGACAAGATTGTTGCCCACTCTGATCTGATCACAGCCGGAGTGCAACAGCAGTTGACACTCAATCAGTATGGAGGATCCTGTGTCGACGCCGCGGCTACCGCCCCCCGCTTTTAAACCAGGAACAACTTCCGCAGCGAAGGAACAGACATTCTCCTCGTCTCCCGGCTTTGGAACGCCGGCGTACCCCATAAAGCCGCGGACAGCGCCTCCATTACGACAAGCATTCGCAGCGGCGCAAAACCAGACGACCAACACCTCAGAATCCAGCCCTTCCGTGCTGCCAATATTACTCCCTCCTCAAACGCTTCGTCCAGTCGCTTTTCGGACTTTGACGAAGAAGCACAACTTGACCCTCACCTCCTCTGGCCTTGGACTGCTCTCAACATTTGTTGGCAAGTTTTGTGGGAGTGGATGGCGAGAGGAAGGTCTGGCGGAACGGGTGCTGGACGAGATTGCAAAACAATGGAAACGACAAGGTGCTGGTATCATCGTAGAAGACGGCCCAGACAAGAAGCTGACAGCTATTCTGAAAATGTTGGAACAGTGTATGTCTGCAGGAAGACTCGACACAGGCAAACTGTCCCGCACAAACAGCTCCCTGGGATCACTCTCTAGGACAACTTCGCTAGAGATTCGACCGGAAATGAACAGAGATGATAGCCAAACCAGCTTTGGTATATCAGCCTTAGATGTGCAAGATGAAGCGGAGGAAAACGAGAATCTGGAGTCCAGATATCCAGATGCGAGACCCTTCATGAAGGTGATCTCTGCTTTCCAACAGCCACGTTTGTCATACTCGACAACAAAGAAAACGATCGAGACCATATCAGGCGAAGCCTCTTTGCTGCCACCTATACAAGCCAAAATTGCCTTGTTCCGGAACCGATACCATCTTATACACCAGAGGCTACTCCGTAATGAATCATTCCAGACGCCCTCATTCGCAGGCTCGCGGCCTCCGCATCTGTCCCGAGCTGGCTCAAGCATCACTCAGACCCAGGCGTACAAGATTACGCCTATATCAAACCTCCTTGGTCGAAGTGGTACCGACCATCTATTGCTTGGGCTCCTCGCACACACGCCTGCCTCTGACCTCGCTCTCACTGACCTCTCTGGAAGCGTCGTGCTTGATATATCCACAGCAAGACCCGTACCGCGCGACGGCTCGTATTTCACACCTGGCATGATCGTCCTGGTCGAAGGCACCTACATCGAAGACGGTTCAAACAATTCATCACTTTCCGGATCGGGCGTTGGCGGACAGATCAAAGGCCGCTTTGTCGCTGAGAACCTGTCTGGCCCACCCGCCGAGCGTCGGGATGTTACTTTTGGCGTAGGACAGTCCCTTTCCTCCGATACAGTCCAAACGTCTGTTGGTGCTGGGTTCGGCTGGGTCGATTTTCTAGGTGTTGGGTCGGAGAAAGCGCTAGGTCCTCAGATGCGCCGACTTCAGTCACGACTGTTCCCCTCCCCTGCTGGCTCCTTGAACAACGAATCCCGGCGGTCCAAGATAGCTATCATATCTGAGTGTCACCTCGACTCTCCGCGCACACTCGATGCTCTGCGCGCCATTCTCGCGTCCTATACTGCGTCGGAAAACCGGTCGGACCTGCCGCTGTCAATCATCTTCATGGGCAATTTCGTGTCCGCGGCTGCGATGGCCGGCAGTGCGAAAGGTGGCGGTGTTGAGTACAAGGAGCACTTCGATGCTCTGGCCTCTCTACTTTCGGAGTTCCCACAGCTAATAGCAAGCACCACGCTAGTTTTCGTCCCCGGTGACAACGACCCCTGGGCGAGCACATTCAGCAAAGGCGCCGCCACAGTCCTCCCGCGCCTGGGACTGCCAGAGCTTCTCACGAGCCGCATACGGAGGGCCGTAGCCAGCGCGAACCAGGAACAGGGTACCAAAGATGGCGAGAAAGGCGAGGTGGTGTGGGCCAGCAACCCGGCGAGGATGAGTCTCTTCGGCCCCACGGAAGAGCTCGTGCTCTTCCGAGACGACATCAGCAGCCGTATGAGGCGCAACGCCATCAACTTTCCCGCACTCGAGAAGAGCAAGGACGACAGCGCCACCGCAGAGGGCGGCGACGAAGCCGTCAAGGCCGCAGCCTCCCATCTCCCAACTAAAGACAAGTCCAACCTTGACCTTGCAACCCAGATCGGCCGCCGCATCACCAAGACGCTGCTGGATCAATCGCACCTCTCACCCTTTCCGCTCTCGCTGCGGCCTGTGGCGTGGGATTTCGCCTCGGCACTGTCGCTGTACCCACTCCCAACGGCGCTGGTGATGGCGGACGCAGAGGCGCCACCATTCTGCGTCACGTATGAGGGCTGTCACGTCATGAATCCGGGCAGAGTGCTCGAGAGGGGTGGCGAGAGGAGGGGCGTGTGTCGGTGGATTGAGTATGATGTTTCCGGTGGGCGGAAAGGGGGCCGCGGTGTGGTCAAGGAGGGGAGGTTCTAGGGTACGCCGCTGGTCCGTGGAACGTGGCTAGATTGTTAGAAGATGTAACACGAACGAGGTCACGAACACTGTAATGAAGGCACACACAAACACACCAGAGAAGCATAATGGCCAAGCCGCCGGTTGCATGTTCAGCTTCACTGCGTGTGGTTTCTGTATTCTGGCACCACCTTAAACAACATGCAACGCTACGCACAACATCGTCCTTGTGCCGGAGGGTAGTTTTACAGTCCACTATCGATCTTCAACCGCTCCAAGCGGCCCGTGACGGCCTCAATGACAGCTCCCTCGCGCTCCACCAACGCCATCACCTCGGCGATGCGCTCCTTCTGATGCCGCGAGCTGACGAGGAATCCCGAGGTCCGGCGGCCTCCGCCGCTACTGGTGCTGCTGACGAGCGAGGCCTTCGAGCTCGCGAGCTGGTCCTCGTGCTGCTGCTCCTGGAGGTCTTGCAGGCGCTTGGACTCGGCGAGGAGTTGCTGGGCGAGATCCTTGACCTGCGAAGCCGTTAGTGGTATGCCTTGGTGGAGACACCGGGAAGGAAGAAAGCTTACAGTTTCGTGACGCGCGGCAAGCGACTCCTTCGCTCTCTCCTTCCCCTCGTCGCCGCTTTCGAGGCCGACACCGACGCGCTCGCCGATGCCTTCTATCTCTTCTACCCACGCCTTTTCTTTCAAGCTCAGCTCCCGCTTGCCGGCGCCCACCTTGCCCACTTTCCGCCTCACCTCCTCGAATCTTCTATTCAACTCCCGCTGCTTGTCTTTAGTCCGTTCCATCCTCGTTTCCTGGTCGACTTTCTTCTCCCCAGGCCTCAGATCCTCCTCCCCACTATTCCTTACATGCTGCAGGCGGTCTGCTAGCTCGCTCATCTGCTTCACTTGTTCACCCAGCTCCTCACGTAGGCGCTCACAGCGTCGGAAGAGTTCCGCGGCCGCGGTTTCGAGCTCGGCAGTCTGGATGCTGACTGTACGGTGCGCAGAGGACATGAGATCGAGGAGCGCTGGAGAGAGGCGCATGGGCTGCTCGGTGAGAATCCGCTTCTGTGGTGGCGGCAAGCGTTGCTTGAGCTGGGTGAGGGGAAGGCCAGCGGTGTTGTCGAAGACGCGAGAAGGAGTATAGATTGCGCGGGAAGGCGGAATATCTGTGGAGGAGGCTGAATCCTGGTTATCGGTGTTGGTGATCTGCCTAAGAGGGCTTTGTGAGGGTGCGAAACTAGTTGAATGGCGCAAGCTTCGCGCATGAGTCTGTCCGCGGTCAAACTCTGCGGCATATGCGGACGAGGATGATGAACTGAGGACGAGATATCCCGTATCGTCATCGTCAATGATTGCTGGAGCTGACAAGGGCTCTGTTAGCCGATCTTTGGCCTCAACAACCGTCTCTGCAAATGCAACCTGGTTCTGGCGAGTGGTCTCTAAGCGTGTCTGCAATCGGCTGTCAGGTTCAGCCTCGCCAGATAATTCCATACCCATTCGCGTGATCCATTCATCAAGGGAAATGGAGACTAATTTCCACTCCACTGAGGCAAATAGAGTATACCGATGAACAGTATCGAGTGTCAAAGAGACGAAGGGAGTTGCGGTGTCGGACGAGCCGAAAGACCGCTCCAAGCCCAAATCCACTGTGTTGATGGTTGTCAGTTCCTTAGGCTCAGCCACTGGCACACTGAATGTGCTTCGGCCCTTCTTAGGAAGCCACTGGCCAGACACTCCGTCAAGGTCCAGGGCGATGCGAACCTTTCCATCAGAGCCTGCAAGCAAGATAGTGGTGTATGGCATGCCGCTGGCACCAAAATCGTCCGCTTCATCCTCACCAGAATACAAGTCGTCTCCATCAAGGCGTGGGGGAAAGACGACAATATCGGTGATTTCGATATCATCCTCCTCATCCACACCAATCTCGAAGGGCCCTTGAAGTCGTGGTATTGCGCTCGGGTTAAGCGGTCGAAGACGCGTCTCGGATTCTGTACTTGCATCATCGTACGGCAGGGGTTCGTCGCTGTCAATCTCGGATACCCATTCATACTGCTGATCGGCAGCTCTCCGCTCGTCGACATCCACGTCCTCCGCGACGATTGTCGCCATTCGAGAGACAGCAGAAGTGGACAGTGACGGGATGGTTGTGGTTGTCGGCTGCCATTTCGATGGGAGGAGTGGGCAGAGTGCATACACGTCTCCATTCTTCATGGCAGTCCAGAGCGTCATGCTGGCCCAAGCATCTTCGTCGTCTGCGCCTCGACCCCCGAAACAGGACGCGGCAGCCTCCATGTCAAAATCGTCTACGGAGAAGCCCCTACTCTTTCCAAACGAAGACGGCTCAAAATCCTGATCACAAGAGACGCCGTCGGCCAGCTTGCGAAGATCCACCGCCAATTCGGGGCGCTCGAAGGAGAATTGGTTGGAACGATCCAGCTCCCAAACCCGCACAGCAGCCTCGGCGGTGACGGTCACCAGACAGTCAGTGGACGTGGTCGCATTGGCCAAGGGATGCCAGAGGACGGAAGCGAGCGGCGATCCTGGGAGCACATGAGTTGTTGGACCGAGCTGATATGTCTTGAGCTTGAGAGCAGACTGGTCCTGCTCGGATAGTCTGGAGTGGTCGGGCACTACCGCTACCTGCACGGTATAGTCTGTACATATTGCGAGAAAGTGGCCGGAAGGAGAGATGATGAGCTGTCTGATAGGGTAGTAGACAGGTACTGATAGCGTTCTGTACGCGGGACGAGGTTCACTGCCCTTCGTTGCATCTTCCTCCCACTGCACACGGGTTCGAGCTAGTTCGGCCCATCGGATCTTGTTCCCAATTGCGGCAAATATCTCGGTACCACGTTGTGCTATGAGTCTTCTGGGGCCGTAGTAATCTGTGGCTTGAGGAATAACGGTTGAAGTTCGCTTGGAAGGGGAAGGAGGTGCTTGCGGCGTTGGGTCAGAGAAGATCCGGGCGCCAGGTGATGGGCGGCAGAGCCATGGCGGGGTCTCGCCGATCCGTTTTGGCATGTTGATCAGTTTCAGGTCTCAGCAGACTCACAGCATGTTCATCAGAGTGAGCACACTTGTCTACAGCTTAATAGATGCAGTGGCTTGTGAGCAAGCAAGCCAGCAATTGTTTGTAGGTGCTCCAAAAAGTGCAGAGCGGTTAGCAGTCTATGCGCGTTCTTGACCCTAACCCTAATCCACCGCGTCGCGCAGACGACATGGTGAAGTGAAGTGACATCCTCGAACAGCACTTTGCCCAGTGGCCAGAACTAGCCGCACACTTACCGAGGACCCTTCTAACTGCTCAAACCACCACTATGGCGACCAAGCACGCCTTCACCACCATCGATAGACTCGATAGACCGAGCGCGTACTTTGCTGCGAAGGTAAATCCGAAGTCGCCAATCCTGCTTGAACTTGGCTGACCCATAGTAGAAGAAGCGCAGGTACAACCAGGGCGATGAAGACACCGAACAGCAGAAGCCCAAAGAGGATCCCCTGAGAAATGCCACCACTTTATATGTGGGCAACTTGTGAGCACGAGCGGCAGCTACTTCATTGGCACTGACTGACGACCTGCAGGTCTTTCTACACCACCGAAGAGCAGATTCACGAGCTGTTCTCCAAGTGCGGCGAGGTCAAGCGTCTTGTCATGGGTCTCGACCGATTTCAGAAGACACCCTGCGGATTCTGCTTTGTGGAATACTACACTCATCAAGATGCCGTCGACTGCATGAAGTACATTGGTGGTACCAAGCTGGATGAACGACTCATTCGATGCGATCTGGATCCCGGTTTTGAAGAAGGGCGTCAATATGGTCGGGGCAGGTCTGGTGGACAAGTGCGCGACGAGTTCCGCGACGAGTTTGACCCGGGTCGAGGTGGCTATGGCCGCGCCTACGACGAGGCGGATGATGATAGTCGTCGATGAAATTGATGGTCTATGGAATTCTACTCACACACGAACAGAGGCTACGAGGAGCTCTGCGAAAGCGCTCTTGATGCCTCCTGCAACCACCAAGCATGGATGCGGATGTCCGATGTCAACTCGGGGTGGAAGCTGGTTCCGAAGACATTGCCCTGACGGACGGCAATGATATCGCCTATTTCGTCGCCCGCGCTTACTTCTGCACCATGCTCAGCGGCTTTGCGTAAGCGTCCTGGCAGCGTCGCCATGATTTCAACCTCGGAACTCATGGCAGCCTTGGCCTTGTCATCCCTGGCAGCACGGGATGGAGCAACCACCGTGTCGGTAATCTGCTGCTCTCCTGTCTGTTCGCCGGAGACGTTAGGCAGAATTTTCTCGACAATCGGAGCACGGATGAAGATTCCTGGGAATCCAGTATGCGATGCACCGAGGAACTTGAGGTCCAGACTGGCTTGAAAGCTTTCGATTTGCCGCCCGAAGTGGTTGCGGTTGACGCGCACGTCTAGGCCACCAATCAGCTCCTGGCCGCCTTTCTTGGTGGCATTGGCGGCTTCGGCCAGCAGGATCAGCCCAGCGCATGTTCCCCAAGTCGGCTTTCGGTCGACCCTTCAACTGTCAGCTCCGGCAATGATAGATAGTGGGAGGTAGCATACTTGACAAACTGGCGCAGCGGCTCAAGCAGATCAGACTGAGCAGCCACAAAGGAGATAGTGGTGCTCTCGCCACCTGGAATGATCAATGAATCACAGCGTGCCAGCTCATCCCGATTACGGACTTCGAGAAACGTAAATTTGTCCTTTTCTTCCAGTGACTCAGCTGCCTTGCGTAGTAGAACCAGATGCTCCAGAAAGGCGCCTTGCAAGGCGAGCACGCCGATGGTTATTGTCATCTGGTGATCATGAGACTGTGACTTGTGGATTGCGACAAGTAGATTGTCGCATGCATCGCTGGAGATGGCAATATGCTGGAAAATTCTGCCAAGCCTTGCCACATCCGACATGTCAGCCTTGTGACACGACATGTCATCCTACGTCCTCTGATCGCTGTCGCTACCTCAAGTTTCTCTCCCTTGCTTCATCACTGAAGGCCGGGCGTGGTACCAAGAGCTATTATTCGGAGCCTCTAGTCCGGATTGCATCCCGGGGGACGCGTCAAACGCCTGAAGATGGGAGAACACCTCTGTGTTTCTTCCACACCGATACCGCCCTTTGAGAGCATCGGTCGGAGATTCAGCGGCAATGCCTGACCTGAAGCCGCTCAAGACCGGCTACACGACACCTATCGTTCGTTTCTATGTCGACGTCCGGCCAGCCATTCCCCAAGCCCGCTCGGCCACCGTAGAGCTGCCTCTCCTGGACACCCTCTCACGAGACCAGCAGGACAAGGTCAGTGCTTTCATGCGACCCGCCGATCGTCTCATGTCGCTTGCCAGCGCCTTGTTGAAGTATGTCTTTATCCATCGATACGCCATGATTCCGTGGGATGAAGTGCGTATATCGCGAACTCCTGACCCACACAGACGTCCCTACTGGGAGCCAGGGGCTGGATCGACCGGTGAGAGCGGTCTTGAGTTCAATGTCTCCCACCAGAATGGCCTTGTCGCTCTTATTGGCTGCAAGACCCCAGAGGAACAGAATCAAGCATATGCAACGCATATAACGCACGACTCGATTTCACCTGCCGATGCGCCGCCACTGCCGGAAACCGCGCACGAGCAGGTCAGACTAGGTGTAGATTTAGCCTGTGCCAATGAACATGGCCGGACACCGGCCGACATGACTACACAAGTCAAGCTTGATGAATGGATAGACATCTTTGAAGAGATGTTCTCCGAGGCGGCTCGCAAGCACATGAAGTCCGCTCACTTCCCCGACGCCAGCTCCCCTGCTCATGTCATTCAGCATCGCTTCCGCCTCTTCTACGCCTACTGGGCACTTAAGGAGGCCTACATCAAGATGGTGGGGGAGGGTCTGTTGGCTGACTGGCTCTCTAAGCTTGAATTCGACCGCGTGTCTGCCCCCAACCCTGCCACTGCCGAAGACTTTCCAGATGATGGCTTCAGCTGGGCCTTGAGGGACGAGGAGGAGACAAAATGGACTCCGCCAGATCGCGCCGTCAGGAGCATCACGGCCTCCATGTATGGCAGAGAGCTGACCGACGTGAGCTTAAGCCTGGTTGCGTACGAGTCAGACTTCCTGTGTGCCACCGCTATGCGGGGCGTACAAGACTCTGCAGAGGGTACTCCTCAAGAGCGCTGGATCAAGCTCGATATTGAAAAAGATATACGGCCCTGTGCCGAAGGCAAGTGCCAATGCCTCGCTCAAAAGGTTGTTGATGTCCAGGCGCCCTTAACTGCGACTGGATCAGCCAGCGCAACAACCGAGTTACCATACCCGATCATTCAAGCACAGCTCACAGAATGAGCTGACCGGCCAGATCGTTCGCAGAACTTGGTCTTAGCATCTCAAGATGTGCAGGGATCAGCAACATTCTTCGCTGTTGTTCTTGGGCCAATTTTGTCCTTTGGCTGCGTACTGCACCGCGCTCTAGACCACGTCAAGCTCAGGCGTGCTAGCTATGGCAGCTTTACAGCGTCCCCACAGCGCCGCATCGCATCAGCACTCGGCCGTGCGTCAGCCTAGGCAAAGATCGCGCACGGACTTAGCTGAAATAATCAGTTTTTCTTAGAGGTATTTCGAAACCACAGTGCGCCCAACGAAAGAAATGTTGCTTGAGTCAAGTCAGAGGGCATCAGTACGTAGCATGCTTCACGCGGCGTCCTCTCCCTGCTGTTCACACTGCCGGCCGAACTTGATCAACCACGACTCCGTGTCAGCTCCATCTGCATTGAATGGGACGGGCTGGGTGACCGTTTGTGGTCAGCCAGATTCTGTCGGTCTTCTCAAGCTTGGGCTGCGAGCTTGCTGCGAGCTTCTGCTGGCCTGAACACCTGGCGTGGCCCGGAAGCCGGTCGGTGCAGTCAGCGACGACTTGGCAGCCATTAGTCGCAACGTGGTTCAGAAATGGCCCCGGCTATCTTGGGCTGTCGCTTACCAGGCCTTATGGAGTGAATCGTCACATCCGAATCCCAAGTTGCGACCTACAAACGACGGGATTGGCATGCCGCTGAGGATATACAGTCAGCAAGATCCCGGCTGAGCGAGGCTCGACTAGGCAAGGGACCACGTCTTGGCCGCCGCCGCTTAGGCAACAAGACTTGACCTTATTGGTCCGGGATGCATGGCCTAGGTCTAATTCAAGGGAGGCCTGACCTCGTTGTTGGCGACTAAACGACCCATTCCGGTAAGCGACAGCGAGTTTGGCGCGCTTTGCGCTTGTGGACGACGTTGTTATGCATTAATAGCATCCCCTCGCCGCCGGGCTGTGTGCTATCGCCAAGCGCCGCCAGCTCGGTTGACCTTCGTCCATTCGGTGTAGTGGTCTATACTGGGTATACTGGGAAGTGGCTGTACGGATATCATCCGCTTCCCGGACTTCCACGTTGACCTTTCGCTGATGCTTGCAAAGCACCCAAGGCTTGCATAGCAAAAGTACCAGGTTCACAAGTGTATAAGTACATCTGGCATCGCTCCCTCGGTGTCAGATCTCACTCCATACAACACTCTGTAACAAACCAAAGCAACTTTTTCCTATTGTCTATCCTTTCCTTGTTTTATTTTCCTACCGTCTATCCCTTAATTTCTAGTACTTTCAAAAAGTCCATAGCTTTTAATCCAACCCCAAACACACCAATCAAGATGCAGTACACTCTTTCCACCACCAGCGCTCTCCTCGCCGCTCTGTCCCTTACTTCTGCTGCTCCCATGCCCAGCACTTCCACTTCCACTTCCAGCTCCAGCTCTGGTTCCTCCTCCAGCTCCGTCACCATCGTCCTCCAACTCGAAGGCTTCGACGCCGCCTCCACCCTCCGCGCCAACCTCGACGCCACCACCGTCAACAACCGCGACGCCAAGTCCGCCGCGCTCCAACAGGCTGGCCCGTGGTGCGCCGGTTTCACCGATGCCCAAGCCACCCAGCCCGTGCCGGCATTGAACGGCGACGGCATCTTCGACTCTGCCAACGAGGCCATCTACAGCCAAGATGAAGCCGTCACTGTCGGCTCCTTCTGGTGCGCGCAGACTCGCGGAGAGGTCGAGGACTTTGTCGCTCGCGCCACCAACGGCCAGGGCAGCAACGACAACCAGAACAACAATGGCAATGGCAACGCCAACACCGGCAACGCCGAGACAACCGTCCGCGTCCAAATCGAGCTCGAAGCCGGCACCACCTTCGTGCAAGCCGAGCTGCCCGCCAACATCGGCCCCGTCGACGCCAGCACGGTCCGCAACCTCGCCAATGGCGCCATCTCCATCGACGTCGTCGGCAACGGCGGCAACTGCCAGTTCTTCGACGCCCAAGGCCAGACGCTCAACTTTGGCGGCGACGAATTGGTGCAGGTTGCGAGCTTTGAGTGCCAGGCTTAGTTAGCGAGAACCGAGAGAGATGAAGTGGATGAAAAAGACTGACCTGCTGGTTATGGGAATGTCTGTACGACTATCTTTTGTGGCATTATATAATATATTCTAGCGAGCGGCATATGGCAGGGCATTGCATGGGGGAGAGAAACACAAACATGGTTGGGGGGAATACTGCATAGCGATTTGTTTAATTCGTCCAGACACCCTACGGATCTATTGCTTGGTGTCGTCGAGTCGTGTTCGATAAAATTGGGGGTTGGGACTTTTTTGGAGTGAATAGAAGCACTTACAGCTACTGTCATTAATGAACAGAATGAAAATAATGCAGAATAGCATCACGAGCATGGGTGTATCAATTACCAACGCGCGGACATTCCTATCTTGCGTATCTACCCATCTCGCCGGATCTTCCGGCACTTGCGATACGCTTTCCGACTGGGCTACTATATCCTTCTGAAAAGCACAAACCCTCGTGCGCGCTTCAGTGATGAGAGTTAATGCGTATATTGTGAAGTTCTCTGCTTCTTGGACTCTCGAATTGCGATAAAGGCACCGCTGCCGATCAATCAGTAAGAGGTGGGGCAAGAGTCATTTGGCACGGTGGGATAACCCCTTAGTGTGATGGCTTCGGACGACGACCATGGGGCTACTGCATACGATCGTGGCCGTCAAGTGAATGAAAGGAAATAATATTCAATCTATGGTGAGAAGAGTGCTGCATAGTACTTCCAACTAGCGGAATCCGTCAGCAGCATGACTAAACCCCCCTTAAAATACGGTGCGCCAGTCGGTGATGATCCAAACACCGTGGCCATGCATTCATCTCAAAGAATGAAGCGACTCCCGCTCTGAATCACCAGTCATTCGCCAAAGTACCCTCCACCATCACGTTAGGTGGCGGTGGTGCATGCTCGGTCTGCTCCGTCGTTGGTATGGGCAGCTCATTTTCCTCCTCAATCAACCCTGGTGGAGGTGAATGCTCTCTTGCCTTTCCCTTCCCTTTGTCTCTTCTCTCCACCGCGTGACTTGCATAGTTGTGTAATCTTTCGCCAACGAGGTACACTTCATCCCGGACCATCGTCCTCCACGCTGCCAGCCGCTGCTTCAGATTCCAAACCCCCAACGCCACCACAACCAAGCCTAACAGGCCAGGGTAAGCGAAGCGGTAAGCCCGAGTGATCTCTTCTGCTTCGGTGAGACCGCCTAACTTGACCAGGAATTGGGCATAACCTAGTGGTGCGATCAAAAGGACGGCGCACAGCAACGTAAGCGGTATGACGACCGCTCGTGTGGCTAACCAAATATTTGGTCGCCAAAATCCGTCGCGCACGATCAACTGAATAGCAGTGGACATGCGACTGTGCGGGCAGGGATAGTTCATGGCAATGCGGAGAACGAGTCGCAAATAGAGCAGTCCAAGTGTCCAGGTCTGCAGGACGAAGATGGTGGGCGGAAATAGGACTGATAAATTGCCCTTGACGCCGACGGATGCGGATGCGGATTCGGTCAGAGTCGTAGCGGCTGATACAATTTGCGCGTCCGCACTGTCGGGTGCTGAAGCAATGAACTTCTCGCGATCGATGAAGAAAGCAAACAGCGGGACGTGGATGTACAATTCTGTGATCAGAGAGAGTGTGAAAGGAAAGATGAGCCCAAACGTGACCGCTAGGTAGGCGATTCCCATGGCGTATTTGAGCGTGTTCCAGGCATGACTCAGAGCATGAACTGGGTTTGGTAAGGAGACACGAGCCTTCCCAGACACCCAGCGGTAGGCGGGGACTGCGCGAGTCGCAAGATATATTGCGCCGCCCAGCAAGTGCATTCCCAATGTGAGAGCGTAAAGATCGTTGACATGCCCTTCTGCACCTGACATCAGCTTGACTATCTGTCGGCCAACAACCAGTGGACCAACAGTACAAGCGACGCCAGTACCAGCTGCAAACAACCAGAGTAGCACAACGAAGGTAGCAATTCTCGCTTTGAATTGAGGAGGCAGCCAGATCTTGGTGAACAGCTCATTCTTCCTGCCGTGCAATCCGTATTTGGGATCCGGTCCGGGTTCGATGCGTTTATTGTCCTCAGTGACTTCGACGAAGGTTTTCGAGTTCTTGGGAATTCGACAAGAGTCCGATGCAGGTGCACGCACGTAAGTGCCTTCTTTCTCAGGCTGCGTATCCTTGGCGCCTGGTCGGTACCATGAAAGGATGCCATTCTTGATCCGCGGTCGTTTCTCGTCCTCTCTTTCATCGTTGAAGAGGAAATGGCTCAGCCTCAGTCCGTGAGCTACTCCACGATACCACCACTCATATACAGCCGTAATTTTCTCTGAGGGCTTGATCTTCCGGAGCACAAAGGGAAGCATGAAGTTAAAGAAGATCAGATCGATAGGGAACGCGAGTCGAGGCTCCGGCGTTATCCAGCGAATTGGTAAGACATTGCTGACGCGACCAACGGTCCAGACCACACCACCCAAACACATTATTACAAGTCCACCGTAGACAAGAGCAGAGAAGGCGATCTTGCCCAGTTGTGTTGGTACAGGCCGCTCCAGGACATCCCGTACAGGGTGGAATGTCGGATCGTCGGGATCTCGGATGAAATATAGTACACCTTTCCTCAAAATCTTTCTGCACATTGAAACAAAAAGTGCAAAGTGGAACATGTAGCAAGTCCCAGCGAACCAGTGGAGGAAGAGGCCAGTGAAAGGTGCCCGCATAATGAACCCGAACCTCGACGTAACGGTTGCGCCTTCGAAAAGCGGCAATAAGGCCAGGTCCAGGAGCAGCCCACAGTAAAGGGGAAAGACAATCATCTCGATGCCTATAATGACAATCACTTTCATGACTCCCCCGGCCTCCCGAAGACGGTCAGCCAGTGGCCCTTCCACCTTCTCGTCTTTCTTCAAGCCCAGAAAAATGTGCGTAAGCTTCATGAACAGGAAGCCCGCGACAGTGAAGAAAATGTAGCCCAGCACAATCGCGATGATCTTGTCCTGGGTACTCCAGTTAACAAGAGCAAGGTCCTGTGCTGACATGTTCTCCAGTGTCAACGGCTTAAGCTGCGGTCGGAGAATTGCTCTGAACTGAACGAGGAGGGCCTTGATCCAGTTACCGACATACGAGGGTAGCTGAGGCACCACAGACGCGATGCGACTGACAACGTCGGCAAGCCCGCTAACGCTCCACGTTGAAGAGACTATCGAGGAGTAGCCGTTTGTGAGCGTGTCCGCCGTGCTCGCACATAGAGATCCAATCGATGCCTTAAAGCTAGTCAAGGCCCGATGGGATTGCATAGAGAATGTGGGAAGGTCTGGGCTGAAGATTGTTACCGTATCAGTCAGAACTCTCTCCAATCTGCTGCCGCTCTGATGTGTAACATTGACGGCAAGCTCTTCAAATCTCTCGGTGTCGAGCAGCCTGGCATATGCCGGAATAATTGGTTCTGTCGCCGACTTGACAGTTTTGGCGAGAATGTTGAATAATATGCCGAGTAGGCCAAGTACGAAGAAGACAATGTCAGCAACAAGGTCGACAAAATGCGTGATCAGGTAGATGGGAGCCTTGAACACGACTGCGACCGGATTGGCTAACAATATCAGCGCAATCTTCCCCCATATGTATGGAATCCAGATTGCGGCAGCCAGAGTCAAGCTGATAAGGAGCAAGCTGAAGACGACATTTTGCACCATTCCTACCAGCGGGCCTTCCATGCCGATGAGTTCCAGGACACCCTCAAGATCTTCAGCATCTTCGATGGCATTAGGATCATTGAGGTCCAGGCCAGCAGGTAGATCGCCTGCTTGCAATCGAAGATCATCAGCCGGTGGCTCAGGAAGAACTGCAAAGCCTCGGTTGGCAGGCGGAGCAAAGGGCCCGACAAGCGCTTCTTGTGCCTGATCGACGACTCGTTCGGTGTCGGGCAGATCTTGATGTAAGTCAGGGTCCGGCACGCCTTCAACAAACCAGAAGAAGGCCACCAATTGACCTAGCCATGTGAGAGCTTGCGGCGCTTCTTCGGCATCCTGTCCATGCAAAGAATCTTCTCCAGCAGATACAGAGCTGTCGATAGGAGCGATGTCAGCTACTTCTTCGTCACTTGGTTCGGGTGTGAGTAAGTTCGGTGCAGAGTCAGACTCGCTAGATTCGGGGAGTGCGCTCCCCGGCCCTGTAGATGCTAGGTCTTCATCAATGATGCTGACGTTATCCCTGAACCGAACAGTGTTGACACCAGGATTCATGTGTGTGTCATCTCCGCTTGTCTCTCGATCGGTAGGGGGGTCCGGCGGTAGTGTAGGAAGACGGTTGTTAACAGCTTCGGAAGAGGGTCCTTGCGTCCACAAGTCTTCTTCAGCATCCATCTCGAGCGGAGAGAAGTTTGCAACAATTGACTCAGAAGTATCATCATCATTTCCATCGCCGGTCACACCCGATATCATACTCTCTTCGAGAGTTCTGCGGGCATCAACGGCATCGCCTACCATACCCCTCAGCAGTTGAGGAGCGATTTCGCCATCTTCTGATTCAAGTGTACTAGCTTCGCCATTCGGTTGATCAGATATAGGTAGGGGAGTCGCCAAAGTCTGTGCACGAGCGGGCAGATCTGGGCGTTCTTGATTTGTAGCTGCTGGAACACCAATGTTATCTTCCGTCAACGCACGTCGCCATAACAAGTCTGCTGGACGGACTGGACGAAAGTCGACAGGCGGTTCGACCGCCACTGGATCGGCTTCCCTGATGCCAGCCCTCCTTCTCCTTGCGCGTCGCACAGCTCGTTGGGCCCGAATCTCATCAGCGGCAGCGGCGACGGCAGGATTGTCAGCATTTTCCGGATCTTGATTGTTGAGCATAGGCTGTTGATTGATGACCCATTCGCGGATCAAGAAAACCAGAATGAAGCTGGCGACTAGGCCCAAACAGATCAGTAACCCTTCCATGACATCGATGGAAATATTGTTGGCCAGGCTAGACGACGTCCACGTCTTGACAAATTTTACCTCGGAGAGCAGAGAAGGTTGGCGATGAATCGCTCCGGGCCGGGTGTTTTTGACGGGTCGCTCGCTGTCCGAAGATCCCAGCTGAATCGGCGGAATGGAAAACAGAATTCTGAGAACTTTCGCAGACAGCGACTCGCCCGACAGCCAATGTAGGAAGGAATTGAACACTGATAGGGCAGGACTAGGTGCAGCATCGGCTGAGCTGTTTGCGACCAAGGAGACCACATCATTGGGAACGGCCGTCTCGTTTGCTTCGCGCATACGACGCTGACTCTCTGGTAGCCAGCTGCCGTCCGCAAGCCAGAACAACCCCCGCCAAACTTGTCGAATGCACCATGGAAGGGCTATCAACCAGACCATGGCAACCAAGGTGTACCGAGCCCATGTCGCCAAGGTGTAGAGGGAGTGGAGCGCAAGCTGACGGACGAACAGAGGCCATGGCAAGGTTGCCGGCATGGATTGATCGTATAGCTTGGTGAAGCGGAAAGGAGTCTTGCACAATTCACAGTATTTCTTCTTGGAATGAGACAGCCATGTCATTAGGCATTCTTGATGGACATATCGGATGCTTCCACTGCACTTGCACGGATAAAATAGTGGTTGATCGTCTGAGGCTTCGCCGCGACATATTCGACAGGTATCGAGAGCGCTTTCTGCTTCGGGAGGAGGACTGGGACTGCTGGAGTCTGGTCGTACTGCAGGTGCTTCGCTACCGGGCATCCCATAGAGCGAGTCGTTGAGAGCGGCTTCTTGGAGGGGTGCCATGATGATGCTGGATCAGTACAGTAGAGGCAGCCGGATGGCAACTCATGTCTTGTCACGAGAGGGTCATTGAGAAAGCGAGTGATGATTTTTATAGAAAATACACAACGCTTGAAGCGATACAGATGCTGAGTATACAGCAAACAAAGGCACGGAAGTGAATGAAGAGCGCAGTTTGTACAACGGACGTCTATGTCTACGTGGAGCAACGAGGCGTCGAAAGCAGTCTCTATCCACCGGCTGAGCCACAGGTGGCGCCTGGAGCACGTAACCGCACATGTCAAACCATGCTTAAACTCAGTCCTTCTGGGGCAGCCCCCGGGGGGGGAAGAGACCATGCCACACTGGCTGTACCAGATTATTGGGACACACTGAATATCTAGGCCAAATTCCTCCAGCAGCTTCTGGTAGACGAAACTGGCACCACAATCAAACGTAGTTCGCAGGCAGCAATCAGATGGCCAATGCAAGAGCTTGGTTTTCGATCGAAGCAGATCAGACCGCGACAGGGCCTTGGGCAAGGAATTGCGGGCGATGGATGCACCTGAAACACCACTGATTCGCTGGCACTGCTCAGCTGTGACGTCGCAGTTTTTTATGCCTGCACGCCTGTACGTCGATACACGAGAACTTGCACCTAGCCTAGTGCATCTATCTGATTCTCCTGCTTCCAACAACCTGCGCCTTCTGGCAATCTACTGTTTCTACTCCAGCTTCAAGCTGGTCGTTGTAATATATCTCTTCGCTGCTCCTCTTGACTGAGGTTTGCTCTTGGAAGCTGGCGTCCTGAATCTGCGCCAACTTTCCGACTCCGAGCTCGCCGTAGCGTGCTAACGTATGCTCGCTTTCAGAGAGCTTCAACACAGATAAGGTCCACTCATCGCGAATCTTCCTCGACATACACCAGGAGCACCATCAGCTGTCATGGCTGTGACAGAGAATGGCAGGCCGATAGAGAACGTCAAGGATAGGCCTAATGGCCACCCCATAGGCGGTACAGTCTCGATCACGAAGAAGCCCGTTGTACCCAGAAAGAGCTGGGCTTCATGGACCTTAAACAATGTTGCCAGGTAAAATTGTTGAGCCCTTCATTTTTTACCTAGCGCTGACCCTTCGTCATAGATTGACCATCTGGTATGCTATCCTCACTGTCCTCTTCCGCTGTCCCTCTGATCCGGCCCTGCTTGCCGATGCCTCGCCCCAAATATGCAAACCCTACCTCTCAGCTCGGGACTACGCGCAGCCCTACGTGCAGCCATACTACGATACTTATGCTGGCCCCTACGTCGAGAGAGCCAGACCGTATGCCGAGCAAGTCAACAATAAAGCAATCGGTCCGGCGACCACTATAGTCAAGCGAAACTACGAGAAATTCGCCGCTCCCCAAATCGGCAAAGCCAAAACTTATGTCCTTGCGCAATGGGAGAAGTCGGCTGTCCCACAAATCCAGCTGGCCCAGGTCCAGGCTGCCAAGTTATACGAGTCCAACATCGCTCCTCACGTCCAAAAGGCTTCTGAAGCTGCCGGCCCGTACTACAGTCAAGCAGTGAATACAGCAGAATCTGTCCACAAGGACCGCATCGTACCTGCTCTAGACTACTCCAGACCATTTGTGCAGCGAGCCTATGCCAATGGTCGGGATTTTGTGCTCAACACTGCCTACCCACTCTCACGACATGCTTGGTCAAACACCGTCATTTTCATCGACGGTACTCTCTGGCCTTTCCTCAAAGGATTGTACAGCGATAATGTCCGTCCACAGCTCGTCATGATCAGTGAGCGCATTGCTAAATACCAAGAGAGCCGGAAGCTTCATGCTGCCATGGAAGAAGTCGAATCGTCTCCTGCTGTCACTTCTGTTGCGGCCACCGCCGATTCTGCCTCCCCATCTGCATCTACTGGTTCCACGGATGCTGATTTCGATAAAATCTTCGAGGAGGAAGAAGAAGATACAACTACAGTTCCGGAGGCGAAAGGCTCCGCCACAGCACCGAAGCCTAAGCCCATGGCTACGCGTGCAACGGATGAGTCCGTCGCTCAGGACCTACGTACTTGGCAAGACAAATTTGCTGCTGCAGCAGATAAGGGCGCGGACGATCTGCGTGAGCGGTCGAGCAGCATTGCTACGGAGCTTTACAAGAGTGACATCGAGGACCTTGGGCGAGGCCTCGAGACTGCCCTGCGAAAGACCATTGAGAATGAGCTGGACAATGTCAAAGTCAAGATTACCACAGTTGTCTCAAGCCTACCAGAAGACGCAGACTCAGAAGCTGAAAAGCACGCGGCAGAGGATATTGTCAAGGTCATTCGCTCCTCCGGTCTAGAAATCAAGGACAAGGCTAAAAAGGTGCGTGATTGGGCTCAGAAATTCGAGGTGAACATCAACCACCGCCTCAGCACTGCGGCCTCTTCTACTCTCGATGTGCTCGACGGCATCCGAGATCTTGGCCTTCAGGAGGTCGGAATGCGCTGGGCTTGGATGGACGGGATCACCTACAAGCACTGGGCAAAGTATCACGAGCTTAAGCAGCTCTTCAAGGAGTGGCGAACCGAACTCAGCGATGTGGCCATGAATCATCCTGATGCCGTTGACGCAAGAAGAACCGCCACTCAACTTCTAGAGGAAAGCATGGCCCTGACCGAAGACGCCGCCAAGGAACTCATCAAGCTGAAGGAGGTGGCGAAATGGAAGATCCGTGCCCGCGACTCGACTGACGACTTTGAGCCACGCGCGATGCCAGCTGCTGCTGTGTCCGCCGCTTCCAGTATCGTGTCGGACTTCTCTGCTGGTGGCGCTGACTTTTTCGCTGACGGAGAGTCTAGCGTTGCCTCAGCTGCATCCGACGCAACTGAAGCTGCCGACGATGTTCTGTCTTCTGCATCTTCCATTGTTCTCGGTTCTAGCACAGGATCGGTGGAATCCTTCGCGTCCGAAGCAAGCGATTCGGCAGGAGATCTGGCATCGAGCGCTTCATCGGCCATTCTGGGCACAAGCACTGATATCGTGTCTGGAGCAAGCAGTGCCGCGCAAGATATCTTGGATGACGTCTCCAAAACGATTCTGGAGTCGACTACAACTACTGAAACTCTCAGCTTGGGACTGGCATCTGATGCCGTAAGCGACGCCGCAGCCGATCTGTCGTCGTCGGCCGGGGAGGGTGTCGAAAGTGCCTCGTCTGCGATTCTCGGCTCGACCGGCGTTGTGGACAATGCTGCGTCCAGTGCCTCCTCCGTTGTGCTGGGCAGTACCGGCGCCGGCGAACAAATTCTCTCCTCCGCCTCCAGTGTGGGAGATGAGATTTCGGAGTCTGTCGCCGAGGCCGTCCACGAAGCAACGGCTGCTGAACCCATATCTTCGGCTTCTTCGGTGCTCGACGATACCGTCGAAGACACTACTGACTCTGCAAGCTCTGTTGCATCCCAAGCTTCCTCCAAGGTTTGGGGTGGTGCCATGGCTCAGGAGGTCAAAGGTCAAATTCCTGTCCTCGATGATTTTTTCGATGAGAGCGAAGATGATTCCTTCTCTGAGCGGGCTCAGAGCATCTTCAATGATGCCGGCGGTAAATATGCCGAGGTAACCAGAGCTGTCAGCGAGGCTCTGTATGGCACGCCGCAAGGCACAGTCGACAGCGTCACTTCTGTGGCTGGAGAAAAGTACTCCAGTGCTCTTCTTGCAGCATCCAAGGCTTTATACGGTGAGCCTCAAGGCACTGCTGAAAGTGTGGCTAGCATTGCTACGGACAAGTATAATGAGGCAGTCGCGGCAGCAAAGGCGGCTGTCTATGGTACACCAACTCCGGCCCTGGAATCAGCATTGGAGTCTATGAAGGCACGCGCCAGCTCTGCTTACTCGGACGCAGTATCGCAGGCAAAGGAACGCTACGATGAAGGAATGGCGATTGCTTCTGACCAGATCGTGGGTACTACTAAACCAGTCCATGAGAAGATGTTCTCCGCCATTCAATCTGCCTGGGATGGGTCGCAAGCGGACGCATCATCCCGTCTGGATGCTGCTTTATCGGGTGCGTCATCTCAGTATTCGGCACTGAGTAGCCAGATGGCTCAAACGCAAGGACCTCTCGCTTCGATTTCTTCCGTCGCATCCTCGAGACTTCAAGATGCTTTGAGTGCCGCATCGGACCAGTATTCAAGTGCTAAAACGGCCGTTGGTGCCACACCTACGCCTGTACACCAGCAGTATTTGAATTCGGCACGTCGAAGCTACTACGAAGCAGTTGGTTATGCACACGAGCAATACTCCGACTTTCTGAATGAAGCATCCGTTGCAGTATACGGTACGCCTACACCAGCTATCAACAGCTTCGCAAGTGCCGCTTCCGAGGCTGTCTATGGCACACCTGCGCCTGCATACCAGCAAGCTCTCGACGCCGCGTCATCCTCCTATGCTGCTGCCACCTCGGCGGCTGCGGCTAATATGGCATCGCTTCTGGGTGCCGCGTCCTCAGCCGTCGGTGCCACAACAAAGTCCCCGGCTCAGAGTGTTCTAGACGAGATCAATTCCCAATATGATGTCGCTATTTCAGCAGCCTCTGCGTCGTTGTCGGAGGCCAGCTACGCTGCCAGTACGGCTATTTACGGTGCTCCTAGTGGTTCCGTTGAATCCGTTTCCAAAGTTGCGGCAGAGAACTGGGCCGCTCTTGTCTCCAGGGCCAGCGAGCAGATATATGCGACGCCCAAGCCCTTCTACGAAGAGTGGGCTTCGTCCGCCGATGACTACTATCAAGATGCGCTATCGCAGGCTGGTGGTGCATATGAGAATGCTGCCTCTCAGGCTGGAGATTACGGTGCGCAAATCACCGGCGTCGCCAGCGATCAATACGCTGCGGTGCAGGCTTATGTGTCGGAGCTCATCCACGGTCGGGAGCCTGACTTTACCGAATCTGTCATGAACCGCCTTCAATCCGTCTACTACACAGGACTGGCCGTGATTCCGTCGCAAGCCTCAAGCTTTGCAAGCGAAGCCTATGATTCGGCGTCATCGGTTGCGTCGTCCGTATCTTCGGTGGCTTCGGAGTACTTCAGTCCTCCTCCAGAGTACACTGCTGCGTTGGACTCATTTCAAGCACAGGTTGACTCTGTAGTCGCCGCAGCAAGCGTGCAGATTTATGGTACCAGCAAGGGCACCCTGGAGCAAGCTTCTGAAGCCGTTGCTGACTCGTACAAATCGGCGAGCTCTGTCGCCAGTGAGGCCATTTACGGTACGGAGGCTGGTTATGCCGAGCAAGCAAGCAGTGCTGTCGGCGATGCTGCAAGCAGTGCTCAGGAAGCTATCTCAATTGCCATCTTTGGAACACCAACCGGTTCTGTTGAGAGTGTCACGAATGCTGCTGCCGAGCAGTTTACATCGGCCACTCAAGTCGTGGGTGAGAACATTGAAGCTGCTCAGTCTGTGGTCGGCTCCGCGGCTCAAGACGTTGGGGCCAAAGTGAGCGAACTGTTATATGGACCCGAACAAGGAGCAATTGAAAGCGCCCAGTCCCGAATCTCCGAAGCCGTCGAAAGCGCTAGGAGTGCTGTTGCATCGATGGCCAGTGACGCGGCCGAAGGAGGTTCCGGGGTCGTGGACGCTATCTCGAGCACCTTTGACGAGGCTGCCAGTGTCGTGAGCAGCACCATCAGCGCCGCCACCGGCGCCATCAAGGACGAATTGTGATGGGTTGACGACGTTGAAAGGGGGAAAGTAATGAAGCGCATGTGTCCCAACAACCTATCCACACTCACCAAGCTGATGATACCAATTTCCTTTATATTGTCTACTGTGCAGGCTCTGTCGATTGAGGTATCATTTGGCGCAAGCAGGACTCGCACAGGACTGACAATTGCGCTTTATGGTGCATCCGAGCAATGATTTACGCTGTTGTTTTGTTTATAGCAGACGATCCGGGAGATACCAGATAGCGAGTCAAGTATACTAGTTTCCCAGTCTTTCGTCTGCCTGTGCCTCCTGAATGCTGGTGTACTGTATCCTGTGCCTGTGCAATGCCGCCATTACTGCGGGTCACAGGTTTGCGCCCAGCCCAGTCCCTGGCGACGAACCTGAATGTAGTCCGATGGCCCGCTGACGAACGTACACAATACACAATGCATCCCCCCCACAGCATCCATCCTCTGCCCTTTCCTTCCCATGACTATGACGTCGAAGCAATCCCGCCGCCCAGAGATCTCTTGGCCTTGTCCGCAGCAGCCATGATCGGTAGATCGGCACGGCACTGCCACCCAACTGCCACACTCTGCACTGCTACCCTACCTTGCCCACAGGGTGCCGCGATCGAGCTACTGACTGTGTATTTGTACTGTATCTCGTGGTCGCAAAACGTATATGTGGAGCCCACTTTCGTGGCTCGATGCCTAATTGCTGGCCAACCCCGTACAAGTACGGTACAGTAAGGAACATCCGCTTGGCAAGCTGCGCCGTGCGGAATGCGCGCGAGTGTGTGAGAGGGGGCTACCTCAGGGATCTACACGTAGTTTGGCTTCAGCCTTGACAGAGGCAAGAAACAAGAAAAGTAAAGGAAACATCGTGGGAAAGTTTCTTTATTTGGGTGCTGAAAATCGTTCTTCTCGGGCGTTCGTTGACAGGCAGTTTCGACGAAGTACCATATATCTACCTGAGATAAGTCTCTGAGATAAGTGGCTGAGGATCCCGCATCGCCGGCGGATTGAATATCTTACACAAACACCTTGGATCGATTTGTAGGCCCTCACATCAACTGAAGGCTGCTGTCGCGCGTGGAAGCACTTACATATACGGCAGACCGTATATCTATCTGGCCACGATTGCTGGCCACACATACCACCATTCCCGCGGGGCCTTACGTCACAGCCTTCGGCGAGCCAGACCCGCCAGGGCGGACTTCCTTTACTGATTCTTCGCTGGACTCGCGCTGTCGCCGGCCATCAAGTGAGGCAGCAGCAATGCAACAGCAGCAGGCCCCTAACCCTCCGGGCTACGGCCCTCCCGTAACAGCGCCAGCCCCCCGACGACCACTCTCCCCAGCGCCTTCATACCACACTCTCCCCCCAGACACGGAAGCCACCTTATCGTCAACATCCACATCTCGCAGCAGCAACAACAACAACAACAATAACGCCCTCCTCAACGCCGCGCGCACCGCCCCAGACGCCATACTCAGCCACCTCATCCTCAGCAACCACCCAGCCCCGCCCTCCAAACACCTCAACCTCGGCGCCAATGGCGCCAACGGCGGCTCCGGCACCGCGCGCCACCTCAGCGCCAGCTCCGCGGACGGCAAAGGGCGCTACCGCGTCTCCTTCCCCAGCAGCATGGAGGCGCGCGTGGGGAAGGTGGTGGGCGGCGGGCCAGGAGGGTTGGCGGTGCAGGAGGACATCGCGAGCGTGCAGTACAGTAGTCGCGGCTTCAAGGTGGTGGAGTTGACGGTGGAGGCCGGGGTGAAGAGACGCGAGGTGGTGGTGTTGGAGGTCGGGTATGAGGAGTTGCAGGCGCAGAGGGGAATGCGTGTCGGTATGCGCGTAGGGGGGGTGGAGAGGGGGCTAAGATGGGTGGTTGTGGGCGTTGGGGAGGAGGAGGCTGGCCTGGCACCGTCGGGAGGTGATGGGAGGCGCAAGTCCGGCGAGAGGGGAGGGTCCGGCCGACTTCCGGCCGGGGCGCATGAGAAGCGCAGGCAGCAGGCTGCCTTCTCGGCCTTGCGGCTGGTGGACGCCGAGGGAAACGTTTATGCCGAGTACAGCCATGAGGTGGGCCTGCCGAGCGTGATGAGCGAGGAGCGCTGGGGTCGTGTGAGCATCAGGAGTCGGGTGGTGATGCTAGATGAGGGGGTGGATCGGGCGTTTGTCACGCTGGCGGCGCTGCTAGAGTGCTACGTGAGGATTTTTGGGCAGGTCAGGAAGGAGGAGCGGCATTGGGGGAACTTTGCGGGCGGTGTGGCTTGTTCTGTGATGTGATGTATCGGTGGGAGAGAGGGCGTGGTGGAGAGAGCTTGGGCTTCGTTAATGGCGGGTACGCGCTGCGCTGCGCTGCGCTGCTCGTCTCCTCTACAAGTGTTTCCGGACAGGAGAAGCTATTCTAGCGAAAGGGACATTTGTATGCCAGGATAATTCAGTTCCGAAGATACTCGCCAATTGTTATGGGCAACTTTTGCTGTTGCCTCAGACGCATGATCAGGTCGGCATCACTGACTAACACTACGTGCTTCAAGTATCCTGGGCCTTCAGACCGTCTCTCCCTCCTGCAGCCATCTCCAGCTACCCTCCACATCCCTCAAAGCGTAAACTTGAAGCCCTCTTGCCCCTCCAACGGCCTCGCCAGCGTCCCCCGCTCCACCCTTTTATTCATCCTGATGAAGTACAGAGTCATGCCAGTCAACAGCAGCAGAATCAACATCTGCAAGCCCGCCGTGACCCACAGACCGGTGACGTAGCGAGGCGCGTCTTGCTGGCGGAAGACCGTGCTGCCCATGATGCCGCCGATGGCACCAAAGCCAATCTGCAGGGCGCTGCCGACGGAGCGCTTGGACTGCATGCGAATGTTGTTGGATTGATAGGCCAGGATGGAGGGGATGTTGCCTTGGCAGCCGGCCCAGCCGAAGAAGAGGCCGAAGTAGCGGGCCATGTTGGAGGAAGCGTAGGCTGTCATCATGAGGCCGACGATCTGTGCAATGTCAGTTGGGACAGGACTGGGACTGAGAAATGGCAGACAGGGCCAGACTTACGCAAATGATGGCCTGGAAGGCGATGGCGGGTGCACGCTTCTTATACTTGTCACTTGCCCAACTGATGATCAGAGACGCGATGACCGCGAAGATGATGGGTGGGATACCAAGCAGATGTGTGACGCCCACGCTGTATCCCATGCTGTAGACGATGACGGGTGCGAAGTATGCAAGTGCATAGGCGGGCATCGTCGTACACATGAACATCAAACCGAAGGTCCAGAGCTTGAAGTCCTTCAGATGGAACAGGAAGCGTTCCATAGTAAGGGGGTCGGGTTTGGCATCACCGCGGTCAACCTCGATGCGCTGTGCGATGAAGGCGGCTTCGCGCTCGGTGAGCAGACCCTTCTTATGAGCTTTGTCTGGGAAATCGACGATGATGAACCACGCGCCAATGGCGACAAGTTGGGTGATGAGGCCTTCGATGATACTGTTGAGACATAACAGTTAGCTGTCCATTGACAAGTCGATGAGTGAAGCAGGGGAGAGGGCAGCTTTGCAGAGGTAGTAAAATATAGTCAATGCGGCCTCGAGAAAGCATAGGGTATGGGAGGGCCGGAGGCAGCACGTGCAAGGGTCACTTACAAGATCCATTGCCATCCGTTCAGCCCCTGCAGACCTTGCATTTGAATGAGGCCGTAAGCCAGAAGATTAGAGAACCCTCCAACCAAGACGGAGACTAAATAGAACCAGGCGAGTCTGGGAGTTCAGCATACATACGTTGCTGATGATCAAACTGCTTACCTCTGTTGCACCTCGTAACGCACGTACCTACTAGCGATCAATATCTGCGCGAGAATAGGTATGAGGGTCCTTACCAGCAAGTGATGAGATACGCGCAACCAGGAAAGAAACCAGCCTCAAAGAATCCCAATAGGAACCGACAGGCGGCAAGCGCCGAGTAGTTAGTCACAAACCCCTGTAGAGTCAGCATATTGCTAATGAGCATTTGAGACGCTGACGCACCTGTCCCAACATCACAGTTCCCCACGCGAAGGCAAGAAAACCAAGCCAATTTGCGGTGCCGACCTTCCTTAGAACGATGTTTGACGGCAGCTCAAAGAGCATATACGGGGGAAAGAAAACAACCAGTGCGATGGTATACCTATCGCCAATGTAGAGTTGGAGGTCTTCTTCCATGCCAGAGATGCGAGCTGCCGAAATCTGAAGACAGAAGAAGTTAATGGAACCGAAGCAGGCTGAGTAGAGAGCACTCACATTGACCCGATCGACCAAAGCGATGGAGTAAAGGGCACCGAGGATTGGTAGGAGTCTCGCGTCGATCTTGCGCACGAGTTTCTTTTCCGCCTGGGGCTCATAATCGATGAGCTCGCGCTGCGGCGGCGTGAGTTGACCTTCGTTCTTGATATGCTCGTCATGTTGCACAGCAACGTCGAGATTTTTGTCCGCCCCGGTGGAAGCCATGTTGACTTTGTACAGCCAGTGCAAGTGTCCGTTCCCTAGACAGAAGTTCACAAAGAGGACTAGAATACAGGAGCATTCGGAGCATATATGGGCCAGGAGGAGTATGCCCTTCTACCGCATACCCCGCAATGTGTTACTCTTCCCATACTTGGCATGGCTGCGCGGTCCTGGGCATAACCTGTTGCCGTCCACTTAGCGAGGCCACAGCCGAAGACTTGCCGCGGCAGGGCTTTGCAGTCGTGTCAAACATCGAATCCTGGACAAATGAGCGGGAAGAGGAGGGGCGGAAGTCTCGTGATGTAGACTGATGCCAAGCACCGCGTACTGGGGGTCTGGGAAGATGACCAATGGGAATGGTATGCGAAGAGCTCTGGGGTCTTAGCGAGCCGACATGATTCTCTGGGGATCTTCTTGTCTAGTCCAGCTGTCGAGTCAGTGTCACGCAGCACCAGATCCAGACCGCTTTCCCTCGCCTTTGTAGGCAATTTGCAGACTTTGACAGGGGTGAAGCAGGCACAGAATGAAATTGTCGCCCGCCGTGGGTCCAAAACAGCCCATTCACAAATGCTCGGCAAGCATGTTGCCTGACCACGTGCTCGTCAACAATAGCTTGAATGACTCCTTGTGTATCGCCAAGGACCAAGCTCAATGTGACGCGTCTGTTTCACACGTCTAGGCTGCCGAGAGTTGTGAGAAGGAAGCCAAGTCTGAGTTTGGCGACGTGGGGATTTTACTCTGGAGACTCTGGGGAGTCCGGGGTAGCCCCAACCTTAACTGTCGTCTTCAGTTGGACTAGAGGACCCAGTTCATCAGTACCTACAGTACCTCTATCACGGACTTTGGTACAAGTAACAGAATTACTGGTTCTAGGATTTGATACAACTGCCAAAAGACACCTATCACTCATTCCAAAGATTAGACCTGCTCGCACTTGAGACTCGAGCTTCGGCTTCCGCAAATATGATAGGCTCTTGTGCTGCTATAAGAGCCTACCCAATATACCACGCGATTCTTCGCAAGAGGTGGCCATTATCCTGAGGCTCTGCACCTCAGATGCCTGCCTGGTTGTTGGCGGATTGTGGTCAAATGACTTCCACTGGGCACGGGAACGGTGCTTTAGTAATAGTCTTCCACAGATGCATTGCTGTTGAGTTGAGCAAGGCGGTCCGGGTTCTGGTCTAGAGAGCTTTCAATACTCGTTCTCAATTTAGTGTACAAATGTCCTTCCACTTTCTGGCATCATCTGGACTTTCAGAAGCTCTTTCCCCTTGCCCCTTTGGTTTAGGGACATGACCTTGCATCTGTCCGTATGAGACGCAGAACAAGCGCTGGACTCCAACAGGGAGAGGTTGAATAACGGTGACCCATATTGTGGTGCTGAACGGTATCCTGCTAAAGATCCGGCGGTGTACTCGACTCGTCACTCAGCTATGAGTTGAAGGGCTTGACATGAAGGACGGCCAGATATCGACCATGTTACCCTTTTGACAGAAGACAGTATTTATTAATGTATTCTCTCCCACAAATGATCAGAGTTGCGGAGCTGCTGGCCATTTCTCGTGTTTCAGAATCAGCTCAAATGATGGTTTGGTTGCAGGAGACGTCCTGCCTAATAGCTGGGTCTGATTGTACCAGCTGCAAGTGGTTGTTGAACCCGCTGTGAGATCCAGGTACCAGCCTGACGCCAGCATAGCACGTAAAGCACCGCCTTCTTAGATAGTTCAGCAAATGTTTGACCGCCTGCTGCCTGGCGTGGTGAAGCTGCGACCATAGAGTGAAGATGACACGCACCTGCCGTCTATATAAAGTGTAGTCTACATCTGTCTCGTACTTTATGATTCTGCTTGCCCGTTCAGACCTACCACTAACTCGCGACAACACGACACGAAATGGACAACCTAGATCAGATCGACAACGAGTTCGAGCTGGCCGCGCCGGAGACAGGGCCACCGCCTAAGCAGATTCCTCCAACCTCCTACGCCTATACCGCAACATATCTTCGCGAACCACTCTACCAACCGCAATTTGACGATATCGTGCCGGCTCTCCACTACCCCTCATCTGCACGACAAGTCGACCGTCCCATGGTACCGCCTCTATACCCTCCCCCTCTACCTCACGCCGATCTAATTCCAGTACCACTTCCACGTGTGCCATCGGCCCCTCGTCCACCACATCGTCAGGTGTTAGATAACTTCTTCCCACCGCAGACACGTCAGTCTCGCAAGCGAAAACGTACACCATCATTCGACCAGTGGGGAGACACGTTGGCGGAAGAGGATTTCAATCTTGTCATTGTTCTCACTCTCGATGGTCGCTCCACCAAGACGATCGGTCGCCAACTGAAAATGGTTCTGCCTCCAGCGATCAATCACAATATTGAGAAGCCTGAATACATCTTCGAGATCCAGAAGTATGTCGGTACTCTTTTCCATGAGGGTAGATTGATTGGAGCCTTCAAGCCTACCGTGCTTAACGCCATGATCGAAGGCTTCCTCAAATGGTGCACTGGACAAGACAACAATGGCTTACGCACACTTGCTCGCGCAAAAGAAGCCGATGACTATGGTGATGACAAGGCACAGCTCAGAGCCCTAGCACAAGCGCGAAAAAACCATGGCGCGACTCCCATTAACGAGCAATATGGATACACCACGGCTTGGGCTCAAGAACAGACTGGGGAATGGAGGAACATGATGGAGGAATGGTGGACCAAAGGGACTGTCAAGGGCAAGAATATCCCCGAGCAGAGCCTTTGAGGGTGACAAGACGCATCGAAGGGGACACATCATGCTGTACGGGTAATCACTAGTGCGCGATTGCTTGGGTTCGAATTTGGGATCAGAATCAGGATGTGCGAGCTGTTGTTGTGTTTAAGGTCAAGGGATGTAGTAGCAGTGACTCAACTTGGGCGAAAGAAAGCCTCTCGACCCTGCTAGCAAACGCAGGTAATCAAAGACGTGCAATTTACCTCGAAAGGCAAAACACTCGCGCCGCCTGAGAGCTAGGATCCGTTTTCCTGGTTGCCTTCTTGGCGGGATCCCAAGGCCGAAGCGTACATCACTTTCCACTCGTTTGCACCATTCATGACGCTCCTCACGAAACGCTCGCATCAGCAGGATATAACATAACAGGTCTTTCGCCATTTCGCATCGCCCAAGACTTACTCGGCTACGCTCAACGGGGTTTTCTCCACCCTGTAAGTCGGACAAAAACCACAACGGCTTACAATCAGAACCAAGACCTGTCCGCCATCAAAGGCCTACGCCCACGATCCAACAGCCATGGCCTCCAACGACCCGCCACAACCTTCCCGCTCGCCCCGCGACGACCTCTCCGAATCCCAGCTCCTAACCCGGCCCTATCCACCCTCAACATCCACCCCCCCTCAGGCCTCCCCACCATCCTCCCCCTCTCCCTCCTCCGAAGACCCCTTGGCCTCAGATCACCCCCTCTCCCTCTCCACCTCCACCCTCCTCACCACCCACGTCCCCACCGACGCCCGCACCGCCCTCTCCCACCTGTCCGCCACCCTCGACCCCCCAACCCACAAGATCACCGTGCGCTTCCAGGCCACAGGCGACGCGCCCCCGCTGAAGCAAAAGGTCGCGAAAGTCAGCGCCAGTCACACGTTTGCGGTCGTCGTGAGGTTTTTGAGGAAGAGGCTGTATGGTGATGGGGGCGGCAATCAGGAGGGAGGGCAGCAGGGCAAGGGCAAGGGGAAAGGGGAGGGGGAGGGGGATGGGCTGTTTTGCTATGTCAATCGCGTGTTTGCGCCTGGGTTGGATGAGGGGGTGGGGAATTTGTGGAGGGTGAGTTTTGCTCTTCTTTTTTTTTTCTCTCTTTTTGCCTATATTCCTTTGTGTTTCGTGTTTCAGTCAGGTCGCGCTGCCCTGGAGAGGGGGGCAGTTGGCCCTAAAAGGGAAAGGGGAAATGGAAAACGAGATGAGAGGCTAATGCGCAAGTCTTTTTTTCTGAGAGCAGTGCTTCAAGGTCGATGATCAGTTGATCGTCTACTATTCTAGGACGCCGGCTTTCGGATAATAGCAGCCATACCACGCAACAGCGGAAATGCACCAACGAACTACTGCGACTGCTGTGCATCGTTCCTCAGCAGCTTCTCCCTCAGCGCCTCCGCAACCTTTGGATCCCGCTTGTACTCGTATTCCGCACTGGGATACTGGCCCGCCCTCACCTCCTCGACGTAGGCGGTAGCTCCCCTCAAGCCTTCCGACCAGATATCCGCATACTGTTTCACAAACTTTGGCAAGAAGCTGCCGCGCGGTCTCCAGCCGAACGTATCGACCTGCACCAACACCTGTCCACTGCAGCCCTTGCCGGCCCCAATGCCAATCGTTGGCACACCCAGCCGCTCGGTCACCACCTCAGCGACATCGCCCGGCACCGCCTCCAGCACGACCATGAAGGCGCCCGCATCACGCACAGCCTTCGCGTCCGCCCACAGCTTCTCCGCCTTGGCGACGCTGTTGCCCTGCACGCGAAACCCCCCAAGCTGATGCTGGCGCTGGGGCGTGAGGCCGACATGACCCACAACACTGATGCCGGCGCGCACGATGCCGCGCACGCGGTCGGCGACCTCCTCGCCGCCCTCGAGCTTGACGGCGTGGACGCGGCCCTCTTTGACCATGCGCACGGCGCTGCGCACGGCCTGCTCGGTGCTGACCTCGTAGGAGCCCATGGGCAGGTCGCCGACGACGAAGCTGCGGTTGGCGGCGCGCGACACCGCCCGGCTGAAGACCAGCATCTCGTCCAGCGTCACCGCAGAGGTGTCGGGCATGCCGAGCGCCACCATGGCGAGGGAGTCGCCCACAAGTAGCATATCGGTGCCGGCGGATTGCGCGAGGTGCGCGGACGGGTAGTCGTGCGCGGTGAGCATCGTAATGGGGGTTTGGGTTTGGTAGAGCTTTTGTAGCGTTTGGATTGTTACCGGCTTCTGGTTGGGTGGGAGGGCGCTTGGAGATGAGGGTGCATGGGACGAGTGTCGGGCTTGTGTTGAGGTTGCAGGGGCGCTTGTGGGTGTTTTGCGTAAAGTGAGGCGGTCTTGATGCGTGCTGACGAGACATGTTACGCTTGAACCGGCGGGGGAGATCACGCGTCGGAGGGGACGCGCAAAGGCGGCACCGCAGGGTCGGACGGCCATGACTGTGGGAAGCTGAAGCTGCAGCTGCAGGCTCGGGGATGAATGGTGCTGCGTAAGCTCGGAGTCATGCGAATCGCCCTTACTGGGGGCTGTGTCAAGTTCGAAGTCAAGGTGGTCGCGTGTACAGGCAGTAGAAATGTTTAGCTGCAACGCACCCTGTGTTTGTGCTGTTCAACCAGGCTCTTTCTCAGATGCGGGGGTCAGCACGACGTGGTTGATGGCAAGGACGTGTCTCGGGAAAGAGAGCATTGTGGAGTTATGAGAGCGGGAAAAGAGAAGAAGAAATAGTAAACTGATCTTTGGCATGCGTGCTGAGTTGTTGCAGCGAGGTTTCGAGTATGCTATGGAGTCAAAATACCAGACCGAGGCCCGGGCGGTGCCGAGCTAGGCCTTTTCGAGCTTACGGCGATAAAGGCTGTTGCCAAGTCCGCGGCCGGGGGGAGGTGAGGTGCGGCGTAGAGAACAGTCTCTCCGAGGTAGTTTCACGAGGGGTACTCCGTATTCGGGCCCCTGGAAGGTGTTCGTCGCTATACAATACAGCCTGACTATCGGTATGGAGTAGCTAGCACAGCGCTGCTTGCTGTAGAGCGGCAAGAATCGCTCTTGACGACTCCTTGCCGTCTCTCCAGATGTCGTTGTGCTGGCCGTGCAGCTCAACCACCGAGACGTAGTCCTCTCCCTTCTCGGACTGCTGCAGCACTTTGGACATTGCCTCGACCTGGTTCCAGGGCACCAATCCATCGTCTTTAGAATGGGCCAGCACGACCTTCTCGACACCAGCATCCTCGTAGTGTTCTGCCTTGTGGAATGCGGGGCTTGCGGGAATCTCCTCGCCTTCTTTCATGGCGTTGAATACCAAAGCGCTGTACTCTGGATGGTCCTCTAGAATGAGCGGGAAGTCGTAGATGCCACTTATGCCGAGCACCACCTTGGGAGCAGGAAACCCAGAGTCCTCAGCTCTCAGTGCGGCCAGGAGTGCCAGTTGAGCACCTACACTATGTCCGGCCAGGACGTAATTCGAGCCAAATTTGTGGACGGACTGCAGTTGCTTGATAGCTGCGAGGACATCGTCCAGATGTTGTGGCCATACAGCGGTCCGCTGCGCAAAAGGTGGTGTGTCAATAGGTTGCGTGTGGTTCGTGTGCGGTGAGAGACGGTAATCCAGCGTAGCGTAGCCGGCGACGGACGATTGCAGAGACTGATTCGACGAAGACGTGAGAAGCTGGACGGTAGGATGGAATGATTCCTTGAGCACGAGTGGGTCTCGATAGAAGCCGCCGTGGATGTAGACGACCCAGTACTGCGGTGGCGGCGATCCGAACTTTGGGACCGTAGGGAAGATATCGTATGATTGCAGGAAGTTCTCTTTGGCGTACGGAATGCTGGTCATCCATTGACCAGCCGATAATTTCGGCATGCTGCTTGAGATCGCATTTACGGGCGTGGCAGTGAGAAAGTGTGCGACAAGTATTATAGACGATAAGATGGTTGCCTTGATCCGACGGGTGTCGAACTGAATGGTGCCTTGCGGATCCGAATTCCCCATCTGGACGGTGCCTTACTGTCGTGCAGCTCTCTCCTACATCAACCAGGTGGCTGCAGTCTCGAACGTCTAAACCTTCGTGTCTGTCCGGAATACATGGACACAGGACGTGCTTCTGATATGACATCTTCCATCACCGCGGCAATGGCACTCCTCGGACCGCGCACCCCCAGCCATCCAAAGGGTGCCTGCACTAAGAAGAAACCGAGTTTATCTCTCCAAGCAGCGCCGCCCATCTCCAGTGACAAGGCATCGCTATGACGATACAGCACCCGAAGCACGGAAATCCTTGATGTTACAGTCCGCATAATGCCGTGCTCCCTTCCAGACGCCTTTTACGCATTCCAAAAGTTTCCTCCAGCCCTGAGATGAGATAGCAGAAAAGCACCTCATTTGTTCTCCTTGTCCTCCCCATCGACCTGGCTACTCTTTGCCATCTCCTCAATTGCCTCGATCGCGTCAAGATCATCGTCAAAATCATCTGTAGTTGTCGCGGGCTCTCCTGCTAGCTCTGTGACCGGACCTTCCTCCTTCGGCTTCGTCTCCTGATCTTCCGTTGCCTTGATAGGCTGCTGGGTACCGGGTCCTTTAATCGGCTTCTGCTTTTCTGCCGCCAGGTTCCAGTCAACCTCACCTTCAACGCCATATCGCTCTCTCAACCACTCGTTGGCCTCTTTGAAGTGTCCGCAGTCTGCAAAGTTTCCAGCTCGGGCGGCAAGTGGACTGGGATGAATGCCTTTCAGGACAATATGCTTCGCACCCTTGATCGTTTCGACGCGCTTCTGTGCGGGCTTGCCCCAGGCGAGGAAGACAACGCCTCTCTGGCGGACTTTGACCACTGTATCGATGACTTTCTGTGTGAATTTCTCCCAGCCTTTTCCTTGATGCGAGTTCGCCTCGTGTGCGCGAACGGTCAGAACCGTGTTGAGAAGTAGAACGCCTTGGTCGGCCCAGGGAGTTAGCAATCCACCCTTGTTCGGGGGACGTTTGAAGCCCGGTACATCTTTCTCGCAAGCAGCAAAGATGTTGACGAGAGAGGGCGGGGCAACGGTAGGAGGTCGGACGGAGAAGCAGAGACCATGAGCCTGATTGTGGTTGTGATAAGGATCTTGTCCTACGACAACGACCTTGACGTTATGCAGTGGTGTGTGACGCGACCTTCAACTTTTGTCAGCGTGCTTGCGATCCATCTCCGTCTCGACTTACCAGCTGTAGACCTCTTCCAGTGGGGGAAAGATCTTCTTCCCAGAATCGATTTCCTTCTGTATGAACTTCTTCAGCTCGAGAAAGCTGCTTGACGTGACTTCTTCCTTGAGGTGTGCCAGCCATGAGGAGTCAAGCGTGTCAATCTCGAGCTTGAGTAACGATTTCTGCTCGACAGTGAGGCCGGCGACCCATTTCTCCTTGTCGAATTTGATCGGAGCGGCGGCGGCAGGCGCAGAGGTGCCATTCAAGGCAGCGGTTGTGGAAGGGGCAGGCTTCGGTGCGCCGAAGAACGACGTCAGGCTACCGTCTTTCTTGGGCTTTTTCTGGTCGCCGAGAGACCCTGACACGGGCTCGGCCTTGCGCTTGAGGCTGGCCATCGATCGAAGGGATGAAAGTCTCACGATAGCGAGGTGCAGGTACAGTCGGGAGAAAGGAGAGATTTCGACAGTCTTTGGACAGAGATAGAGCATGCGCATATACTGTGAGGACTGTACACGGCGAAGCCTGGCGATGTTGTTACGGAGGAATACTTTCATGACGTCGAGAACGCGTGCCGGCGCGTCGCGTCTCAAATCTGGGGTAGTGCTAGCCGCATTTCCACCACCCAACAGGCCTTGTCCGAGGAACATCTACATTGAGGTCGGAAACATGACACTTTATGTGATCTGTATTGAATGCACTACATGTGCAAGACTTATGACCTCGGCTGCAATCAAATCTAGTGCGCCTGCCTTGTGCTCTCGTACCTTCGTCAAGAAGAGGTCGTGGCCGCCTATTCCTATTCCCTTTTCCTCCCACCAAAGGGACCCATTCTGTGGTGTCCCAGGGTATATTGCACAGGAAACGCTGTAAGTATGCATACAAAAAGCAAAAGACTGCAAGTGGTCCAGCCCGTCTCGTCTCGTAGACCCGCCTCAATCCAAGGTGATTACCTCTTTACCTTGCGTATCCATCGCTGGCTTGTTGTTCGGCCGTGGCCGCTGTTGCTGCTGATTAGCGCCATTCGGCACCTGCCTTTGGTTCTGCTGAGGTGTCTTCGGCACAGGTTTCTGTGTGTTGTTGCCACTGGCCTTTGCCGGAGGTTGAATAGGTGTCTGGTTCGTCTTCGGATCCTGTACGTTTGCGGCATCTTCGGCGACCAGTTTCTGCGGATGTTCGACGATATCCACCATCAACTTATGCAATGCCTCGAAGATTGGCTTCGGTCGATCTGCAAGAAATGCAGCGGCTGTATCGAGTCGCAGCCAGTCGGGGCTAGTCTCAGCCATTTGGAAAAGCGCCTCCTTCAGCTTGGCGCGCATCACGTCCGATGTAAACGAAGGTCTTTGATATGACTTCAATTCTTCGAGGGCTGGTCGTAGGATAAAGGCACTCTTCTCATGCTGGAATGGCAAAATCTCGAAACGTGCTAACAGCCTGGAATTCACGTTCATCGTGGAAACGTCGGCGGGGCCCTTTGGGTCGGCGGCATAGTACTGCAGAGCAAACATAGTCGGTTGCCGTACAAGTAGATGTATTCGGACCTTGGATGATGACCGCTCGCTGGAATTAGATTGTACGAGCTCATGCAAGCACATGATCATGGGGTCGACGAGTGCCAATAAAGACATCATATCTATCAGATGCAAAGCAAACGGCTGTCGTGGATCTTGCAACATCTGCGATAGAGAGAATTGCAGGCACGCGTGCGGGTTGCTGTCCCGAGGAACGAACTCCACTCGAGGAGGGTTGGTGCCACTGGGAAACTGAATTTGAAGCTCGCGTTCCGTTGATCCATTGAAGTGATACGCCAGAACCATGGTCCGCATCGACGTCGATACAAGTCGTACATTCGAAAGCGTCTCCATGAATTGCACACTCGAGACAACATCGCTCAATCTTCGGACATCTTGGATAATGTCGTTGGCGCCGGCTCCGCCAATCTGGATCTGCAGCTGGAACGCAATTTGACGATCTTTTGGTGTGAATTCGAATCGCGTTTCCGAGCTTGAAGCCCGGAGACGGTGTAAAACTTCCTCAGGGGCATCGGTCTTGAGCTGTACCAGCAGCTTGGCTTTCTGACTTGCAGCATCCACGCGCACGAACTGGATTCTAGCAGTATCATCAACCAACAAGGATTCCGACGTGCTCTGTGATTGACTCGTCGTTTGGAACGCAAGGGAAGGCAGAGTGTACTTGCTTCCAAAATCCGGTATGCCAGCTAATGTATGCCGATACGCAGCGTGTTTGAACTGCTGTGATATGTTGTCCAGCACGACGACACCAGATGCGTACTCCGCTAATGATTCAAAGTAGGCTGCCGATAGATCATCGCTGAATTTGAGTGTTTGCGTATGCACAATCCTGGAGCTAGCTAAAGCCGTTGATGCTCTAGGCATTTGCACGATAGAGATGGCATCACCGGTAGGTTTATAAGCAACCACCAAGACATATTCTTGAGACCAGAACGGATGGCGAAAAAAGTTGGCTCTTGTCGTCGACAGTCCAAACAGCGTCCGTAGATCAGTAAGAGTCGGCTTGAATGCGAGTAAAGCTTGCCAGGAAGTGTTCCTGACGACGCGGAGTATGTGCGCCTCTGCGATCGCGCAGCGAAAGTTCAGGAACTTGGACACAAAGTCTTCTACAAGACTCTTGCTTCGATTCAGCTCGACTTGTAGGCGATTGCTCTTCTCTGACGCAGGGCCTACCACCACAAGCCCGGTCACAGCGTTGATGGAGATTGTGATACTGAAATCTTTTGTGGTCTGAATCTGCAGAGAACATTCTTCCGGCTGAACGTTGGAGGTAGACTCTTCCAGTGCCAGAGCCCCGGAGCTGAAGAGGATGTTCGGCAGGAGCTTGTCGTAGATCGAGGACAACATGAAACAAACATGTTGAGCTATTAGCTGAGACAATATTGACGTCAAGGAGATCGTCGACGGGCGGATGACCAGAGAGAAATCCTCCACTCTCTTGCCCTCGCGGTACCATCGGACCCCGAGTGTTGAGCTCACTTGCGTCACGTCTCGGGCATCGCGTCCACTGTAGATACCAATTTCTACCCAGGATTTCGGCATTGGACGCTCGGTCCAGTATTGCACAACGAGATTCCGATGGAGGAATTCAACTCGGACATGTCCAGCCCACTGTTTGTGACTCAGGTTCAAAGCCTGTTTGTGGTACTCAGCCAGCTTGTTGGACAAGGTCAGGTCGTGTAAGAAGTCGTAGCATCCCGAGAGGCCATCTTTACTGAGCTCGGTATCCGTTAGCCGCTCCAACTCGGCCCGTAGTTCATCAGAGATGCTCGGGCGTGGACTGAACAAGAACCTGAGGTCTACCATTCGAAAGGGCGTTGTAGGATCTTCCTCTAAGACTGACAGATCCACTTCGAATTCATCTGATACAATAAAGGTCGCGCGCCCATCATGAACACGATAATTGCGCAGTGGGGGTGGAATCTCGTCTTCAAGTGTGAGTCTTGCCGTTAATAGGTTGTTCAGCCGGCGCAGTGTTGAAATGATTTGCTTCTTGGACAGCTTTGCTGCAGGTCGGTACCCAAGATGGGGCAAGGACGCTTTCTTTCCCAAAGACAGGATTTCGCCGGCTGTTTGAATGTCGGGGTTTGGAAGCTGCCATTCGGTTGCTTCTGTCTTGAGCATATAGAACTCGTAGCAGGCTAGGTTGTACTGCTCACGCTGCCGGTGCAGCCAAAAGTTCAGACTGATGGTCTTGGACACATCTTTAACGTTTCTGCTCCACTGAAGCAGGACCATCAACTTGATCAGATTGGCCTTCTGGTCGTTTGCGAAATTCAAAATCCGGTCCTTCTTGTCGAGGTTGGCCTTGGTCGTGTTGTTCGGCGCGGGGACATAGCCAGATCCGGGTTGCGCGTTGACAGGCTGCGCGGGTACTTCAATGGCAGAAAGCTGATCAACGAGTTCGTATAGATCGTTCCAACATTTTTGCGCAGATCGACTGACCAATGTAGCGACGGGCAGATAGTGTTCCTGGTCGACCAGTTGCAATGGCTCATCAGGCGGTGGTGAATAGCCGCGAAGATGTGTCGCAGCGCCGTTAGGGAGATGGCCCGAAGACACACCATTCATCTGGGTCTTGGAAAGACCTGGTCCGGCTGGCCGCAATGCCGCATTATCGACAGACTTGGAGAACTTCGCTTCCGGTGGTGGGGGAGGCTTTATTGACTGGGTGCCATTCGGAAGATGCTGGCCGTTGAGTTGAGGCCCTTCGCCATTCATGATTGCGCGCCGGGAAAGAATATGCACGGCATGGCAGCTTCAAGGGCACGGGGTGTTATCCGGCCTCTTAAAGACTCTGCTGTGCGCGAATGTGTCGCCAAAACGACGAGTCGGATCTGAAGGCTTGAAAGCAACAAAGAAGTCGTCAGAATGGGGGCGTGTCTGGAAGCTGTCGTCGCGGCGCGATTGCTCTGGTCGGTTTTCCGGGTGCGATTCGTTGGAACCGCAGAACTCACGAGACAGTGGAGGGGCGAGGTGAGTCTATGCTGAGGAAGTATCGATAGGTGAGAGGGACTTGTGTCGCAGGAATGTGGTTCACGAGCGGGCAATCTCAGAGTTGGCGCGGGCGGAAGAAGGGCGCAGTTTTAGTCAGGTGAGAGGCGGGCGACCAGTTCGTTTGTTGTCGACGCATCAACTGATGCAGCGTAAGGCAAGATGTTCTGGAAGCCGCGCAAGAACAAAGTGATGTGATGCGATGATATGGAGCAAGCGAGACAATGGGGGGCGCAGGTGAATGACAAGGCGAGGCTTCCGAGTGCAGAACGTAGAAGGCAGAACTAGGCCTCTGGGGTCGACCGTGACGCTTCATTCTAGGCCGGACCCAACCCTAACCCTGAGTACCGCGAGGGACATCTCCGTACATTTCCGTTCCGAGTCGTTCTGCCACTGTGAATGACTCGGAACTGATCTTCCTGCAGCTTGGACATTGCTAGCACTAGTATTGCTAGAAGGTGCCCAAGATCAGCAGTCCCATTGATTGCATGCATCAAAGTCTATCTGCGCCCAAAGTCAGAGTCTTACGTTGTCATCCGTTCCCCAAAGAGAGAGAGAGAGAGAGAGCGACGCAATCGTCGTGGGTGCATACTTGCGTTGGGGGGTGGTCACACGGGCCTCTGCTAACCTTTAAAGAAGCGTGCTATCGCTGGTTCGTGCGAAATGGCAGGCAAAGACATGCCGAAGAGGCCGTATCAGAAGCCATAGCGCCGCCAGACGACAATGATGGACATGCATGTGCTGAGGCTAAGCCCTCGCCTGTTGAAGCCATCGTGAAGCGGCCTGTTGCTAGCATGCCTTTACTCCTGCGGCGGCATGCAACCATATAACTTGTTTCTCCTTCTCTTTCTGCCGTGGTTTCTGTGCTCGTCCTCTTCATGCCGTGGGATCTTCGCGGTAGAATGGCTGCTCGTTGGGGAGCACTGCCCGCCCACCAAGGACCGACTGGGATCACGGCCAAAGGACGGTAGCCGCTGCAGTGTCACGTCAGAATGGTATTACCCCGTACACCAATCACCGCCCACTCTGCCCCCATCCCTGCCCGTACACGTACCCGCTTCAAGTCCACTGCCTGCGCGTTCGCTGACCTCGATGTCCAGGTACCGCGCAGCTCCCCGGGCGTACCCTTCTTTCGTCCCATTCTTGACAGACAGATTTCTCACTCCAAGAGCCTGATCTCTCCGACGCCCTCCGTTGAGGCCGATGATGAAAGAGAGTCATCTCTGAGCGATGCCGAATTCGCCATGAGCGACACCAGTCAACATGCACGTTATGTGGGCGAAGACACCAGGCCTACCAGTCAGAAAGAGCTTTGGGGATGGTATAGCTACGGCTGGGCTGCCGAGACGTTCGCAATCGTGTGCATGGCGAGCTTCTTGCCCATCACCCTAGAACAACTTGCACGGGAGAATGGAGTGCTACTCAAAGACAAGACCACACCATGCAGCGCATCCTGGACACCCGGAGCTGTCGATGAGCTCAATGCACCTCGACGCAACAGAGAGCTACCTGCCTGCATCGTACACATTCTCGGATCCGAGATCAACACCGCCAGCTTCGCCATGTACACCTTTTCCTTAAGTGTCCTAGTACAGGCCCTGCTCATCATCTCCATGTCTGGCGCCGCCGACCATGGCCGGTTCAGGAAGACCTTTCTGTTGGTCTTTGCTTTTGTCGGCGCAGTTGCGACAATGCTGTTCATTGCCGTAGTTCCCAAGCTCTACCTCTTTGGTGCTCTTCTGGCTATCATTGGGAACACGTGCTTCGGTGCATCCTTTGTGCTGCTGAACTCCTTCTTACCGCTGCTGGTCCGGCATCACCCGTCTGTGCTTCAAGCCCGATCAGAGTCTCGCGGTCAGGTTGAACACGATCAAGATCTGGATGAAGCGAGGGACGCTGCCGCAGATGCCACTACTCCGCTCCTGCCAGCTGATAGACCCGACGGCTCTAGCCCTGGACACCCAATTCCCGCGGCGGTCTCCCCGGAATTGAGACTGTCAACCCAGTTCTCCTCTTATGGCATCGGCATAGGTTACCTTGCTGGCCTTGTGGTTCAGTCCGTTGCAATTCTGATTGTCGTCGGAACTGGATCTACAACCTTCTCACTACGCCTTGTGCTGCTACTTGCGGGAGCTTGGTGGTTCGTTTTCACCATTCCGGCTGCACTTTGGCTGCGTCCACGTGCAGGTCCGCCTCTTCCAGCACAATTTGCTGGTCGAAGCGCTTGGGTGAGCTATATCATTTACGCTTGGGAATCACTCTTCAAGACCATCGGGCGTGCCAGGCGTTTGAAGGACATTGTGATCTTTTTAGGTGCATGGTTCCTACTCTCAGACAGCATTGCAACGGTGAGCGGTACCGCTGTGCTATTTGCAAAGACATCTCTCGGCATGCACACGGCGGCATTGGGTCTCATCAATGTCATCGCAACCATCGCAGGAGTCATCGGTGCATTTTCATGGAGCTATATCTCAAGAGCCTTCAATCTACGGGCAAGTCAGACCATTGTCGCCTGTGTCTGCCTGTTCGAATTGATTCCTCTTTATGGGCTACTAGGATTCATCCCGGCCGTCAAGCAGTGGGGAGTCATCGGCTTGCAACAGCCGTGGGAGATGTATCCGCTGGGAGCAGTCTATGGCCTCGTGCTTGGCGGTCTATCCTCCTATTGCCGAGCTTTCTTTGGAGAGTTAATACCCCCTGGGTTCGAGGCGGCTTTCTATGCCCTCTACGCCATTACTGACAAAGGGTCCAGTATATTTGGCCCCGCCATTGTTGGCGCTATCACGGACCGTTACGGTGAAATTAGGCCGGCGTTCGTCTTCTTGGCAATTCTCATCGCCTTGCCGTTACCGTTGATGCTTTTGGTCGATGTTGACAGAGGAAAGGCTGAGGCTAGTGCATTGGCGCAGGAGCTTGAAGGAAGGCGAAAGAACACTGAAGGAGCATCGGATCTCGGACAAATTCCGGCCATCCATCTCCCAGACGAGGGCAACGACTGACCGTTGCACGCTCGCGCGTGGCCTATTCGTGATCTGGGCCACCCGCTGCTCTCTTCACCTAATCTCGGCCATTCCCAATATCCCAGCCTCAAGTCGCCATTGAACACTCAACGTGTCGGTGCCTCATACTTGAGAACGATGCCCCAGACAGCGTAAGACCTGTGCACAGCTATTTCCAGCTAGCCGGCGGACAAAGACCGGACCTTCACCTGCGCTATAAAGGCAGCTCAGGGACTGCCAAGACACCGGTTCAGCATCGCTGTCTTGCGTCGACTATACACCTGCACCTCGATGAGGGCAAACGATCTTGGGAAAAGACCTATGGCTTTTGATGCCACGCGTCCATCGCCTCCATCTGCTCCCTTGAGGATGTCAGAAGTGGCAAGTGGAAAGTCAATAGCCCTGGTCGGACTGCCACAATGCCACCATCGACAACTATGCTCTTTGTCTCTCTCACAACTCGTCCAAGAATACACCCAAAACCTACTAAACGCTATATATACCCCACAATGCCATAATCCTCGACCTGCCACCGCAGTCAACTGGTCTTGACTTCGTCCGCATACGCTTCTACAGTTCAATCTTATTCCTAATTTTGTTGCAGTTCTGACCCAGCGCCTGTTCGATACAGCAACCATGCATTTGTCTAAACCAGTCATCCCCTTCGCCACCCTGCTGCTGGCAGCCTCCTTCGTCGCCGCGCAAGACGCAGGCGCCAATCCCAGCCTTGTCGCCCGCGAGCCGGGCAGCACACGAGGTGAGCCTGTACCCGCATTTGTATCTGCTCCTGCCGTTCCAAAGGAGATGTACGATGCTTTATCATTTAAGAAGACCTCATCGGCCAAGAAGACCACGACTACCCAAAAAACAGTAAGTAACCGTGCTGTGCCCGAGCCATCACAAACCAGTGAAGTCACCACCCTTCTCTCTCCGACTGAAGCCATCAGCACCACTGCAGTAACAGATGCCACAGACTCAGACTCGCCTTCTGATGTCGCCGAGTTCGAGTTGATGGCTCACTTGTTCGACATCAGCGATGACAGCATCATCGAAACCGCGACCAGCGACATTGTCGACATTGCTTCTGACGATGTTGATGGCTATGATGCACATCTAGACGAAGACATCTCTAGCAACGAGCACGGCAAAGCGACGGTCAAGCGGGAGCCAAGACGAAACAACGACTACATAGTCACCCCTTCCACGCCTACCACCGAGGAAATCAGAGCGGGTCAAGACGCTTACGCTGCCGCTGTTGACCGTATGTTCTCGGCGCGCGACACAGATGTCGACCAAGACCTCTCTAGCAACGAGCACGGCAAGGCCAAGTCCAAGAGGAAGCTCAGAAAGCCATCTGAGCTACAAGGTCCTTACCAGGATGTCAGCGGCGACCCCGGCGATGGCTCTTGGCGGAAGCGTAGTCCTCCCTCTGGCGGCCCTGGCGGTCACGGCGGTCGTGGTCTTATGCGATGGGGTGGTAACAGCCAGCGAGGCGACGGTGCCAGAAGCTCCCGCGAGGGACAACAGCAACAGAAGGGAGGGCGTGATGGCGCGCAAGAGGGCCCTCGCCGCGGTGGTCAGAACAGTGGTGACGGACCCCGTGGTGGTAACAGCGAGGGTCAGTACAAAGGCGATGCCGTAAGGCGTGCCGTTGCTGCTGGTCGCTTCACGCAAACCACAAACGTTCAAGGCGGTGCCAATTCCACGCACACCAAGAGTCTTCCGCCGGGTAGAACAGGCACTGGAGGAGGTCCACGAGGACGCCTCCACGGCCGCCCCAACCGCAACAACAGCACACGCCCTCGCCGCCGCAGCGACTCTGACTCGGACTCGGACTTCAATGGAGACTACGAGCATGAGTACGACTTCGACACCGCCACCGACACCGACACCGCCACCCTCTCCTCCACCCGCGCCCAACCCCCCTCCGCAAACGCCCTCCTCTCCGCCCGCCGCGAACTCTGGTCCAACGACTACGCCCAATGCATCAAAGACAGCTCCGCCATCACCAAGTGGCTGTTCGGCCTGCACCTGACGTGCTGCTGCCCCACGCAGTACGAGTATCTGAACGGATTGGGCAGGTTTGAGCCGTACTGCAAGGATCTGGATAGTCGCAAGAGCCCCGTGCCGAACACGAATGTTACGCAGGTCGTCAAGTGTAAGAAGGGGTATAAGATCAGTGAGGAGTTTCCGATGTGTTGTCAGGAGGGTTGAGAGGGGAGTGGCAGGTGAGTGTTGGTGAGTTGGTGCAGGTAGTCGTTGCGAGTCCTTGATGGATCGTCTAGGGGGCTTTGGGTTGCGTTATGGCGAAAGGTAGACTCATTAATCCATTTGTGATGCGCTTGAACCCGGTGCCCGGACTCCTTCCTTGTATGGTTGTGTGTGGCGTTCAACGACTGGCTTTGGGCTTGCAGCTCAACGTACTACTTCTTTACGGGCTCCAGATTATGGTTATCATGGGACCTACAGCCCATATCCCGAGTATGTTCACGGACTTGACTCCTTGATAGACAGACGCATTACCCAGCGTTGGCCGAGATGACTGGAAGGAACGTGATGGTGTCCGACGGAGGCTCAAATCACTAAGCAGGTTTTCGACGCTCGGAGGAGCATCTATATGTGTAATATCCAGCATACACACTCCAACGCTGCTGGCATCAGGCAGGTCAGTGAAAAGACCAACCGCAAGACCGTGATGCGTAGGCACCGGTCACCGCACTGAATCCTCAATAGCGACCCACATACTACGCGTTTGCTGCTGGGAAGCGAGTCTCGACTGGCGGATGATGGAAGTTAGCCTCTAGGGCGTCATGAAGGCTGGGGCAGCAAAGTGTGTGGACATACGGAGGTAAGTAAGCTGACCGACGCCTCTGTCCGCGGTAGCTCTCAGCACAAGAGTGCTTGGGGTGTAAGAGCATCCTGACACTCGAGGCTGTCAGACGAACAATGATGCGCAAATGAATGAGATGTATAGACGGGCAAAAGCAATTTAACCATCAAACAGAAGGTTTGGACGGCGTCTAGCGGACGTGCATTTTGGCACTGGGCACCTTCAGCGCGACGCTGACGCTTTGAGACATCTTGTCTGTGAGTATCTGATGGCAATGCATCAAAAATGCTTTGCCAGGCAGGGCTGCTATTCGGTGGTGTGCTTTCGTTCGTGGGCAAAGCAGTGTCAAACAGGTAGCGCGAGGAAGGCTCAGCGCAGCGACGAGAGGGGGGGAAGAAAGGCAAGATGCTGCAATAAGTGCAGCTGGAGACAAGAAAACCGTCATGGTCATTTCTGCCAGTAGTAGCTCGTAAACGCAGAAAAAGGTTGCCCCGATACCTGTGCGCGCGAAATTGCCATTGCGAGGTTGCGACATAAAGTCCAAACGACCGGCGAGAGCAAAGATAAATTGTTACCAGGTAGACAAGCAAGAGACACCCCCGAACTCCTTCCCAGCAAGCTCATCAGCTCAGCCGGGCCCCCGATCCCATCCCTTAGTGCCCAGTCCCAAGTCCCTGTCCAGCAATCTTCAAATTCCCAACGTCCATCAATAGCTCGGTAAAACGCTGTCATGTTGGATTGCTTTGCTTTGCGTGCTTTGTTGTGTATGTCATCATAATCCTTGCGAAAGAAACGTGAGCACCTGGGGACAGAAGAAAACAACGATGGACGAGACAAGACACCCTTGCGTGCACAACAACAACCCGCCGGTCCGAGCGCGCCTCGCCGCTAGCGCGTCAGCTCCTCGCTCGCTCCAAGCCCCTTGGTCATAACAAAGTATGTCCAGATGGCATATCTACACCTTGACCTTGCGGCCACGAGCGCTCTTGCCATCGGTGCCCTTCGCCTGCTTGGTGCCGGCGGCCTTCTTGCCGGGCTTGTTGGTCACGGTGCCCTCGGCCTTCTTGAGTGCGCCCTCGACCTTGTCCTTGACGGAGGGCTTGCTTTTGACGGTCTTGGGCTTGCTGACGCGACCGGTGGTGGTCGTCTTCTTGGCAGCGGGCTTTGTTGTGGTGGTCTTGGTGGTGCGCTTCCTGCCTGCGGTCGTTTTGCGGACGGGGTCGGTGGAGACGGCCTGGAAGACACGCGGCTTGGAGTTGCCGGTGGCGGCACGGGTGGATGCCATTGCAATAAATATGTGGTTAGGAGGCCTTGCTAGGTAGATAGAGGTCGCGTGGACTGGGAACTGGTCAGCCAACGTGTAAGGGGCGTGTGCGCGGCTGAGGATTGAAGCTGGGAAAGCGGGGCGCGTTGACAGAGAAGGAGGTGTAACTCGACAGAAGCGATAGGAAATGTGGAAAAAACAGTGCGAGGGAGGAAGATAACATCAATGCGACCACGTATGAGTCACCGGATGGCGACCCATGGTGGAAATCAGCTGAGGCGCAGGCAGCAGGTGCCGACGGCAGAGTCGGTGACAAGGGCAACAAGTGCGATAAGACGCGACAAACAAGAACGTACCGTGAGAAATAGTTGTCGCGAAGACTCGTAATGCTGTCGAAGTAGAGATAACTATGACGCGACCGAGTTGTAATGGTTGCGAAGGAGTGCAGAGATGTTGAGTGAGGGTAGAAGCGGTGGGAGGGAGGAGGAGGAAGCGAGAGATGAGGTGCGCGCGGGCGACCTGGCAGCTTGGAAATCGATCGCCCGAGTCCTGAAACCAAAACAACGGGAACAGCGCTTGCCAACTCAGAGCTCTTCCTTCAGCCACATTATTGATCATCCCCTTTTATCACCCACCTTTTGTGCCGGCCTCGATTTCGGTCGTTTATAGTGCTCCTGATTTGACTTCTATTGCCCTTTTGCAGTCTCGTCGTCGCAGCTGGCGTTGTCAAAGTCTGGTTCGGTTGTGGTTGTGTAGCTGAGCATTCCACTGGCGCTTGGACGCAGTACCACTCCTCGTAAGCGCCATCAATCGTACCAGTCCTTCAGGGCTCTGTCGTGCTGCCGTGGCCCACCAGCGAGCTGCCAGGCATTGCGCACTTCCCATTCAAACTCTGCTAGAGCGCGCAATTCTGAGCCAACGAAGAGCCCACCTATCAGCCCATCCACCGTCCCAGCCATGATGCCAAATGTGCTGAGAATGAGCAACAGGAACGACACGTAGTTTCGCGGTGACCACCAGATAGCTATAAAGCACCCGATGGAGACGATTGCTGCGCCCACGAAATGCAAAAGCCTGTATCGTCGCTGCTTCCGTTCACGCAGGGCGTATTTGTCAATCATGGCTAGGATCTGCTCGTAGAAGGAGGACTCGATGTTGAACTTGGACGGCACTTTGGAAATGGCATGCTCGAGATTCGTAGCATCGAGGTCGACGATGTCCTTGCTAGGGCTGCGCTCATCGGGATTTTGCAATGGGCCGCGAACCTCGACCGTCTTAGTACTCTCAGGCGGACTGCTTGACCGCTTGACCAGCGTCCTGACGGCGAAATGGTCGCTGAGAGAGCACCGAATGCTGGGATGTCTCTCGGTCAATGCGACAGAGACGTCTTCAACCGTCCATCCTGCTTCAAAGCCACTGAAGAAAATGTAGTCCAATCGCTTAGCTCTGGGATCGGGCTGATCCGGCTCTATCGTGCGATCCCGCCCTTTGTCGAGAGCTTTCCGGTGTGCCTCGTTCCAACGCCATGTATTCAGAGCAGAGTCGCAGGTGTGCCCATGATGCTCAAGGCTCTCCTCGACGGTCGGAGTTGCTTTCTCATCCATCCTATGCCTTCGGTCTTTCTCAGCGGCATCAATGCTGGCACCGATACTGCTGTCCGGCTTGACTGTTCGCCAGACATCTCTAACACCACCTCTGCTCTCGATGAGAACATGAGCAAAACTAAGAGGAACCATATTGAAATCCCCAAGTCCAAGCACTAGGCTCCCACGTTCTGTTGCATCTCGCATGAGCTTTGCTATCTCCCAGGCTTGGGCGGTTCGGTGACAGATGTAGCTGTCGTTGGGCTCACTCTCGTAGGGGGCATGCAGGTGGGTATTGAAAACCTCAATCACTTGGCGGTCTGGTAATCTGATCTTCGCACATGCAACGCCCTTGCCCACAAACCAGTCGCCTCGGAAGAACGCAGTTGGCCGTCCGTTGAGCGGATAACGACACATGGAGGAGTCCTCGATAGGCCAGCGACTGAAGACGGCCAATCCGCCGCCAAATATGCCAGAATGGTAGAACTTCGCATACGGCAGGACATGACTCGTCGACTCGCGGATTGAAAGATAGTCCGCGTAGGTCCAGCATTCTTGTAGCCCGACTATATCGAGTCGAGGTGCAAAGCCGGCCAGCCGCTTGCCTATTTCGGAAAGGCGCTCGCTCCGGTACTTGCTCAGATATTTGAGACCCCAGCAGTTGAGAGTGAGGACATGGATAGACTCCGGACTGCCATCGTGCGATTTCGCCTCTAGATACTCCATTTCGAAGTCGTCCTCGATGGCAGAATGTAACTGGGGCCACCAAAATGACCGGCTTGGGTGTATTGTGCCAAGGACTACGGAGCCTCAGGCTAGCAGGCAAGCTTCCTCTCGCCGACAAAATGTCACTGTCGTTGGTCACGCCCAGCAGCAAACGTCTGCTGAGGGAGGGTGATGTTGATGGGCCATGCTGCTCAAGGATATCATCGCAGCAACAGCCGACTTTCGATAGACGACTGAAATGAAGATTGTCATAATGAAAACGATTCGAATGGCTGAATTTCGGTGCTGCTCATGGGCTGTCACCGTCACCGTAGTGCACGTGACGCCAAGAATGGCGCGGCCACAACTCCGCGCCTGTCTGGGCGCTCAAGGGCTGTCATCGAGTGCTTGTCACTCGACTTGGCTTGCTTAACACCAACATCTGGCACGTATCTTGTTATCGAATCGAAAATGATATCAAGATCATTCGTGCCGCGTGCATTCTGGCTAAGGCTTCTAGGACTAGCCCACACATCCTCGAGACGCTGACCTGACTACCAGATCGGCAGGAACGCCTTCTCCTCGTGGGGGAAGGGTCCCCGCCTGGAGGTTACTCGCCCCCGGGCCACGAAGACTGCGGAGTAGCGGTTAGGTCTGATGGGATCTGCATCCTGCTTACTCTACGAGGCTTTACTTCGCTGTCAAATCTGCCGAAGAGCCATGACCGACGACCTCCAGTTGGCCTCCTGTCATTACCTTCTCCAACATCATCTCCACCTACCCCCATCATCCCGCGTGACTCGTATGCCACCGTATGTTTCTGTCGGACAATCGCCTGACGGCACTGAGGGCTATCGGTGCCGTCGGCTATTGCAGCGTGCCCATCGCTTAGCGATATAGTGAGCTTTTGTTTCGTGTCTGGCAACTTTCTCTCATTCTAGCAACGCATAGAATCAACACCACCAGCATCATGGTTCAGATGTACGCACTGGGCATCGCCCTCTTCGCCGCCATCGGCACCTTCTTGTTTGGCTTCGATACCGGCATAGCAACCACAACGATTGCTCATCAGAGCTGGATTGACTACATGAATAAGCCTTCTCATGGCTTAACCGGTGCTGTGGTCGCGGTCTATATCGCTGGAGAGGCCGTAGGAGCTCTACTGCAAACTGCCATCGGAGACAAGCTTGGCCGCATTCGATTCATGCAGTTGATGTGCATCATCGTCACGATCGGAACATCTGTCCAAACTGGCTCCGTCAATATCGGCATGTTTCTAGCAGGCAGAGCGATTGCCGGGATCGCTGTCGGTGCGATGGTCGGAACTGTGCCCATCTATCTTTCGGAAATCAGTCCCCCTCAGCATCGCGGTCTCATAGGAGGCATATCCGGCTGCGGTATCTCACTGGGCACCATGTTGAGCAATTGGGTCGGCTTCGCCTGCTCATACGCTCCATACGGCTCAACTCAATGGCGTCTGCCGCTGGGAATCCAGATCCCATGGGGCATCATTCTATTCATTGGATTGGCCACATTCATGCCTGGTTCACCGCGTCAGCTCATTCGCTCCGGCAAGGTTGATGAAGCACGCGTTCAATTCGCCCGTATCCGGCGAGAGCTGGCTCCGCATGATATGCAACTCGAATTCGCCCATATGCGAGCGCAGATCGAGTTCGAGATGACTCGTGAGGTGAAGACGCTCAAGGAAGTCTTTCGGCTGTTTCGACATCGCGCTCTTGTGTCTATTGCGGTGCAGACCATGACTTCATTGACAGGAGGTGCGTACACTCACTTTATGACCAACTCTGTGCCATGCTAACTCGGGCAGTCAATGTCATCCAATACTACCAGACGATCTTGTACAAGTCCCTTGGTGTGGGGCCCAAGACTATTCTGGCCCTCGCCAGCGTCTATGGCACATGCGCATTTGTCTCTAACTGCCTGACCACCAGATTCATGACAGATCAGTGGGGACGCCGCAAGATGATTTTAGCCGGGCTCTCTAGTGTTGTTCTCATCGAGATATACGCCGCCGTGATGCAGCGTGAGTTTCAGCACACCAACAACCAGGTCGGCAAGGGCTTTGCCATCTTGGGAATATACCTCTTCGTCGTATGCTATTACGGATTTCTAAATTCAACCACTTGGTGAGTACACCTTGTCCGATCTTCGGTTCAGGGGCGGGGTGGACATGGTTCGGAGCCCAATGTTCACCTAGCCAGCCTTCACAGCCATTTCCTCAGCCACGGCGCCCGATACACGCAGGCTAACTTCCGTCAGGCTATACGGAGCAGAAGTGCTACCCGTTGCGCTACGATCCAAGGTCATGGGATTGGCAGCCGCCTCACATTTCATCGTCAACGTGGGCATTACAGAAGCTGGTCCGTCGGCCTTCGCAAACATTGGGGAGAACTACTACTATGTTTTCGTTGGATGCTCACTTTTCTTCTTGATCATGGCCTACCTATATTTCCCTGAGACCAGACGCAAGACCCTCGAGGAGATTGCCGAAGCATTTGGCGACAAAGTTGTGCTGGCGAATGACCGAGATATGCTTGAAGAAGCCACAGCGGAGCAGAAGCTTGGTATGGCCAGTGAAATCAGGGTGGAACATGCTGCTTGAGCTCTGCTATGTGGTACAGTGATGAAGCTACGTACTAAGCTCCTGAATGTCCAGGCTCAGAACTCCCTCCAGCCTTCGCCGCCAACAATCATGGCATTAGCCTTGTCTGCATGCTTTCCTCCCGGCTGAACCCACATGTCGCTCGAATCAACCACCTCTTTCGTACCGAATTTCTCTTCCAAGTGTTCCAGCACTTTTCTCAGCTCCCACGAACTCATGTTCTTCAATTCTTCTTCCTCCTTCTCCCAGTCGACACCTTCGCTTGCCGCGACTTGCGTTTTTGAACCCTTCCGACTGGCTACCGAGTCCCTCGATATCTCCACCCTGTTCAAGAAGTCTTCCCACGAGGTCTCGGCTGCACTCCAAACAGACGTTAGAGCCTCAGAGTCCTTCACATCGCCGTACCAGCACCGAGCATTTTGGATATCTCCCTCGATGCGGTGCAGGATGCCATGCAGGTACATGCACTCCCAAGCTGGTGCGCTCTGGGCGTGACGGACGAGAAAGTGTGCTGCTGGAAGATCGTTGTTGAGAAGGTGTAACGCTGCCTCCAGTGCTGGGTGCAGGGACAGACTGGCGATGGTAGGCCTTGAGCCTGATGATGCTTGCTGTGAGAGATGCAGCTGTGCAGGCGAGGAGGGAAGTGTCAAGAAGTCATGGTCAGCCGAGAGCAGTGCCGATTTGATCTGCTGGTATTGCTCATCCCTTGTGGTCATGGTGGACAGTGGGTAGATCCTACGGAGAATATAAAAGATAATGACTGTACCTATGAGGGCTCGACTATGTAAGTGCTGTAACTACTGCCACTGCCAAAAAGGCAACAACCTTGAAGGTCTTATCTACCTAGTCACCTTAGCAATGGTTGGTACCAATTCTACAGTCATGACGTTGAGATATCACAGCAAAAAGTACCAACGAGAGTGTAGCCTTCCTCGTTGACAGTGGTCGCTGTGCGCCACCGTAGCAGATGATCGATCACGTGCCTTCCACGCAAAGGTGGAGAAAGCTCTGCGTGACTTGTGCTCTCTCCCACTTCCCTCGCTCCGACACAACGTCGAGATCCTTCGCTCTTTCCAGGTTGAGCAATTGAGATTCTAGACAAAGCTGTTACATCAATTCGCCGCTAGGCGAAGGCTCATTGCCCAATGCCTCTCGGTCAGTGATCACGTACACAACTTCTCTCTCAAGACGAAAGTCCTTGGCGAACCAGAAAGGAACGTGCGGCATAGTGCAATCTTGGACCCTTGAATGATATCCTAGCAGTATCACTAGGACCAGAACGCAGATCAAATTTGGGAGCTATGCGGGACCTGAAACCAAAAGGCGAACTTCCCAGTACACCCATTGGGCTACAGAAACCGGGCCACACCTCGGGCGTCAAAGCTACCAAGTCCAGGAATGGCTGCCAGCGTTGCAAGGCCCGGAGGCTCAAGTGTGACGAGGCAAAGCCAAAATGCAAACGTTGTACGGAGAAAGGCATTAGTTGTCCAGGCTACGCAAGGGATTTCAAGTGGTCGAGCAAGTATGAAGTCTTGCGTACGCCTACAGACCCCCCATCGTCGCAGAGTGCAACAACTGAGCCGCCACCGATGCCAACACCACCATTTCCGGAACCGTCACTGAACGAGTTCGGCCATTCCGGTCTCGATGACTTCTCGACCAGTGTGATTGACTTTTCAGGTGAGCAGCGGGGAGAGTTGGGCATGTCTCAGCCAATGTTGCGACCTAAATCAGAGCTTTCGGATGGCTTGGCTGAGCCACTGCTGGACGAACTTGGTCTCCAATTTCACGGGTTTGATCAGCCTCTAATGCAGGCCAACACTGGGTCCAACCCTTACTTCTTCGACGACGTGTTCGCTTCCTCAAATATGCTCTTGCCCACATTTCAAGCGATGGATGATTCAATGCTTCCTGCGACCACGCAGCCTTCGGCAGATCAGCTCCTGGAAGCTGTAGGTGGGGACGAAGAAGTGATCGAAGAGGTTGATCAGAACGTAGGCACGTCGATTGTGCCTGCATCAAGACGTGCGCGGAACACGTCTTCAAGCAGCGCTCACACCCCAGAAGACCTCCTCAGATGGTACTACCGCATGACACCCACACAGTACAGCGACACAGATCTAGTAGATCACTACTTTAGCCAAGTTTGCAGGCTCTATGCACTTTTCGATTCGACCAAGAATCCCTTCCGAGCCCTTGTAGGGCATAACTGGGATAGCTCTGGATCCATTTCTTTGGCTATACAGTCTATGTCTTGTGCTCACTTGGCCAATAGCAATCCGGCAATGGAAAGAATCGGTCTGAACAAACAGCGACAGGCCAGAATCAGCATACACAATGATCTCCAGCTCTGGAGATCTGGAAGCATATCAGCGGACCGTGTATTACTAGCCATTCTTCTTTTAGGTCCCACAACTTCCTGGCACAACGCAAGCGACATTGGCCTGGAACACCTCAACATTGCCCGAGAACTCATCAACGCCAAGCTAAGTCAGCAACGGCAGCCTTCCGATGAGAAGGCTCGCTCTCTAGAGCAATTCTTCCTTCACGCCATGATCTACTGGGAAATGATGATTGCTTTTGTCGATTCCAAGGACAATGTTTTCTCAGCAGATCCCGATGCCCTAGAAGCGAGTCTACAGCAGCTAAACCTCAATACGGATGGACCTCCGTCGACGCCGCCGCAAGAAGTCGTAAAGCCCCACCCGTGGACTGGTATCGCTCCCCACGTACAAATGCTGTTCGCAGAGGTCGGCCGCATTATGCGGCGCCGGGTCAACAACGCTCACGGGCCGCTCGCGACCGAGTCCGAGCAAAGATGGGCGGCAGCCGTAGAAAACGCTCTCAAGGCTGCTGAGATACCGACTAGTGCGTTCGTACTCGGGTCTGAAGATCAGAACACTCCGGAGGACCATCTTGTGCAACTGGCGGAAGCATATAGATGCGCAGGGCTACTGCAGATCTATCATGTCTTCCCATCTGTGCTCACAGCCCGTCTTCAAGATGGCGATGATGAGAACCCGATAACGCCTACAACGGAGTCAATGGACGACTATCGCATTGCTTTGGCGATTCACACTCTGGAGCTCGTTGAAGCCCTGCCGATTTCTTCTGGAACATCATGCCTTCATCCGATCCTCGTTCTCACTGCTGGCAGTGAGCTTAGGTATGGCACTACGTCGCCACTGCCTGGCTTTCTGGATCAGCAGACAGATCAGCGGATTGTCGTGGCTCGTGATTTTGCCGAGCAGAGACTCCTGGATTTGGCGAACCGACTGCCGAAGAAGCCGTACCTGCGGATGCTCGACATCATGAAGGAGACGTGGTTGCAGATGGACATGTTTGGGACACCAACCCATTGGATGCAAGTCATGTACGAACGGGGTTGGGAAACGATTATGGGCTGACACTTGCACGCGCCTTGTATTAATGTTTCATTTAATTCCCCCCCTTCGCTAGGCCTCAAGGGTAGCACTGTCTCGGCAACATTATGGGCCATTCGACCTCGCTTTGGAAAATCCAGAACGGCCCGTCAGACTTCCTCGTCATCATGAAAGGATACCCTACCTCGCAGCGCGGGGAATTCATCCAGGACCGAAGCCAGCAGAGTCCAGTTTCTAGCATCATCGACGAACTCGACAAAAGCGTCCGACAATGTTTTCATCGAACGCCTTCGGCCTCCGTCTTCTATGGTTTTCTCTTCGACGCAGGAATGGTCGCCCTTGAGCCAGTGACATCGCTGGGTGTCAGCTGTGATACGATCCACCCATTTGCCTCCATGGTCCAGCTGCACTGAGCGGAGGCAAGGCAGGTGACAGATATCAATATCACCGGAGTGCGGTACGAATAGCTGGCTAGGCAGTGGACGCATCATGTTCGACATAAGAGCGTATGTCTCAGCACAGGGCAGAACGGCCCAGCGCATGAAGGTGCCGGCAAAGAAGACTGAAGCCAGCCGGACGTGGAGTGGTAAGAAGGTCCAAGTCTTGGAGTATTCGCAAGCCCAAGTCGATACGTTGTGAGGGTCGCCCGGTCTGCGATCTCGGAACATCAGATCGACTTCTAAACCTTTCATGCTGAGCACCGAGTCAGCCGGTTGACCGCGCGCTATCATGGACCGAGCGGTGTCCCTGAAAGCGACGATTGCCGAAGAGAGTCTATCAGCCCGAGACTCGGTATCGAGGTTCAGCGGCAGACATTCGTCCATGCGACCTCCTATCACCTGAAGCTGTCGGGCTTGAATGTAGTCAGGAAAATTGTTGGTCAAGATCGACCTGGACATTGGCAAGTTGCCAAAGTGTCTGGTTGCCCCCGGTTCGATATTTTTCTGGTCACTCGGTTCCATCTGATCGTGGGCGTCGGCCGGTCGCTTGGGAGATTTTCCCTTGGTGTTATCGTGGTCGTCGACTGGGAGCTGCCTGGAAGAAGGTGGCAAGGAGTATCCAGCTTGGAACTCCTCTGCAGGGTCGATCGCCACAGCTGACGATCCGCGGCCTTTGCCTTTACCTTTCCACGGGCCGTCCATACTCGTGCTTTGCCAGATGGCACGATTTGTCGCACTAGAAGCATCGAATGGCTCAAATGCCTTCAAATATTCTAGGCCTGTTGAGGGTTCCTCCCCGGAAGATACCCCAGACGACAGAGTAGGCATCAGTGGTGGGCCTTGGAGGGTAGGGACCTCGTCCATTTGTGAAGAGGAACGAGAGACGAAGGTAGCATCACTGGCCCCAGCGAAGATGGTGTCAACATGGTTTTCGATGTCGGTCTCAGACGCACCGTCTCGGATCAGAGCCAGTAGGGATGCTGTCTCTGCCTCCTCGCCTGCTCTGATCGTCTTCAGGACCTTGGAAAGCGTACGCTTATGTCTTTGATGGTAGTGCCGGAGCCGTTGGTCTGGAGCATCCTCCAGGAGACACTCGACATTGTCCTTCAGACACTGACTACAGGTTGACTCGGTTTCTTCCCTGTCGCACTAAACAAACGCGGTTTATCAGTTTCTTGGATCTGACGTGCGAGATCACTTGTTACCTTTCGCCTTCTGCGTCTACAATGGGCACATGCTTGCGACACGTGCTTCTGTGAGCGTTGTCTGACAGATTCGGACATGACTCAACCAGCATCTGGAACCGTCGAATCATGCTTGCGTTGCTTGAAGCACAGAAGGGTGGCTTGTGATCGAAACGACAACATATCTATTTAGTACCAAGAGTAGGAGAAACCCGAGATCGCTTAAGGTTTGTCGAGACATGTAGCGTGGCAAATGATGCATGCCCCTTTTGGGAGTCGTATAACAGCCGCCTTTGCCCTGCTCCCTCAGTATAGAGATGGTCTAGAACGTGGTCTTGATCAGCATGAGCCTGACAGTGGCAGTTGTCATTTGGGTTGACCGGCACGGAGTTTGAGCGTCCTCGTGTATCCTGTCCGCAAGTCTGAGGATCTTCAGTATTTCCGCCACACTGAGGACTAGAGACTCCACCTGCGTATCATACCACAAGCAGGAGTCCCTCCCAAGTAGATTCTGTCAGGCCATACCCATGAACAAGCAATATTCCAGGAGGGTACGTTGCTCGGGCCTCGGAAATGTAGGCGCAACGGCATATATGCGTTGATCTCCGAAACTTCAATTGCAGGGTTGAGGCGGTAGTCCTCATTCGACCAGAAAGATCTCAAGAGTGCAGGGCAACGAATAGCCTCGGCTACAGCAGAAGACGAGTAGGTGTCAGTGGTCGGCGGTGTGAGTCGGTATCGTTCAAGTGTCGTCGATACTCGCGATCGGCACGCGGCACCTGCGATCTACACGGCCAGCAGCTTCACCAGATGCCGAAAGGTACATGGAAATCTGAAATACCATCTAAGCAGAGACTCTAATCAGCCCCTGCTGCAGACCACCCACTAAGCTGACACAACGCTGTCCGAGTTCCGATATTTCCTGGCTCTCTAAGGGGCCTAATATCGCACAGGTACGAGATGCACCAGGTCTGGGAACACTACTCGGCCATTGAGTCAGTGACATAGCAGCTGAGAGTCTCGTTTACCTTTCGGCTTCGTCAGTCCCTGCAAGGACAGTGAAAAGCCCCCTTACGTCCCCTCCAAACATCGATCATACTCCAATGTGCCGGGAGGGGGGGCGAGTCTCCTCAACCCTAACCCTGATCGCGATTCACCACTTGGGCGTTTGACCGCGCCTTGTAAAATCGTTACCGCGTCTCGCACCGCGCCATTGACCACCTCTGTGCAAGGTAGCAAGCATGGACGACGAGGTCTCTTACCCAGACGCGAAACGGCGACGGACCTCGCACTCACCATCTCCCTCTCGCTCACTCTCCCGTACACCCGACCGGTCACGCAAAGAGACTACTCGAGAAGCCAAAGGCTACCACCGTTCTCGAACTTCCTCCAACTCGCCCTCACGCTCGCGCTCACGCTCCCCTCGTCGCAGCCACCGACGCAGCTCTTCTGGCTCATCCCACTACGCTACACCGCGCCGCTCGCGCAGCAAACCCTGTTCCGAATATTCTTCGCGGTCTATCTCACCCATCCCTCGCTCAAAACGATCCCTCCACTACCGCTCATTCGCAACAATACCCAAAGCGCACGCCCGCGGTATCACCTGCGCGCGCTTCTCACCCGATGGCGCCCTACTTGCAACCGCCTCCGCCGATGCCACCATCAATATCTACGCCGTGCCCGCCTCCTCTGTCCCAGCGGATGCAGGCTCAGGACAAGAACAGGTAGAATTCAAGCATATACGCACCTTGCGAGGGCATCTTGCTGGAGTGAATGCACTTGCCTGGTCGCATGTCGGTAACCCAGGTTTATCCTCGGGCAGCGCTGCGCACGCCAACAGCTATACACTGGCCAGCGCCAGCGACGACAAGGACATCATGCTGTGGAGTCCACTGTCTAGCGATGCACCAATTGCGCCCTCACCGCTCACAGGCCATAGCAACTATGTGTACAGCTTGGCATTCAGCCCAAAAGGCAATATGCTAGTGAGTGGCAGCTACGACGAGGCATTATTCTTGTGGGATGTGCGTAGTGGCCGATGCATGCGTCAACTTCCCGCGCACAGTGACCCTGTCGGTGGCGTCGACTTTGTCTGCGATGGCACCATGGTCTGCAGCTGCAGCACCGACGGCCTCATCCGCATCTGGGACAGCGGCACGGGCCAGTGCCTGCGCACCCTCGTCGACGAAGACCGCAACGGTGTCACCAGCGTCATGTTCTCCCCGAACGGCAAGTTCGTCCTGGCCTGGACCCTGGACGGCTGTGTGCGCCTGTGGAACTACGCCGAGGGTCGCTGCGTCAAGACCTACCAAGGTCACGTCAATCGCGAGTTCAGTCTCGGCGGCGCCATGGGCAGCTATATTTGGGGCGACGGCGAGGAAGCTGCCTTTGTCGCTAGCGGCAGCGAGGACGGCACCGTCGTCGTGTGGGACGTCAGCAGCAAGGAAGTGCTGTGGCGGGCCGAGAACGCCCATAACAACGTCGTGCTCAGCGTTGATTTCGTCAGGGTCGCCGAGCGCGGCCTGCTCGTCAGTGTGGGCAAGGATCGCAACGTGCGCGTCTGGCTCGAGGACGTGGATGAGAAGGCTTTGAGGCGGCGGCGTGAGCGCCTCACGGCCGCGGCGGCGGTCAAGCAGGAGCGGGCAGAGCAGGAGGAGATGGCCGGCTATGCGGTCGATGAGGATGAGGATGTGGATGCGCAGATTAGGGAGCTCGAGGCTGCCGAGGGGGCTGGTGCTGGAGTTGGAGCAGGTGCGGATCATATGGAGGTCGATGGCGTGGTGCCCGGCGGGAATGGTCCTCATGATGCTCATGCTATGCAGCTGGACGGTACCGCTTAGCATCACGGTAACGTGGAGGAGATTGCACTAAAATGAAACAAGAAGTAGACGACCAAAACCAATATAATGAAAGCATTGTGGAAGTGCGAATGTGAGTTTCTCCTTCGATCTCGCTGTACCACGTTTTACGCCCCAAGAGAGCAACAGCACCGGGTTTCCTCGTCGTGCAAGGCATTCATGACGGCTCTACCAGAACTCCCAACACAAAGCGCATCTACGTACACCCACACACACCGGCATATCCTTCCATCTTCATGCTCCACTCCGTCCTGTGCCTCATCTCACAACCGCACCAGACACACCGGCCGGGCCAGGCCATGGCTGTATCGACCAACCAACCAACCCGGCTATCTCGCAACCCTATAATTCCCCCTCGCCTGCTCCAACTTAAACCCCTCCTGCTGGCTCGGCAGGGGCGCTCGCCTCCTACTATTCGCATTCGCATTCCCATTCTCATTAGCACCTCCAATACTACTTCCCACCGTGCCAGGCGCGCCGCCACCTCCTCCAAGGCCCGGCAAGCCCGACATAGGCGGTGGTCCCGCCGCCCCACTAGGCAAGCCAGGCAAGCCAGACAAGCCCGGCGGCGGCATCCCCGCGACGACTCCACCAATTCCCGGCGGCGGAAGCCCACCACCACCCTGCTGCTGCGGCGGAGGCGGGAAGCCCGGTGGCAGGGTCAACTTGGAGAAGTCGATGCTGCCTGGATTGGGGGGTAGTGGGGGCAGGAAGCCGCTTTCCGCACCGCCCAGACCGCCGCCGGATCGTTGTTGGGCCTGCTGCAGAAGCTGCTGGAGGGCTGAGGGGGAGAGGCCTGGGACGTTGGGTGGAGGTGGGGGTGGGCCGCCGCCGAGAGAGGGAGGCAGCGGGGGGAGGTTGCCTAGCCCGGGCATGGCGCTGCTGCCCCCGCCACCGCCGCCGCCGCCACCCATGCCGGGGAGGCCTGGGAGATGGTGGGTGCCGGACTGCGATTCCTGGGGCTGGTCGTCCTGTGCTTCGCGCTCGTCTTCCTCTTCCTGCAGCTCGGCCTCGCGGCGGGCGCGGCTGCCGTGCTTGCGGTCCCAGGTCCCCAAGGCCTCGGCGCCTTCTTCGCCCAGGTGCTTCTCGTCCTTGAAGCACTTGTTGTCGCCCGGTAGGGCGCGCGACCAGAAGCGCGTGTAGTGGTCGTTGCTGCCGGAGGCGAGGATGTGGCCCATCGGGTGCCAGTCGAGGGACCAGATGGAGGATTCGTGCGCGACGGCGATCTTGTGCGCAGGATAGATGGATTGGGCGGGCGCGGATTTCGGGTCCGGACTGGCGTAGGGCGAGGTGGTGGCTGTGGAGACGCCGGCTGGGGTGTTGGGTTCGGTGAGGAGGTAGGAGTTGAGGGCGCCATCGTCGCCGCCGGTGGAGATCAGTGAGGGGTGAATGGGATGCCATGATAGCGTGGTGACTCCCTTTTCGTGGCCGCGTAGAATTGCCACGTCGCGCATCAGCCGGAGATCGAAGATGCGTGTCTGCCCGTCGCGAGCGCTCGTGGCAAGGAGCTGGTCCCGTAGTCGCGAGAAGACTGTGGCGGTTATGGCGTTTTTGTGACCGTGCAGCGTTGTAAGGTTGCGCCCGCTTCGAGGATCCCACAGACGAACGCTGTGGTCTTTTGATCCGGATACGACAAGGCCTTTGGTCGGATGCCAATCGCACGCCTTGACATCCCAGCCGTGCTCTGTGAAGGAGGACTCAGTCTGCGATGAGTGGAAATCCCAAATTTTGAGCGTGTTGTCGTCTGAAGCGGTAACGAATTTCGTGTCGGTCGGCGAGAAAGCCAGATCTCGTATCGGAGAGTCGTGAGCTTTGAATTGATGAGTATTATTGAGAGTAGGTTCGAGATAGTACACGGTTCCTTCGTCGTTGGCCGCGATGAGCCAATCTTTCCGATTAGACCACTCAGCTGCCCGCAACGACGAACTACCCATGGCGGTGACGGTCTCGAAATTGAAGGCCATGCCGTTCCACAGCATGAACTCGCCATTGTGTACGCCGGCTAGCAGACGCCGTCCGTCGGGCATCCAGCGCACAATCGTCACGGGCTTCTTCGATTTGCCAAGAGATGTGTGAAGGTGGCGGACTGGTATTGACTCGGCGGGCGCGTCGCGTCTCGATATTGGCGGCAAGACGTCAAAGACATAACTGATAGATGGCCGCTCTTGTTCGTAGTGTGCGGTTCCCTTGTAGGCGAGCTTGCGGTTGGAGGTCCATTGAACCATCGCAGAGCCATAGTCGGTTACAGAACGCGGTCGCCGCCGCCTCTGAAAGGTCGGATCATCTGGATCGTTGAACCGGTCGCCCATGATGGGCTACGGTTGGTGGATTCGATCAAGCCAAGACGAGGAGGCAATCAACGAGTAAGACACGGATTGGAATCCTCAAGAGCTTTGAGCGGAAGTTCACAGTGCTGTCGCCAAGCGTGGTAAGGCACTACAGGTAATCCTGTAAAGCAACTGACACGCTCCAGTATTGACTCCTGATATTGATATGCTCTAGCTACGAAAGTGTCAAGTGGATGTGTCGAAACAAAAGGGCGACGTACAGGGATGAGGTTGAAAGACCATCAATAGGTCAGCCTCGCACGTGATCTCGATGGAAGACGAGGCTGAAGCATAAACCTGGAATGGTGAAATCTACCATAAGGCGACTTGGATAGAAGTCTTGAGAATAAGTGCATATGCGTCTCTCTAGTAGACGAGATGGTCTAGTAGTTTACTTGCGGCCAGGAGACTCCAAAATACCATCCGCTAGCTTGCCGACGAAACAGACCCCTTGCTCAAAACGCCATACTTGGCCTGCCATGCAAAGAAGTAGATCATGGCTGCCAGTGGCTGACCGACAAAGACAAAGTTGATCCAGAAGATACAATTGCCAATAACCTTTCCGCCCACATCGCCCATCTTCGCCAGAGGCTCGGTGGCTATGATCAAAGGTAGTTGACAGACCATTCCGAAGAATGCGACACCCAAGAGGTTATGGGACGGCACTCCGACGGCCAACTCATGCAGGAAGCCCGAAAAGACGAAAACCCAGGCACTGGCTGCCTGAGGAGACCATCCGCGTCCCACCAGAGGAGAGTATACATGCCGTCTCATGAAGTGATAAACGGGCTTGTTCCAGGTCGCCCAGTACATCTTCAAACTTGTGCTATTCCACCAGTCCTCGTAGAATTGTCGGTCACCGAAGCGCATGATTTCTGCCAGCGCATTCAAGAAGGATTGAAACAAAGCAAAGAAGCCGGCTAGCCAGACGACCAGAGAAATGGTCGAAAGCTTCATCAGCCTCTCGACAATCGAAGGAAGGTCCAGGACGGCCATTCCGTCAAGACTGTTCCGCAAAAGAGGTTCGGCGTATTGAGCAACAAGCAGCCAGATGAAGACCGAGAGCGCCACCGTCTCGCCAACGCGCTTGAAGAAGAAGCCCCATCTGATCTTGTCCGTTCGAGGGTAATACGGTTGATAGACCAAAGTTGGCGCCCACCAGAAATAGCACAGATTGTTGAGGGTGACATTCTTGGGGTATGGGCAGTTGCCGTAGATGAGAGGAATGGCTGACTCAGGCCCGCCAGGATGGAGCATAGCATGTCGTAGGTCTCGGTTCGTGAAGGCATAGGAACAAGTTTTTAGCCACACCACAATGGCATGGAGCTCACTGATGGTGCCAATGCCGGGATTGTTAACGCCCCACCAGACGACGATGCTCGTAATTCCCAGGGCCAAGGTGGCGTTGATGGTATGGGCTATAGCAATGTACCACCAAGTGTTGAGAAACTCCTTCCGGTCCTTCTCAGTTTCCGGACTCTTCATGCCAGCGTCGCTCTTCTTCCGCCGGCCTACCGCGCCTTTCGCGTGCTCCATTGCAACTCTCTCGATGATGTAGGCGACGAAGAGGTGGATGGGTGTGATGGCGTAGAGAAAGAGGCCGGCCTTGACATCGCCGGCGTGGATATTCGACTTAAGCGTGATCAACAGACCGTATTTCCTTGCGTTCTCAACGACTAGCCGGAGGTTCATGACAATGATGGTGAGCACCATCAGGTTCCTGAAGCCCAGGAAGCTCGGAGTCTCGGTAGATTCGTGACTGAGGCATGATGAACGGTTGGTCGCGTGCAGGGCGGCCACATGTCTGTATTTGCTTCGTACTTTCTTCGGTTGGTTCTGGCTCTCGGTCCCGTTCTGCTGGTTCGTGAGACAGGGCGTGACAATGTCTGTCTTTGTGACAGCAATATCCTGTCCTATAGACACGATGGTAGATATATCTGTAGCCATGATGCAGTATATGGGTTAGTGATGGGTGCTGGGTAGTGTCAGTGCTACCATTTCAGCGTCCACGAGAATCCATTTCGAGGGACAGGTCTCGCTCGGTGAACGAGGAAGCTACGAGGGACACATCGAACGACTTGCAACGAAAAGACGTAGCAACTCGATGTCGTTACATATGCAGGAGAGACCTTGGAATGTGGGGCAACGGGAAGGCGAGAGGAAAGCAGTTGTTGAGAGATTTTGGAGGGCGCAGGTTTCGAGGCTTGCAGCTGTTGAGCTTTGAGCCGCCCCTCCGACGCGTCATTTCATTAGCGTTGGCCACGCTCGCCCAAGACCTGAGCATGTGAAACCCGTCCGCTGCTTGCTACTGTTATTACACATTACAATCGTAACCGCGAGCCTGTCCGTAAGCTCTGCGTTTTGCTGGTAATCATGCACAGTTATCCCTGCTTGGCCTGTTCGAGCAGCTCATTGACGTCGGCATCAAGGTCTCCTAGAGCACTCCCCAAACTCTCCCCCTCGCGGCCCAGGTTCTCCATCCCCAGGCCTCCAAGATCAGGAACAACCTGATCATCGCCATGGCTCATCTTGCGTCGCTTGGCAGTCGGTCCGTTGAGACTGCTATTACTGGCGTTCCTCAGTTTGACCCCTGTGTAGTCGGTGTCGCCAAAGCCTGACAGAGCTGCTGCTACGGCCGGGTTGCTGGTCGGAGCTGTGGGCGAGTAACCGAAGTCTCCGCCATCCTCGAGAGGATCCTCGGGCTCCGGCGTGAGCTCTTCCACTTCTGGCCGGTCATCGACAAATCCTGACGCACTCCCACCGTTGGGGTCGGGAGCCGCTGGAGAGACCTCGTTTGAGGAAAGCCCCTTCATGATAGCATCCTCCACGTCTCGCTTCTTGCCCTCAGTGCTCGTCTTGCGACTGCCTAACTCCAGGAACGTCTCTTCATCCTTGGAAAGAGCCGATTTGTTGATTTCGAGGATTCTTTCCAGGTCAGTCAGCAATGCTTGTCGCGCTTTGATACTGGCGCCCACTGCGCTCTCGGCGTTAGAAAGCTGCTTCATGAGGCCGGACAATCTGGCGGCATAGACTGGCGGCGTAGGAAGGCCGGCTTCGGGATCATTGAGGTTCGTGTATTCCTTTTGAGCGGCGTCTATGGCGGGTCGGGCGTCGATAGTCGCCTTCGTGACAGCGGTTTGCAAGGGTCCAAGCGTCTCGAGCTCCTTAGGCATGGGCTTGTCACTTGATGATCCAAACAGCGACTTGCCCATGAGCGTTTTCTTTCCGCTGCTGCCGGTCCCCTTAGTCTTGTCAACCTCCTCTAGCCTGGCCTCGATGGCCTCAATGATGGGGCCCTCGAAAGTGACACGCGTTTTCCACACCTCGAGCACCCGTCGGATCTTAGCCTGAATCTCTGGTGTGGAAGACCTGTAGGCAGTTTGAAGAGCCTCCGGCATGAGTGGGGCAAAAGCGTCTGGGAACTCAGTTCGCTTTCGTGCCCGAGCATTCTGGACAATGTCGTTGCATAGATAGATGAAGTTGAGCCGTTTGGGAGGAGCTGAGTCTCGTAGTCTGGTCAACCACAGGTTGGCAATCCGATCGGCATGTCGTCTAGTTCAGGTTAGTCATTCCAACTGATGCTGATGGCAAGAGTCGACTGGGAACCATACTTATGAAAGGTGATCCACTGTGAGACAGAGACGATGCTATCCTGAGTCTCATTGAGGGTCGAGAGCTTTGCTCTGAGTGCATCGTCGGAGAACGCCATAGTCGCCTACACCCTTGCAGATACGTTGCGTTCAAGCCGTGGTCATCGACCAAAGCAAGTCCGAGAGGTTTGAGACCACTAATGGCGCTCGATACCACTGCAGGAGGCTACAAGCTGAGCTATAGAATTCCGCCAGGCGCTGTCTGGAATGTTTCAATGATCAATGATCTGGCCTCGCTATGGCTCCGCCCGCCACTAAACAGCTTATCTGAATGAGAGTCGAATTGATGAAGTGATGGACAACGCGACAAAGAAGATTACCATCACCAACTTCAGAGCTCGTGAGCAATGGGTAAGTTGGCCCGTGCTTAGGGCTGTAGTAGCGCCAAGCACAGTCAATGTACGGCGGCGAACAGGGCCATCTAGCCTCAGGAGCGTCAACTTGCCCGGAGCGACTTGTATGCTGCAGCCAGCGACACCTGTCGAACTTCACACCACGACCGGTCTACGCCTTGTTTCCTTTGCTTCTGTCACACGACCACACTCAGTCACTCGCTCGCTCTACAGAAGCCACAGTCTCACGCGATGGCCGACCGATTCCCTTCCATCGAGGACATCGAGGGCGGTAAGACCGCAGCAACCAAATGACCCAGAACATGTGCTAACATCAGGCAGGAGACGCCGACGTCCGCGCGGAGGGCACCGGAGGGGGGGACTTCTTAGAGCGAGAGCGCGCCGCCCTGGGAGAGGACGCTGACCTTTTCTCCGCCAACGATGCCCCCAAACAGTCTGCAACCGTTGAAGACGGTGACGACGACCTACTAGGCGGCGGAGACGACTTCTCCGCGCCCCCACAGCCTTCGGGCCAGGATAACGACTTCGACGGCTTCGAGAGTTCCTTCCCCGCAATCGACACTCAAAACGATGTATGCCTCAGCCCCTCTAGATCTTCTTCCTAGGCGTACCCACTAACAGTTCCTCTCTATAGAACGTCGGCCCTGGCGGTTCCATCACCAACACGTCCGGCGGCGGCTACACGAACTATAACGCTCAGCAAACCGAAGCCGACACCGAGCCCATCCGCGCGTGGCGCGAGAAGCGCGACGCTGACATCGCCCGCCGCGACGAGGCCTCGCAGTCCAAGAAAGAAGAGACCGTTGCCACGGCGCAAAAGGACATTGATAGCTTCTACGAGAACTACAATCGCAAAATCGACCGACAGAAAACACAGGTCGCCAAGGAAGCAGAGGAGTTCCTAGCCAAGCGGGAAGATACCACCGCCGGCGGCACCAGCTGGGAGCGGATCGCCAAGCTGGTGGATCTGAGCGGAAAGGGACAGGGTGGCGGCGGCGAGGGGAGCAGCAAGAAGCGGATGCGGGAGATGTTGTTGAGTTTGAAAAATGATAAGGAGGCGCCGGCTGCGACTGTGGCTTGAGTACTGGCCGGTCGGTAGGCGGGAGAGAGCTTGGACTCCGGTCATTATTGCGCCTGCTGATAATCTGGGAACCCGAGGCAGGAGCAGCGAACTCTTCCTAGGGTATCCACGGCGACGTCGATACCAAGACGCATGGTACGGAGACCGGTGTCTGCGGTGTAAAACACTAGACAAATGAATGCGGACCCAGCTCCGTATGCTGAACAGGTCTCTTGACTGGCTTCCAGACAATGTTCAGAGCTCTGTACAACTGAACGTCGCGGAGTATCGACGACACAGGGAAATCGAACAATACACGTGGAAGCCTTTCGAAGAGTGAATGTCTTTTGCTTTCAATTGACGGCAGAAAATCACATACGAATGCTAGCTACCCCGGTGCACGCGCGCCGTACCAAATGCCATCTGAACCTTGCATGCAATCGGTATAATCTCTCTTTCCGTATCAAACGCCGTCCCGGGAACGCTCAATTGACTGTCGTACATGCATGTCAACGACATAAACCCTGCGACCCCGCCGGGCTGTCATCATTTGTGAAATTCCTTCCCGAGCCACTCTTGCAGGCCTGTCCAACCATTGGTGTCTGCGAAGCTCCTCGCGATCGCAACGTGGCCGTCAAACTGCTCCTGTAGTTTCGTCGTGATACCCTCAAACGGATCCCGCAAACCCAGGACGTCTTTGCCGAGCACGGAAGTTGATGAGGATGGAGTCCTGAGGTCCACCAGGTTGGCACGCATGGCTTCGAGCTGTCGCTTGATGGTCGCTTCTTGCGCCGAAAGGGCAGAAGAAGGCGAAGTCGAGTCATCGGCACTTTCGGTGGCTCCGGAGATTTGCGGTGTGCTGACTGGGACATGCTTGACCTTGACTGCAGACCTAGCGCGACCCTCGTTGGCCATGTATGGTGGAGGGCTGCTTTTCCTGTCATCAGGAATCGCCGAAGGCGTCGGTGAGGAGAGTTCCTCCTGGAACTTGGACGTTTTCGCCCGGTTGTTTGATTTCATCGTCTTCTTCGGGCCCTTTTGCGCGCCACCTTTCGCACTACCATGCCCATTGGCCAGTCTCATGATCTGCTCCTGGAGGCCGGCAATCAGGCGTGGATCCTGACCGCCGTGTTCGGTCGCAAATAACTGCTCCATATCTCTCCGGATGCGGGCCTTGTCAGTTGCAGTGGCGTTGGTATTATCATGCGTCAAAGCGTCGGCGAAGTCTTCGGCCGTCATTTGGCGATTGAGGTTGATGATCTCTTGTGCAGATTGGATGCCAGCGGTAGTGTTTCCGCCTAGTCCCAGCGCACCCATTAGAGTAGTCACATCCTGGAGCCCTGGAAAGCCAAGAGGACCAGCTTCTGGCTGTCTGCTCACTTGAAGTGGATTTGGCACCAAACTGCTGGCAGACACTGCGGGAGGTCGCTTTTGTTTAGTAGCTTTTGCCTGCGCCTCATGATTGTTCCTGGCCTTGTCAACAAATCTTCCCATGCTGACCTTGACGTTCTCAAGGACGCCCTTAAGAATCGCAATATGTGACGCTTTGCTGGTACCCGCATTGCTTGCGAAGTAGCGAGCCAGCATGTCCAGTGACGGCAGATATTTTTCTGGATCCTTTTCTGAGTACGCAATGACGATCGAGGTCATCATAGCCCGAAGCTTCTTCTCATCGGTGCCCGCCATCGATTCTTTGATAAGCCCGAGGCCGGCCTGGTTGAAGAGAAGGTCCGTCATTCGGTTCTCAAGCACAATGTCTGAGAGTGGTGGAACAAACGATTGTTTGACAGCCTCGTCTTTGATGGCTTTGATGGCTTCGTAAATCTGTTTAGGGTCTCTACCCTCCTTCTGGGTGAGAGTATAGAGCATCTTATCTGTTGCCTCGTCTTCGATAGCAATAGACCGCTCATTCGCGTCAAGAGTTGCCTTGTCCAGTTTCAGCTCTTCGGCCGTTGCTTTCAGGGTGGCAGCATCAGCATTGTTGCGCAATGTTAGTAAAACGTCAATAACGTTCTCGCAAGTCTTCGTAGTTCCGTCGCTGCTGGTAAGATCGACTGCGAAGCCTTTGGCGTTAGGCTTTGCCAGCATGTCTTCTAGAGCTTGGAAAGACTTTTGTAGCACCGGTGACATAGGACCATTGATCTCGAGAACACTCCGAAGGTCTGTAATTGCTGCTTGAACGTCGCGAGGATCTGATGCAGAGAAGAATCCTTTCATCACATTCAGCGCTTGACTGAAGGTGTCTTTGTTGGAGGTGGCCAACGACTTGGAGAGTGCCTGGGAAAGGTTGGCGCTGCTGCCATGGAGGCTATCTTCAGCATGGCCGGGAGTGAAGATCATCTCTTTGAATTGGTTGTTGTTCCGCTCGGCCTCGGCCATCTCCTTGTTTGCCTGGTCCAGCTTCAGCCTTGCATCGAAGGCCGTGACTCTGCCAGCATGTACGTCTTGCCTGATTCTGTCCAATCGAACTCGTATTCTCTTGACGACAGACTCGTTGTCCCTAGCAGCTTCGAGAATTGCGTTGTCTTTCGGATCTAGCAGGGCCTGAAGGGGCGATGGGGGTAAGTCGCGTGGTGGCTTTCCCATAGCTGGCAAGTTCTCTTCGTTCTTACTGTTCGACTTGTCCAGCGCGACAGACCGTCGATTACGTGCGGCGAGCTCCTCTTCGTCATCCTTCTTGACGCGTTCTAGTTCGACGTCTCGCTGCTTTCGTAGAGCATTCTTCATACGCGGTGTTCGTTCCGAAGTGATACGAGCCTGGTAATACTTGATCGTATCCATCTCCATCCAGGAAACGCCGGTCGATTTCGCCCTGGAACAGACCTCGTGGTGACAACCGTCCATTACTTTCCTGATGTCAGTCGAAAAATCGAGACAGCAAGTACTGGGTCCAGTGAACTTGTATTCGCCAGTCATCTGTACCTTGAAAAAGTTATCGAAGGCAGCCGCTTCCTCGTGAAGTAGCGCCCTCTCGGCTTGGTGTCTAGCCGACTTTTGTTCAAGCTCGTTCTTCTCCCTTTCAAGCTTCGCTCTCTCGGTGAGCAGCTCGTTGTAGATTCGAATATCCTCCTCGGTCCAGCCTTCCACATTGTGACCGTCGGCTGCTCGAGGAGGCTCATGGCTATGACCACATGTGCATAGTGGCTGCGGCGCTTTCGCGGAGTCCTCGTGAACGATTGTGGGCTTCGCCTTCTTGGCCTTGCCTTTGCCCATTGTTGGATAGCGTGGCGACAGGAGTTGGGCGGAATGCTGAAGACAAGTTTGACGACTATGTCGACAGCGAAAATCCCACCGAAGGATGTGAGCAGCAACAATTCGAGTGCGATACCCTTCCAGAAGCTAGCTGAATGTCGTGTTCGATGTTGCTCGACGTCAGCCAGCGCCCATTCCGGAACAAGTGTAAACAGCTGGACCCGACTGAAAACGTTGTGGGAGTTTGAAATCGCAGATCTGAATACCGAACTAAAGAGTTTGCGTGTTGGTACAGCATCATTCTCATGCGTCGTCCATGCAAGAGCTCAGCACCCTCGCCGCCAATCCGGCTGGGTTGTGGGTTTTTGGTACAACAAGTGGCTGAAAATACTGCGTTCAAATAAGAGATGCCGAGTGATACTCCAGATTCATGTTTCGCTGGGACCACATCTCGATACCGATGGGTTGGATAGCTATTCTGTCAAGAAGTGGCATATCGGGATGAAGGTGATGTTGTTCAAGTTCATGTCAGGAAGCAACACCGCTTCTTGGCACGGCAGGGTTCAGCCCATAGTTCGGCCCGCAGTTTTCTCCGATCCGGGCACGGCGACGACGTTTTTCGTCGAGGACGACATCGAGGCTCTGATGAAGTATTCTGTATGACACCAATCATAGGAGAAGCTACGATGGCTGCAGACGCCGTGGCCGATGTCCCAACCTCGCTCGACCAAATAAACCAGATAATTAAAGCCAGCTCTGAGCACGACATTCGACTTTTGCAGCAGCACCTGGACACTTTTTCCTTTGAAGGTTGTAAGGCTGTTGACGTTCAAGAGCCTGAACGTGGATATACACCACTACATGCTGCTATCGCATCTTGCGCAGCTGCCACCAACGGAGCCCATGATCATGCCAAACATGACGCCAGCGATAGAGAGACACAAGCCTACGAGACTATCAAGGTCCTGTTCGAGAACGGCGCAATTTGGAATCAGCTGGACCGAGATGACGAGACTCCTGGCTGTATGGCGCACAGATTGGGCCTAGAGAGTTTGTATCAATTGATGGTCGATGCTGGAGTTCGAGCAGAGATGCTGTTGAACCGACTGGATGAGTATGAGGAGCTTGAAGACCTCGAAGATTCAGATGTTCAGCCCGATACGGTTGAGGCTGTCAGCAACGAGGACACTGATGACGCCGATGCACCGCAGCTAGTCGATGGGAGCGATCCAGAAGGCAAGGCAGAAGTCCCGTCGGCTAGCGAACCCACGACAGGCGATGTGCAGTCATCTGCTTACCTTTCGTCGACTCTCTCCTTAGATGATAAGAAACTGCTGGACGAGTCACAAAATGGAGTAATGATGGCTTGGGAGAGCGGCATAATGGCGAGGTCAACAAATGCCCTTCTTCCCTCACCTGGCCTCAAGATCTTGAATATTGGTTTCGGGATGGGCATCATTGATTCGTACATTCAAGACCATAAAAACAAGCCAGCCGAGCATCATATCGTCGAAGCTCATCCTGACGTGGTCAAAGACATGAGAGTCAAAGGCTGGTTTGACAAGCCAGGAGTCAAAGTCCACATCGGCAAATGGCAAGACATTCTCCCTGAAATGACGGGTGAAGGACTGGCCTTTGATGCCATCTACTACGACACTTTCGCCGAATCTTATCACGACTTCAAGGATTTCTTTTCGGAACATGTGATTGGCCTACTGGAACAGGATGGTCGATGGTCGTACTTCAACGGTATGGGTGCGGATCGTCAGATCAGTTACGATGTGTACCAGAAAGTCGTTGAAATCGATCTGCTTGATGCCGGTTTCGACGTCGAATGGACAGATATCGCTCTGCCGGATCTCGGGAACGAATGGGAAGGCGTCAGGCGCAAGTACTGGAACGTCTCGAGCTATCGCCTACCGGTCTGCAAGTATCTGGATTGATCGACGCCGACTTGAACCTAGAATTCCGCCAGACCGATTTCCGGTGCTCAACTCATGAACTGGCAGCAAGTATGAGCGTGCGCCGTAATCCCTCGCTGGCTGGATGGTTCTCTGTCAACACTCCTCCATCGCCTCCACATTCTGAGCACACATTGGCTGTTCTTAATCATGCGGCCGAGAACCTCGTCTCTGGCTATTTGTCCCTCGCTAGGCGAAGAGAGCGGATATCGGTATGAGCGGCGACAGCACTATGCGCCGCTACTGAAGGTCTACCAAGCAGGGTCTGTCGTACAGTACGGTTGATGTTGAGGCTCACTGACCTGTAGCATTAGAGGCTTATACAGATCTCCGTGGATCTGTAAAAGATGCAGATCTCCCCGGATTTGTGACAAGGCCGCGCCGAAAGGCTCCATCCCCTCCGCTACCAAGACCAAATCCTGTCACTCACCAACCATGCCTCCGAGACACAGCCGAAAATGCTGCAAAGATTTGGGTAGGCATCCATCATCTTAGAAGAGCTCGGTGCGACGGAAGCTTTGCGATAGAGCTTATTGAGCAGATCTCCATCCTCGGCCGTCGCTTCTCCAGGTCGCTTGTGCGGAGTAATTCCGGAATACTGAGAGGACTTACCTCAAGCACTTTCACGCGATCCTACGCGTTGCACGTCGAGCAACAATCATTTTTGGTTTCCATTACCCCGCATCCTCTAGCTTCGAGCACACCAGAGTAGACCATCTGTTCCCTCTGGCTCGCTTTTGACTCTCAACGGCTCCTTTTCTCGGGCCAGGTTCCGACAAGTCCGCTCAGAGTTTCCTATGAAGGTGCCTGTTGGAGGTCGCCCATGACCCCGATAAATGCCCCCTCACGACAAATACCAGTCCTCAGCAGGTTAGATTGCCACGAGGACAGACAATAAGTATATGATGATGCCTACCATGCGTCGACCGCGTCACATTCTTCTGATTTCCAACACACTGCGCCGTGCACAGATTTCTCTACGAGGCCCGTTCCCTGCCTGATCATTCCCCTTCCATAACCACCACGCCTACTCTGATCTTCTACAGCACGGCTCAGGATGTCACAGAGAACAGCCATTGTCACAGGCTCCGCTAGAGGAATGTAAGAAGCAATAGCTCCCAGCAACGCACCTGTCACCGCGACCCAACTAATCATCTCCCCAGCGGCGAAGCCATCGTTCGCCGGCTTGCCCGCGAGAACTTCCGCGTCTGCGTAAACGATGTGTCCGCCAACCAAGCGGGTATCGACAAGCTCGTCCAAGACCTCAACTCCCAATACGGCGACAACACCGCCATTGGCGTCGCAGCCGACGTGACCTCCCCCTCTGAAGTCAAGCGCATGGTGGAAGAATCCGTGTCCAAGCTCGGCCCGCTCACCGTCATGATCGCCAACGCCGGTATCGCGCAGGTGACGCCCGTGCTCGAGATCTCGGACGAGGACGTGCAGAAGATGTTCAACGTCAATTTCATGGGCGTCTGGAACTGCTACACGGCGGCGGCGCGGCAGATGATCGCCCAAGGCGACCGTCCCGAGGGCGAGAGCTCCTACAAGATCATGGGCGCTGCGAGCATCGTGGCGTTCAAGCCTTTCCCGTTGCTGAGCCACTACAGCGCCAGCAAGTGGGCGGTACGCGGCTTCACGCAGGTCTTTGCCATGGAGATGGCCAAGCATAAGATCCGCGTCAACGCGTACGCCCCGGGAATCGTGGGGACGGCGATGTGGGAGCAGATCGACGAGCAGCTGGGCAAAGCCGAGGGCCGGCCCAAGGGCGAGAGTGTGAAGAAGTACAGCAAAGAGTTGACGGCGTTGGGGCGGACGAGCACGCCCGAGGATGTCGGCGACGTGGTCGGTGGGTTCATGGTGAGCAAGGACAGCGACTTCGTAACGGGCCAGACCATCGTAATCGATGGCGGTATCATATTCACATAATAGTGGCATGCTCTTCCTTGCCTGTAGCATGACAGCAAAGAAACTCCTTGGTCCCTCAACCCGAGTCCTGCATCTCCGTGTCCTCCCCCTCCCCTTGCCCCTCTCTCAGAGCCAGACCCTCACACAGCCGATCAAAGCTGCTCTGCAATTTCTCCTTTTTCACTCCCATCCCCACCCCTGTCGCCATTCCTGGCCCGCTTCCCAGCCCCCCATCACCCTCACGCTCACCAACCCGGTCGGCCAGTCACGCCGCCGCCTGGCCCTCGCCTTGCTTCGGCGGATACTCCTTGCCCTGGAACACGACCTTGGGCGCACACGTGCAGCGTTCCTCCTCCGGGATGGAATCCATGACTGAGGAGATGTGGTTGCCGCATCCCCACCAGGTGGCTTTCTCTGTGGGAAAGGTTAGCGATCCGACACCCTGGCATTAGTCCCGGAGATGCGGTATGCTTGTTGATGGGAAAGCCGGGGAGCCCAAGCCATGTCGAGCGGCGGTGCCAGGCGATGAGTTGGTTCGGTGGGGAGGGGATGTGGGTAGAGAGAGGCAGTCGACTTACGGCAGGTGTCGCAGGTCCTCTTCATACACATTGCGAGTTGATGGTGGGGCTTGACTGTAGTTTTTGCGGCGGGTGAATCTGATGGCTGAGCGCGGGGTTGTTGGGTTGCCCCTCGTCTACGAGATGGGATTCACTTGATCACGCTGAAAGTGCAGAGATGCGTCTGAGTGCTGCGCTACTTGTTGGATTTGAACGAAATTGCTGCAAGGATGTGAGTGAGCTGTATCAGAGGAATGCGGGTGAGCTGGATCGAACTCGGGGAGTGAAAGCCCGGCTTCTCGGGGATTCCCGAGGTCGGCGTCTACGAAAGTTGCTACTCCATTACGGCGATTGGCGACCTGTGATCGAACAAGACGAGCTCGCCTCCGTACGGCATTGAAGAGCAATTATGGTGAGAACCTGTTTCATTCTTATCTATGTACTCCGTAGACGCAGTCGCGCGCCGTCAGATGCTCAGAACCCCTATCCTCGTCTGACTGACCCGTTCCAGAAATCGCCATTGCCTATGCTGTCCATGCACCAGATTGATCGTTCCTTAGTTCCCATTTGTACAGTGTTGAAGTCGTCACAAGTCGTTCGACGGTCGTGGGTACGTCCGCTGCCTTTCAGAGATCGAACTCGGAGATCGCTCAATCGCCGAGTGGGTCATCTCTATTCCTCCTGAAGCCACCGTTGGCGTTCTTACTGAGCCCCGGGATGGGGTGATGGTAGCTTTTGGTGTTTTGACTCTGAGTATCTGAGAAGTCAAGGGGCTCGACATAGCTGCCCGGTACACTCTGCCTAGACCTTCCTTTGTTGGGTGACGCATGTCGAGGGACTCTCGGTGCTTGAGACTCCTGCGCAGGAGCAGCGGAGAAGGTATCCTCAGTACCATATGAGAAATCGCGGCGGGCCTGGCGTGGGTTTGATCGGGTTTCTGAACCATTGGTCTCGGTATAGTCGGTCCCATAGAATTGAGCCTCGGAATCACGATTGATGCCACCAACGCGTGCGGGCTTTTCGTGGCGATATGCTCGCACATCGTCATCGTGGCCTCCTTCCCACTTCTCGTTGTGGACTTGACGGATCTTGGCCTCCTTCGCTTTGGCCTTCTTGCTGCTCTTGGACTTCTTATCTTTCATGGCGGGAGCCTCGGACGACATGTCGGTTATAGTCTCCGTACCAGCGGTCCAGGAGCTACCATCATCACTGTAACCTTGACCAACAACGCTTCCACCACCGAGCTTGGTGCTCTTTGTGGCGTTACTGAGTGTTGTGCCGTTGGGACCTTTCCGGCGAAGGACAGTTGATTTGTACTCTTCCCAATCATTCTTCTTCCACTGGAACCCACCATTCTTCGCCCAGAAGAAGAACCAGATGGTAAGGAGCACAAATGATGCACCAATTATAGCAAATGCTGCTTGTACAGCCTTCATATTGATTTGGTTCGGGTCGACGCTACCCGCCTCCGGGTTGGTCGGGTGGGTAGTAGATGCCGCATCTCGAGCAGATAGTACGTGTGTGATGGGATGGTTGAGAGTAGGGGTCAAGTCTTCGCTTCGCTTGTCAAGACTACTGGCAAAGTCAGACTTCGAAGTCAAGGCCGCGCGCTGGTCGAGAGACAAGTGTGAGAGGTATGTAGGCAGGTCGAAAGGTTCAGATCGGGGATCGAGTTCGAGAGACGAGACCTCAAGGCCCGAGATCTTGGAGCTGACGGGTGCCATGATGTAACTTGAGGAATGTGGCCTGTTAGGGCGTAAGGTGACGCTTTACTGCGGTCATGCACGAATGGTGTGGTTTGCTCACGATGACTGAGTTTGTGAGTAGAGATTCAGCAATTCAAGGAATGATCAAGAAAGAACTCAGCTTTGGTAGTAGAATAGGATGATCAAAAGCGTCAGGCTACGAAGGTACTGTAGATATCGCCGTGCTGGTGGTTTGCAGAACAGAGGTGGCTGGCACCCCCAGCCTTCGGATTTCGCTTCTACGTCAGAGTTGACATTTACCCATTTTGGGCCTGGTCTGCCAAGCCCCAACCACTCTGCCACGGCAACGTCTTTGCTCCGTGTCGAGGCCTTCATTTATCTCGACATCTTATTGCCATCGCCATCACCGCCGCGCTCGCCAGCGCTTGCCGGTCTCCAGGCATCGGCGTCGCCAAAGCGCTCTACGACGAGGCCAGCGCTTCCTGGTGCTGTTGACCCGGCCTCCAGCTGCCGCTCATACGAAACTTGCCGTAACCTCTCCGATTCGCGCGGGGTGAGCCTCAGGTAGATCTCGACGCCTACCGCATGCAACAATAAGGCCATCCACAGTGCCATGCCGAAACTGACCCTCAAACTTGCTCCAATCTCTTCAGTATTGCCACCCGCGAAATCTGCATGTACCACGACATGGTGTCGAGCGTCAGCGCCGATGCACTCCGGGTACGTGCTCTCAAAATACCCGATATCGTTCCGCTGGAGGTAGCCGATTTCGCCACATGTCATGGTGGTATAGTACGATTGGATAGCCGTAATGATCTGAGCGGCGATGATCATGATGACCCTCAGCGTGATGCTAACAACAACTTTATTAGTCCTTGGCCATTTCAAGTCAGGGGTCCTGCTTACATTGTACCCATGTAGAACATTGCCCTGAGCATCCACGCTCGATGCTGATCGATCTGCAGCTTTTTGATATTGTATACAGCCATTGCAACGGCAATAGTGGATATTATAACGAGGACTCCCATACCAGCCTGGATCGAGAGGTCGCCACCAAATGCACGGCGAGTGATCATCAAAGCTCCAGCGTGACTGAACAGGATCAAGACAATGATGGTATAGCCATTGATGCGATGGAATAGGATCGCTTTGTGTCTGATGACGGGCACGAACTGCCAGACCTGTGTTCTTGTCAGGGCCGTTTTAATAGCTAATGGTCCAGCATGACTTACCATTAACAGGCCCGCAGGTAGTATGCACGCAAGATGCATCACAAGCCCGACACGATAGTGGCCTGCCCTCTGCCAATACCACTCTCCAGGACTCGATCCGCTAGCGTATTTGCCTGAGCTCAAATACTCAAGCCTTGCTAAGCTGAATCCAAGCATCGCACCAGCAAAGATCACGACTATGTCAGGTCAGCCGTTGCAGTTCGTTCTGGATCGGAGAACTCACACAGTGGAAAGTTGTATCGCTTCTGAAAGCCGAGCCATGCGGCTGGCTTGTGGTAGACGCTGCCCAATATGCCCATCTTGTGCTATACAATCTGAACCAAAGGGGTTGTCTTATGTGGAAATGCCTCTACCTCCCGCGTGAAGACGTCGATTCCCTCTTATATACCCGCGAGCGTGACATCAACCACTATACGCCATTGACGCAGAGCTCTGTGCTCTGCGCCGATGTCCCGTGCCCCTGTACAGCAATAGCAGCATACATTTTAAGCCTCAACGGGACGCAAAGCATACATAGATACCCTCGCATACCTCGAGGCGCAGGTTGCCACCACATTGGGTCTAGCTCGTTTTGACATCAGCCAATCCTGACACGGGGCCAAGAGATCACTGCCTCCAAGATCTGGGGAGGTTGATCTCATGTTCAGTCGCCTTACCAATGCCCGGGAGCCGATGACAAAGACGTGTTTGCAAATTAGCTATTGGATGGATGATGCCTTCCACAAGCCTAGTTTCCAGGAACGCATCGAGAGTGCGCGGCACGTTTCTCCCCTGGTCGTACTCGCTATTGCAGTGACGTATACAAAATCTTAGGCGCCCATGAATCAGGACTCATCTATTAGCAGCCCCAGCGTTTGTCTCGATCACTATACCTTGACTACGAACTGTCAAGGCCCGTAACCTGCAAGGCTCCTCCGCCATGCCCGGGGTTCCCACTTCCAAAGGCTGCGAAGCCTGCCGACGCCGGAAAAAGGGCGTAAGTGATCTACATTGGGCGGAGAAGAAAGGCGCAAGATCCCACTCTAACGGGTATAGTGCGATCTGGTCCAACCGACATGTGGTAGATGCACCAAGCTGGGTTTGAAGTGCATCAACAATGGCACCGGTCGCTTAAAATTCGTCGATGAATCGAAGACGTGGGCGCACCGAAAATCCTCTTCGGGAAGCAATACAACAGGCCGCAGCAGTAAAGCATCTACGCCGTCACCGGAATCTACCACCACCGTCACCACCAACTCCTCCTCGCGTGAATCGTCCTTGGACCTACAAGTCGCGCAGCTGTGTCGCTCAGCACTCCTCAGCCAGGCGGTCGGTGCCTTTTGGGAGGCTTACACTCCTCGCGCGTCCGGACTCCCCACCTTCTCCTCGCGAGGAATCCAGTCTTCGAAATGGCTTCAGGCAGCGTTGCGAGAGGCGCATTCGGACCCGGGGCTCAACGATGCGGTCATGGCCCTGGCGATGTCGAGAGCAAGTCGAATCAGCGGGAACAAGGATGCTCGTAAAGATGCGCTGATGTTCTATGGCTCCTGCGTCCGTAACGTCAGGCGCGCCATCGTGGCGGGAGATCGGCTGTATGACGATCACCTGCTGGCAACCGTCATGCTGTTGGCGACCTTTGAAGTCCACGAAGGCACTGCGCAGCGAGACAAAGCCTGGGGCGCACACATCAACGGCGCCTCCAGACTGATCAATGCAAGAGGAGCGTGGTCCTTTCAAACCGAGTTCGGCCGCATACTGTACCTAGGCCACCTACGAGACGAACTGATCTACGGCATAGGCACGCGTGGCAAATCGCGCCACGGCGTCGACCAGACCTCCTACAAGCCCACGCCGGAAGACATGACCGACCTCGATGTCCAGCTCGTCTCGATCCTCAGCTCCATGCCTTCCATCATGGAATCCGCCGACCACATTCGCACCATCGACGACGTCGCGCAAGTCCGAGAAGCCACGCTGGACCTCCGCACGCGCTGCCACGAGATCATGGACGTGCTCGAAAAATTCGACGAGACACTGCAATGGTCGCAGGCCGATCTGCTGTACTGGGAAGAACCCTCCCAGCTGGCGCTGTCTCTAGCCCCGGACAGCGACGAACGCGTCTTCACCACCTTCATCACCTTCTGCGACTTCCCCATTGCCTGCCTGCAATTCACGACGTGGACGTCACTGTTGCTGATGCATTCGACGCTGTGGCTGACGTATCAGTGGCTCCGCTGCTACCGGCCCGAGGCCATGATCGACCAAGCCATCCCCATGATGGTGCCGCCGGACAAGCTGGATCTCTGCAATGATCTGGCCATCAACATTGTGAAATCCATGGAGTACTTTGTGCAGCCGGAGATGGGGTTGGTGGGCGCACAGCAGATCGCGTATCCCATGAGTATCGTGATGGGTTACCTCACGTACTGGAACCGGCAGGAGAGGATGTGGTTTCCGGTCATCTTCAGGCGGCTCAAGGAGCTGAACATTGGGATCGAAGGGTTTCTGGTCGATACGTTCAAAGGGAATGAGCTGAGGATGATTCGCCCTCTGGCGGAAAAGGAGCCAAGGTTTGTGGATCAGAAGCAGTCGGGGAATGTGTTTGCGCAAGTATTGGCGGAGAATCCCACTCCGGAGACGTGAAAGCTAGGGTTATGAAAAGAAATCACCACCGCCACCACCTCCGTCATCGTCGTCGCCTCCCATGTCGTCGTCATCGCCGGCGTCGAAGTAGTTTTCGGCGTTGTAGTCGTTGTCTTCATCTTCAGACTCTTCAAAATCCGAGTCTTCCGGCTCATCCTCACCATCGCCTTCCTCGTCTGCATTCGGCTCGCCTTCTGGATAGTCGTCCTCGGCATCGAGGCCCTGGCGTTGTTTTGCATCTTTCTCCGCACGCCGTGATCGCTCGCTTTTCTGCTTTCTCCTGCCTGCAACGACAGCATCGGAGTCCTCGTCTGAGTCTGCATCTTCACCTCCGCTGCGGACGTCGGCTTCGACACTGAGACGCCGCTTACGCTTCCGCGCACCCATTCCGCCAAGTTCGGCGACATCGACGGTACTCCAAAGGGGATTCTTTCGCTTGGGATCGATGACGGGCCACAGCTCCTTGGGAAAGAGCTGCAACGCCTGAATCTTGCCGGCAGCTTCTGGCATGATTCGTCTCTTCTTCTGAAATTTGGACGAGTAGGCCTGTTGATCATTGAAGGGATCAAAGCCGGCTCGTGGAGCGACTTTTCCGTTGTCATCGGTCAATATGCTTGGATCAAGGGCGGCGTAAAATGGACCGTTGCGGGCACGGCTGCGGAAGCTAAGGTACTTTGTAGTCGACGCCAGCTCCGTTTGATCGAGAGCCCGGGGAATAGGAAAGACGACCTCAGGAAAGGTGGCTGCAGGCTTGTTCGCAAGGAGAACTGGGGCTGGCTCTTCGTCGTCCCATGCCATATCAGGGCCCAATTTGCGGCCTCCGCCGCCAAAGCGACCGCCACCACGAGGCATATTCGAAGAGTTGCGGGGGCGTGGTGCTATAAGCGAAACGTCATGTTGTGGTGAGGTTTGAGCAGTCGAAATGCGAGTCCAAAAAGTTGCGGCAGAAAGACTTGAGGGGCGGCCGCGATGGATCCGCTCTGTCACCGCCTGCCGCATTGGGATAGGGTCTTGGCACGGGTGAAAGGTGCCTAATACCCTCCCATCACACCCTCGACTATTGGCAGGGAGCCTTCGTCCCACGATTTATTACTCGCTCCGGGATAAGCATCGTACTACGGACTTGTACTGGGCTCTTTGGCTGCCACAGCTCGTCTGAACTATCGTCATCTCTTATTGTCCGGCGGTGACGCTGGGACCGATAGCCCTGAGGCACGGGCGGAAGTGACGACGTGCTCATGTGCTGGGAGTTGCTCTCATCACTGAGCTACAGAGAGGTCTACAGTAGAGTTTTGATGGCGGTCCGCGGCCTAAATATGGCTTGCATCACGCTAAGGGTACCGCAACCAGCTTCTCAGGCACAGCACGCTCTATTTCCCGGCCTTTTCTTGGCGTAGCAGTTCCTGGAGTCTGATTGGCTCTGTCCGAACCTCCCCGGGCGCGTAAATGCACGCGCCCAGTCCTGTCTCGTCCTCTCAAGACCCTCTATCATGTGCTGGGCACACGTTTCACGTTCTTCACCTCTCGCGCAAGCAGCTTGCACAGACGAATCGCATACATCCCTGCTCAGAGGGACCAGGGTACCCGAAAACGTCTCTCATACACCCCGCTACGTGTCGATCGTCCTGGAAAGGTCTCGCTTTGCTCTCGGCGTGCTCTATTGGTACGGCAATAGAAACTAGTTGAGCTGCAAGCGCTGGCTTGGGGCAAGCAGAGCACTTTGCGACCTGTTGTCGTGGCTATGTAGGTATTCCGGAGGTGAATCAACCTCTTGGGCTCTAACCTGCTTGTTCCTTCTTATTCTGTTCATCCCATGCCATGTCCATCCATATCCTTCTGCTTCCTCCCCCACCTTGTTACACAGGCATATACACTCGAGAGGCGTCGTCGGTGTCCACGAACATTCTTAAGCACCATCGCCGAGCCAGACTGAAGCCTCCTGCCTCGGCTTACCGCGATCGATCATCACATCCACGGCCTCAAATCATATCGCCATGGCGACGTTGATATCCCTCCTACCACTCACTCTCATTGCCCTCCTCACCCAATACGCTTCGAGCTCACCACTGCCCCAGAACGGAGATGGCGGCGGATCAGGTGCGCTCCCAGACGGCGGGCTAGGCTACGACCCTTCAGGCCAGGGCGATGCCGTTCCAGGCGCAGCAGGCGCCGACACCGGCGGCGTGCGCCTCAGCAAAGGTGCCATCATCGCAATCGCGGTCGTCGCTGGCCTCTTCGTCATTGCCGGTGGTGAGTGTTCTTTCTCTCTTCCTCAAGCTGCCACCACCGGTGATCAATTCCAAATGCTAATCCTGTTCTATTTCTATCAGTAACAACAGCTATCCTCTTCTGGGGCGCCAAGAAGCGCCAATGGGCCGTCGCCGAGACCATGCGCCGCTCCGTCAGGCGTGTCACCAGCGGCTTGAAAGCCATGACGCCGCGCACCCCACACAAGATGACATTCTCCCCGATCGAGAAGCGACGCGCCGGCAGTTTCGGAGACGGCCTCATCCAAAACCAGCAGAGAACTCCCGTCCCACGCAGCAGCAACAGGGACGGTGTAGAGCAAGAGAAGTCGCGGCCGTCGGTCGCGGCGGGCTTAAGGAGTGGGAGCAACGACAGTGTCCCCATCATGCAGCAGGCGCAGGTGCCCGGCAAGAAGCAGCGGCAGCAGCCGCCGCCGCCCAGGGTCCAGGTGCCTCAGAGCAAGTTCGAGATGGATTCTCCCAAGACTCCAATGTGGAACAAAGTCTTTGGGCGTTGACCTCGACGAGGGTTGTTTGTCCATTTCTCTTCAACGAAGCCATGGGCCTGCTTGGGCTGAGCAATTTTGAGCGATGGGCGTTTTTGGATGATTGAATTGTACAAGTAGCTGAGTACGAGATCACGTTCACAAAGGCGGAAAGGCGTACACGATAGGTGATGACAATTCTGTTCGATCTATCGCGTACCAACAAATGCTAGAGGGGATCTTCTAAGAAACATTTCATGCATGCGTAACCGGTCATAGTGTCATGGCTCCATCCTCTCCGTTCCATCATCCGTAAATACCTAAAGTGTTTCCCACCCGCCATTGTTAACCTCGCCCTCCAGCTTGCGCGCAATGGCACTCCATACGTTGCCATTCACCATCAACCACGTATCCCTTACCAGCCGATCGTATCGCATCTGGCTCAACATCAACTGGTGCTTATTCCGCAGACCACCGTCCGTCTCTCCATGTTTCGTCAAGTATGGTGCTGGGAAAAAACTGCCTAATGGCGGCGTATCACTGTTGCGGAGTAGTAAGCTACCTAGAGCCACAGTCGATGCAGGCGGCGACTGGTTGGGGTCCCGCATGACGTGTAGCAGCACAACATTGCACTTTCGAATGAACAGGAACATGCCAACCGGTGCAGAGCATTTCTCGACGTGCGCATTGCAACCCCCTCGTCCATCCTTGGTCTGGCAACAGACGGACTGTGAGCAGAAGATGTCGCCACAGAAGAGGCAAAGAGCGGGGTCGACCAGTTCCTTGCCAGTATTCGGGCAACGCTTGCGAGAGCTAATCTCAAGGAGCACATCATAGTATTTGGGAAGACCTATGAGCTCAAGGGGTGCAGGATGCAGGACCCGGATGCCAAATGAGGATTGGCGACTCATCGTCAGAGATTGGCCACGGACATCGAATGCATATCGGGGACTGAGTTCGGACTGTTGTCGTTCATTTTGACGATAAGTTGATAAATCCGCCAGCCAACATGAGACGAGCTTCTTGACGCCGCCAGAAGGCGCAAACTCTGTTAGTTCGCCAAGTATGTCTGTGATGGAGGGAAGCTGCAGGAAATGCTGGAGTCGAGATAGTTCGGGCAGACTTGCTTCTGATCCTGCCGTTGTTGGGAAGTCTACACCAAGCGCCACATGGAAGAAGATAGCCGCTTTCCGCAGGAAGGTCAAGGCATACTTCTCCACCACACGTGCAAGTGCGGTCAAGCCATTGGCGTCCACCGAGTCTTTGAACTTCTGAAAGCGTTCGGTTTCCGGCCCAGATGGATGGCTGGCCGATAGCAGTTGGACTTCGATCCATGTCAGGCACTGCTTGTAGGTACCAAGCTCTGTCTCGTCGCGGTCTGCAAAAGCTTCATCTGAAGTTTCTTTGACAATCGCCAGTAGTCCGTCGAAGTCGTGAGCATAAGCGATCACCACCCGAAGGATCTCGGCAGTCAATGCCAACTGAAGCATGTGCCGTTGATCAATTTGCAGTAAGGGACATAAAACGAGTGAGGCATCAACTAGATAGCTGAAGGGATCGACCAGGAGCAATGGATGACTGAAATTGTCAAGGAAAATGGTGTCGAGATGCGTGCTGTCCTGACCCAGCTGTGGGTGTGCAAATAGCTTTTGAAAGAGCGAGAGATAGACCTGCTGGAAATGCTCATCAATGGCACCTCGTATGAGCACATGGCATGTTGCTGCATAAGATCGCACTGTCGAAGCCAATATCTGAAGGTGGCTCAGCGTCTGTTGTGGAACACCGCTTAGAAGCGTGGTACCGAATTCCGCCTCACGGCCACGATGAGCAATTTCAGTGGCGCTGATGGTGTTGGCGAGAGAGCTGAGCAGTAGGTGGAATGAGTTCGGCTGCTCACCATCGTGGAACTTTGCAGGGAAGATACCAGGCTGAGTGACACGAGAGAGAATGTTCAGAGGCCCCTTAAGCCGCAAGTACACACTAGCAAGCTCGGAAATGGGGGCAAGCTCTGGTCTCTCTGAGCTTCCGGCCATCAAAGGACTGTCCGCATCTCCAACCCGAGAGCGTTCGATCGCAGACTCAAGAGCGCTGTTTGCAAAGCTGGAAAGGTTCTGCTTGTGCACTTCAGTGGCACGTCTGGTGAACCCCTCATCGTTGACATTTGCGAAGTGCTCGAGGCTTGGAAGCTCTTCTCCCATGAATTGGGAGTATGTTAGCTTTGTCTCCAGGGTCGCCGGATAAGACTGCTCAGTACTCTTCCACACGATTGGTAAGAAAGCGTTCGCCAGGGCCTTGCACAGAGGGCACACGAATTCTTGTGCCGTCACACGCTCGGGGTGTTGTCGTGCTACTTGCTGAGCGTGGCGTCGCAAGACTGACTGGTAGTAGTTCTCGAAGCAGCTAAAGTGCATGATATGGCCACAGCTAGACGTGAGGGGGCCTTTGGCGGTGGCATCTTTTGGCCAGCCCTTGCTGATACCCTGGCGCCCAACCTTGACCTCATTGCCGGCAGAATCCATTTGACTTACCATTTGTTGGTTGTTTCCAGCTACGCCAAAAGGTCCATCACGGTTCAAGTTCCGATCCAGGTCTTTTGGTGTAGCCAGAACTTCTCGGACAAAGTCAGATTCGCCCAGGTCGGTCTCGCGAAGTAGGTGACCGTCTGTGATCATGGCGAAGGTCCCGTACAGACGCCCATCAGAGGTATCCTCGCGGCATTGTATGCACAGACCAGATGGGAACTTCCATGTCCGTGACTCGGTCGAGCTTGGCAACTCGGCATCCGGACTGTCGAGTTCTTCATCGTCCCAATCGAAACGTCCTTGTTGGTCCATAAAACTTTGTTGCTGTTGTTGGAAAGAAGCCATAACTCTTGCTTTCCTTTCAGCAGAAGCTTTCTTCTTTTCTTCGAGTTCGTTCTCAAAATTGGCAGGCGAGGCTGTATCGAAGCGGCCCGAGGGAAAGTCCAAACCTTGGGTTGCCACAGAGAAGGCTCCAGGACGTTTTTGATTAAACAGTCGTAAGATGTGTCTGATCTTGCTCCGACATGCCGAGTACTCGTCCATTCCCCATATTCTATGCATGACCTTGACAACAGTAGAAGGCACATCGTATTCGTCTGGGTAGGACGACAGGCCAGAGTTGTAGACGAACGACGAACGTTCAGAGCCGAGTGTATCCTCACTCGATTTGTCTTCCAAAGTTGCAATCAGCGCCAACTGGAGCACGATTTGCAAGAAGGATTCTGCTCGTGTTGCTGATACCCCAGTCCGAGTTGTGTAGCCGTCAGCAACAAACATCAGGCTGCGAAAGATTATCTCGCCAAACAAGTTTGTCTGGCATACTCCAGGAAGTTCTTGGTATCCTTCACTGGTGATCTTGTGTAGCTTGGGCTCAAGAACCACGTCCTCAGGATCCTTCTTGAGTTTCTTTCCGAGCCACTTCTTGTAGATGTTCTCGGCCTCGTCTCGCTGGTTCTTTGAAAAGTGTGAGTTGTACGGATCAAGCTCTTGGAGGTACTCTTCTCTCAGCTCGAACAAGCCCGTGTCATGAAGTCCTTCTGGAGGGCGATACTTGGTCATGCTCTCCAGAATTTCTTGTAGCTTCTCATGATCTTGTACGCGCTCGGTGAGCCGAGCAGTCAGATCAGAATACGACAATGGCTTGAAGCAGAGCGAATGTGCGATCTCTTTGCGAACTGTGTTCAATGACGAATCTGGACTTCCAGTGACCGAAGTAAGAGTGTCGCGATCAGAGAGAAGGTTGATAAGCAAGTAGATGAGATCTTCCGCGAGATCAACCATTTGCACATCATCGCAGTCGGCCACAGGAGCATACTTGCCCGACATCCAATCGGTCAAGCCAAAGCGATCAACCATTGAAGCTAGGACGCGGGCTGGGTCACAAGCCACCAGGGCCGTTTGCAGGAGAAACATGTCTCGCTGATGGGCAACATCTCGATACGGCACACTTTTGTATTGGCCCATTTGGTGGCGCAGGCTCATGCCATTCCTAACCCACATGTTCGCCTTCATCTGTGCAAGCCAGGCACAAACTCTGAGCGGGTAGTCAAACATGGCCAGGAGAGCGTCTTCTGCTGAGGTAATGGAGGACTTGATCGCAATATCTTGCTGTGCAATCGGTGCTTCGGCAATTTTGGTCGCAATGTTTTGCGCAGATGCTTTCAACGCTCGGATGGAGGCTGCAGAGTCCTTGCCGATCTCGAGCAACCAAGAAAGCGTGTAGTGGAGAGGATGGTGGAAACTTAGGGCACCTTGCGCAACAGAAAATTTGACAACCCGATGGCTCGTTTGGTGGAATCGCACCAGAGTCTTTATCTCGCTTTGTTCAAAACGTCTCCGTTCCAATCCAACCGCATTCATCAAGGTTAACCCTGCCGTGAGTGAGATAGCATCACAGAGCTCTGAATCCTCTGAGCCAGGCTTGACCAACGAGTTCTGGTATGTTTCGGCAAACACTCGACAGAGCTTGTTAGATTCTCTCGTTAGAACCGATGCACTAATCCAGGTATCGGTTTCGTACTCGACATGCTCACCGACTGCTCGAACATTGGGACAAATACCCTGCAGTAGCTTCATCAGGTCGAGATACTGAGAGAGGTAACGCACGTCGCTTCGAATCTTGTTCTGCACGTGCTCTGAAGCCAGGAAATATCGCAAATCGCTGAAGAAATGGAAAAGCCGTCGATTTGCCACGGCACCGGGGTCAAAGGACAAGGTAGCAGTGGAATCAACTTCTTCTGGATAGCCCACTTGACGATTGGTCAGGAAGGTGTACAGTATAGCCATGACACTTGTCAAAAAGTTGCCTTTCTCGATTCGCTCCTGACATATCGAAGGGGTAGTCAGGATCTGGAGAGAGAGATTGACGATAGAGTGATCTGGCTCTCGATCTGCAATAAGATAGAGTTGGGCAAGTGTTGTATAAAGGCCGGAGAAACGAAGTCCTAGGATCCGTTTGAATTCCGGAATCTTGACAACCGTGCTGATGTAGAGATCTCGCAGACCTATCCGCGCGCTCTTCCATAAGCGGAGGTCGTATACGATCATGTAGTCTAGGCGAATACTCTTTCTGAGATCTTCGTGATCTGGTATCTCTCCAGCAGGAGCCAGTTCTGGATTAGGCATTAGCCAGTAAGCCGGAGGACCCTCCTGAACTGGTTTCGTAGATCGACTGTGCACCTTTGGGACGTGCATGAAGTTGACGTTCCGATCACGGGGCCGTGGGTCGGTATCTGCGCGTCGTGGAGGAGTCGGAGTCGCTAATGCACCAGTGTCGACACCTCCATCGGCTGGAGGCGAAAGCTCATCGCCTTCGATCCGCTCCCCAACGTCCATAAATTCGCCATCGCCGTCCGTATCCATCTCGTCGGCGTCATCGGTAGCGTCTGGATCTCCAATTGGCTCATGGCCATCTGGTCCAGGATGCTGAATCTCGAAGGTAGTTGTTTGAAGGATAGTTCTTCCTTGGTCATCCTCGCCAACACCAATTAGATCCTCGTCAACCTCTTCGATTTCGATGCCGTCAGCCTCATCGCTGTCATCATCATCATCCATTACAGCTTCGACTTGCTGAATTAATGCGGGCTGAAGAACCAATTGAATAGGATCAACGGACAGAGCCCATCTCCGCCGGACGTGTCGAAATTCGTTCCGGCTCTGTTCAAGACCATGCTGGTCGATGCTATCACGACCTGTCTGTGCGTTTGATGCTTGGCTTCCTACCCGCCACACCTGGAGGAGTTCCTCGCAGATTGTCCTGCGGAGTATATGGTGATCACCGCCAATTGAGCACCCAGCAATATCACTCAGCCATTCGATGATTGTTCCACACATCTGTTCTCGATACGTATCTCTGGAGGATCGAATGGTAACCGTGATCTTGATCTGCTCAATGATCTTGGCCATCTTTGTAAGTTGCTTCAGGTCTCTCGAGTGGCGCACGACGCTGCGGCCAATGTCGTTGGCTTCATTGGCCTTGTTCAAGCCAAATTGAATGCGCTCCCCACATGCTCGAGCTACCTGGTCTCGGACTTCTCGCACCGTGTGCTTCTCGTCATTCCAGACCAACAGGCAGAATTCTGGGTTTGCCTCTTCTTCATCTCCTGACACATAGTCCTCAGGCGAGAGTCTACTCCGAGTCTCGTCTTCCTTGATCGACTCTATAGATTTTGGCAAGCGCAGGTGTTCCGGAGAGCAGCCGATAACGTCGCAAAAGTAATCCAGGATTCTCGAAATTGTCAACCGGATTGATGCCTGAAGATCCTGTGGGAGCGCAGAGACATATGAATCAGCAGAGACAAAGTCGTCAGTGGCTGTATGAATGGCACAGTGGACCGGTCGCTTCCACGCCTCTTCATCGCCGCAGTCGCAGCAACCAGAGTTGCCTGCGCTTATACTGATATTGAGCTGGTGGCCATCATGGTCACTCGCAGCAAAACAACGAGAGCATAGAACGGCTGTTGGGTCATCTGTGCAAGTCTCACAGTGGTATGTTACCTCGGCTGGCTTAAAGATGTGGCCACATAGGGTCCCACGAGCACTAGCGCTATATTCAGGCTCCTCTTCCACATCTTGGGCATCTTGCAACTTGTAGGAGTCGGGGAATCCGTTCGGGAATAACGCTCTCAGGTATTCCGGTCGGTCGGCTGTGAGAGCGCGAAAAAGTGTCTCGAAGAGGTTGGTTCTGGCATCGGCGGTAAATCTGTTGTCGAAATGCCGGGGATGGTCACAAAGGGCCCGGCGGAGTTTCTCATCAAGGTCGGTGAGTGTAGAAGTCATCTTGGGGGAGACTCAAAGACCATCTTGGAGCTCCTGAACTTTCAAAGATGTGGTAGGATGTTCGTGTAGATAGACGGGACTTTGTCCAGCGGATGTCAAAGTTGCGTCACCCGTGGAGAGTGGCGGGGTGGCGCAACGTGACTAGCAGATGAACTGATGAGGGTTTGCGACGGACGAAGCCGTATTCAGTTACAATCACGTAGTAAGCGATAATGAGAGGTCTGTAAAAGAGTCGACGGGAATCAAGACGAGGGGTGCATGGCACTTAGCCTGGTGGGTAGGTCCGCCAAGCTTGAACGAAGTGCATCATCTCAGGCGCATCCGCGGCAGCATTGACGCCGTTTTCGCTATATGTACAATCCCAGAGCCCGCGAATTCTTCGAGTATGCTTCCGATGCCCTCGTGACTCTCGGATGATCTCTGATTACTGTATCAATCCATCAGGTGCAGGCATTATTCTTCATCTTCCTCCTGGGTCATGTATCGGTGCTTGATGTCCCTCCATTGTCTCTGTAGTGTGTTAGATTTTCTCTGATAGCCACAAATAAGGTCCAGACGTACGCCTTTGTTTATTGAGTTCCAAACCAGATCTGTGCCAGTGTCGAAAGCCCTGTTGAATTGTTCAGCCTCGCCATGGCAATCGCAATCCCAAATCCGCAGACTCACATCTCAAACGCGAAAGCTCCGGCGAACACGGTGGATAGGAAGACATAGTTTCGGCGGAAGACGCCACTATCTTGATCAGTACTGCGATGCATCGTCTCGTTCCGATCGACCTTACTTGAAAATTCCCTGCGAGAACCGACTCTGCTGCGGTAAGCGATTGTCCAGACGACACGGGGCGGAAGACTAACGACTAGCGACATCTTGTCGGTGTATTGACCGAAGGTGCCCGGAGTGGTTTTGGGTGAGCGTGGAAGATTCGTGCAGTGGTGAGAGCAGTTCAGCAGTCGGCCAGGAGCTCAATATTGCTCAGCTTGTGATTGGCTCCGCGGCATGATCCGAAAGTGGAATGTTTGCCGAGAAGACGACCGGGCTTGGCAACCACCTTCTTCCTTGCCTTGACTGACAACTTTCCACCGCTTATGCTTGCATTTCTGGCTGTGGTGCGCATCTTACATGGTGCAGACTCTTGCTCAACCTTTTGAACACTTCCGAAGTAATAATAATCTGACAGATCCAGAGTGTGGGTCGACCGATATGGCATCGCCAGCCAAGTCTGGCATCCAGACTGGTGCTGACGGTGCTTCCTTCATCCCATCTTCACGGCGAGCAGATGGATCAACTCGGAAAGAAATCCGTGTTCGCCCCGGGTATCGGCCACCCGAAGATGTCGAAACTTATAAGAACCGCAGCGCTGAAGCCTGGAAGAATCGTGGTAAAGGTGGTGTGCTGGGGGCTGATTCTGATCCTCAGCCGGCCGACAGCGAGGCTAAAAGCAAGAATGCGAAACGAAGGGAGGCTGCTCGAAGAAAGGCAGCGACCGAAGGCCACGAGGATCAACAACTTTCCTCAGCTATGAAGGATGCATCACTAGAGGCGGAGGGGAAAGCGAAACAGAACTGGCGAAATCCAGACAAACTTGCCACCAGTGAATCTGCCGATGTCAATACTGATGCGGACAGTCAAAAAAAGATCAGAAATGCTCTGAAGAAGCTAAAAGCCGTGCGTGAGCTGAAGGCTAAGAAAGCCGCCGGGGAAAAATTGTCTACCGATCAACTCATGAAGATCAGCAAGGAGGAAGAGCTTGTCCGTGATTTGAAGAAATTAGGCTTCGATGGATCTGACCTGGACGAAGGACAGTATGATGTGGCCCCAGCGACCGGCTGAGTGCAGATTTACGCCAAGCCCTATATATAAGCACCATGAGATGCACGCCTCGTCTACCCCCCGCGCACACTTCCTGAGGATCTGATGGGCTCTCTTGGAAGCTTCCTTTGAGGGAAGGATCAAATCGCCACTGTCCCAAGCGAGAAGGAACCAGGGGCTCGAGTCGCTATGCCTATACCGATGTCAGCCAGATGCATGACATGAAGCGTAGGCGCAAGACGTGTCTCGAGGCAGCGATCTCGGTCGATGGAAATGTTGCCTCCCAGATCAAGGGAAAATCCATCGAGTCCCTGGCGAGTCCTGAAGTTCTCGTGCCTGGACGCAGAGGCAATACCCCCGCGTGAGGCTCAGCCTTGTGAACACCACGGAGCCTCGTCACACAGAACTGCCGGAGATAATACTTTTTAACTCAGATACATTACCAAACCACAACTTCTAGACTTTCCTGCTCAATGTAGAGCACCACCCCGATGCGTTGTTCTGCTTCCCGGATATGCTCCTCGGTGTCGGCAGCGCAGCTCGCCGTCATGCCACGAGTGAGCTTCATCGGTACCACATTGCGACCTTAGCTTGGTCGCGTCCATTCACTTCTTCGACTTTTCGATTCAACGAACCAAAGCTCCCATACCTACTACCGCATTCCTTCATCCCACGAGCGCATCCGAACCCCGCCGCAAAAGATATCGCTGTATTGGGAGGGGGTGTAACTGGCCTCACAGCCGCTTACGAACTCTCAAGATGCATACCGGACGCGAACATCACCCTCTACGAGAAAAGTGACAGGCTTGGTGGCTGGATTGACACGGAGATCGTGCAAGTAGATGGCGGCGAGATTCTCTTCGAATGGGGTCCTAGGACACTGCGCCCTTCAATTCAAGGAGCCGGATGGGCCACACTACACCTCCTGGGAAGCTTCCTCGAAGATCGACGCACCGATTGCTCACTGCTTGCTTTCTCGAAACGCTCGAATTTAGCCCGCAATCGGTTTGTCTACTACCCAGATCACCTTGTTCGCATGCCGAGTGGATCTGGAAGTTTTATCTCCGATACCTACGACCTCGTACGCTCCCTATGGTCAGAACCTATCTTCCAAGGTGTCCCTAACGGGATCCTGGCGGAGCCTTTTCAACGTACACGATCAAGACAAGCACGAGATGAGTCTGTCGGTGACTTTCTCTCCAGAAGGTTTGGGCGGGAAGTTGCAGATAACCTGGCGTCTGCTGTGATGCACGGTATATATGCCGGAGACATCTACAAGCTCAGTGCCAGAACTTTACTACCATCGCTATGGTACCTTGAGATGCGAGACTCGGACATTCGAGGGCACGAGACCGGCCAGGGCATATTGGCAGAGGTGGCTGAGATGTTCTTCCGCGGAAACCAGCTCCTGACCTACGAGGATACCAAATTTCGCAATGTGAACCCAATAGGCCCCGCCAATCGGACTGAAATCTCACCGGTGCTGGCCGCATTCCAAGAAAGCAGTGTCATTACGTGGTCCGAGGGCATGAGTTACATCACTCGAAAACTGAGAGCTGGCCTGGAGAGAGCGCCCCGAGTCACGATCAAGACCAACGCTCCTGTTGACTGGCTGTACCACGACAAGGATACACAGAAGGTGATGGTCAAAGATCCGTCTGAAAAGAACCCTCAACCTTACGATTACGTTATCTCCACATTAGCACCACGGACGATGAGATCAATCATTCGCTCATCACCCGAGATTGGCCGCAAATGTGAGACTTTCAGTTCTGTGGACAAGAGCGTGTCTGTGATGGTTGTCAACCTCTGGTACAGGTCACAGGTGCTTGCTCCTGAACACGAGGGCTTTGGATATCTCATACCTCGATCGGTCCCTCTTGAGCAAAATCCTGAACGAGCACTTGGGGTTATATTTGCTCATAATCTCACTTCCAGTTATGACGTGGCTGAAGAAACAGTGGAAGACGTGGAGAAACGTATGCAAGAGATTGAGGACCACGGGGCCAAAGAGAGGGAACATTATGCTAATGAGGCAAGAAAATTAGATGAGCGGTTGGAGAAGGCGACTGACGATGCTGAACGATCCGAGATCGAAATGATGCGGTCGGCCTTCGAGACGTATCGACAAGACATGGAAATCGATTTCAAGAAAAATGATGAGGCTGTGGCGCTTTGGCGTAAGGACAAGGCCAATCAACCGCCGGTATCGAAGGTCAAACTCGGGCAAGACACTGTTCCAGGCTCAAAATTCGGTGTGATGTTAGGAGGGCATTGGTGGGATGGATGGGAAGACGGTGACTATCCTTCGGAACAAGAAGCGATCGATATGGCGAAAAGTGTCTTACGGCGCCACCTGAAAATCGAAGAAGAGCCAGAGGTTGCCAAAGCTAGGCTACAGAAGGACTGTATCCCACAATATCCTGTGGGATACCGAGATTATATGGCCAAGATTCACCAGGAGGTGCTCATACCAGGCTTCGAGGGTAGGCTGAAAGTGGCTGGTCCCTGGTATCAAGGCGCAGTGGGAGTCAACGACTGTGTCCGGAAGGCCAAGCAAGTTGTTATGGATATCAGAGAGGGATGGGATCAGAACACAGGTCTGGAGCAGTACACCGAGGATGAGAAGTGGTTGTTGAAGAACAGATCCTCGGGGTTTGTCGATGTCGACGATGGGTCGGAATAGTTTGCCTCCAATCGCTCGTCAGATCAGATTGAGGGGGTATGCCGAATTCCGTGGTTCGCAATATCATCACGCGACGCTGCTGTTCGACGGATAGCCCTGTTAGCCATGGCCTCTGTTCGAATGTGAATTCCGAGAAGCACTGAGGCTTAAAGTTCATATTTCAACAACAGTCTCCAGTTTGAGCTTTTTCATTCAGTCTGCCAAGTAACTGTGATGAGAATATCGATATCCCCATCGTTCGTGACCATGCGAACGAGCCGTATGCGATGCGGAGCCGATAAGCTATTCTGGAGTCTGTCTCAGCGTGCTATTCATCAGGATTTTCTCTCTGCACTACGACTACTTGGAGGTTGGGGGCAACCAAACGATGGGTAAGGTGAGGGCCAACACCGACCACCTACATTTGGACTGATGAGGAGGAAAGTGCTTGAAGTGGTTTGGTGCCCAAGATTTGAACACTAACATTGGCTGTCGTATGTCAGCACTAACCCAGCCTTTTCAGTCAGCTCAAGCATAAATGCTGAAGACAAAGCGTCGAGGCGTCTTATGTCTAACGCCATTCATGCTCGTTCGCTTACTTTTAGATTGATGGAGCTATTGTTGTGAACATGACAAAGCCATCAGCCTCGCAACACGGCCATGATCTTTATATGTCGCCCGTCCCCAGGCGATGGGCTTTTGTTCTCCATCCCATCGTTTGACACCATGCAGTTGATTTGGGGGCTGGCTGCCTTCGCTACTTTGGCTTCTGCCATTCCCCTCGAGGGTCGGGACTTCCACTACGGAGACCGCTCGGTCTATGCTTCAGCATATAATGCGGCGCAACCTCCGCCGAAACAGACCTACGCTCCAACTCCGGGAGGTTCAGGAGACTCTGGAGCTTGGTCACCACCAGACAACTCGCAAGGCGTCCCTGGCGCTCCGAAGGAGGTGAGCGACGATCCCTTCTCGCTCGATAACGGCTTCCCCAATATTCCGAACCCATCCGATGCCTTGACCAAAATCAATACCGCGGCTCGGGGTACACTGTCGAACGCACCGCCTCCCGCCAAAGCCCCATCCAGCGAGACACTCACGTCGCTTCGCCTGGTTGCCTTCAACGAGCTCTTTGAAACCTTCTATTTCACCGAGCTATTGAAGAATGTAACCGAGGGCGTCGCAGGTTACGGGTTCCAAGACCAGGGATTCAAACAGAAGGTCATCAACACCCTGACTGCGGTGCAAGCTCAAGAGGAACTGCATGCGCTGAACGCCAATGGTGCTCTGGCAAGAGCCAATGCGGGACCAATCCAGGCTTGCTCGTACAAGGCAAGCGTCGACAATTTCCACGACGCCATCTTCCTCGCCTCCACATTCACCGATGTCGTATTGGGCACACTGGCCGACATTTCGGTGGTACGTCGGGTATAGCTGTCTTGAACGTTGCTGACGGATTCAGGTTGCCGGTCAGAATGGTGACGCCGCAAACATTCGCGGTTTCACTGCTTCGTTGGGTCAAGAAGGTGAGCAGAATGGCTTCTATCGGGATTTGCTCGGGAAGTTGCCATCTGCTTTGCCATTCTTGACGGCCTCGCTGCGAGACTTTGCATTCTCTGCACTGAACCAGAACTTTGTTGTGCCTGGCGTAAGTTCCTTCCTTGAAACGAGTACCAAGCTAACTCGTTAGTCCTGTCCTAACAGCAATACCATCGACCTCAAAATCTTCGGCAAATTGGATGTCCTCACGCCAAATCCAATTCAACCCAAGGACCAGGATCTCAAGTTCTCTTTCAAGCCCAATGGTGGTAACGCTGATGGTCTGTCTCTGGTGTACATCAATCAGCAGAATGTGCCGGTCGTCCAGCCAATTACAGGCGGCAAGCCTGGTAGTGATGGGGTGGTCAAATTCTCTTCGCCACTTCCATACACCAAGCTTCTCATGAATGGTCTGACGATTGCGGCGGTTGTAGAAGGCCCGGGACCTTTCCCAAATATCACATCAGTCGCCGCAAAGACACTTTTTGGTCCAGGCTTGATTGAGATTAATTGATGTAGAGTAATGCATAATGACGGGAATCTGATCTCCGGCTATTCAAAGACTTCCGCATTCATTCCGTTGGAAGTGATGGTGCTGAGGCAATTCACTTATGATGTACAGCTAGCATCTTGCAGCAAGCAGTGTCAGTGTGAGGCCAGCTAGCCGAGGAGGGCACGGGAGCTTACCGGGTCGGCTATAAATATCTCTGCCCATTCTTGCTCCAAAGGAGTACTGTCGGAAAGGTCACAAGCTGCAACTGAACGCCTGGTAGGCAGATCAAATCTCGGCGCTGATTATATTGATGGCGATGGCGATGGCGAGTTGGATCGATATTCAAGCTTGCGCAAACGCCCCCTTCCTCGCCTCCCTCGTTGTCCATACTCTGCCCAACTGCTTGGGATTCTCAAATCATCACCACCGATTGAACCCGGAATTGGCCCACCAGACGAAAGTCCCAGTAACATTTCGTAAAGAGTGCTGGACCGGCCATAAGCATTGTTCGGCGTATGTGTCACATCTAACGACGACTCAATCCACGACCGTTCTCCGCGGAGAATCTTCTCTCTTTCCTCTGAATTGAGTTCCAAGACGAGATCGTTATAGCTGTCCGTCAAGTTCTGGAAGAAATCGTTGCCGAGGGACTCCCATGATCCACGACTGTGGGCTTGCCGAAATCTTTCCACCACGTCCTCCCTGAGATCAAGAAAGCGTCTCGTGCCGCTCGGTTTCCAACGCGTAATCTTAACGGGAAATAAATCTCCCCTGAAGACATCTTGGATGCGAATGCTAAAAACCAAGATCGTCCACTCTTCGATTTTCTCCTTCATGAAGTTGCAATCGTTGTCCGGAATGGGATATGCCCCTCTGATGGTTCGACTATGGCCCAGAAGCCAGCCTTCTACATGGCCACTATGCATGCCAGTTTCTCCACAGTCGAAGAAATGTGCTGGAAACCTTAGAAAATCCAATTCGTACTCTGGGCCAATGTTTCCAGCGTAGGCAACAAGCACATGATCGACGAGTGGACGTGTGCAAACAATGCCAAGACTGTCACTTCTGTCTTGTGGGGGACCAGTACCGTGATATGCGAAGGTGTATTCCTTCAGCGGGTCTAGGTCTGTGATTACTGTCGAGACCAGGTCCCCGCGGAATCGATTCCAGGCAGAGTTGAGATATGTGCACAGAGCATAGGCAGCGGCCGTGTCCCTAAGCTTGACTTCCGAGGCCCCAACGTAAGCACGCACAAAACCGTCGAGCGTATGCATTGACGTATAGGCGAGAGCGATATCCTCAAATGGTGGGAGGTCCGGAGCGCCCATATACTGAGCCAGACGACTGACCTCCTCGTCGTTGGTTTTCGATAGACAGCGTCGAGTCAACTGTCTAAAGAAAGCGTCGACCACGGGAATTGTGGTCATATTGCGGCCCTCATCTGTCATTGCCTCGAGATAATGCATGACTTGGCGATCAAATACACCCTTATCGAGCTTGGTTTCGTCGATGAAGAGGGTTGCTGCTGCGCCCTGGACTAATCTTCCGGCGGCCTGGTCGTCCGACAACTCGAACTTGGCAAAGTATTGTGTACCTGCCTCGTCCTCGTGTAGGAAGTCCTGCACGCTACGGTGGACGAAAGCGACTCTGGAGTTGAGGGCAAACTGCATGCGCGGGTACTGAGGTGGAATGTCTTCGCCCCATACTACACCGGCCCCGGTCTGTTTTGTTGGCATGCATTGGACAAGACCGGCACAAGCGGCTTCGACCCTTGGGCCGAGCCCCTCGAGCTGCTCCTCGAGATATGACAAATAACCATCGTCGAATCTCCCAGTAAGGGATGGCCAGTGTGGGCTGCGTTCGGAGGGTAGAGTGGCAACAAGAAGCTCGAAAATAGAGGTGTCGCGATCAATACTGGACGCAAAATCTACAAGCCGAAGGTACGGCTTCGGGTACTTCAAGTAGAACTTTGCTTGCCGTTGCAACATGTGCTTGAAGAGATCGGTCATTTCGTCCGGACACTCCTTGAATCGAAGGTCCAGGCTTGTTTCGTCTTCACCTTCCCGAGCTGCCTCCGCAAGGTCCGAAGAGATGAGGTGCGCCCAAAGGAAAACTCCTTCGGCACGGCGTGTAATTTGCGATATATATTTCTCGGCTTTGGTTCCAACGAGCCGCCGCGAGCAGTCCTGGAAGATGTCGTTATCGTTGAGATCATGGAGTAGCAAATGAGGAAACTGTCTTAGGGTTGCGAGGAAAGGACTCTCCGGTCGGCTAGAGCTGCAAATCTTCAAGTTCGAGTTTGTCTGACAGAGATCCAGGATGACGTTAAGTAGTCGTTGACGATTGCCTTCCATCTCGTCCAGACCATCGACAAGAAGACAGTAGGCAAAAGAAGAATGCTCTATGAGATAATTGAACCAGGCCTGCAGCTCCTTGTCTGTCCATGACTCCATACTGGATCCGTTGGGCAACAAAGCAGACCGTAAATTCAACGGAACATTCCCATCGCTGTTCTCACGAGCGATATCAGCCAGGGTCTGGTCTATGTCGAGAATCTGAAAGCAAAGCGCCCTCCAGAATCCTTCGATTGTCCGAAGCAAAGAGGTAGTAGAGGGCCGGAAAAAGAAGAACGAGAGAACTCCGAGAGGCCTCGGACCGGCCCACTGCTGCAAATGCGAATGGCCGATCTGCTCAGGTTGCATTCTGTAATATATGAAATCCATGAGCGTGGATTTGCCTGAACCCGGTTTGCCCGAGATCCAGAACAGGTCGTCATCTCCCTCAAGCCATTCGACGAATGAGTGTGGCAGTGTCGGAGGCAGGGGAGGGGTAACAGATCGGAATGAACCAGGCGTGCCAGGCAGGGAGGCGGGCGACGGAGATCTTGTCCTCACCCCTTCTTCTGATTGCCTTGTCTCGTCGTTCGAAGGAGGCCTCTCCAACGCGATTTGAGGAGCCTCGTCCTGGGTGCTCGTCGGAAGTGCGGGGCTCGTTGCCGAGCGATCAGAGTCCTGTGCTTCGTCGGTCCCGCTCTCATTCGCAGTGTTCAGCGACAGAATGCTTTCCGGAGTATCTGGCCTGACAGGAGGACCGAAAATCCAAACAAGGGTATGGCCGAAATCATCGATTCGTCCTTCAATCATGTTTCGCCGCTGGTTGATTTCAGGAAAGGCGAGGGCCTTCAGCAGACGTCTTTTGCATTCGCTGAGTTCGTTCTCACGGCGCAAGGCTATCTGGAGTGCTTGTCGTTCGGCGGCTCGACTTAGCTGAACATCTTGAGCGGTCAATCTTGATGTTATTTTGGCCTCTGAAGCAACGATTGCGTTACTGAGCTCTTTCGACAGAAGCCTCTGGCCTTCTAAGACGCGGGTGATGACATCTTGCTGGGCCTGTGACAGGCTCTGAAACTCTTGCCTTCTAGATTGCTCATTCTCACCGATCTTGATGCTGAGCATAGTCAGTTCATCGATCTAGCCCTGAGGCGGCGATTATCGGGGCACGCAACGAGGTGGTCAGGACTTACTACAAGTCTTTCAAAATGGTGGACCGCAATGCCTTCTCCTGCAGCTCAAGTCTTTGTTGGAGCTTTTTGATTGTGCCGCTACTTATCAGAGTCTTCAGCGTAGTCTTGAAGGCGCCTCCGATCTTTTTGATGCCCTGTGACTTTGACAACTTCAGCCTGTTGAGTACGATCTTGAGCTCATTGGCGGTCGACGACGCATCTTGGGCGATGCGTTGCACCCTTGTGGTACCCCCCGATGACTTCGCGCTTTGCAAAGCCGTCTGCACCTCTTTGTTTGCGGCAGCAACCTCTAGGGTATACTTCTCGACCCGATTGTTGTCATCAAGGCTCCCATTATCGCAGAGCTCTTTGCAGGTTCTGGCACCTTCGATTGACCATTCCACAAGTTGAATCACGTTGCAGGCAAGCGAAAGGGCCGAGAGAGGGTCCATCGATCTCGCTGTCGTTCATGGCAGAGACAGGCGCCAACGGTCGCAGGCAGGAAAAGGTTTTCGAACATGGTTGAGGTGGGCTGTTGCCCGCAGGCACTACTGCGCCTCATCGCGTGTGGTGCCTGAAGATGGGCTGGATGCTACGTGCAGTTGTGCGGGGTTCTTGCTCGGGCGGAGCAGAAAACCAAGCGGTGCCACTCTGGGCCTTTGGCGGCTGTCGCCGCACCCGGGCAGATCCGCCGCGGCAGCAATCTACAGTAGAAACGCCAAGACCAGGCTGCCTCGTCTCAGGAGAACAAGGCGTCTTCAGTCCAAGTTACCTCCTGCCTGTAGGTGGCTCGAATACGCAACCTCTAGGAGCGCGTTGCTTCATTTAAGGGGTTAGTCCGGTCATTGAGCTGTATACATACAAGGCATGAATGAATATCAAGAGCCAGTAGAATTACTACAGGTGATCAAGCTCTGGAGGCCGCTGTAGTCAGGTTTTGTTGACTCCTGTCTAATGTATACCTGATGTTCATAATGCGATGACTCAAGTCAAGGATACTGTAGCCAGATATCTCGGATCTAACAAGTCCTGATATCTTAGTTAGACCTTAGCACAGTGTTAGTTTAGCCTCGATCTAACTGTAATTTTGCTTTGATTTGCGCTCAACTCTACCCTAATTCTATACTGATCTAGACTTGACTCTCTTACGTAGAGGCTGATATGGATCAAATACTAGCATAGACGAATATATCTCAGCGTGGGCAAGTATGAGAACGTGGTCCCTTGAGACCACGACCCAAGGTTCGGTGAACCGAAAGACGGTGTTTCATTTTGGATTTCGATCAATGACCTACGCTTCCTGGGCTCACCACGCCGACAATTGATTGTACAATCGTCGACAGAACAGCAATCGTTGCGTAAAACAAGCTTCTCTCCTCTTTTGTAACCCGTAATTTGACGTGCGCAATGTTAGTGGCAGGCATGGGATGTAGGTACGTCGACGCGTTGGCAGTTGCAGCAAGCTCAGAAACGACTCACTGATCGCCGCATCGACGCCAGTATGGCGAAGCTGAAGCACTACAAGATGAGGCTCTGGAGGCCCATTGCCTTACTTCACAAGTTCAAGTGACTCCGCTCCGTTCTATATCCGAGCCTGGACTCTGCGTACCTTGGCACCATGCAGCGACTGGCTTTAGTACTTTCCCTTCCTGCAACCACTGGTCCTAACTAGCGGAGATCTTAACCCACAAGAACGAGTCGCGTGTGCATCCATGAATATGACGCTAAACATGAGCAGATGATTGAGCACCAACGAGACAAGGATCGTTGGAAGACGACCTTGGGTATGCTGGAGCATCGGCCAGCTTATGGCGTTAGGTATCATGTCCAACTTCAAAAATTCAACGTGACGCACGTGTGTCATCGAGAAGACCGACCGGAATATCAGCGCGAGCCTCGGATCAATGCAGATCGAGCACGTGAGGGACATGGGAGATCAAGTGGATGATGGCGCGCGGAGGATAGTTGCTGATGAGGAGTGCCGTGAGAGGGTGTTTGTGGCACACCAATCCCGAGTCTCTTGTCAGTCCCTGCAGCGACAACCTCATCTGTCCGTGGTGAACCACCAGAGATTGGTAACTCATTGGGCAAATTACCTAGGACTGTCCGACTGAGCTGGAGTTGTCGCTAACTTACAGTAAGGTATCATCATTGTTGCTCTATGTCTCAAACAGGAGCTTTAGCAGCCCAAATCTGCCAATTTGAGTTAAAAATTCGTGGGCGGCATCCACCAGGGCGGTGATAGGTTCATCAATGATCCGCCTTCAACCGCAGAGGGCAGTACTACTACCTCGTGCTCGTGGGAGAAGGGTACTGGCAGGCAGACCCAGATGTGCTAGCGACGGAAGGGACGCAGAGGTGCGGATCATGGTCTGCTCCGAGAACTTATGCCACATGGCGGCATAGTCCAACTTTTTCGAGGCGGAGCGAGGATTGGGTTTCTTACTCGCGAGTTCGACTTCGAAGCAAGAAGTATCGAGCCAAGAAGTCCTAGGCTTCGAGCATCTAGCCTGGTACTATGTCTGAACAGAGGAGTACCAACTCAACACCCGGCGAATGGGTTCAGCAGCAATACAGTAGTGGATCAAGTTGAAGTTTGGAGCAACCGACGCACCCCAGGGCGAGCAGGGCAAGAGGCGAGATAGACCAGATGAGCATCTTGCATTGATCAGCCTGTGAGAAGCACACTCGTACGCTGCGGTACGGCATCGAATAAGCTCTTAGATTCTAGGATGCTCACTCTGAACGAGAATCGTTACCTTGCGTTGCAGTCCCGACTCCTCGGTCATCGGGTCCGTCCAAAAGAAGACAGCTAATAGGTATGCCACCGCTTACGAGGAACCATCAAGACGACTGTCATCGCATTAGCCTGGAAACCCATGCTTCGATCAGCACGAGAGATCGGAAGGTTGCAAGAATGATGTTCAGCAGTTCGTTCACAAGTCTCTAGTTGACATGGCTGTCTCGACTGCTAGAGTAAGGCACGCAGATCTCTTAAGAAGTAGGTAGGTAGTGCCACAGATGTGAAGCGCACGATGAGCAATCTTGGGAACTAGACTGTGACCGCATCCCTGTGAACTCTTAAGGGCATGCCTCGCGCGTCGCCCGTGTCGATCAGCCCTTACACGACCGAAAGATTTGATTGACGCCCTGGGTTTGGTTCGCCGATGTTCTCCGGATCAGCACGAGCCAGGGCGGTAGGTACAATGCTACTAGGTAGTCTCAAATCCCCAAACATGAGCGCATGAACCATTGAAGTCGAAATGTAGCGCTGCGACCTGAGGTGACTATGATCAACTCTGTATTTACGGCCAATTTTGACATCAAATCAGACGTTGACAGGTACCTACTAGTGACCTGTACAGAGGCATCCTGAAGCATGTCACTCTGTCCAGGTTCTGTGAGGTCGTGTAGTTGAATACGCTGATTAGCATGTGAGAGCAGTTGGGAGGTCTTTCACGCACACATGAGGACCCCAACCTGGGCGTTCTACGAGACCGTCAACATTATGCAAGAAACTACTAGTACTACTAGGTACAAACGAACGAGAAGATGACTGAGAGAACACTTAGGACAGGACAACGTAGGTACTGGCACGGCTGATATACCGTCGAAGCGATCTTCACGTGCGCACATGGTCTGGAAAGGTCTCCAGAAGTGCTGTCAGTCTAGGACATACTGTACTGAAGGTCTAATTAGTATCTGACTTATTTAGCGCGCGCCATCTCCTAAGCCCCATACCTTATAGGGCCTCTCTCCTAAGTCGGCTTGGTAACACGTCTACTACAAAGTTTTGATTGCTCTGGTGCTAGGACCTAGACAATACAAAAATAAGACAGCGTTCCAATGTTTTCGTCTTCAGACCTATTGGAACTCACCTTCGATCGCGAATAGTTGCGGTGTCTGGCGATTCACTAGGTGATACTCACGGTGCTATCGCTGTTGTTTGTCGTGCGGAGTGTGCATGCTGTGCAGCCACCAACCCGTCTGCAGTCGCATGTCGACACGGGAATAAAAGCGACAACTTGATCGATCTCGCACAGTAGATGGTGAATTTCACGATGCCTTGTAGGAGTGTACATAGCCAGTACCTGGTGGGCTCGTGACCTACGCTAATAGATACCTAGTCCTCTACTAGTAGATCAAAGATACTGGAATGCACTTGCGGTCATGTCAATTGCTCGAATTCCGTCTGTTTCCAAGTTGTGCAAAATTCTCTGGGTCCGACTTTCTAGCATTGGTCTTGGTCGAGCATCCGCATGCGTGGCAGAAGAGTGTGCCGTCCGTTGATGGTGAGGGGTGCATGCATATTGGTGATGACACGACTGACATGTTGCTCTGCAATACCTACTCTGCGAGGATTCGTACCGTGTAAGAACGGGCTGTTGAGTCATTCCTTGCATGTACCGCGCTAGATAGGTACTAGTTGACCGTTCTGCGCCTGCAGTGTATCCATAGAAGCCAGATCGAGCTCCTTGGCGTGAACTCCAGTCGCTCGCCGGCCCGTACAGACTACTTGGCGCGGGCTGCTTGAATCGACAATCGTTCTCCTATCGGATTTAGGTCAAATTGAAAGGTACCTTACCTACTGCAATTAATGTAGATGTCCACGACTATACATCTCAGTTGGGTATAGGGAAACTAGGACAGATCTCGAAGTAGTCCAGCTGTCCAGCCGGAGAGTGAGCCGTGTTGGGGTATCCATTATTGTCTCCCCGTAAGATCCCATCAGTAAGTAGTGCAGCAGGCGCCGCGTGAAGCCTGTAGGGATCACTCTGTTTAAGCAAGCCATCTTGGACCCAGCCCACAGACCCAGCCGCTGCCGCTGCCACTCTATCAGCAAGTCCGACTAGCATGCAAAACACTCACTCGGGACCCGTCGCACCTCACAGGCGGCAACAACGACAGTTATGACCGTTTACTTGCGTTCCACACTACTACCCAGCGTACATGCAGAAGAAACATGAATGGTGGGGCACTCGCACCGAAATAACTCCTATGGATGTATCGCTCTCATCTTGTGGAAGAGATCAAAGGCTACGATTGCAACGTCGAAGCAATAAGCTTGGTAGAACTTACTATCGTCGGTTTCGCATCCAGTGCACTGGGTCCAGACTGCTGATGAATACGACTAGCATGGAGGCGCGCATCATTAATTGATGGATGATGGAGTCGAAGTTTTGTTGCTCCACACGGCTGATCTTAACGCGGAGTAGATCCTCGTTTCTTTTGAGCGTCCGTGACATACCTATGGTCTGCTCAGTACCTAGTAGTGGACTCATCAGAGTGATCTTTTCTGATGTTGTCAGAAGATATTCACTATTTCGCGCATCTGTCCCTCTGAAGCCGTAGTATAGGCCAAAATTGTCAATTGGGCACGCTCAGAGGCACTCTCTCAACTTCCTCCCAACTCGTGGAGTGTCTATCGGCGTTCTCTTGGTGTCCCCCAAGGATTCAGGCTTCCATAGCAACCATCAGCCCGCTACCTGAAGGTACTTCCCATGAAAGATGCTAGGATGGTATTTATAATGAGCTGCGCCATACCGCATCCGAGAGTAGGTATCAGTGCAGAATCCGGGGACGGATCACAAATCCATCCGGCAAGCTTCTCTACTCTTCAAGGATGAGACCTGCGGGCAACCCATCACGTTGAAGGACATGATCCAAGCTAGTGCAAACTTGAAGCTTGTGCGAGTTCCTGCCGCCGAACGCATCAAGCCGGTAGCCATTCCACGCACGATCTGGACCCGAACATGAATCTCTGCAACGCACACGAGGAAGCGTACCTTACGAGTCTGATGTAGTCAGTCCCTATTGACTCTGACTGACAGGCTCGAGGGACTGAAATACCTACTACCTTACCCACAAACTTCGAAGTTTCAAGCTTTGTGAGCAACAGGGTGTCACTGGTACTATAGCGAGCTCTAGTCTGACCGCGCACATCGAACATTGTGGCATCTCCAATACGCGCGTCTACATGATGTCAATGCGTCACATTCGAAGCGATCTATGGAACTAGGTATTTACGTACTATTGAGGACATTCGGATACCCAGTAGCGACGCCTCCGAAGCTCGTGGAACCTTGTTGAGTGAGCTGGTGTAATTCGGCCGGCTGGACCACAAGGGAGTCTGATGTTGCGAGGTTGTATTTGAGGCGCTGCTGGCAAGTGGGCTGAGACTGACTGCATAGGAAGTGCACGGCATGTCGAATTGATGAATGCGCTGGGTGATTTGCACCAGTCAAGTAGGAGGCAAGGCTTGATGAGACGGGTGCTAAGACAGTTATCGGCGTTCGTAGCCGCGCTCGTGGAACGTTTGGAGCTGTTAAAATCTGTTCGCTCTTGATCGGTGTGCGAATGGTAGTTGCTGGTCTTTTGTGCTGTGTGATCCAGAGTTGACTTATGTAGACCTTGCGTGAAGCCTCAAGCCACGCATGCGAGATCAATTGGCAATGAGTGGCGTCGCAAGTCGCTACCGTATGCCGTCGAATTCGTTATTGAGCTGCACCTCGTCCTGTTGTGTCGAAGACGTTGCGGGTTTCCGTTGTTCTCGGCAGCGCTGAATGTTTTGATGCACCTTTTGTGATTTTCGAGCAGGCTGCTAACCCACCGACGACTCGATCTTGCGCGAAATATGGTTTTGAGGGAAGGATCCCTTGAGTTGGTAACATTGTCGGTGCGCGAGTGGCAGAGGTAGCCGCTTATATCAGTCCTGCCTGCCATTCACCCGGCAGTGCGGATAGTGTGTGCTGCAAGTGTGTGGCGATGTGGCCTTAAAGCGAGGACGGGACCGATCAGACGAACCGAGTCTCAACCAAAGCCAAGAGTTTGCGTTGTTGGCTTGTATCAAGACCGACTTTGGCGACGGTGAAGCAGTGATCTTTTACATTCAGACGTGCTGCACTGCGAGTCAAATCCTCCAGGGCTCCGAGAGCACATACGACAAGCTCTCTTTTGAGGCCCAACGTCGTTGACGCGGGGTTGACATCATGGCCTTCAACCGAATGTCAACGGTCTTGTCCTCCCGAATCTACTTCATCCTACACGCAGGTTCGTCTCTTGCCTAGCCGCTTGATTCGATGTAATAATTCCTGGGCTCGCCATCGTGCAGGAGAAGCTGGCTCAACGATTCCCTGGACCATGCCAGGTACTGAATCCGAATTCTGATGGACGACAGTAGCGCGGCCGCTGGAGTTACCGAGGGATCCTGGGCGTACTCACCCTTGAAGGCTAATGGGAAGTGTTTTGTTGGTGGTGTATCGGAAGGACATAAGGCCGTCGATGCCCGAATGATCAGTGTTGAGCTGTTTATCGGGGGACTCCGTAACTGTCGCCGCTGGTCGAGATTGCGAATGTCGATGCTGTGAGTCAGAGGTGCCATCACTTCTTTGACACTGGCGCTCACTGCTTCCATCATGAAGATCTGAAGCTCAATCGTAGGTTTTTCACACATGTCTGCCAATAATCGCTCATCCGTGCTCCTGCTTTGCCGCTGCCGCACTTGCTGACCAACCGGCCATGCGCTGCGAATCAATTCCTTAACTCTCTTCCTCGCTCGAATTTCTGCTTTCCTTGGTGTTTCCTGTGCATACCAAGCGAAGATTCTGCCTTGCCTCCTTGTCCGCTAGTGCCAACCATGCTCCTCCCCCCACAAGAATCGTAGCTATCTAACACTGTGGGACTGATAAGTAGTATCAAGGTATTTCTGGTGGTGTGGCTGCTGGATAAAGTGTCGATGTAGAGTGAATTTTATCGGAAGTGGCAATCGTTCTAGGTATGCAAACCTTTCATTGTTGTTCTTTCTGTGTCGTTCGTTGTTGTCCGGGTCCTTTGACTAGTTGATTGGTTTTGAGCGGCATCGGGTGTCTTGAGGTAAGGGGGAATCGTTCAGATTGCAGCTAATCGCAGACATATGAGGGATCATCGAGTGCTGTGGCTGTCGTGGTAAGGGAGTCGCTAGTTTCTTGTTGTCTATACGGCCGCTGTGACTTGGAGGGAGCGGCGTGGTTGTCTGTTGAAATCGTGGCATGTGGTTCGTTTTGGATTGTGTCAGGTTGCTGATCCTATCTCATTCAGTAGAGGCAGGTTGGCGCCGATAGCGCGGGAGGAGAAGTGAAGATCTTTGGGTGAGGAGGGAGGGATGCTTCAGAGTAGATCGCTCTGTCGAGGAGGGTTGGAATGATAAGGTATGTTGTGGGAATATTGCGTATGTTGAGGCCAATATTGGTCAATATGACAAGAGACGGCATACGTAGCAAGCCGACCAGATGTGACATCGTTTGCCAGATTTACTGAGACTCTGGAAACGCGAAGAATCGGCCGCCGGTTGTTGTGACTGGTGGACCCGGCGCTGCCTTGTCATGCGGTGCCAGGCGCAAGTGAATCGTGGATATTGCGCAATGCTTAATGCGTTCAACAGCAGGTACCTTGTTGCCAAGAACACCGAGTGAAAGTGCAGCGTGAAGAGGTGTTGGTCGAAGTGACTGGGTCATTGAGCCTGCCAGGCAACCAGGCAACCAGCTCCGATGCTTCTTTCCCAGACGACGCAGGGGCAGAGCCGCACGCTCGTGGCAGGAGAGACGTCCGGAGAAAGCAGTGTGGTGCCCGTGCTGACCGGAATGCGCGACTATGGCGTAAGCAGGCACGAGGAATCCTCAAATACCTTGGAAGCCAGCTCTATTGGGGGATATCCAGCATCATCTGCCAGACCCCTTCGACACTGCCTTTCGCCGATCGAGGAGCATGTCATGATCAGACACCAGCAAGTAGTGCGTGAGAGCAACTCTGCAGACGGCTTCGGTGGTGGCCCTGTGCTTGAAATTCTGGCGTGTACTCACCTGAGATGTCCACAACGACTTGCCGACCCTGGCACTGGCAGCAGATTTGAGATCAGTCCGTCATCGTCTCCGGCACATCGCCTTCCACCTAGTCCATCAGGACTTGCCGTGCCTGGCTGTGGACTCGAGCCCCTCCACCACACACCCGTAGCCTTCGAGGCTTGCTTGGAAGGCATTGGGCGCAGACACTGTTTCGACCAGACCTCCATATCCCGAAAAGACTCGCCTTGCCGGACGTAATCAGACTGCCCACCCCTTCTCCAGTCATTCCTTGCTCAACTTCAATTGCCCAAGAGCATCGTTTACTGTTCCAATCACATCCCGGTAGCGAGCAAGCTTTTCCTCATCCTGCTTCAGACCTTCCTCTTCTTCCTTCAGTTTCAACAGCAGCTTGCCCGTTCTGCCTCTGAGCTCTTGGAGCTTTTTCTCCCAGGTTCCCGTCTCGATCTCGTTCAACTCCTCATCAGCGGCCAACAGCTTCGCCGTATCTTTTCGCAAATGCCTGTCGAAGAGATCACTCTTCTCCAAGAATTGCTTCCTCCCAGCCACCCACAGCTCTGACAAACTGTGGTCCAGCAGGCCTCCCTTGCCTTGCATCTTGATTCCACCAGCTAGTGAAGGGTTCAGGCCCCATCCACCGTCGAACCCATATGACACAGCCAGCAAAGTGCCAAGAACCTCGCAGGAATTGGCATGCGCAGGCTTCAACACGGTCATCATGGCCGAGACCTTTATGCTCCACTTGTCTTTGTCCAACACTCGCAAACACGCAGTGTATAGCTCAAACAGATAGTTTGTGCCTTTATGCTACTCATGATCTCTTGTTCTCTTCATGCCTTGCATTGCGAACCCAACCTCGGAGAATGTCCACTCCACAGGTGACTTCTGGTCAGCAGCCTTCATGGTCTTCTTCACGTCTTCCAACTCTCCACTTACCTTATCGATTCAGTCACCCGGGATCTTGAGTGACCTCGCAGTAGGACAGTACCTCCTGGTGCCTTTCTTTGGTTCGTTTCCTTTGGCCGGAAACGCCCTATGCACCTCCTCAATTAGCTTCTCATTGGCGTCCTCACCTTCCCAATAGGCCCGCATATGCTTTATCACCTTTTTCAGGTTCTCGACACCGGGGCCGTACCCAGGCTTCTCCGTCATTGGACCCAATCCCAACCCCGGTATCTGACTGCTTTCAGACGTTTCCTCCTCCACAGCGATGTTCAGATATATTTGGGCTTCGTTTCGAGGGTAATGATTGCCTTGTTCATGCATCTTCCTCCATCTGCTTCCCAACCGTCCCTGCCAGCACCGCCCGAAGATATCTTGGATGCATAGTAGACATATACTGTAGAATCCAGTCCTCCTTCTCTTCTGTCCAGCCCAGGAATTCTCTCCACGACTTCTGGTCGTTCTCTGCCAGCTCTGTCCGCGCGCGTTCGATCAGCGTATCCCTCACCGCATACGTACCTAGAAAATCCCATCTCCGGAGCAGTCCCCGTTGCACTGGGTGCTGAACCCACTCTACTGTCGCTTTCGGCGCGGGGGGCGGCATGCCGAAGAGGGGGGAGGGGGGAGGGGGGAGGGGAGGAGCTGTGTTCGGGCGTGATGAGAGGAGGCATCGTCGAGCAAAGTGGAGGAATAAAGGATGAGGATGAGGACGAAGTTGAGGTGAAGACAACAACTATGGTGAATAAGATAAGCACCGATCGACAGGTGAAGACAGAAGTATCAGTCCATAGCAGAAAGTGATCGTGGGCGTGCAGTCGTGGTGAAGAAGAAATGTGACAAAGGATGAGGGACGTGAAGAACAGAATAATCGTGACTCATGGACATTCACTAAATGCAGCTGAATGGTAGTTTTGCGCGTTGCAGGCTGACAACGCGTTGTTCTCCTGAGGCGATGCAGCCTGGCACACCCGCCGATGACCCCGTGGCCTCGCACCACAACTTCCAATAGGTATCACTAATCTCCAAACGCGTGCTTCACCACTTCTGCAAACTCGCGCAAGTCCTTGCATCTCCAAGCATAGCCAACGAGGCCCTTCTCGATTGCCATTCTGCTCTCCGCCTCCTTGCCCCATACCGGGCCATCTCCAATCAGGAAGACACTGCTCAAGCCATTTCGTTTTGCCGGAGCATGATCATGACCGAGACTCTGTGCAACATGCAAGATTTGTGACTTATCAAACCCTTGGGACTCGCAGTGATTGATCAATGTCTCGAGCTTGGCATCATCAGCCCTCTTCATATCGCGCCCGAAGTCTTCTGCGGTGAAGACTTTCCACCACAGTATCTCGCCAAGACTGGCCGAATCAGCAGTGATGTTCCAAGCGTATTTGTCGATGTTAGACAAAGCGACAAGCCTATAGCGGGTGCTGAGATACGAAAGAGCGTCAAACGTCCCGTCAAAGGTCGGCCACGAGGCAATGGTCTCGCGACTACCGAAAGACTTGGCGTCATCCGAGGTCAGTTTCAGATCGATCGCGATGCGCTGCCAGATTTCCTGCATGATTTCATCGAAACGCAGAGGCTTCTCAGCCAATTCGAGCTTGATGGCGTCCTCATGTTGCTGAAAGAGCTTTAGAAACTCAATAGAACCCTTTGTGGCAGATTTTGGGTCATCGGATAGCGGGGTGGAATCACGGTACTTGGACGACGTGTCGAGTTGAGAAAGAAGCGGTCGGAAAGAAGCTAAGATGTGAGCCTTGTACTCAATAATCGACCCGTAGATATCGAATGACAGAACCTTATACTCCGACAAAGCCAGGGGCTGCCGTGTTGGCTCGGGCATGCGAAGAGAAGCCATGATGGAGATTAGAGAGGAGTCTCCGAGAGAGGTGCAGATTAAACTTGTGGGGCGGCAGAACAATTCCTCCGGTAGGCCAATGACGGAGCTCGAGCATCTAAACTCCCTGGATTACCTTTTTGAGCATACCTCCCAAGTATAAGAAGAACAGCCGCTTCTGTGTTCCGCATTCCACACATCGTCAACAAGATGTCGAACTACAAGAGCACCATCCTCATCACAGGCGGAACAGCAGGTCTAGGCTACCATACAGCTAAATCTATCGCCAAACAATGTCCTGATCGACTTGTCGTAGTCGCATCCCGCAACAACACCGACAATGCATCTGCTTCACTCAATGCTGCACTCGGTCAGAAGAATGTCGAGTATATGCCACTAGATCTTTCCGACCCGGAGCGGATCAGATCCTTCGCGGAAGACTATCGTCAGAGAGCGTATCCCCCAATCTCAGCTCTCATGCTCAACGCCGGACTTCAGTTTCCAGGGAAGGTGGACTTCTATCCAACCGGAATCGAGAGAACCTTTGCGGTCAATCATGTTGGAGGGTCGCTTCTGTTCTTCCTCTTGATGCCTCATCTTGCCGACAATGCCCGCATCATCCTGACTTCATCTGGTACACACGATCCAGAGGCAGGAACCGGTATGCCAGGACCAGAGTACACCACACCCGAAAACGCTGCTCGTCCTAACCCAGCCAAGGTCACCAAAGACGGAAGGGTGCGCTACACAACGTCAAAACTGTGCAACATTATGTGGACGTACGCACTTGGTCGCCGTATAACCGAGCATGGGAAACATTGGACAGTCAATGCGGTGGATCCGGGATTCGTACCCGAGACCGGACTGGCGAGAGACTATCCGCCCTTGCTCCGTTTCGTTGCCCAGAAGGTGCTCCCCAACATTCTGCCGTTGCTGCGCCTCCTGATGAGAACAAACAACATCTACACCGCCAAACAAGCGTCAGCATTCTTGGCTGAACTGGCTGTGGGAGATGAAGTGGCTGGTGTGAATGGGAAGTATTTCAGTGAGAAGAAGACCATATCGAGTAGCAAGGAGAGCTATGACAAGGGTAAGCAGGAGGATTTGTGGAGCTGGACCATCAAGGAACTGGCAAAAGATGAACAGGAAAGGCAAAGATTCGAACGCTTGGAAGCTTGAGCTATCCAATTTGTCGCCAAATTGTCGCTTCATCTCCTTTGTACTCTGGACCAGGCAGGATCTCGCGAAGCATGGTGTTAATCTCTCTGCCAGCATTTCGAGCATCTTGCCATTGATTTGGATAGCCTAATGAAACCTCCTCAAATCGAACTCCATCAATATGGTCGGTTCTTCGAACGTGTAGATGACCGGTGACAACAACCTTGGCGTTGAATCGTTTGTGCCAATCATGTGTGGCCTTAGTTCCGCACCAGAGAGTGAATCGAGGTACAGCCGGGATCGTAATGAGGTCTTGTCGAAGTGGCCAGTGGTTGATGATGACCAATGGGATACCCTGGGCTGCGGCAGCTTCCAGACGCGGTATGGTGCTCGCAATAAGCTCCTCACACCATTTATCTCGCGTTTCGTAGGGGTCGGGGTGCAGGAGCGCCTCATCTGTTGCCATGACGTTCTGTTCTTCCGCCCAACTCAATGCGTTTTCGCGGGTGACATGATCCGGACGAAAGCTGTAGTCGTATAGCGTGAATATGGGACAGATGAGACACGGACCACCTTCGCCATCGTAGCGAATGAACTCGTCCTGCAACGGTCAGAGGCGTCGGATGAGTGTAGCGGACTTACCTGAGGAGTGATAACGCCATATTCGTTGGCGATCGAGACACATTCCTGATATTTCATTTCTCCTCGAAGACCCGATTCATCATTAGGCAAGGTGTATAGTTCGTGATTGCCAGGGACCCAAATGACCGTCTTAAACAGTTGGGTGGTCAGCTCAAAGGCCGTCCGCAAGTGTTCCGCTTTCTCGCCGACATCTCCACCTAAAGGAGTTAGTGTCGGTGCCCAGGGCTGGGTGAAAAGGCTCACAGATGATGAGACCATCCTCTTCGTGAGGTTCAAGCGCATAGAACGCCTCCTTGTTATATTTATGGCTGAGGTGAAGGTCGCCAATGGCTAACAGTCGGCGCATACCGCGCTCGGAATGGTGGACAAGAGGTCGAGGAGAAATGAATGCCAGGTTCCCGTTAGGCAGGCATAGTCTCAGATCATGTAGGAACAGCTGTTACGAGCGGATTGCGTTGCGGCATCGAGACCGCAATTGAAGCGAAATGATAGCGCAATGATATGTTCGTACAGGACACGCCGAAGTGATGAAAACGTTTGACTCGCCAAGGAAAACTAGGACCGAGCTGGTTAGACTGAATTGTCTACCACCAGGTTTCACAGGATACTGTCCGGATAAGAGAGACGCTGCACTGTCAGTGGGAACCCGACGTTTGCTCGAGACTTGAGGACTTCGTTGACGCCTTCTTCTTCAAAGACCAGTGTACGCCAAGACCATATCTGGTGAGGTTGGAGAAATGCCAAGGCTCCCACACCTCCGCACCCCATTCCCTTGCCGCGACTTCTGAGCTTCGAGCCAACGACCTCTTGCCAATGCCATCGCGTCGAAGTATGCGAGCATGCAGGGCGAGGCGGATAACGCTGACCTCGATCGACCAACAAAGAAACAGCGGCTCTTTATTGCGAGGCAGGCAGGTGGCTCGCCAGCAATGAATGGCACATCTAACTCCTAACAGGCCTGTGAGCACTGTCGCCTGAAAAAGACCCGTTGCGATGAAACCCGTCCATGTGGACCGTGCCGAAATGCAGGGATCGAGTGCAGCTATGGAGAGCGAAAAGCCACCAAGTGCGTCGTGCTGCGTGAGTCGGCGTCGCTAATCGAAGCAGGAATGAAGTTTCCCTGGGCATGATCCTGAATAAGCTGGAACGGCTGGACGCCAAGATTGATCAGATCACTGTCCCATCGGCAAGCCAGCCACCTGCTCCCATACCAGGTCGGGAACCGGATTCGTCCCAGCAATTAGCAGACCCCAAAGTGAAGCCCATCTCTTTCAGTGCGCACCTGATGATCGAATGGCCTGCAGTCCGGGAGCTGTTGCCTCAATCAGTGGTTGTCCCAAATGGAAATTATGCACTGCAACTGGAGGAAGAGCGTCCGAACCTTCCGATTTCACAGCAACGTTCATATCCTGAGGGGTTTCTGGCCGATCTTAGCGTCTCCACTGTCAGAGAGCTTTCGGATGCCTACTTTGCCACCTTCAACTTGATGACCCCCGTCCTCGACCGAAAGCTCTATTTCCACCGAACACTCGGGGCCGCCATCAATGGAGGTTTTGGCTACGACGCGGATAGCTGCGTGGTGTTGATGACAATGGCTCTTGGTTGCTGGGGTTCTCAGACTCTCTCGGAGAGTCACCGCACAAGCCCCCTGTATCATCCATCTCCCCTGTCCGACCGCAGCCACCATACACCTTCCGAGCAAAGCACGCGAGACTTGCCTGGCCTGGCCTTCTACAATGAGGCAAGGAAGAGGATCGGATTTCTGGAGTGCGAGCACAGCATGCAAATCTGCCAGTTCTACCTGCTTGCCGCAACGTATCTTGGACAGCTTCTTCGACCTGTTGATTGCTGGTCAATGACGATGCGTGCTGGAACTTGCTGCCTCAAATTCTGGGAAACATCAAACGAAGGAGATGAATGGACAAAAGATATGTTTTCTCGGTTGTTCTGGATCACCGTGATGTTTGAGACGGTCTTCACTCAGGAGCTTACGGATCTGCCTGCTTCCAAGATCCGTGATATGGAGGACCGAGTTCCACTGCCGAAGTTTGTGCAGTTCAAGCATTCCTTCACCACGACAGATGCAGACGATGACGAGTCCTTCTATCACTACCATTTCCTTTCGCAAATCGCCCACCGCATCTTCTTGACCCGAGTGTACAGCAGCAGCTACTACTGCAGTAAGTGCGGCGCTCTTGATTTGATGCCTCTAACTTGAAGCAGCACCAACGGGCGACTATCCCAACATGAGTCTCACGAGAGAACTGTACCACCAGTTAGACCAGTGGCGCTCTCAACTCCCACCAGCACTCCGATTTGACGATGACAGCCCAGACCCAGATCCAGAAGTGCTCACGAATGTTCTGGTGGTATCGTGGCTACGAGCTCGTTATTCTGTGGCACGATACCACCTTGGCCGCCCTTTTCTGTATGTAACTCCATGTCGCTTGATCGGGAAGCTGATGAGGTGAAGTTACAAGGCCCTCCATCATCCATACGCCTTGACTGAGCACGATCGTCATCGGTGTAAGCAAACTCTGGAGAGTATTCTCCGATGGGCCGCGATTATGAGGAATATCAGCAACGTGAAGAGCTGCATCCCGCTTGCGTTCTTGATGTGTGGCCAGTAAGTCATCAAGGATCCATCAACCCAGCTGTTGACCGCTGCAGGACATTCGGGCAGCTGTTGCTCGTCCACTCATTCTTTCATAATCGGGATCAACGACTTCGAGACCTGTTGCCAGAAGGATGGGAACGGTGGACCATTTTTGCCGTACGATTGCTGCAAGACTTTTCCAGCATGAGTCCATCTGTGGCGAGAGACGCAGAGATTGCAGCAGCGTTGTTCCCTGGCCCTACGTGAATCGGTTCACGCAAAGTTCACGACAAACCTCGCATGACGGATTCAAAAGCCAGCAGCGCACATGCATTGGCGGGGAAAGCCCTCAAGAAGCACGGCACGAAGCCGCGCCAGTACCCTCTCCAGCCGGATTCTGAATAAACAGCACGAGCTGCATCGATCCAACGTGGAAACCTGCGAACCCCGTCGTTGAGGCTACCACCAAGAGGGTCGGTCATGATGCGCTGCTTGACCACATCGGACGGGTATGCCGTGATCCAGTAAACCTGAGCTGAGGCGCCTCCGGCCCAGAAGTTGATTGCTGGTGTGGAGAGAGACGAATGCTTGTGAAGGAAACGAGAGAAGAGGTCGTAGCTGCCCCACCAGAAGAAGAAGAAGGAGCGGAAGACCAAGGTGGCTGGAAAGCCGTGATACACGCCACGAATACCGTGCGCCTTGTAGATTCTCCTCAGGCAGTCGACGGGACCGTGATATAGTCGATCCGCCTTGTTAGCGGCGTACTGGACCTGTAATCGAGCCTTGATATGCTCGACCGGTGATGCAATGAAACACACCGTGCTCCCTGCCATGGTGCCCGCAATTCCATGTCCAAATGATCGTAATGCAACAGTCTCGTCCTCCTCAACTCGATGAAGGATGGTGTTTCGAGGGACGTTATCCTTCAGCATACGTCGATACAGCGTCAGACTGCCCAGCATGACCGAATCCATTGCCAGCCAGCCCACAAGTGGGGGAGTAACGCCCTTGTAGACTGCTCCCACGCCCTCCTTGCGAATGGTCTGCATGAGACAGTCGAGGGGCCCTCTGAACTGCCCGAGCGTGGACGTCTGCATGCGGACTTTGATGGTGTCGAAAGGGTGGCCGACTGTGCACTTGGCCATGCCGGAGAATGCACCTGCCATGAAGCCGCGAATGTTGTCAGGGACGAGCGGTTTCCTGACCTCGACCTGGTGGTCGGGTACGGCGAGCTGGTTGACCGCCATTGCGTGAGCTGTCCGAAGCTCGAGATGGCGGAGTGAATTTCCCCTGGATCGCGCACGAAAAGCAACACGTACAAAACAATAGCTGTCCAGAGCCGTGTCGAGGGATATCCAAGTCCTCAAAGTACACACGGGATATGCAGGGTCCGCTCCTTGAGATACAGGCGCAATCTGGGACTTGCCCCGACGTCGGGATGTCAGACACGATGCCTGTGGGGAAAGCAGTGCCGGGGAGACTTGCGACAGTCCGGGGCCAGTGTCGGAATTATCTTGGCATGACTACTTGGCATCTTAGTGCATCCTCGCGTCTGCAAGCTGGCGTGAGCTTCTTTCTCCACTGGAGTTTCCATCGGTAGCCCGCAAGCACAGTCGACAAAGTATTCGGAGTCAGGTCATCATTCGAGTTATAGGCCTAAGAAACATGTACTGTGCCACAACAAGTCTCCGTATGACTTTTCCAGCCTCCTACTCCTCAACCTCTGGAGACCGCTTGAACGGCCACTTCTGGAATGCAAAATAGGCCGCCGAGTACATGCTAGCCCCGATGATCAACAGTCCTGCGTAAACACCGAACCCTTTGAGGTAAACCGGCGCATCAGTGCCTGGAAACAGCGCACTGCCATACAATTGAGCCAGATTTCCGGATCCATTGATGATTGCCAGTGATACCGCTCTCTGCTCCGGGTCGACCGATCTCAAACACGTGCTCGCAAATGACAGGGCAAGTGGATTCGCTGTCCAGATGGCCGAATTGATGAAGCAGAGAAAGACGTAGCGAGGAACGTACGCATGGATGCCAGCAGCTAGCGCACAAAATATGCCCCCAGTTCCGAGCACCACCGTCACAAAGAACGCTCTGTTGGCGAAATAGCCGTTTCTTTTCGACATTCTGTCCGCGAGGATGCAGGTAGGGATTGCAATCACCAGTGCTACCACGAATAGCGGGGCGGTCATGAACCTGCTCTTGTCAGCTAACGAATCAGGTGGCTCCCGGGACGGGTAGTTACTGCGCGTTGGTCGAACTATAGCCCAGACCTTTGACAAGCGTGGGATAAAAGTAGCTGAGCGACAGCGATCCCACCACGGACATGTAAGCCAGCGACAAAAGCCAAACTCTCCAATTGAGTATCGCCCCGGTAAGTGCCTTTACGTGCCCGGCACGGCTCTGTTGGTGGTGTGGACTCGTCACACCCGAGCGCTGGAGTCGCTCGAAGGCCATGTAACGTTCCTCCTCGGTGAGCCGCTTGCTGGTGGACGGATAGTCCAACAGGAAAAACGGGGCGACGAGCGCGGCTCCGACTGTGGCCACGCCCTCAATAATGAACAGCCACCGCCAACCTGGAATTCCATGGGCTCCGTCCATACCGGATGTGATCTAAAACGGTAAGCGTTGGCACTCAATACGCGTGGGGATGACTGACAGCACCAGAGACGATGCTTCCAAATGCTCCGGACATAATGGCTGCGCTCAGGAAGGTGATGAACCTTTTGGACCTGTGACTGTTAGATTCGGACTTCCTCTTCCTCATCTCACTTACTGCTCTTCTGGGCGATACCACGTCGAAATCAAAAACAGGACAGCAGGCTTTCTCGTTAGCGTTGCATCCCTTAATGCTAGGGCACTCTTACGCTGAAGCCGGCCTCGAATATGCCGAGCAAGACACGAAGACCGATCAGCTGCTGAGTGGTCTTCACAGCTCCAAGAGCGGCTGCAACAGCACCCCATAGTGCCATCAGAGTCGGGATATAGAGCGATGGTCGAGTCACGGACAGGATCATGCTACGAGCTGTTAGACGACATGGCGTGCTTCCGATTCGGAGGGACGTACTTGGACGGAATCTCTGCGACAACATAACCGACTTGAAACAGCGCTATCGTGAGGTAGTATTCATTCGCGCTGATATTCAGTTCGTCCTCCATGCCGGCCACCTTTGCCAGGCCGATGTTGGTTCGATCCTGCATTCGCTGTCAGCCAAGTTGGAGAAAACAGCCAGTCCAGAACCACATACGACAAAGGACAGAAGGTAGATGATCCAAATGGCTGGCATCAACCATAAGTCGATCTTCCGGACCAGCTTCTTGAGCTTCACGGGATCAAGCTCGACATCCTCACGCAACTCTACCTGAGGATCTTTCTGTTCGATGTCCATGGTGCCGGTTGGGAGAGAATCTGGCGTGAGAGCAGGACGCAGCGACCAAAGAGCGCAGGGTAGGCACGAATACCGTCTTTATGTGGCCCCTATCGACCATGACCCACTCTCTAGGACTTGCATAAAGGCGCGGGGTGAAATTGCGGAGAGAACTTGGCCCAAGTGTAGCCGGGGCTCGGGGGTTACACCAGTGTCTTCTGGGGTCATGGTAGTCGTATGTGAACTGGATTTCGCGAACCCGAGAAGTCTTGGGGCAGGACTCAAGGCCTGGCAACCCATGTATGCGCCGGCATCTAAGTGGTTACACGTGCCGTGTCAAAGCAGAATGCAGTATAAGAGGGTGGGTTCGGGGAGACTACCTCCCCTCCGGGCCCGCTTCACTACGATAACTTGGAGTAGGCGTTGGAGAAGCATTAATGTTCCACTGCGCAGGGTAGGTACCTACCAGACGGTACACAAGCTTCAAACGCTCTTGAACGATACCAGAGCAAAGTCTATCGGACGTCGGCACGATGCTTTGGCCTGGGCGATACAAACAATGCCTTCCGTCGGTAGACGAACCTTTGCAATTCACAACTCCCCGACGATATGCACAATCAGATATCACTTGACGGTGAGCTCCTCGGTGAGCTCACCTCCAAGACTGCGATCGTCACTGGCGGCGCTGGAGGCATAGGGGCAGCTACGGTGAAGCTACTGAGCTCCAAAGGCGCCAACGTGGTCCTCGCCGACCTTGAATCTTCCAGATCCGCCGCTGAGAGTCTGATATCCGGTCTGTCGAAACCAGACAAGGCACTTTTCGTCCCATGCAATATTCTGGACTGGCCGCAGATGAACGATGCGTTCAAGTCGGCAATATCGGTCTTCGGACGCGTCGATATCGTGGTTGCAAATGCCGGGACGATGGAGTCCAAGATGGTGCTCGACCTGGACGATGATCACGAAGATGGAGAGCCCAAGGAGCCCACGGAGGCCTACAGGGTGATCGATATCAATCTCAAAGGCACCCTCAACAGTATGACCCCTTCTGTTCGACATTCATACCCCTCTCTGACCCCTTCGCCAGCGCTGAAATTAGGACTGCATTACTTGGCCAAGACCTCTACGGCACAGAGTCCCGGATCCATCGTACTCGTGTCGTCCACGTCGGGCTATTTCGGCGGCACAGGCGTCACGGCGTACGTTGCATCCAAGCACGGCGTTGTCGGACTGCTCCGGTCCGCACAGGTCGAGGCCAAGAAGCGCCATGTACGCGTCAATGGCGTCGCGCCGTTCTTTACGCCGACCGCCATCACGGCGGCGTACTCGCAGAGGTGGAGAGAAAAGGGATTGGAGGCGAACACACCAGATAACGTGGCTGGGGCGATCGCGCACACGGCGGTCGACCGGACGCTGATGGGGGCGTGCGTGCTGGTACGTATTGGATTCACCGAGAGAGCGGTGCGAATACTGACCGCCCCTTGCAGACAGCAGGCAAATACATGCGCGAACTGGAGCACACGAGAGCGGCAATGATTCCTGACTGGATCGGAGAAGATCTGGCCGGCCTGTTCGCCAGCGGAATGCAATTCTTCGAAGAGATAGGCGGCTACCCACTACCGCGACTGTGATCTATAGGTGGTTCTACACGTCGGGCTCGACCTCGTCGACCGTCGGCACTCTGTCCAGTTTGATCTGCAGAAACGCCGCCACCTCCTTGATACAATCGTAAACAACGTGCATATCCTCCTTGGAGACGCCCTGCCTCCTCGTGCCGCGAATGTGCCACCACGTCTCATTCTTCAGGTTCTGTATCATGATGCCCGACACGACGACCAGCTCGGTGTCGATGTCGTCCAACACCTGGCGGTCCGACAGGTAGAGACCGTAGGTGATCTCCTTTGAGATCCAGTCAAAGTCCTTGTGGGCGTTGAAGAGGTTGAGGTTGAAATTGACATTCTGCTTGTAGACCTTGTGCAGCCAGTCCATGCCGCGCTGGTGGTTGGCGTCGTCGCAGGCCCAGCCCTCGCGCGAGCAGCTGTAGTCGCGGTCCTCCTCGCGCTCGACGTTGCTGATGGCGACGATGGCCTCGATGGGCCGGCACACGCCGATGATGGACACGGCTTTGACGAGGTCTTCGCGGAGGCGGCGGATGAGCGCTTGGCGGGACGGCGAGGTTGAGTACTGGGCTTGTTGGATGAGGTAGAGGTACAGTTGGTCGGCGAGGTGGGGACTTCCTCCCCCGGTCAGTGCTGTGAGGGCCACGAGGTACCATCGCTGGTTGCCGAGGGCGGTTTTGGAGAAGCTCTGCTCGATGCTCGAGAAGAGGCGGCGCGCTTCTGGCTCAATATCCATGTTTGCTGATGGTTTGCGAGCGGATCGAGGCTGGAATTGTGGTAAGAGACGACATGGAATCACAGCCAGTGTAGACGAGGTGTTGAATAGAGTTTGGGGGCCCCTGGAGGGCTGCCCAGGAGCAAAAGTTGGGGTAAGAATGTGGTAAAGTATTGCCGGGGAGAGATGCTGGACTCCGATGAAGCGGGTCGATCGACACACGCCGATAAGGCCGATGGAAGACAGCAATATATTTGTATCTGGTGATCTCTGAAGCAACGCCTCGCATAGCGCAGTATGTTATACGAAAGTCAACCCTCATCTTAACGTTCAGCGCTTGATAGCACGGCTAAATGCCCGTGACTCGCGCCGCATCGTTGGCAAATACGCAGCTTGGTCCGTGTCGACCTCTGCCATTGGTCAAGCCCAAGCGAGCTCTATGGTGGAAGCAGCATCGCGAGATTGTCGTTTAATATCGCCTGCCACCACCAAATCGACGTCTTCCACCTCCCATACCCATACCCATCCCTCCCCCTCCTCCACCACCACCACCCCACCTGTTGCCTCCCATGTGGCCTCCGCCCATCCCTCCTCCCATACCACCACCCATAGGACGCTGTGACATGCCGGGGCCGCCGCCGCCGTGGTGGTGATGGTTCACAACGACTGGCCTGCTGTTTGTACTGTGGCCGTAGCCGCCGCCACCGTACCCACGTCTTTTAGAGCTGCCAAAGCACATGTTTGTTCTGTTTGAGGTTGTCTGGTGCGATAGCCGTAGTGCAGATGTTGTCTGGACTGATGCGTATGGGCCGAACTATGAATCGAGATGCGAGAAGAATATTCGGTGGTTGTTGACAGAATACCGTTTGCTACAGGGTCAGCTCCGTTAGAAACGTCCAACACCTTATATGCTGCAAAACCGGTATTGCATCATAGCTAGAAACTTGAATCAGTAACAGATACGACATCATCGCCGAGCACTTTATCGGGGAAATCCAGACAAGAACTCAACAATGGGCACGCAAACGGTTGCCGGGTGTCAAACAGCGGCTGACACGGTTCAAACCCAAGGCACGGCTGTGCGGCTCCTCGTGGAACCAGGGACTGGTCTTGCAGGGTCACCGTAAGGCATTGTTGGGGGCGCGAGGGCCGGAACAGACCTGCCGCACATGGCTGGGATGTCGGTTACGAAGGCACAGTCGCTTGGTAGATTGCGCGACCCGGAAGATATCTGGTGCAAAGTGAGCAGCAAGGACTTTGTTGCTTCGCGGCACTTGCGTAAGCCGGACTGGGCACCAGGCAGTAAAAGTCTTGGCTTACGCGACTCGCTGGGAGACAAGACGACAGATCGTGGCAGAGCAGTGCTGAAGATTTCTTCTTGCTCCCTTTCCAGCCCGAAGTGTCGAGTGTGGGACGACAGCAACGGACTGGGGTACCGTGAACTTCGGGAAAAGGTAGGGCGACAGACCAGTCTGTGAAGTGACAAGCACCTGCTGATACCGCCAGCAGAGAGCCCCTTTGCTCCAGTCTGACTCTCACATTGCAACCCACGCGGCGGAAGCTTTCAACATGACCTAATCAGTACGTTAGGGCCGTACTGCGCGCCAAGCTGTACACCGAGGTGATCTCCTGCATTCACAGGGGATGAGAACGGTGAAGGCTTGACAGGTACTGATCATTGCACCTACACTGAATTTCACTCGGAGTCAGAACCCATTCCAACGCGGCCAACGTCGGAGAAGCGCCACTTGCGCTTTCGTGGCGAGAACCTCGCCGGGCTGGAAGGACAATAGGTATCCATCATCGTCGCTGTCGTCAAACTCCGCCTCTTCATCATAGGCAACAGCCTTGCGTTTGGGCCTCTGCCCATCCACTTCCTCTACCTCCACCACATCCATCATCTCCTCGTCTTCCTCCCATTCCTCCTCGTTCTCGTCTATGGGTATCGGCAGGTAGAGCGAGTCGAAATATAAAGATGACAAGAGAGCAGTCGAGACGCTTGAGCGGGAAACCGTGAGGCTGCTGTAGAGCTTTTGTTAGGTAGTCATTGTCAGGTAGTCACTGGAATCTGGCCTGCCTGCAGTGAATTCCGTTTCCTGGACGCAGAAGTACAAACGACTTCACTGTAGCAATGAGTCAATAGCGTTCAGCCTTTCACGCATTCACCCCTCTGCGTTAACACTTATCTCTACTTCCAAGCAGATGTTTTCGCCCATCTCCACCACCATTTCGCAGGAGCGCAGATCGAGGAATCGAAGAGCTGCATCCAAAGGTAGAACAAGATATCGACTTCTATCGCCGTCTCCCTCCCTCGACTTGTGCTCATAAGACATCCGCACAACCATGTCTTACCTCAAAGACCTAGAGGGACTTGACCTCTCAGCTCCATGCAACCACGAGACCTTTTTGAACGACACGCTCAATGGTGATCTTGCCGGGGCCGGTGCGACCTTCAATACCACTCGTGCCTCCAGTCCCTCCAAAAACAAAGACGAATCATGGATCGACGCCCGCAATATGCCATGTACGGCCCACACTCCGAATTCTCACGACGCCAGCCCCGTCAGTCCTCGGCGACAGCTATATGCTACTTCTCGACCGAGTCCCGCTGAACACGTGGAGATCCACAGCTCAAGTACCAACCTTACCGTAGCTATCAGTGGCAGCAACTTCCGTGTGATTGCGGAGAATGGCCGTCTCATTATTGAGCCTCTGCGAAAAAACCTGAGTGAAAAATATGACGTGGCCTCCAGCGCAAGGCTTCGATATGAACAGAGAGAACTGCTACGGTATCAGCATGTCAAGGAGCTAAACCCGGCGAGCCGCCTCAGACTGACCAAGCAGAATCTTCTGCGCACGACCGTGCCTCGCTTTGGCCAGAAAGGTCTCTTGTGGAAGCTGGTGTGTCCTTTCGCATATGACGGGTTACAGAGATTCGATTCATACCTTGTTCCACAATTGCGCACCATCAACATTCGACCTCGGAAGTATGAAAGTGGCTGGATGATACCCGAGACACTGATCATCGGCAGCACCCTACCAGTACTCACGAACGCGACGTCCAAGGTGGTCAAGGTTCTACATGAGCTCAACGACAGTGCCGAGTTCCCGGGCCTAAAGGCTGATTCAATAAGTGCAACCGCCTGGTTCCCACAGTCCAAGGAACACATCGAGAAGAACTGTCAGTTGTTCTGTACCGGCGAAGTACGTGTCATGGTTTGCACACTCGACCACGCCGCCGATCTGATAGCATTGGGAGTCGGGCAGGTATGGTGGCTCAATCTCAAAGCACAAGAGGAACTTTGGTCCAAGATCGAGTCCTTTCTGAGTGAAGTGGAAGATTGGGACGGCTTACTTCCAGAGTCTGTGGAGATCACTGTCTGCTTGGGGCGGGAAGACAAGACGGAGGCCTCGAAGATTCTCTCTTGGCTCCGCGATAAGATGCCCAAGCATTACATCAGAGGTATGAATGAAGTAGAGGAGCAATTCCCATCATCGATTCCCCTCTGAAATGGCACTTGTAGGGACATATGCCGTCCTGATGATCATGGTTGACTCTCGCTACCTGCGACGGCTTTTGACGAGATAGTAACATGGGAAGGGAGAGTGGATACCCGGGAGGAACGATCTGGGGTAGGTCAGAGATAGGGAGGGATGCGGGGCGATGCAGTAGCCGCGAGATAGCTCATGGACCAGCATGCCACATGTCTGGGGGTATGATAGGACAGCAGAGGACGGCTTCATGTCCATCTCCCGCTTCCGTGCTGATAGCTCCTCTCTAGCGGAACCTGTGCATATCAGAGGAGGGCAAAGAGCTGCCATCTGAGGCTTTTCTGGGCCTTGGCAGGCTTCTTTTGACCTCATCATAGACGAGCTGTCGTCGATGGTCTCGAATGGGCCCTCGTACTTGGGAAGCGAGCGGCTCGTGATCGAGAGATCTGGCCCTGATTGTGCACCGCGCTCTCGCGATTGTTATCTCTTGGCAGTGGGAATCGAGTCGATATGTCGAGCGAAGATGTGTAATCTCGAAAGAACGGTCACGCTGCGCCGCTTCAATTCCCCTCCGAGGCACCATCTCAACCGCCTCGGACGATGGTTGTAGAGTTTACCACCGAGTCAAAGACACGTGATGTAGACATATCGTGGTGGCGAGATGGGTCGATGGAGGAATGGAAGACATCGGGATGGGATTCTGGGCTGTGTGGTGTGGGTTTGGGACGAGTTTCATCCTTGCTGGGACGAGTGGGGCCCCTCACTTTGTCCGAAGCCAATGGCGGCGCACCCCCTGCTTAGCTCCCGATCTGCTGAGTCCACCCAAAGATAAGCTATTCAACACGTTTGATTGGTCGTCTCACTCCGTCTCTGTCATCCTCCTCTGTCATCGGCAGTTTGCATGCCAATGTGCCAACAGAGCCTCCCACGAGCTCCCAGAAAGGGTCTCCTCTCCGTTTCAAGAGGACATGGAGTTGACAGCGCCCGGCACAGAATACTGACGACGTATATTGCAACGAGAGCTCGACGTATCTGTTGCACCCTTCCCAGCATGTTTGGTTCCTGACTCTGTCGTGTGCTTCGAGTTTGGGAAGGAACATTCCAGCCCGGCAATCTCGACGCTAAAATGCTTGACATGACTCCACTGGTGCAGCTCCCGTCGTTATCAGCTTGGCATTTCCCAAATGCTGCTGTCGACTTTCTTTCTCTTGTGCTTTTTCATGTCAGATCGGCCCTTCGCACTGGATCATCTCCTGATCTCAGCTTTGGCTATCACACAGCCCGCCCCCTTCTCGCTCAATCATGTCTCCTCGCGGGGTGGCCAAGCCCCGTCAAGCTCGCTCCAAACTGAGCTTCGCGTGACAATACCCAAATGCATGGACCCCGAAGCTGCCCCAAAAAGATTTGCTTGCACATTGTTGGTTGGGATCCACTGTCCATCATCCATGGCCCCATCCACGGTCCCATCCACGCTAAGATCCACTCGACCTTCGCTCCCCCCATGCTGTTTAATGACGCTCTTCCGATTTCGCCCTGTGCCCGGTCGTGTCGTCCGAGGAGCACGAGTACAAACACCATCTGCCTCGCTGTCGCTTGAGCTTTTGCTTTTTTCTGTTGCACATCCACGCGACACCCCCATATCCACGGGCTGCCTTATATTACCCCCCTTTCCCTGCTGACAGACCTTCACTTCTGATCTCTCTCACCTTTTGTGTCAACCGCAGAAGAATTGGCCCCGCGTCACTCCGTCTCTTGTCCCCATTCCCTTATCTGCCGAGCCTCCTAGGAATTGCTTGGGACTGCCAACCTACCACCGATAACCAACCACCATTTCGAATTGCTGGTCAAGCTCAAATAAAAGCATTCCCACTTGTGCAGGGATCCTCAGCGGCCCTTTAGAAGATGGCCGACGACTACTCCGGGACAAACTATCTTCCCGAATATGCATCCTACAACTGGACCGGCGGGCCGTCCAATTTTGACGGCCTCACCACCAATGCCGTGGGAGGTGACTCGAGTAGGTAGCACAGGCAGGCCTGACTGCACAACATCTGACGTTCCGCAGGACTAGAGAATCTGAACAAATGGTACCAATCAGGAGACTCGGCCTACATTATTGTAGCCTCGGCGATGGTGAGTCTTGCATTGCGCCTCAAAATGCGCGTGCGCAGTCAGCTAATCACCACGATAGGTGTTTGTCATGGTTCCAGGTCTCGGTTTCCTATACTCAGGTCTGGCGCGGAGAAAATCGGCTCTGTCACTTATGTTCACGGCCATGGCGTCGTACTCGGTCATCACTTTCCAATGGTAAACAAAGATTCATACTCCAGACCCCAGTAACAGCAAACTGACAGCGGCGCAGGTACTTCTGGGGCTATTCACTCACCTTCTCCGATAACAAGGCAAACGGCTTCATCGGTGACCTGCACCACTTCGGTCTCAAGAACACCCTCGGCCAGCCCAGCCCTGGCTCCCCACTCGTTTCCACCCTCCTATACTCCTTCTACCAGATGCAATTCTGTGCCGTCACAGCCGCCATCCAAGTCGGTGCCGTTGCTGAGCGCGGCCGCATCCTTCCATTCCTAGTCTGGACCTTCTGCTGGGCCACCATCGTGTACAACCCGATCGCGTGCTGGGCCTGGAACGCCAACGGCTGGGGCTTCGTGTACGGAGTCATGGACTATGCCGGCGGCGGGCCCGTCGAAATCACCTCGGGCATGTCCGTACTGGCCTACTCGCTCGTGCTCGGCAAGCGCCAGGAGAAGATGATGCTCAACTTCCGCCCGCACAACGTCTCGTTCATCCTGCTCGGCACCGTCTTCCTATGGTTCGGCTGGCTGGGCTTCAACGGTGGTAGCTCCTTCGGCGCCAACCTCCGCGCTGTCATGGCCTCGTGGAACACCAACCTCACCGCAGCTTTGGCTTCCATGACCTGGGTCCTCCTCGATTGGCGTCTGGCCCGCAAGCTCTCCATGGTGGGCTGGTGCTCCGGCGCCATCTCCGGCCTGGTGGCTGCGACCCCGGCCTCCGGCTACCTCGACACCTGGGGCTCCGTGGCCCTCGGCATTGTAACGGGCGTTTTGTGCAATTTCGGCACCAAAGTCAAGTACTGGATCCGCATCGACGACAGCATGGACGTCTTCTCCGAGCACGGTCTCGCCGGCATGATCGGTCTCATGTTCAACGCACTCCTCGGCGTCGACTACGTCACCGGCCTCGATGGCGTCAACACCGGCACCGGCGTCGGCGGCTGGCCCATCGGCAACTACCGACAATTCTACATCCAACTTGCCTACGTCGTCGCCTGCACGGGTTACAGCTTCGTCGTCTCCGCCCTGCTCGCCTACGCCATCAACTACATCCCCGGCCTCCGCCTCCGCGCCTCGGAAGAGGCCGAACTGCTGGGCATGGACGACGACCAGCTCGGCGAGTTCGCGTACGACTACGTCGAGGTCCGCCGCGACTACCTGGCCTGGACGCCCGCGACGGACGGCATGGGCACCGACCCGGACATCCCGCAAGAGAACCGCCACGGCATCGGCGAGCACCAGACCATGATCAAGAGCGGCGAGTACGGCGACTCGAGCTCCGGCGCCAGCGCCCCGGAGACCGCCGTGCACCACCGCCAGCAGCACGCGCAGGGCGACCGCCACGGCATCGCCGCCGAGGACAGCCTGCGCGAGAAGAGAGCTGGCGCCAACCATGATCGTGGGGAGCCGGATCTCGAGGCCGCCAAGGAGAAGTGATGATGAATAATTCTTACTTTGGTCTTTGCCTGCCTTGTGAATGAGGTACAACAAACGTCTTTTGTTGTCGGATGTCTGGCGTTTTAGGGGGGCCCTTGGAAATACCAGGGCTTTTGAGCTGGACAGCCATTTCCGTCTCAAATGAAAAAACGCGGGGACCCTCTGTTCGTTTGTTAGCGATGCTTGAAGAAGAGTGTCTCTTAGAGAGCTATGTGTGGTGTACATCAATGATCTACCAATTGACTCTTTCAAATTCACACACCATTTATTGCGTCTACTGCGACTCGCTTGACGTCAAACGAAGCACTAGAGCCAGGTAAAGCATCTTTCGTTACAAAGCTACCTACCTGCGTTTGAAGTTCTTCAACGGATCCACTCTCCTTCCCACCACCTTCTTCGGTCCCCCCCTCCGGCCTTTGCCTTTGCCTTTCTTTGCATCACGCTCGTCCTTCCTGAATCCTACGAACCCTACATCCAGCGACTTGTTCTGCTTAGCACCCGCTGGCAGGAGATAGTCAGGCACGTGTCTCAAGTGTCGCTGAACCTTGGTTTTCCCGCTCTCGGTGTCATGTCGTAGATGTCGCAGGTCGTCTGGGTTTTCTTCAAAATGCTTGCGAAGCTTTTCGCTCTTCACGAGCTCTTCTTTGATCTCTCGGGCTCTAGCCTCTCGGATCGCGACTCTTGTGACTGCGCGAATGGCATCATTGACGCGGTATCGGAAGGCATCCACTTGCGCCATGTCGAAGTTGTAGTCCTTGACTTCCCGACCGAGCTTGCCCTGTTTCGAGATGATCTTTGCAAGGACTTTCTCGTCGTGCTTGGCGGACGGGATCGAGGTGGGTTTGTGCTTCTTGTAAAGCGCCGAAGGGATGACAAAAGACAGAGCCATGCCGGCCTTGCCTGCGCGAGCTGTGCGACCAATGCGGTGGGTGTAGGCTTTCGAGGTATGAGGAAGGTCGAAATTCAGAACGCAGGACACATTTTGGAAGTCGATTCCACGTGAGACACCATAGTCGCGCGACGATGTAGACTTCTTCGTCTTTTTCGATGCTGTGACCGCTTCATCATCTGAAGAGAGTTCGCCTTCGTCGCCCTGATCTCCACGGCCAGAAACCCGTTTCTGTTGCTTGTGGACACCACCAAGCACCTCTTGGTCGTCGGCGGCGATGAGAATATTGTAAAGGCCTTTATTGAATTCCTGCACCACGTGCAGCCTCGAGTTGACGGGAAGCTCCGAGTTCAGGATGCATGCATTGAGGCCGAATTGCTCGAGGTATAGTTTGAGCCTGTAGCTCCTGTCAAGATCATCGACGAATATGATGGTCTTGCCGCGCACCAGACGCAATTTGAATATAACGAAGACGAGCAAAAACTTCTCGTCCTCGGCGCATTTGACAACGTATTGCGTTATGCCTTCTCCCTCCTCTTCCTTGTCATTGATTCGAACAACCACCGGGTCACGACACAGCGTCTGCTTGAGTGCATCAATATCCGTGGTGAGCGTTGCACTGATCAAGAAAGTCTGCGCCGTGCGGGGTACTGTCTTTGCGATGTTTGCGATATCGTCTTCGTAGCCATATGAAAGAACAAGGTCCGCTTCGTCAATCACCAGGTGTGAGATCTGATCCAAATTCAGCTTGCCTAACGAAAGGAACTGGTTGGCACGTCCAGGTGTGGATACGACAATGTCGGGTGTGTCAGAGAGGATCGCGTTTAGGACGGCGTCGGACACTCGTTGTGTGAGGTTTACTGACTTGACATCTTTTGGAAAGAATGTGGAGAGAAGAGTAAAAGTCTTCTGGACCTGATCGGCGAGCTCCCTCGTAGGAACCAGGACTAGAACAGTTGTCGAGGAAGTCCGGGTTTCGGAGGCGGTCGACTTGCGGTGGAGGAGGGCTTGCAGAATGGGTATCACGTAGGTAGCGGTCTTTCCAGAGCCGGTCTTGGACTGAGCAAGTACATCCTTGCCTTGGAGCGCCAGGGGAATTGCCTGCAATTGGATAGGTGTAGGTTGGGTAAAATGCGCCTTTGACACGGCTTGCAGCAACCGTGAGTCGAGGTTGAAAGACTCAAAAGTCACAGTGGAAGTTGTGGTTGACGGTTTGCCGTTAGACACTTCGACGTTCGGGACGTCGTTCTCGTCGAGTTTGCGCTTCATGTTGACTGTGTCGACAGTCACAGCGAGAACAATGCCCGTGGTCAAGTCGTGGTGCAGCAAGTAGGCCGCAAGGAAATTCTTCAACGGCGGACAAAAGTATATCCGAAGCTGCTCTCCGCCACTCCACCCTTCCGCGGGCCCAGCTTTTCTTATGTTGGTCGGTCCAAAGCACAGGCAAGCACTGCTTCAACGAGACTCACCGTGGTATACGGCATCGCTTCGAAACCATGGATCTGTGGTATACTAAAATGACTATCCCTCAGAGACCATGTAGTGACGCTGGACTTCTCGACGTTCACTATACGCATTCCAAGTAGAGCGATTGATTTGCAAGAGACAATCTTTGCGATACCGGGACATCCTTGAGGGTCGGATGCTTGTCACAAGATGGACAGACCCCCCGTGTCCATGTCGAAAGGATATGAACTTCATGAAGCCCTTCTCGGGATGACTTCGGAATGATAAAGCCAAACAAAGGGCGGCATCCAAGGCCACCATCGAGCCTGTTTCGTCGAACAACTATCTCTCAACGCGCCTAACTCTCGACGAAACCCGGACAAGCTGGAAAAGTCAAAGACACCTCGTCACTGTCTAGTTAGCTGTTGAGGCCGTCGGCGCAAACCTGTCTACACCCTGCCCAGTTCCATCTCACGAGCACTGACCAGTCCGATACAATAAGGCTGTGAATATCGTTCAGGTGGGGGCGCCGCATAGGTTATCTGACCCGGTATAAATGGCTTGCGCTTGGATCTCGCGACGGCTGGACGAAGCTGCGGTAACAGGATGTTTTCATGCGATTCAGGCCATCTCTGACAAGTCGGCGAGGATAGCCGAATATGTCAGGGTACCTTACACTAGACTGATGGAAAACCAGTGAGCAAAGTGAGATCCTCCCACGGCTATGGTGTTCGTATTGGTGGTGCGAGATGTACTGCAGGGTTAAGCTGGGGAGCCAATAGAGCGAGGGACTGCCGTCTTCGGTTTGGTGCGAGATTGGTGGAAGCCTCGAGACTTGCGGTGGCCCCACTCTGATTAGAAATGCACTCTGACTGCCAATCGTTCTGGGAAGGATCGTCATGGCGGATTGCGAGAATGAGAGAATTGTGACTGAATCTTCTTTGGTTTGCCACCGATGGAAAGACAAACTACCCTTTTTCCATCATTTGTGGCAGATAGGACAAGAAGACAACTTGAGGCCTGCAGAATTCCATCAACGGCCTGCTCTCGGATCCGGATAAACCATTGGCTGAGAGCTTAGCACCATTGTAGCCGCAGAGCACCCTCAGCAGGGGTCCAGCCCCCCGCCTATCTCGGTCTCTCTTGTCTTTCCCTTGCCCGGGCCTGACGAAGACTTGGTGTCCATCTGCAACCCCATCCTTTCTGCGCCGTAGCCTAGGTCCTGGCCCTTTTTTCTCACCTCTAACCACTCTCAACTTGCCTTCCTTCAGTCCAGACCTTCCTCATCGCCGGTGGCAACTACTCCCCTTCAGCATCATATCAGTGGAGGGGCTTTCATCGCCAGCGCCCCTCCTTCCGCCTACCTCCGCCCCGACCTGTGCGAATCCACTCCCATCAGAAGGAAACGTCGTCTACACCGCAAGACGTCATCTCTCTATTCACCACAATGTCTGGTCAAACCTCGGATCTTTTCCTGTCTCCCGACGAGCAGGACCTTCTCGTCGCTGCCTTGAATTCCAATCAGCCCGGCGCCAAATCCGGTAGCAACCAGAATCGGTCCCAAAGTCAGGACCTTATCTACACACCACAAACCCACACCAATCCAGGTTCTGGTCAACTCAATCTCAGTGATGATAGTCCTTACCTCGATTTCGACCCTGATGGAGATTTTGACGATGGTTACGATTTCGGCAACACTCGCATGATTGGTGACCTTCCTCCGGACATGTCTGGCGATCTTCATGACAAGAGAAAGAGCATTGACGGCGAGGACAATGGAGATGAAGGCGACAGAAAGCGCCGCGAGGGTGACGATAGGACTGCAAAGAAACCGGGTCGTAAGCCGTTGACTTCTGAGCCTACCTCGGTAAGCTGGTTTCCACTGATCTCAAAACCCCTCACTGACTCTAGTGTTAGAAACGCAAGGCTCAAAATCGCGCTGCGCAACGTGCATTCCGCGAGCGTAAAGAACAGCATCTGAAAGATCTGGAGACCAAGGTCGAGGACCTTGAAAAGGTTTCCGAGGCCACAAACCACGAGAATGGTCTACTCAAGGCCCAAGTCGAGCGCCTCCAGGTGGAATTGAAAGAATATAGGAAGCGCTTATCCTGGATCAGTAGCAACGGCATGGGTCGTTCCAACAGCCTGAAATCCGGAACTCAGAAGTCCTCGTTGAATTCGACCAATGACTTCCAGTTTGAATTCCCCAAGTTTGGTGATTTGCCTGCAATGTCTGGCACCAACATCTTCAACAAGACGAGCCAACAGCCTCAGCAGCCTCAGCAACCACAGCAATCCCAGAACAATCGATCCGGATCCGCACCAGGCCGCTCTAACAGCGCTCCTAAGGCCACCTCGAACAATCGGTCCAGCTCTCAGGGCCAACAACAGAGACAATCCTCTCTAAGTCAATCTCCCATGAGCAGCATGTACACCAATTCACCCCAGCCCATGAACCCGCAGCAATCCAAGGGAAGCGTTGACAGTCTCACCGGACTTTTTAGTCCTTCCATTCTCGAAGCCACTCGCCATGCTACTCGTGGTGGCTACTTTCCGCAATCGAACAACTTCAACGCTAACCCTGGTCCTCGCGCAAGCATGGAGAACGGCACATCGAACAATGCAGTCTACTCAAATTCGACTACATCCAACTCTGACTCGCCAGGGTCTTCTTCAGAGTCCCATAATGCCATATCTTCCATTGGCACATCTCCAGAGCCCAGCTTGAACTCGCCAGGCAATAAGCTGCAAGAGTTCAATCTCAATACTATAAGTGAGGAGAACCAAATTCCAAACAACTTCGGTAAGGACGAACTCTGCAAAGAACTTTCAAGCACCTGCGGCTGCGCCGAAGATCCAATACCTCCAATCCTAAACCAGAATCTGTCTAACGATCTTTCGTTAGGCTTCAATACCGCCAACTTCAGTACCACTGACACCAACACATTTACCAACGATAATGCGTTTGATGTGAATAACAGCTGGCTGCCAGCGGGTTCCGGTGCCGACTTTGATCCTGTGTTGTTTGGTGACTATCGAGAGGTCCAGGATAACATCCTGTCTCAGGATTTTGGCAGCTTTTTCAATGATGCCTATCCACTTCCTGATTTGGGTAGCCCGCTCCACAACTACAGTGATGTTGCTCCCGAGCAAACGTCAAACACTGCCCAATCGAAGATTGATCTTCTCAAGCAAGTCGAGGCCGCAAAGAATGGCACCGATGAGGTGGTGCCCGACACCGACAAGCCCATGACTTGCAACAAGATATGGTCAGTACACCCAACAGCATCTGATTTGTATCATGCTGACCCCAGTGCCAGGGACCGCCTACAATCGATGGAGAAATTCCGCAATGGAGAGATTGATATCGACAATCTCTGCTCTGAGCTCCGTGCGAAAGCCAAATGTTCTGAGGGCGGTGCTGTTGTCGACAAGAGGGATGTCGATAAGATTTTGGGCAAAGGCCATTGAACCCCAAATTGTATGACGGGACTGGGCGTCGTAAGGAGTTTATGATTGATATGAATCGAGCATGCATGAGCATACGTGCCATGATCGGAAATGGGATGGAGCCAAACGAGGTGGTCAATCAGACACCAGGAGCCAGGGCTGCAAAATCTGAGACTGGACTGTACCTTTAACCACGTCCGAAAAGGCATACAAATGGGTGTCTGGATTCTGGATTACCATGAAACTTTTGATTGACTTGACGAACTTCTCCGGATAGCTCGCGTTCGATAGTAGCTTCAGATATCAAAGCTTTCGTACGGATTATCATTACACCACAATTTCAGACACGACCAACGCCTAGATCTCGCGATCTCTACCTCAACGACCTGACGTCCCGTAGATGTTACCTCTTGCCTTCGGTCAATCTGTAAACGCCGCCAGCCTTCCAGCGCCGTCCCCAGAATCCATCCTATCCGAGGAGGATGACAGACTGCGAGGATTCGAGCGTGCGAGTGAGCAAGGTCTCGTAGCTTATCGGGAATTAATCCATGCGGGACTCGGCGCAGCGATATCTCTTGTCGCCCAAAAGGCCAAAATCTTCCCGATCAAACACGCCACGGCTCCAATCGTGGCTGAAAGCTTCGAGCATCTTTACCCTGGTCTCCCACCATTTCACCGCCCCGTCTTCGCCTTCTCCGCCTCCCGCATCGCCACCATCTTCGCCCGGGCGCTACGGCTCCCACCCAGCCGTGGCCCACTCTTCTCCTTGTCCTTGTCGCCCGCCTCCTTGCGCCGCTGCGGCTGCATCGCCTGCCTCTCCGCCAGCCTCTCCTCGAACTCGTGCTGGAAGCGCAGAGCGAACGCCTCGTCTTGCTCTTGGCTCGTCACGGTGCTGGAGGCGGCGGTATTGGCAGGGATTCCGGAGCGAGGCAGTGTGGGGTCCTGGGATGCTGCCACTTGTGGGGTTGGGGGTGGTGGCGTGGATGAGTAGTGCTCGAGCTTGTGCTCGTGCAGGACCTGCTCGACGAGGGCATCGCGGGCGAGGTCGCTGGAGTCGCGGCGCTTGGGACGGCGGGGGCGCATGGGCTTGCCGTCGCGGCCTAGGCGGGGTTTGCGTTGGCGTCTGGGCGGGGGTTTGGATTCAGTGGTCGTGGGAGGGAGTGGGACCTCAGAGAGCTGGTGCGGTTGGTGCTGAGGTTGATAACTTTGCGAGGCGGCCACCAGGGCTGATGCTGGAAGACGAGGTTCTGTTGATTCTTCGACTGATATCGGCTCTGTCTCTGTACTATGTGCTGCTGTAGTGGGCATTTGACGCCGTTTAGCCATTTCGGAATCTATATATGCCATCCTTAGCGTGTTAGAGCGTGCGACTCACATGGCGTAAGAAGATCAGGTGGGCGAGACGTACATATGTTTGTCGACGTCCACAGTTCCACCTGTGATGCCAACGAATCTATTCGAAATGTCTTTCAACCTGTCGTCTGCTGTGCTTGAAGGCACCACGGTCATTGTGTCTGGAGCTTCAACGCGAGTTCGAGCATTGCTGGTGAAGGTTACTCCCGGCCTTGATGGCTTGAAAGGCTTTTTCAGGCGGTGAGCGGGAGCATAAGCCTCGTTGCCGCTCTGTTCTCCGTCTATTGGAGATCCGTCGCGGTCCTGCGATGTTGTTGGTGTCGTAGCATCGCTCTCGACATGTGGTGGCTTGATGACCTTTCTCCGCTTTGGTGCACGAAATAGAGGAACTTCTTCCATACTTGACGAGCGGAAATACTGATGAGTTTGAGATTATTGTAAAAATCAGAGGTAAGATAGGGACTCTGCTGTTACAAAAGGCATCGCGCGACTCGGGACGACATCGTCTTGGCGTTGTTTGCGGGCTGCGGGGGCAAGTGTGGTGGCCTCTGCGACTGACCTACCTTATGCTGCTCGCATTTGCGCCTTAGAACTGTTCGTCATATTCCCCACTGGCCACTTGGGCTCCCGAGCTCGAGTATAACGGAAGCAAACACCAAGTGTCTTTGCTACGAGAAGCAGGAATTCTCTCGGAATTCCAGATTCACGGAGGCAGTGGAAGCCTTGTCATCCTGAATAGGGCTAACCCAGCCTGATACACATCGCGTTCTTCAGCGTTCGCCCGCAATCCGCGTCAACCAGTCCCGTTGGACGCGCTTTGACACTACCCAACGGTTCAAGTACGTTCCAAGTGCAATATTGACGCCCTCACAAATCCGACGGTACAAGCTCGATCTCGAGAATGGCCTTGAGTAGCAGAGACGAGCCAAGGGCGGCCGAGTACGCTGGAGGTACGTAAAAGTTTTGAGCTTCAAGCTCGCGCGTGCGATTATTCACGAAAACGCAGCGTGGGGAACGCGTACTAACAAAAGGTGTTCCTAGATGAGGTCTCCGCGCTTGTCCTGGATCCTGGCTACTCGACCGTGCGTGCGGGCTTTGCTGGGGAGGACACCCCCAAGTCCATCGTCCCTACGTACTACGCCGATACAGGGTCACAGAGACTCTTCGGCGATCACGTTATCGACGTGCCGCGCCCGAATGTCTCGATCCGAAATCCTATATCAAAGGAGGGCATCGTCGAAGATTGGGACGCCGCCGAAGCTCTGTGGAAGTACACCTTTGCACACAAGTTGACTGGTGTGAAGTCCAACCGAGTATTGCAGGAATGGCTCAATGACCCCTCCAAAGTCACCGATCTACAGAAAGAGATGGCTGAAGCAGTTGATACGGAAAGATGCCTAGAGGATCACCCGTTGTTCATGACCGAGCCGTCCTGGAACCCGACAAAAGCCCGCGAGAAGTGCGCTGAGATTGCGCTCGAGTCATGGGCTGCACCTGCGTTCTACCTGGGGAGATCCGGAGTCATGGGAGCCTTCGGCGCTGGGCGCGCAAGTGCGCTCGTCATCGACTTTGGCGCATCGCAGCTATCAGTAACCCCTGTGCACGACGGAACGATCCTCAAGAAGGGCATAGTGAAATCCAACCTGGGCGGCAACTTCTTATCTTCACAGGTGCGTGCGATGCTAGCAGCGAACGAACCGCAGCCGATCAACATCACACCACACTATCTGGTCAAAGCGAAGCAACCCGTGGATGCGGGCCAGGCAGCCAACGCTATCCTCAAAGAGTTCCCGTCCGGCTTTACACCACCGCAGGACTCTTTCAGGAGGTATCAGGAAGACAAGGTGGTGCTAGAGTTCAAAGAGATCGCCTTGCAGGCGTGGACCAACCCTAATGCACCTTTCAAGGGACAGGGCGAATTGATGACCCGGGAGCAACAGTACGCACACCCGTTTGAATTCCCCGATGGCTACAATCAAGCTTTCGCAACCGAACGATTCCGACTCGTCGAGTCCATGTTTGATCCGGGGTGTTACATCCAGCCTCCACCGGGATCGGAAGATGCCAGAGACTACCCAGCGCCGGATGCACAGAGCACGATTCCGGCCTTGATCAGACAGGCGCTATCCCAAGTTGATGTCGACATCCGGCCATTTTTGTTAGCCAACATTGTCATTACTGGTGGGGCGTCTTTGATCAAAGGTCTGCCAGACCGAATTCAACAAGAAGTGAGCAAGTTATATACTGGGTCGCGGGTGCGGATCCACGCCCCTGGCATGGCGGTGGAACGGAAATACGGCAGTTGGATTGGTGGCAGCATCATGGCCAGCCTTGGGACCTTTCACCAGATGTGGATTTCCAAAAAGGAATATGATGAGCATGGAGCGAGCATCGTGGAGAAGCGGTGCAAGTGATGGGAAAACATGCACGCAGCCGACAAACACTTGCTGTTCGAAGCCGAGGGGAGGACGAAAATGTCCGACATGCAGATCAGGCCGAACTCTGGGTTCAGCCCAATGCTAACAGAGCGGTTCGCGCCACCGACAACAAGTCCACGCCACTCGGGAACGTATGTCGGTAGACAGACCGGGGATACAAGGCAGGCGAAGAAGCAATCCACGGCGTGGTTGTGTAGGACTATTGCGGAGCAGTTTAGGGGGAAGGAAAAGGCGGAACTGCAGGATCCCAGACTCCGCCAGAACGGCGCCTGACGAAATACGAGGAACCGTTCAAGGATTGACGCTGGGCAAAGCAAGCCACTCATCCCAACGTACTGGGACGGATAGGCGCTCGAGCCTTGAAAGGGACGAGACGTCAAACAGGGTGGCTCGCTTAGCGCGTTCCCGTCGACAGCGGGGGGAACTTGCAGATGTGACGAGTCAACTGCACTCCGCCGGTGGTCCTCAATCTTCTCTTTCTGGCTCTTCGATTTGCCTTCGCTGCAGGAGTCCTTTGTAGCAAATGTCCCGTTTTGTAGCGTAAGCCGCATTGCGTTTTTCTGCAGGTCGTTGCGGGCCGAAGGGGGGGGGAGGCCCGGTCTTGATGGACACCACAAAGCTTGAGCTTGCGCGGTAATGTCGCAATCAGTCGAGTGCGTAGCGGCGAGCGGGGGCTTTCAGGCCATCTGAGGGTTGGGAGGGTTGGGAGGGTCCAGGTGACGGCATTAGATCGTGCAGTAGCTTCGAACAACACATTCTACCAAGACTCTGGGATGAGCAGGCGATCGTGATGGGCTTCGGGCGACCGCCCGACGAATCGAGGGTAAAGTCAGGCCCTGCGGTGCTACCGTACTGCCTACACCACCAGCAACCCGTCCTTCTCTTTTCCGCCTCCTCATTCCATCTGTTGTGCGACATGCCCGTACCGTCGGGTCGCTTAATCTTCTGTCCCAGCTTGGTACGCACCGCCGTCTGCCCTCGCGTGCTACATTGGGTAGTCCAACATTGGAGGTCGGGTCCCGCTCATCTGCGTCTGCCAGATGACCAGAAAGTCGGACCTCGTGCAGATCCCCACAACGGTTGGCGCCCTGTCATGGTAGTGGCAGATATCCTGACAGCCTTGGGTCTTGAGCTGTGCCATGCTCGATAGTCAAATCTGGAATCACTCATGATAATAACTGCCGCGGGGAAACTTTCCAAGACATCCTGCTCGTACTTCGATATTGCTCTCCACAAGAACGGTCCACCTACCCACGTCGCCGCCACCACCGTCACGTTTTTGACATAACCGTGCCCCCAGCATCTCCAGTTTTACGAGGAACTTCATTCCGCGCCGCGCCGCAAACAATCACGCTGCAACCGCAATCTGCACCTGCATCGCCTGGTTGAAATTTCGTTCTCCTTGACCACAAGCCAGACCGAGTCCGCTCCACCCACTCCACCTGCAACACCCCTCCACATCCACTCGCCCCTCTCAATGCGGTAGCATTCGCAAATCCCACACCGCGCGCTCCTTCCTCTCCTGAGGAATATGACCAGGCCGGTTCCCAAGCCTCCTCCTATCACTTCAGATTCACCCATCGCCCCCGACTCCGACAGTCTGGCTTCCGAAGGCGGCGACGATCGCCTGGCCGACACTCAGTCGCTCTCGGCCTCCATCACCGACTATCCCACCCACTGGGGTCGCCGCTACCACCGCTACCGCGAGGGCTCGTACCCCTTTCCCAACGACGAGTCCGAGGCCGAACGCCTCGACTCGCAGCACGACATCTTCACGTCCTATTTCGATGGCCGTCTCTTCTTCGCCCCCGTCGACCCGGACACCTGTCTCCGCGTGCTCGATATCGGCACCGGCACGGGCATCTGGCCGATCGAACTTGCCGAATCCGGCAAACTCCCCAATGCACAGGTGACGGGCATCGATCTCTCGGCCATCCAGCCCAACATGGTACCCGAGAACGTCACCTTCGAGATCCAAGACTGCTCCGACAGCGACTGGTGCCGGCCCCCGGGCCAGCTGGACTTTGTGCACGCGCGCATGATGGGCGGCAGTCTCGAGTCGTACAAGAACTTGATCCGCACATCGCGCCGCTACCTGCGGCCCGGCGAGGGCTGGCTGGAGCTGCACGAGGTGCACCCGACGCCGCAGTGCGACGATGGCACCATGCCCCGCGACTGGAAGTTTGCCGAGTGGGAGGACAAGCTTCACTACGCCAGCAAGCGCAAGCTGGATCCGCCCCGGCCTGTCCGTGTGGCGCAGCACCTACAGCACTGGATGGAGGAGTGCGGCTTCGTGGACGTCAGTCAGCTGGTCTTCAAAATCCCGTTGGGGCCGTGGCCCAAGGACAAAAAACTCAAGGGTATTGGGGCCGAGTATGGCGCCAACTGGATGGAAGGCCTGCCCGGATTCAGCTACAAGTTGTTTGGCGCCGAGGGCCTGGGCTGGAGTCGCAATGAGATCGAGCTGGGGCTGGTGGAGGTGCGGAAAAGTCTCGCCATGCGCGACGTCCATGCCTATCTGCGGTACTATGTCGTGCTTGGCCGGCGACCGTCCGAGGAAGAGGAGAGGGAGTTGCTGGAGCGGAGGAGACGTGGCGAGGAAGACTGAGAGATGGAGACAAAAAGCAGGCCTGTCATTTTGGGGTTCTTCACTAACAAGCCAAACGAAGCAACGACAGCAGCAATCACTGGAACTAATGCTGCCCATCCAGCTCGAGGGCGAGCAAATACACTTATCGCCACCCTCCCATCCCTACGAGAGCACGAAATACACGACGCTATACTAAAAATCTGACACGTCGTTGTTTCGAATTTACGACATTTTTACACCGTTCTTACACCAGGACCGTGCGCGAGCACCGTTTTCGGCTTACGCATAATTCAGGCGTTTGATGGGCTCTTTAGCGGGGGGTTATCGCATTTTCGTTATTCGGCAGCGTTTCAGGAGGGGAGATGTGGGAAGAGGAAGAAGAAAAGCATTCTGGGATTCACGATTGCCATGGACCGTGATTACATGATGGGACTGGCAGGAGACAGAGAGTGTGTGTGACGACGCATGAGAGCACGAGAGCATGAGAGCATGAGAGCA